AATTTCTGCTAATCAGTAATAGAAGAATTATCATCATAAACACAATAGTAATCAGCATGAACATACTTGCTATATCAAGAAGAATAACTTAATTTTAAGCAAGTCTTATTCAGTAAAGAGTACTGAGAGCAGAAAGAAAGTATTATAAATCTGAATTACTTAATAACAGAAAGAAGATTATTCTTGTGAATATTAGAAGCAGACAATATGATGAAAGAAAATTATAAGAATACTCACTAAGAAGAAAGACAAGAAAAAAATCAGAAACTCAAGAAAGAAAGAACACTCTTTTATATTCTAAAAAAGCAACAGGTAGAGTGATTGAGAACAATATATTATGAAAGAAGAAGATAATATTATAAATTCTGTGGCACAATAATAGAATATACAGAATGATTGAATGAAATCTGACAACATAAAATTACAGACCATTATAGAAGAACTTTAAGATAAGAATCACATGATCAGTAATAGAACTGATAAGCTAACCAATTGTACTGAACATGATAGAATTGATTGAAGAATATAGCAAATATATTACAGTAGAATGAATAGAACAGCTTAGTGGAACTATTATTAGAGAAGCATCATATATATAAGAATGCTCATTATCAGAGATCTGATAAACTTGTTTATTATAATTAATCTTCTTAATTATCTACTAGATACCTTTGAATCAGATACTTTCATATCTTGGTTACTTTTCATATTATTAAAGTCTTGTGATACTGTACAACTGTACCTGATCCTGCTACTCTTGAGAAGATCTTATAGACTTGCCCTGACTCTATTACATCTGCATGGAAACTCTTTGTCATCAGAGCAAGACTGCCAGCTCAACTGAAGTATTATTGAACTATTGATCACTACTTTAATCTGTTGTTACTTACTGTAATACTCTTTGACTCCAAAGATTCAAGAGTGTCACATGAATACATAATATATTATCTGGTATTTCCAGCTGTTCATTCAGTTTAGCTTGCATGAACTCATTCAAGTTCCCTATATATAGGTTCTTCTTCATTTTTTTAAAGCTTTCAAATTCTTTACCAATTTCTGTTATGAGCTCTAGAAATTATTGGTGGTAGACTTGATCAGTTTTATTCAAACTCTTGCAAAGATTAAAGATTGCTTGTCAAGATTTTTGTGTACAGTTTGCTGAATCTTCTAGTCTCATGCATAGAAATTTCTTGAGATCATTTCAGTTATTCTTTAATGGGTTGTTTTCATAATAAATCTTCCAGAGATCTTTTTCAATATAATCAAGTCTTATAAGAGTGTATGTGAAAGTTTCCTCATCATTCAATTTACTTATATTGCAAGTGAATTCAATACTGGAGATGAACTGTTAATATTTTGTGTAGAAGCCAGTCTGATAGAGCTTTATGTGTTGTGATAATCTTAAGACTGATGGATGCTTTGCAGGTGTTGGGAAGTTGGAGATGGCCATATCAAGAGATTCACTTTGCAAGTACTTTTAAGTGGTCTGGAGAGTATTTAATCTTTCTTGCTATTTTGCTATTCTCTTTAGTAGTTTGATTTTCTTATAAAGTCATTGAATTTCATCTCTTGATGCTAAGATAGACTCTTTCTCTGAGATTATGATGCTAGTTTTGATTTTGTCCACAGTTAAGAGAGCTGAGATGGTTTCAAGATTTATCATCTTCTTGCAAACTTGGGTTTGTTCTTCAGGTAGATTTTCTGCTGGTGTTTCAGATTCACAAGCTTCAGGGGGTTAGCTTCTTTATATTGATATTATTGTCAGGCATCACTAAAAAAGAGTGGCAAAATGTGAGAATCATACATATAAATCAGCATGATAATGAATCTATAGAAGAAATTGTATGTAGAAAAAAGTACATGAGATAAAAGATCTGGTATTGACAACTATATACAGCTTGTAGACAAGATTGCTACTGGCTTTCAATAAGAGATTCACACAGTAGCAGTCTTTTATGTGTGCTTGCAAGCATGTGACTTAGTGCCTTGCAGAATACATATACTCTCAACAGCTTGTGAGCCAAGGTTCTGAACTCTTGTAGATATTGTTTATCTGTATAAGAGATTTGTGGATGAATTCTTACATGCTGTTTATTGATGAATTTAATCTATATTAGAACATGTACCAAAATATAACTAGCTTTTATATGATTTCTGTAGAACTTAATAAGTCTGAAAGAAGATAATAAAACAATATATATATAATTGCTCTTAGATCTTATACTACAAATTTTCCTGATATTGTAGAGATATTAACTTTCAGTTTACAAGCAGTTGAAAGAGAATTTGACATTATAATAAGTGGTAAAGAAACTGTCAGAATTAGTACTTCTTGTATTATTTATCTTGATAATATACTGCAGCAAAATAACAATGCTGAAATCAAATACTTTACTGTAACAGTCTTCTGTTAAAGCTATACTGTCTCTGATGCAGAGAGGTTCAATATGAATTTCAACTTGGTGAAACACAGTCAATACTATTACTAGCTACTTAATTTATAAGCTGAAATTAAGATGAAGCAGACTATTTACAAGCAAGAAGTACTGTAAAAGATTTATAGATTAATTAAGAAAAGTTCTTCAGTTTTAAAGATCTATCTAGTACTGAACTGATGATATTTTTTCTTTCTGACTCCTGTTATAGTGAATTTTCAGGCCTGTCCAAAATTGCACATATATTATTAATATTATATATATTAATATCTGAGAGGCAGAAGAAATACTGCCAAACTCTATAAAGATTTCCATTTTGAAGATACTGAACTTAACTACAGTCTCTAATTATCTATCTGAAGTTTTATTAAATTCAGAAATATACTCAAGCTTTAATTGTAATTCTAATTATACTTTACTTTACTTTAAAGCCTAACTAGATTCAGATTATTATTCAGCAGGCTCTTTATAACTTCTTTAATAAATAGTTAATTGATCTCAATATTTCATGTTTATTACTTGCTAAAATCTTTAGTGCTATTACAAGAAGTAATTTACTATTAACTTTTCAGACATCTGTCAGATATAATGAACTTAAAAGTATGATTACTAATACTTAAACTATACTTCAGAAAGTAATAGATACTACTATTATAACTGCTGAGACACTACAGTCAGCTAGCCAGACAGTATGAATGTTAAGATTACAGCAGAATTCATCAGTATTTAATCAGATTATAATATTTCTGATAAAGAACATTTTAATTAATACTGTCAGTATTACTTCAAAAGCAGATAAGATATTATATGCTTTAAAATACTGACCAAACATGTATATTAGAATATACTATACTAATCAGGCAAAGAAGTATGCTGTGCCAAATAACTGTAATATACTGATTGAAAAGAATAAATACTATAAATATAAAGTATTTGTACAGCAAATCAACAAGTACAATATTAAAAAGATTTTACTAATTCATAAGAGCTTTAAATGCACTATATTCTTGGTTCTTGATAAGACTCTTATAGAATTGAAACTTTATATCAGCAGCTAGATAAAGCAACTTTATTATAAATATTCAATTCTTATGCAAGATCTCATGCAATCAGAATACAATAAGTAACAAGATGATAATAAGAATACTGATAAAGCTGATAATTTATATACTACTACTCTCTTCTATATCTTAATCAATGCCTACTACTGACTATTAGCTAGTCACAAAGTCATGAAATTACTTAATTTATAAAGCATACAGCTTTCTGAACTACTAATTACATATTTCTTTTTGCAAAAGCTTCAACTTTTATATAACAGTAATTGAGCATATTAATATATGCTTGGCAGAGATTTAATCTTAATCTGATTATTTCAAAAGCTGATCTTTACATTCAATAAAGATGCACATCATACTATATTAAAACTTGATGATCTGGTTGAGTATACTTGTGCATCAGATATCAAGATTGAGCAAATAAGATGCATATTCATTCACAACCAGAGCAGCTGCTGAAGAGTTTTTTTTATCATGTTCTCTGCTTATAAAATTCAGTATAAGAAAGTACTGAATTTACTGATTTTGCAGGTGAATTAAGATAAGATTTATATAATCAGTCTATCTGCAATTCACAAATCAAGTCTTTACAGAATACCTGTCAGTAAAGATTTTGAAAGACTTGAACTGGATTCTGCTCTGCTAACTATCTTTCTCAACTGTACTTGAAGTATTTTCTTTTTATAGGTGGATTGGATGGTTTGATGTATGTAGTATTGCATATTAGTTAAAATTCAATGTCTTGCTCCAGTATCTGCTGGAGTAATTATACTGTAATGATTTCTATACTATAATGATTTCTATACTATAATGATTTCTATACTATAATAGTTTCCCTCCACATTTATAAATTCAAAAAGGTATTCTGAACATTTCTAGATATATTTGTTGATTAGAGGTTTCAATGTTTCCTAATTTCTACATTGAGGATTGGAAGCTATATTTCTGAGTTTGGAACATATATATTTTTAAACTTCCAAACAACCATGGATTCAGATAAACATATATTCCGACATAAACATATCAGGACTAGTGGATCTACGGTTTACAAATCCTCCCCATTTCTGCTATGGACCTAGGCTCCGGTCACGTGGAGCGCAGATCACGGGCCGGCTTTAGTTAGCTACTAAGCCGAAAGAGGTTTGGCAAACAAGATTCAGCTCAAACATCCACAAGCTGACATCTCAAATCAAACACAGCAAACCTGACAAACAGCAATTCTCCAGCGGACAAGCAAGCCGAAGAGCTGAAGTAAACCGGAAAAGCCGTTCAGGATCCTCACTGCATCGCAATTGAGAAACTCGAGTGCTGTATCGGCAGCCTGCGGACTATTTGGTATGTTATCTTACCGTCGCCTTCCTCCAAAGCCCTCCTGCAAAAATGCCACCAAGCGTGCTAATGATCCTATAGTATTGTTCCTCTCACAGAACGGCTCTATTACGATAAGCGCATTGGGATATACTTGACGATTGCGCGCGGCTAAGTGCAGTTTTCCATAACCAGCCCGATGACATCCACGACCCAGTCGCACACACACAATATCACCGGTCGCCGTCCACCCCATCAAAGTCAACTCACCGGGAACCCACCGGAACCCGGCAATACAACTCATAGCTTAGCTACAGCTGCAGGCTCGGCTGTATATACAACTGAGAACCATTTGGCGGGATTAGTTGAGGCCGCAACTGCTGCCGCTGGGCAAAACGTAGGATGGGCTCAACCTGAGGACGGCGACACCACAATGTCTGGAGAAGCTCGTGTAATACAGTCTCAGCTTGATGGCTACACGGTTGGTATGCAGCTAGAAGATGGGTTTACAAACCCAGGGAATGCGCCGAGTTCTCATTTCATCCTTCCCGGCCCCAGTGGGCAAGCATCTGCCAATGGCGGAAAACAGATAGCCCCTGCTACCGATTCCGGCCCTCCAACCGAAGGAAACCCCTCTGGCCGTAAGCGCAAACGAGATAATGCGAACGTGGATCCCACGATAACAGGAAACCCGTCGCTTGGAGCCAATGGTGCAGAGCCTGGGCAACATGGGCACACGAGCGCGGATGGATTGAATATCAGAGATCTTCCACCCCAGCAAGCTATCTCTAATGCGCGAGCAGCTGGTGTTCATTCGGCCGTCGCACTTTTTCGACAACCTTCAGCGACAAGTAAAAAGTATACACGTCCTCCAATGTCAAAGCTTTTTGCATCATTGGAGCTGTCGCCTGAAAATTTTCTCCACCTGCAAGCTGCTGCCAAGGCCTACATGCTCGATGTGAATCATCCTGAGAGACGTGATTGTGTTGGCCAACGCGGAAAGGGTGATACAGAAATGGTCAGGCTGAGACTTTGGAACTGTGTCAGCGAATTTTTGGACAAGGAAGGGAATGGCCCCCGCTTTTTTGGGGAGAATGTCGTCAATGAAGGAATGGGCCCAAGGCAAATGATCTGGCCGAGAGACGACCAAAAAATAATATCCCTAATGATGCCTCTTCTCCGACGTATGGTCACGAATGAGCGCCAACGCCAATATGCTATTGAGACTAGGAAATGCGGTAATTCGGAGGAAAAGAAACGAAAACAAATGGAGACCGGTATACCCAACACATCGGCTCCCACACACGAAACTCACTTTCAACAGCTAGGCGAAACTGGAATTGGAATGCTTGATCTACTCTCCGGCGGCTATCCATCCGACTGGGAGTCAATCACACAGTCCTACGACTCATACAACGAAGGCTATCGGTTAGATAATCTCGGTGCTATATCTGGTCTTCCTCAGCAAGACTGGTTGGGTCTCGTGGCTGCTGTTGATTGTCATTACCAGATTGACCACCATGGGAACGGTGCAGAATGTGACCAGCCCTGTCAAGATTGCATGGTTAATCACATTGTGTCTTCGGACAGTGTCTCGCATGCAAATTGGAGAATCGCAGGTCAAGGCGATGGTCTTGCGGCGCGAACATACTTGTAAGTCTTGGCCCTCACGTGTGTTGATGATCTTTCTCTGAGAGACATGGCGCTGACGTCCATGGTAAATTTTCAGTGCGTCTGGGATAACTCGAGATGTGTCGCATATCATCAAGGAAAGCCTCATCAATCGCGCTGGCAATCCGCACGACCCGAAGTTCACATCTTCAGCCACATTCGCAGAGCGTCCTAGCTCCGAACCTTTCGTTCCGCAACCGTCGGCTTTAGCCCCGATCGTACCCGCTACTCATTCCGCGCAGGGCCCTCCAAGACAAGAAAGCAAGTCACTAACTTCCGTGAAACTTTTCATAAGCATTGTGCAAAACGGCGACGATAAACGCCTATTGCCTCGTCTCGAGCTTCCATGCGATCCCAGCGCTGGTCTATCAGCGCTCTTGAAGAACGTCCGACAATATTACCAACAGCAGCAACATTTACAGACCCATCAAATGCCAGTCAATTTTCGTATAAACGCGTGGCTTAAAAATGGTTTAGTTCCTATAGGAAATGACGAGGAGTGGATGGCAGCACTGATGGCAGCGCACATGGTGGATTGGATGGATGGGGAACTCCGCATCATTGTTGATGGAGGTGGAGGGAATGTTTAATTAGCTATAGTTGGGAGTTGATAGGAGGGAATGCTTAGCTGCATACAGAGATCTTGGTGCAGCATTCTGGGATAGCTTGCATGTAAGTTCGACTCTTCTCGCCCTTAAAAATAACTTATCGATATCATGAATATCCGGTATCTAGCGCAGAGAGTAAATTATAATCATGGGTTTATTTCAGCTTGTATGTACCATATATAATATGCAAGGTACTTCCATACCAAGGTACACCTGCCTCTTTGTATCTGTCCACTGTGTGAAATCCTGTCTCCGTTGTAAACTGGAGCAAAAGACAGCCGGTGCGTTTTACAAACCAAAAAAGTAAAAGAAAAACAGGGTTTTACCTCATAATATGTCAATCTTAACTGACTATCATTCACCAGGAACCATGACAAGTTAGGGCCTAGATGTTACTGCTTCTTCAGCATTCTTCCTTTGGCACGCGCTGCCCTCTCTGGCTCTTTACAGGGATCCGAGAGCTTAAATCGCCAATAGGCAATGAAATAGGAAGGTCGACAGTCTCGAGCATTTCCGCCAGGAGCAAATACCATACAAGTACACATAGTCCGAACGTGAATGCTCCTCCAACCTAAAATAAGGACAAAGGAGGTACTCTCAGCAGGTATTCACAAGAATGCGAAGATCTTACTGCCGAAAGCCTCTGTACTTACCACCTGTAAACGCTCGGCACTAGCGACATGGTTCAAAGCTAGTTCAAAGTAGGTGCCTGCAAAACAGGCGAACGCGACCACAAGGAAGAGGAGACCCAAAAAAAGGCAGATATTGGTTCGTAGGGAGCAAATAAGGAAGAAAACCGTCAGGAGGGTAAGGAAAACAAAGAAAAATCCTAAGAGAAAATGCCCCAGTCAGATCCCGGTTTGATCCGCTGCTAGAAGGGGGGACAAGTGTACCCGTTGTCGCGTTGAAGCTGGCGGTCTTTTGACCTTCTAAGGGATTGCCAGTTGGTGAATATGTCGAACCGACAGCGAAAAAGGGTATCAAATTCGTGCCCTGGACGAGCCAAAACATGCCTAGGGAGGGGCGAGTGAGTATCTTAAACTTGAGGCCTGATTTTGCCATTCGCCGTCAGTTCTACTTACCGAAGGTTAGAAATAAAGTGGAGGAGAATGTGTTTCCAAGAATCCAATTACCCAACCCCCCGAGAAGCTGAAGGAAGCCACCAAAGAAGATCAACACGGATCTTTCATGGAACAGACGAATTAGCACTCCCATTTCCTACTAGCTGAACGGAGAGTGACTACTCACAAGATGGCACCGCTGTTTCTGCCCGCACCGCTCCAACCCATGGCAGCGCATGCGTTTGGTGTAGTGGCAACCAAAAACCCGATCAAGGCAACGGGGGTCGGATTGGCAAATGTCTTACGCAACGTATCTGCGTGTGGTTGCTGATGAGGATTCAAATAGAGCTTCTCAAAAACATCTCGAGGAATGATTACGCTCTCCGCGGTTTGCGTTCTTCTGATAGGCTCGAAGTTGATCTCATTGAGATCGTCCTTGTCAGTGGACACTGGTGTGGAGGGCATGGTATAGTAAGTCAAAGACGAGAAGCTCCTTGTTGTTTAAGCTTCGAAAGTCTGCAACTGTATGGAGTATAAATAAGCATCCATACGACCAGGCGATGTGCCCAATTTATAGCAATTGAGAACGCCACTAAGGTGGCCAGCTCGCATGCTAGCTTCGAAGATTGAATGGCAACCCTTATACCTTACCCCGGGAACACAAAAACGAAGCTTAGGGTGGGGTAACTATTATATTCCAGCGGGAGAAGGGTTAAGTCTTTGGATAACATAAATCAGGTTGTCCAGAGTATCTTCGACCGGAGGTCGGCGCTTTCGGCCAGGAACTGTGCAACGCATATTGACGTATCCCTCATGTGGGGCTTCTATTGGGCGGTGGCAGACACCGCCCTGAAAACAGAAACGAAGTGGTGACACTTTTTGAAGGCTATTGAGGCGTTGCATCCACTTCAACGCCACGGATGGATTAAATGGTAGCTCCATAGCTCGCAGCGGAGAGTTCAAAACGATGCAAGCACGCGACTTTGGAATAAGTTAAGCCTGACCACTCTACGGCGGCGAAACTGGGACTCGAGAATTGTCCATAGCTAGGTGGATAGTTATTTGGGAGGCACAATTCACCCACCTAGGAGCGTAGTCTGGAGATGAGGAAAGGCAATTTGGGGCGGAGAGGAAAGCATATTTGAGGGTGGAGAAGCTCAAGCCAAGCCTTGCGAACGCTGGTGCAGGAATGCTTGTTTTGGCGGAACCGCGTATGATTTGCAGAGACCAAGGCGACTGACGATCCTTGGCATCGTTCAAGGTTTTGAATTCGCCGAGTCAACAAAGCCAAACGCCCACAGCCACAGTCCAAAACGCGCAGAAATTCAGGATATCAAAAGCCCCTTCTACGGAGTGGATTTCTAGTCCGGTCTATCACTCCACTTTTCATATCCACAAAATGCCCACTCTAAAAGCAAAAAGAAACGGGCGGATATCCCGGCCATCTTGTGTACTGTAGCATTTCTCCAAATCCGAAGTACAGACATCGAAGAGCCTAGATAAAATAACATCTAGGCTCAAAATGGCTCCCATGATAATACTGAAACCTGGGGGAGTCATCTCTTTGCCGTTTAGCTGTGAAGCGTGGAGTATAGAGCCCAAGTCTTTCGCTTACCCTTTGGTCTGTCACGCCGTCACGCCACTATAGTCCGCATTTAATGGGTTTAGGTAAGTATGAGACGCCGTGTTTGGGTAGGGGCAATTCGACTAAAAAGGTTGTAATGCAGGCAGGCATCGGCCAAACAAAAAACAAGGGCCATCCGCAAATAGGTGCTAGCCTTCGGACACAGTGCCTCTGGGGTATAAATATGGACACCTGTCGTCAAGCTTGGGAAATAAATGGCTTGGGAACAGGCCACTAAACTCATGATATGTCCGAGATACAGGAAAATCGGTCATTCCATGGAAGCTTTTAGCGCTCGTTCCATGGAAACCAAGGTCATGGAAAATGGAAAATCACACAGCAAAAGATATTTTGACAAGTAATAAATACCACCATACCTATAAAGAAACCCAAAAAAGGCAAAAAGGATTTGACAGACACACGGGGAGAATAAAAAACCCAGAGGACACTTAAAGAAGCTCATTCTTCAAAATCTTCTACAGTAGCAGCCCTAGATTTTCCTTTCACAGCGCTGGGGTCAGGGGACGACTGTGAAGACAGCTCGGCACCGTTGGATAGTCCCTGAAGGGGCTCTTGGGACGAATTACGCTGCATAATCGATGATTCTGTTCCATCCACTATTTTCTTGGGTGTAATCTCGGAAAAGTCTTGTGAAGGTGATGTAGGCTGGTTGCCAGGTTCTTTTGATTTCGGTCGCACACTGGCTTGAACAAAATGGTGTTCTGAAGTCGGTTGGGACTCCTGCTCAGACAGAGTTGCCGGAGGTGCTGCTGGAGGATTTGAAGGCCCTCCGGCCGACACACTCTGGGATGAATCTGCAGATAAATGCGAAGAGAAAGGAGCCTGTCCCAAAGACGAGCGATGGGAAGGAAAGGATAAACCATTAAAGGGCAAATTTAGAGGGTGGGCCGGTGGATGAGGGTTTTGTAAAGGCAGTATAGTCCATCCTGGCGGCAACGTAATACCTTCAGGAAGTGAAGGTTCTCCAGGTGTCAGAGTGGGATTTGAAACAAAATGGTGCTGGAAGACAGGCTGGCTGGTATTCGATGAACTCGATATAATCGGGTGACGAACATTTGAAATCCCAGATGATGGGCGATTTGAATTGATTGCCCGAAGACGAATCAACTCGTTTTGAAGTAATCGGACTACGTGCAATTGGTCCGAGGTTGCCAAAAGAGAATTGATCTCCTGGTTGATCTGACGTTCAAGGGTCAGAATTTGGTCCTGAATGTTGGCACTGGTCGTTTCCACCCTGCTTAGCGACTCGGATGGAGCGAGGTTTCCGGAACCGAAACCGAACGACGTGGGCTGTTGGTGTGTCTCTAACGGATTCTGATTCGGATTCGCTGCTTGGTTAACCAGAGGTTGACCGGCATTAAGCTGCTGAGCTACATCCTGAAATTGGTCTCCCCGCCCAGCGCCAAACCCAACACGGAGTGGACCAAGGTTAAGGACCCAGGCTCTGGGTCTTCCAGCAGGAGCCTGTGCATTTCCGGCGATGTGCTGGTTTGCTCTTGCCACCACATCCTCTCCATCGGGACCACCCTGGGCCCTTCCAGTCATGGTTACCGGACGCCTACAGGTAGGGCAATTTTGCTGACGCTCAAGCCAACTTCGAAGACACGAAAAGTGAAGGAGATGTCCGCAGGGCAGCTTTTTTGGACGTAGCCGTTCGGACATTCTCCCAACAGCCCGACCCTGACCAACATGGACGTTCGCAGTGTCAAACGGCTGCCAAGGATGCATTTCTTCCCTGCATATAATGCAAACGTCTTCCCTGGCAATTTCCTCCGCATTCGCGTCGGGGTATCGGTGGTTCATATCTCTGGTCGCATTCCGATAACGGATGAAGTCCAATACTCTTTTTACAAAAGATCTCATCGTTAACACCACATCCCTCAATATGTGGATTGGCAGGCCATAGAAAGTGAAGAGGATAGCAAAAAAGAAGAGGTAAACAACTAGCTTCAAGAAGTCTTGCTCGAGATTAGTGACCATTCGCCGCAAGTAAGTAAGAAAATATATATCCAACTTACCAGTAGCAAGATCAAGATAAAAAACACAACGGCCCTTCTCTTCCCATCCGGGCACATCTAACTCCATTTCTTCAATACTGTCCTCATTCGGCAAGTCGCGCGGGGGTTCTGAGCCAGTATCCTGACATGTACGTAAGATCTCCTCCCTTGATGCACGTATCTCGGCCCTTCTCTCTGCCAGTCTAGCCAGCTTTTGTTGCCGAACAATGTAGATTTCGGCAAGGGAGAGCGCGTACCGAGCAGTAGTCGAAGTCGATAGAATTGTAAGCACTGCAAATTCGAACCCGAACATCACCATCATATCGGGCCTAGCTTGTCTGAGAACGGTCTTAACGGCATATTTGAGCATAAATGAGTTAAAAAATACTGCTAAGAGAAGAGAAACGGCCAATCGTGTATGGAAAAGGCGGGGATTACTCGGAGGCTGCTGTTCGAGGATGTCTACACGACCCTCTCCAATCCATCCCCACACCTTTCCGATGAGGAGGCAGACAAACATCACAACGAACCAGCCCCCCAGTTCCCCCCGGAAGATCGTCATGGCGAGACAGGTTTCCGTAACCGCGAACCAGGCTTTTTCGTAAAGTTGCTCGGTTTCAATGGGTCTCAGACGGCCATAAAGCAGCCTTTGAAGGCCAAAGAGACAGAATCCAACCACAAGGAGGCATACATTTGTGAGAATCTAAATCGGATCAACAATCAGCGCGTCCTCCACTCGGTGCAAGACCAGTACACGGGGAGTATTTACCATGAGGTTTGCATTGCTTTGCGAAAGATAGACGCAAGCAGAATAAAAATTTGATCGTTGATGCAATGCTTTTAAAATGACAGTCATGGAAAGGGCAAGGGAAGCCTGATGCAACAGCCTTAGCAAAATGGACGGCCATAGAAGACTGATGAGCGCAGAACAATACGCACCCCAGCATATACAACCATTCTCATCATGGCGACGGACGATGACGACCGCCACGATTCTCGAGAGCTCACATATGCTTAGTCTGTGAGCATGGATGAGTATCTATGAGTGTATTGTTCAAAATTGTCAAAGGGATGTAAGCTCCCGGCTCTTATGCCAGTTGCTGATGCCACCTTTGCGAAATGAAGCCCAGCTTCCGGATATGTAATTACGGAGCACATACCTACGGAGTACGGAGCAGTTACCTGCGCAATTCCCATGGAAATGGTTATGTAAGAACCTTGGCAATGCCGAGGCGGGAAGCATGCTACACGTGATACAGGGGAAAGTCCAGGACGTTTTCCCTTTTGTAGACATTCCTCCTCTTGAAACGGTTCCTAGTGGAGACAATTCCTATTAAGTTAACCGTTGGTTCTGGCATTATGTTGGGAATATTCCGGCGGGGTATAGTTAACCAACTAGTACCCCGTACTGTTGTAGCCAAGATGAGGGAAGTCAGGATATGGACGGAGGAATTATAAGTGTTCTTTTCAGGGTTGTGACTTTGCCGCCTATGCCATTTCATCTAGGATCCAGGAAACCTACGGGTCCATTGAACCGATTTCTCGATTTCTGGGGACCCTCACGTTCGTTAAGTCGATATCTAGGACCCTACGGAGTACATGCTTGTCGATTAATCTTGATTCAAGTTCTAAAATAGATAGCAGTGACTGCATACATACGTTTAGGTAGCTATCAAAGTCCATAGACCTTTGCCTACTTAACGCCCCGAGATGTAGTTGCCAAAATGTCTCGCGGGCTAGATAGCCAATGTAAGGACACCGTGCCGGAACTATCTTGGACTCCTAGGTAGGTGTCACACGTCTTTGGACCTACAAATTTCCGCCACGGGGACTTGGGAGGTTCCAGCTTCGCCGCCCAGTGTAGCCTTGTGGACTCTGAGTAGGAGTGTACTTCGTATGTACGCCCCTACGTTGTGTGTATGAACTGGACGTATATGTACGTATGCGTTAACACTGTGGCAGCCTTGTTAGTTGAGCGTAGCCCACGCCACCGCTCTTGTGCTGTTTCAGCTTGTGGACTAAAAAAAGGCCGCGAGGCGAACCCCGAGTTGTTACTGATGCCAACCAGGAGCAAGCAAGTTTGCTCCCCGGTAGACGGGAATAATTTCTGGTAGACCAATCCTTTGAGGCAACGTGTGAAGTAACGAAGTATATCCAATACTCCGTGGCTGGGACGAAATAGAATGATTCGTTTTCCTCGAAAGTCACGTATAATGGAGAATGGGTGGAGCAGTTTGCTACGCTGCAGTTTCTCATATGCTTATGTATGAGCTGCTGCAGCAGTGACTCGAGGAAAATACTGATCAACTTCTCGCAGAATCAACTCACGGTTTAGTTGACCAATAAGAAGAGATTTTGGCCTTGTATAAAGTTTCTGTCACTGCAGCAGAAATGCAGAGAAGTTTTCCGGAACATATTCACGAGGAGCTCTAGGACTCATGGCTTGATTGCTAGAAAACTACCCCTGGTCTGCCTGAGACGTTGAAATTAGTTCACCTGCGGGAGCTTGCACATTTGGATCCCTGCTCTTCCATGCTCTCACTGATTCACTTGCCTTCGCTGAATGCATTTCAGAGACGAGCTGATTCATAAAGCGGAAGATATGATGGTCTGAAATGATGCTCCCAAGAAATAGCTCGCACCTGCAGAGTGAAAAGGGCCAGCCTGGAGCCACATGGCGAAGCCATTCCTTGTTACTCCTTAGCAATTGATCTACATCAGGTCATAACCAGAATAAAAGCTGCCCTGAGACCCTGTCAAACTCATCATGCAGGTACCCTTAAAAGGGGTGATTGAGAATATTTCACATGACAGTAACGCGGATGGCCAGATATGCCCACTTTCATGCCCCAGCAGCTGAACATCTAGCCTGTTGTGTGGGAAAAAAACGGGTTTTGTAAAGGTGTGATAGTCGGCAGCTAGATTCGAACTTAAAGAAGTGGTGCTGGAGTCTGAAGATATGTATTTCGAGCCTCCTGGGGATAGGTAGTTTACTAGTCTAGAATGTCAATATAGAGCGGCAATCCTTAACCTGGAATGGGGACTTATAAGTTCAATCAGGTACAAGAGGTAATGGTTAGTATCCTCAGCAGAGAAAGCACCCCATTGCTTACTTACTCTCTCTCTCTCCCTCTCTTTCCCTCCCCGGCCAATACCGCGCTGATATCACGAGTTTCAAAGATATATTGCAGCATTCACTAGAATTGATGGCTGGCAAATAGAAGAGATAAAGCGTAAGAAATTTCAAATGTGAGGTGATACGTACCCAAGGAGGGTGCCGACAATAGAGGCAAGTTGTCGCAAAGGGTTGGATTGCCAATCTATACTTACCTCTATTTTTATTACGGCAAACTTTGGAAATACTTTTTCCAAGTGAGGGCGAGGTCACAATCTGAGCAAATCAAGCCATATATTAGGCTATCCGAGCAAACGTCTTTGAAATCAGGATCTTGTCGGGGTCCATTTCGTTGAATCAAGTTCCCGGTAAGCCGCTCCTAAGGAAGTTGAGGGTAGCCGAACGAGCAATTGTGGATTAAATTGGATTCTATAGGCCGGCATTGAACTATTTGTTTACCAAACCTAGCCGAGTACTCGGATTCTCCAGAGAGTATGTCGTTCAATATGCGACAAGGCACATATAAACATGAGACCAACCGACCTCACCTCATCTCGGCAGAAGTTCCATCCCCGTCACGATACATAGCCACCTGGCCTGGGGAGGCGTATTGGTGGAACTTAATCCCAGGAGAACCCAAGGATCGCGACGAGCATGACAGGAGGGGCGAGACTATTCGGAATCCAACATGGCCACAGCTATTGGATCCCTGCCCTGCACGATGCACGAGGAGCGTTGAGAGCACGTTTTCCGAAGATGATTTAGGTGGTTCCACTGGGCCGTTCGTAACATGTATTCAAGGCATGTCTCCCTCGCTCGAGTCTATTACGCACGATCCAATTCAGCGTCAGGAGAGTGGAGGTTTCAGCCCGAACACTTCCGGAACATATGTTTCGGGAATCCCAGAGACAAAGCCGGGAATATTGTCGAATCTAAACCGGATAGAATATGCCGTCATTGGGACGACATGTAACCTGTGGGAGAAAACTGCTTCTGCGGGGGATTTGGGACTATCCGAGTACGAGGAGGGATTGACAGCAGCGGCTTACCTTAATCAATACACTCAAGTCCAGCAACAGATGTTAAATAACTGTGGAGGTGGTACGATGACAACGCTTCAAGCTCTGAATCACGATAAAACCGGCTTTCAATACTACCATGACCCGTTGACAACGCTCACCCCTGGAGATCGTACATGGGAGAATGAGAGTTGCTCTGAACCCGGCTCTTCGTTACTGTCACTTGGACTTCTCGATCCAGCCCAGCCATGGATGCTTCGAGAACCGGATCAGTCGTGTCCGTACTATGCTGGCAGTCTTCGCGATTTCTTGATGGCATCGAACAACACGGATGAAGTGAAAGAGGCACCTTTGTACGACACTCCAGAGATATCGGATAGCTCGCCCCGACCGGGAATGACAACCCGAAGTAAGAGCCAAAAATGGGCCATTGGACAGGGCTCCTCTCACCGGAGCAGCTCAAAAGATGCATTCTTAGTCAAATGCAAACAATCGGGGATGTCTTATAAGGAAATCAAGGCAATTGGCCAATTTCCCGAGGCCGAATCGACTCTACGAGGTCGTTATCGAATGTTAACAAAACGAAAGGAGCATCGAGTCAGGAAACCAGGATGGAAGGAAAACGATGTAGGTGCTTACCTTGTCTAAAGTTTTGGAAGGATGTTATCTGACAGGAAGCTATACGTATTATAGCTACGCCTGCTTTTCGAAGCCGTCACCCACGCGCAAGGCCCTAAAATCTCCTGGAAACAAGTTGCTGAATACATTTGGAGGAATGGGGGCTCGTATCAATTTGGAAACGCCACTTGTAAAAAGAAATGGGCAGAAATTCGTCAAAATGGTCCGATCCAAGTATCTCATTCCGACAGCCAGTAGTACTATACTGTATCGCAAAACGTGTCTAGGGTATTAAATCGTTAATTGTCCTCTTCCCCCGGTCTATCAGCTAGGGTATCTGCTTTGCATTCGACCTTCTCCCAGCTGTTTCCATCTGAGTCATGAATAACAACTCAACCACAGACAAATATCCGTACATATATGCGGTACCCGGAGCGCTAGTGACAGCAAAGCAACAGTGTATGCGGGCAACCTTCGCAATAGCTATCAGCCGGGTCCGTGGCGACTCAAAACGATGTAAAACAAGCATCGAAGCGTATGGTAAATTCTAGGACATAGATTCTAGGAGCATAGCATCCCAGTAATTACTAGCCTGTTAGATAGTGTGATCTCTAGACCGTATTCAAAAATCGAGGCCTGAATTCGACGGGTATGCGCTTAGAAAAGCGGCCATGTGGGACGTTCAGCCCATGAGGTTAAGAAAAAGCGGTTGCCTTTCGAGGGATCGCAATTGCTGTGAGAATCTGTTCAAGGTGGCTAGGTTCATCCCTGAGAGCTGTCCATTCGTATTCTGATTTAACCATCAATGTCCCGGCCAAGAGGGTTCCGTTTAGCTTGATGACGCCTTCATCAGGGATATTGGTTGTGAATTTAGGATCAAGAGGGATTCGCGCGTGTTCGCTCTGCCGTGGACAAATTGCCATGGCGGTTGTGGTCATCGCCAGGTTGTAGCTAATAGCGCTTGGTCCATAGGCTGTGAGAGCTGCCTCCTCTGTGGCTCCTGATGAAGAGTTGATGAACTCGTTAATAGCATAGATCGCCTTAGCATACAAAGATACATATATCCGGTGCAACTCATTTGCCGAAGGCTCTGACGGGATAGGTAGCCAGTAGCAGACAAATGGCAAATCCAGCATCACGGGATGGTTATAGTCCCCCGATGGGGGTCCTTGCATGACCTGATCTATCAACGGCATCCAGTTAAGACTGTCATCGGTCTGGACCATATCTTCGATTGGTAAAAACTGTATATGCCTGTGAGGTTGACTTGCACCGCTGTGCTCTCCTGAATTGAAGAATGCAAATAGTCGTCTTGGGGTCTCTTCTGTCTGGGAGGTTTCCCATGATGCCAGGCACGAGAAAGCAACTTCTAAATCATCCTTTTCCAGTAGATGGGCCTGCGGCTTAAACGCTTTCGTCGCCAAGATAAAATGATTTGGTATGACAGGGAACTTGTTCAGTACAAGAATATGGGACGGACTGGATGGTGGTATCTCGGCGACCAAAAGTTCCCGAGGGGGGTTTTCGAACGGATCCGTGCTTGTTGGCATTTCATCGCTTTTCACGGATTGTCGAGAAGATGACTTTTTCGCCAACGCCGGACAGAATCTGAGCTGGAACTGCATGATTGTAAGAATGAATGCGCCTACTTTTAAATCGCTAGGGAAGGCGGGGGTTGGGGGGAGGAGACTTTACGGGAATGCCAGAGAGCCTTAACGTGGTCAAGTCTGTCCTTGAAAAGAGGACGTCCCCAGATTGCGTTGCTGCACGAAAGGTCTTTGTGACAAGTGACACAAGACATTCTGGAAGACCAAGCAGCTCCTTAGAGTTCCATTCCCGTTGAAGGGGCCACATAGTTGGTTGGGTGGTTGGCCGAGGCTTCGGAAATGGTATTTGTGAGGAGTTCCGATGGTTGAGGAAATAATTAGGGGCCTTGCATACTCCGTACTTCAACATAGAGGACACATTGTATGGTTAACAAAAGAACCTGTAACTAATGTGTTATTATTAATTAGGAGTATGGGGTAAATAAGTTATCTCTATCCTCCGTATACAGTGTATGGTTCCATAGGTTCTTTGTTAGTCCTCTATTTTGAAGATTATTTACACTTAACTCACCAAGCATAGTTTCCCTGATAGATTACAGTTTTGCTACTAATTAACCCAAAGTTTTTCTTCCTTCTGGAAGGGCTCTCATTCCCTCCCACACTCTCCGCACCGCTCTCGACTCTGGATGATGTGTTGCCAAATTTTTTGGAATGTTCAATAAGGTGGAACGAAAGCCCATAGAGGATGCTGTGAGAAGCACTAATGCGGACCAAGGATACTCTACGGGCGTATGGAGTACTCTGTACGGAGTACTCCGTACATACATAGTAGAAATAATTTTGTGATGTATCTCATAACATATCTTTCTTTTTTAACCTGATGCTTGTTGACTTGTAGGTCAAATGACAAGCTTTCAGAGATTTCCCTAAAAAAACTGGCTTTTAATACAGAGAGAAGAATATGGTGGCAGGGCATCTGAGTTTGTGTGGGAATACGGGATAGGGGGCGACGGATGGAGTATATATTTTGGTTTGATGATTGACGTTGGTGTGTTGCTCCAACAGCCGATACTACTTTGTTTATGGAGTACGGAATACTCCGTACGGAGGAGTCGGACAGGAATTCCAAATTGTGAGCCACAAATCTGTTAGTGACAAACTAGTTGGTTACGCTGGACAGAGAACATAAGTTTAGTTAGCGCAGTGGTTGGACCTAGTAAATTAGTTACTGCCCGGGGCTTCCCTGGAACCAATCCTGCGTTGACTGAGCAATGCGACGACACCTCCGTCCTTCCTCTGTACTTATGTACTTATGTATGTAGCTGCTTTATGGGTGCATAGTTAATGGTCAGCTCTAACTCCTCTTTTCATCTCCTAGAGAAGCATGGGAGCAATTTTACAAAACTAGTTCTCTGTGAAGAAAGCCATTGAGGAGGAAAGGAAAGGAAAAAGAAAAAAAGGAACCAAAAAAAGAAAAAATAAAAAAAAGGCGAGCCCATCAATGGAACAAGGAAGTGATCTTGAAGAATTTTTTGAGCACCTTGCCAGTTGGGCATAAAATGGGTTGTACAAAGTACAGGCATACAGATAACACTTCATGCATGAACTACCAAATAAGGTAATTAACAAGTTAAAGGTTTGGAGTGCGTGAGTTTGTGGCGCAGGCTTTCTTGGCCTTTGATCCTCCTGGAGGCTTGGTTCGGATGGGGCACGCCGCACATCAGAAAAAAACACAAATTGTTAAAAAGAGAAAATGAACCAAGGTGAAGTGGTCCTTATGATTGTTTTGTCCCCAAAAAAAAAAAAAAAAAAAAAAAAAAAAAAAAAAAAAAAAAAAGGGAACAAAGGAAAGAAAAGAAAAGAAAAGAAAAGAGAAAAGAGAAAAGAAAGAGGCCGACTCCATGTTTCTGGACAAGGCACACCAGATCCTCGAGGCCTCGGGGATGCCGAAGAACCGGTGGACCGCGCGTTTGGAAGGGCGGGTTCGTATTATTTGTTCCTGGTTGATGTTGCGGGTTGGGTCGTGGGGGGGAAGGGTGAAATGAATGCTCGTCCGGAGATGACATCAGGCAATGTCCGAGGTACTCGCTGGGGGGTGGCTCGCACCGCACATTCGCACTTGTATTTCTGGCGGGTTGACGGGGAACGGAGTACTCCGTGAAGGTTTTGGGGAGGAAAAGGCCAGGGATGGAAGAACGAGCAGGCCCGGAGGCGGGCACCTCATTGGCGAGCGGGGCAGGGAGAGAGTCCGTCCCAGGATCGGAATCTCAGGCTTGACCGACTCGCAGGGAGGGCGCACTGCAGCGATAGGGCTGAGAACCACCAATCGCATCGACGCCCGCAGCGCCGACAGGGTGGTGTGGAGACCTTTTAGCGCCGTTTTCCCGGGAAGTCGCGCCCGTCAGAACGGTGAGAGAACCAACTGGCAACACCCGCAACAGCACAGGGACAGCAGCGGCCGCACCCACACCCATGCACGCTCTCTCGCCCACACCCGCTCGCAATCACACATCGTACTTCGGAACAACAGAGGCCCGGCCATCACGGTCCCCCTCCTTCGCGCCGGACCGGCATCCACGCTGTCATCATCTGCATCACCATGTCCACCGCAACTTCAGGGCGAGATGCACTCTGTGAACTACATTATTGTTTCCCGGGGTTTTTTTTGTGTGATTTGGATTTTACCCTTGCACTCCTTGTCTTAGTCTTCTGTCCGAGGTGCGTTAAGGTTTGGCCGGAGCCTTAACCTTGGCAAAACACTGTTTGCTGGTCCAAGCCTCCTTTCGTCCCCTGCCGTTGGCGAATGAACAGTGCCACAACACCAACGCTCATAGGTTGAGCCCCTGCAAACCGGCTCCTCAACACGAGTCCAATCATTTCCCTATAGGGTCATAAATGCTCTGGAACTATTTTCACTGGTTCCTCTACACTAGCCTTGCTGCGCATCCTGCATTCTCTGGGGCTCAAGCTCCAGATGTCGATCTTCTATCCCTATAAAGCATCCTCCCCGGCCATGTCGTTTGGCCATGCTGTTCCGCGCAAAACTATTTAATATTATTAATTTGGGAAGGTTGATCTCTGGACATCGATGTGCTGGCTTGCTCACAGGTTATAATCATTCCCACCTCCCGCTGCCGCTCCCCTCTCCCAGCTCCAACCCCCTTCGCTCCCATTTTACTTTCACAATACACCCGGCGACGACCTCTTTCCTTGAGAAAAGAGGAAGAGGGGAAAAAAAGATAAAAATAAAAAGAAAAAGAAAAAGAAAAAGAGACCAAATAATTAAAAATAAAAAAGAAATAAAAAAGGAAAGTTGCTTCTGCAGACCATACGAGCCAGTGAAAGCCCTTGATTGCATTCTGCTCTGCCTCGGTGGCCGCAACCGGATTTCCGATCTGTCATTGGCCACTTTCGACGCTACCGTCACGTACACGCTTTGCCCAAATTCGCAGCCTTTGAAGATTTGAGCGGCTGGCCCGAACCTTTCTACCTCTCGCAGTGGCTTTCCCGAGTCAAACGGGCTCCCCTTCCAGGTGCCTTTCCGATTCGTAGCTGGCGTTGCTGATCGCGATTTGTCTTTGGATACATTGCGGCGACATCGCGCCCGGTGCCATTCTTTTGCGTTTGATCCTAAGCGACCAATACCGTACCATTCCTGGAGGTATGTTTGTTTTGTTGCCGGGATTATTGTCCTTGCATTGGATAATCCGTTCTGTCCATCATCCTCGCTTCGATGTTTGTATGGCTTTGAACATGGGTACAAGAGTACGCTAACATGTATCGTTGAACAGAATTTAGTGTGTCTGACTACGAAGGTTTTGTAAATCGTTCTTGCATCTCATCGAAGCCTCCCGAACATTCAAAATCTGGCCGGTTGTTCAAGATAGTCTGTCTTCGCGTTGACGAGTACCATGCTGGAGCTGGAATTCCCACCACAACCATATCCCTACTCCCAGGACCTCTCGATGGACCCTATGATTAGTTGCATTTCGAGTTCAGCGAAGGGTGACGAGCAAACATCTGTTGGAGCCTACACGTCACTCTTATCCGAGACGTATCCTTTCTTCATCCACCCATCTTTTGCATCAGGCTCCCAACAACCTATCCCCAAAAGCCAGCCCTATCCTAACCCGTCCGCATCCCCTTCTATTGCAACCTCCCAACCTGAGCTGTTGTCGTCTTGCAGCTCAATATCCACCCACTCCTTTAGCAGCGCCCCCTCATCCTCCATCGGGTCTCCCCACCGGGATACCTGGCCGGACATGAATCCGGGATCTGGCTTTGAGGAAAATGCAACAGTCAGTGACAGAGGTTATGCTCAAGATTATTTATCTAATACCATTGATGCCGACGTTTTGATCTCACATGCTAAAATTTCCGATTGCTTTGTTGGTATGTGATTCAATATCATCCCCCCCAAAAAACTAGCCTTTCAATTCCTCGACTCTGCAGTCTCCGATTACACATCCCTAGCTACAAAAGTATGATATGGTTCGGTTGAACTTCGTATTATGCGTGAAATTGTGCGCGCACTTCAGTTGGGGCTTTTTCCTTTTTTTTTTTCTTTTTTTTTTTTTTTTTTTGAGCCAGCTCAGACACACTAACGTATTTCTAATTTGTTTAATCAGACCCGTCCTTGATTCAGCCTACCCAAGATCCCAATAATTACCAGCTCCCTGTCATATCATACCCAGAAGATCTACAGCTTTGCTTTGTTACCTCTCCAACACTTGGTCATCAACCGTCACCGCAACTCCACCACGACACCCAGAAGCAATTCCAGCAGCGACACGAGCAGCAGCAAAGGAGGGAACCCAATTTTCCCATTTCTACCACACAGCGCAGCCTCCCCCAAGAAAATAAGGCACTCACAAGAAGGTCTTCAATCTCATCTGTCCGCTCCCGTCCTTCGGTGCCTAGTCCCCAGCTAAGCCACATTGGAGTCGAGGATGAAGGCAAGGAAAAGGGGCGATGCCCTCACCCAAATTGCGGGAAAACGTTCAAAGACCTCAAAGCCCATATGCTTACCCATCAATCTGAAAGACCAGAAAAGTGCCCGATTGTGAACTGCGAGTATCATCTGAAAGGGTTTGCTAGAAAATATGACAAAAACCGTCACACACTGACCCATTATAAAGGAACAATGGTTTGCGGTTTTTGTCCTGGTTCTGGATCTGCTGCAGAGAAAAGCTTTAACAGAGCAGATGTTTTCAAGCGTCATCTTACTTCCGTTCATGGAGTCGATCAATCCGCGCCCAATAGCCGGAAAAGGACCCCGCCCAACTCTGTGAGAAATCCGTCCGGTTATTGTCAAGATGCGACTGGGAAATGCTCGACTTGCACGGCAACCTTTTCTAATGCACAAGAGTTTTATGAGCACCTAGACGATTGCGTCTTGCGCGTTGTACAACAGGAAGAACCAAGCGAAGCGATCAATATGCGGCGTCTCGCCGAGGTGGAATCTGACGAGGCCGTTAAACAGACAATGAAAAAGCATATGCTCGTCAGCTCGACTAATGGCAACAGCAACTTTGCTAGTGACAATGATAAAGAGGACAACAAACGGGATGGATTTTCACTCGAACCTGGTTCAAGCAAGGGGCCAACAAGGTCAAATATAGTGAACAGGTTTCTGCCCCCGAATTCTGGTGCGATTTCCAAATCTCGACCGTCAGTTGCGCGGAGACGCAATAATCGAAACAACTACCCGCCCTCGTGGGGATGCCCAGCTAATAAGATGAAAATGAAGCGCCGACTCCTCTGCCTTTACGATGGTCCACGGCGGCTATGGAAAGATGAAATGATGTTGGATAATGAATTCGAAGTCCGTTTGAATCTGCCAGGAGGTGATGGAATGGGACGCGAAGCTTATGTGACTGACTTGGACGTGGAGACCTTGAAGCGAGCTGAAGGAGTTCTAAACGCGACGCAGGAAGAGAAGGGACCTTGGGACTCTGCCTCCGCCGGCCGCGGATTGATCGGTCCTGCTGCCGTCCCTATACTCGGAAATACAAATGATATAGTGGATGAAATAAACATTGATGAGCTAATGTCTTGAAAAGTGCATTGGAATGAAGCTGGATATCTCTTATTATGCATATGTCCCTCTTTTCTCATTTCGCTTCCCGGAGAATTATACATATTTTATTTGCCCATATCTCTTGCTAATGCCTTCTACCCCTTTTTCCCCCAATTTTATTTTCCTTTTTTCCTTTTTTTCCCCCCCGGCAAACTTGTATTTATACTCATCCTTTCTGAGCTATATTTGACGTCGGGCAAACAACCCAATTCCTAAGCACCTTGTAGACATTTTAACTAAATCCGCATGACTCACATCCTGGGTCTTACCCATCCTGGGGGGAAAACAATGACGCGCTTGGGGCTTTATATATTCACATGGCTGGCGGTTAAACGTATTATAACAAAAATTTTCGGCTCGCAAAGGCCTTCTGTAGCCTTCCTACCAATTCAGCACAGAATCATCAATGGTCAAATTTACATCAGCTACATTTAAGCTGTAGGGTCCAGAGAGCGAATCTTGATAAAGCTAACCGCTAAAAACCTAAATCAGATGTAACTAAAACGAGGCATCCCAAGGAAAAGTGCGATAGGATTGGTAATACATAAGCGGGGGGTCAAGATATAAGAAGGCAACTCAGAGAGGATATATAGGGTACCGAGACTCAAACAAAAGGGGCATATACTGCAGCTTCGACCGTATAACAAACACCCAGAATACACCGAGATGATCCTCCCCCATATCATCTATGTTCAGAGTCAAGTGTCTTCTTTTGCAAGGTGTCCTGGGATATGTCACCGATCTTATCCCTGGCTTCCGACGTGTTCCCTTTCCCTATGGTTAACGGACTATCCTCGCCTTTGGTTGCTTTAGTCTGCTCCGGGAATGCCTCAAATGTATTTATCTGGGCGGCCGACACAGGTCCATTATCAGCCTCAGTTATTGCCCGTTGCTGTGGTTTCCTTTGAATGGTCTGTAAATATGGACCAGGTAAATATCCGACCGATCCATCTCTAGCCCGACACCGCCACCATTCGGATGGACTTCCCATTGGATCAGTTTTAGAAAGAACAGCAACAATGTCTCCTTTTCTAACGGCCAGGTCAATTCCCGCAGCAGCCTGGGTGCCCGGGGTATAGTCGTACAAAACACGACAAAAGTCCAGCTTGGAAGGATCGATTGGACCAGCTTGGGGGTTACCACCAACGGCCATTTCCTGTTGCCGCCTGATTTCAGCTTCCTGAGAGCGTGCCAGGGCCCGGATAAGCTTGCCCATGAGATATGGTAAACCAAAGACGGCTGCTAGAAAGAAAAAGAAGGGTTTTTTTGAAGGGCGTGGTGGGGCGCGAGAATTGTCCGACAGCGTTGCGGAGGACCCACCCTTGCTTAAAAAGGAAGAGAATGCAGAGGGAGTGAGGGATGTCGCATTGGCGGGTAAAGGGCGGCCTGTCAGCCTCGCAAATAGCGTCCTGATCCATCTAAGGATTGTGAAGATCCCCAGCACTGAACCGAGAGTATTGCGAAGGTTGCCGAATTGTTCTGCGACGGAGACCATGGCTGGGGAAAGGGAAATGGTTAGCGTATAATAGGGGAGGATGAGGGAGGAGGATCGTTAGTTACACACCAAAGAATGAGCTATGGGTTGCCATATAGGTGCTTTCCAGCATTTGCGCGAACCCACCGAACGCTCCCACGATGCTTTCGATCATCTGAAAGGTTGCCTGAGTGCTCTGGTTGAAGGAATTTGTTAAACTATTCGGATCCCCATTTTGCATTCCGCCGTACATCCCTCCATACCCCCCATACATTCCCCCATATCCGCCATATCCGCCGTACATGCTTCCAAAACGAGAATAGGGCGAAGAGTAGGAGTTATAGCCATATCCAGTATACGGGCCACTTGCGAGCCTCGATGCCCCATAAGGTGAATAGTTAGACGCGGGTTGACTAATCGCAGAGTTCAAGGTATTAGGGCGAGAGGGAAGAGTCGGCGGCTGCGATGCCGAAGATGTCGCCGGAGCTGTCGCTATCGTTTGGGAAGACGTTCCCGATGCAGGGAGATTAGACGTGTTTGCTGTTGGGCTTGTCGTCAAAGGTGTTCCTGATGTTGAGTGGTAAGCATATGGCGGCGGCAGCAGAAACAACGGATACCAACCTGGTGCGCCAGCAGAATTCGGCCGCTCCCACGGCTTAGGTGGTGACACAGAAGCCATGGAGAAAATCGTTTCTCTCTAATAAGACACCGTGGAGAGCGATGATCGGGAGTAGGAAGGCGAAAGCATGCACGAAATATATGAAGATGTTGCTCCTTTTAGCAGCAAAAGGGTATGTATAGAGCAAAAGAGTAAAAGAGTACGGCTTTCTCTCTACATAAGACGTGCCTTGTTTTATTTAGATAAGGCAAAGAAAAAAAAGGAAAGATAGCTCAACTCAGGCCTCACGCATTGTCGAAATTGTGGTATCTTGAACTTGCAAGGGGGTACTTTGCATGCATGTGGTGTTTCCCCAATTTTTTTCCGTGGCGGAAACCGAGCAAAGGAAGAGGGGGCGAACTTAGAGGAAGTTTGGGGCTGGCCCAATAAGCCGAGGATGATGGATGCCGTGCGTTAAGGTCCAACCATATAACTCAAAAAATGCACCAAAAGTCAGTCCTCTATACAAAATATAGGGTACCTAAGTACTCCGTAGTTATAAAGTGTATATATGAATTTATCACTCTGTAACCAGTAAGAGTTTGTGTCACATGGTTCAACAATTTAGCTACCTCTGTCCGGAGTTACTATGTACTCCATACAAAGTACAAAGTACACAGCACACAGTAATGCTTCGACACTTTCATATGCTTGCCAAGGCCATGGATGGCCGGTCTGGGATACATAGAGCCCATAGTTAAAGAGCTATAATAGATGATCCTCAATATAACAAGCACATACGACCATAGGAAGTGGAAAACAGGGCTTCCCGTCCGCTCAGCCGTACTTAAGCCACTTGCCGGCCGGCTAGTAGTTGGGTGGGTGACCACCAGCGAATCCCGGCTGTTGTATGTTTTTTTGAGCTCTTTGTCAGTTTTCTTTTTAGATAGGTAGACTGTAATAGACTTAGGTAGACGGTTAGATATATGACAGGCACATACGACCATAGGAAGTAGAGAACAGGGCTTCCCGTCCGCTCAGCCGTACTTAACCTACTTGCCGGCTGGCTAGTAGTTGGGTGGGTGACCACCAGCGAATCCCGGCTGTTGTATGTCGGTTGTTCAATTCTTTTTTTGTCAGATCTTGCGTAATCCTGCTCCTTCTTGGGTAATCTTGCCTCGCCGCTTTTCCTCACGCGAATTCACCTGAGCTTCCGGGCTGTCTGGCACAAGCCCCAGCTCTGGCATCCCCATTGGCCCAGCCTCCTTGCAAACCCCCTCGACCCATCCAGCTAATGTTGCTTTTCTTGTGCATGAGTGAATGCGATCATCAGATTCTCTTGGCGATGAAGTCTTGAAGCGGGAGCGTTGACAACTTCAAACCCCTTGAACTGCAAGAGCTGGGGAGAGCCAGGCACTTCGACGCATCACATCCACCCCATGGCTGGTCCAGTCAGTAGCTTGCAGAAGCATTTTCAACCTCATAAACCCCAAAGACACTCGGCAGCTGTTCTAGAATGGCTTCGCTCTCCAGTCTACCAGTGGAGCTCATCTTGCTACCCAAGTGCACTGGATCTGAGGTACGCCTAAACTCAACCAAAGCTTTGATTCATATTAACTCTTTGTGCAGGCCGGGTTCCAAGTTGTTGAATGAGTGGTGCTATCGACTGTCCGGAGCAAGTAGACATTAAACTGCTACCCACAGGAATATTTGCTATGATGGCATCTTCAGTCCAGGTCTATTATGTCCCTAACAATACTATCGGTCCTATGTTTTCTTCCATGAGGGCGGAACGTTCCATTTATGCGGGGTCTGGCTGGTTTATTGCCGCCACAGAGAAGCCTGAGATACCTGAAGCCCAGGATTTATCTTTGACATTTTCTTGCAATGATCAGAGTTTTGTTGATGCTGCTGCTGTTGCGGAGAGAATCTCTCCTGGCCAATATATTGCTTACCGGAAAATTATCAAGCAGAGAAAATTGGACGAACAGTTCAAAGGAAGCTGCGAGATTCATGATGTGGTGATAACTGACTATCTAAAACTTGTGGAAGAGAAATGGCAGAAATTTGCAAGGGAATCAGGTAAAGCGGATCTCAAATCAAGGGAATCCCTGTGTCGGTTGGAATTGATGCTCTATGATATTTCGGACTGCGCTGAAGATGAAATCAGACGGCACCCCAAGCTCTGGCAATCAGTACTGAAATCAGTACTCAATCCTCATTTACCTGCTATTGCGGAATGTATTGGGAGGCTTTCACTCTATGTCTGGCATAACTATCGCCCCATAAAGCACAACACCCTCTATGGTTGGGCGCCCTCTGAGTTACTGTGGAGGTTCGTCAAGGATCGCTGTCAGTGGGAACTAGCGGACCTCCAAAAAGAAATTGCACAGCTCAAGGCACCGATCAATTCCCGCAGTGTGGTAGGTTACATACCTACCTCCCATATTGTCTCTTTGCTAAGTGCTTCTATAGGCCGAAAGACCCTCTCTCTACCAGTTCCTGCTTCATCTAGGCTTGATCCTCTTCAGCTATGACTTTCACACTCTCTGCAAACTTCGGGGAAAGGAGGCAGATATAGCTTCCTGGAGCCATCATGACTGGGAAGAAAGGTGCGACCGATTCGACCAGCTTTCAGACAAAGACTACGATGCTCTTGTTGATTTTCTACGCGAATTCGCCCCGTTTGCCAACATTGACCTGACATCTGAGGACCTGAGAAATCAGATACGGGCTTTGATAGCAGGGCTGCGGCGGGTGGCGGGTGGGGTGGCCAGCAAAACGGGAACTACTCTGAAAATGAGCAAGAAATTCAGCATTGCTGCAAACATCATGATACTCTGCGCCTACTTCGGGATCTTTGCTATTGTTCCAACCCTAGAACACGACATCTCCCTCGAAACATATATTGAAAAGTATTTCGAGTATCACATTGCTGCGCCTCGCCGATCACCTCTATACGGTTGGAAGGCAGCCAACGAAATGACTGTGACAAGCAAGCTGGACCAAGTCTTCCTCTTTCTGCAACCAGAGGCTTTCCCGACTGGAGTCACAGAAGTTGACCTGGCTGCTTCCTCTTGCGCGCCTCCCCCCAATCTGTCACCTGTTCGGGCCACTCTCAAAAAGACCCAGCGATCAAGATATTGGCGGCTCCGGAGGAGAGAAGCGGCATAACCTCGCCGCATCTGATCATGATTTGTTCTACCTTGCACAATCAGCAATCCAACTAGCACTGTAAATCACGCTGAGGCAAGATGGGATCTACCGGGCGCCTCAGGAAAGAGCAAGGGAAAGATGGTGTTTAGGTGTGGAATTTGATGTGTACTACAATACATTTGACAACCCAACTCGATTGCTGGCAGAAACCTTGTATATACTCTAGTGTATGCATTTCCCCATCCTAGCTACCAACGCCTCTTTGGTATATCCCGCGATATATATTGGCGCGTGAAATGCCCTCTTCACGGCTCCAATTGCAATCCCCTTGAGTTCACGCGTGTTAGTGTATGATGAATTTCTTCTTGAATATGCTTACCACACTTCTTATCTGCGTACTCCTCCTCCCTGCTCTGAGTTAGCTATGGGTCCAAGATTGGCATTTAATCTAGGACTGGCAAAAGAACTTACTTCTAGACATTTGGGGCGCATTTTACCTGCATTCTTTGGTATACAACGCACCATGCCACCACAACGCACCTTGCATGTCCACAGGAGTGATTCAACTTTTTGTAATCACAACATTTTGGAGGTCGATGTGATAATAATGGTAGAAATATGGAATTTTGTTCGGAAGCATTGAGTTACATTGGGGTGACGGCATCTATATATTTATGGCTCTGATAGCAGATCAGCGAACTCAGATAGACAATAGACAGTCTGGGCCACCCGCAGTGTTCAGAAATATTGTGATACCAAATAATAATCAGCACCGTGCATTCCACATAATGGGTCAATGAACCGGGCGTGGAACTCTGTTGTTGAGGCAGAAATGCCCTCTTGTGCACATATAAGGCAGCTTCATCTCGCCTCCCCCCTTCCTTTCCGCCTTGGCTTTTTAACTGCTAGCCCTATTCCGCCCGCATGAACCCAGCCTTCCAACTCAGTCAAGTCTTGCTGCCAGAAAATTGCTGATCAGGGCGAGCCCTCTGTTGCCCACTCACACAGATTTCCATTCCTGAGAGCCATGTCAAGCACCATGCCTTCACTTGCCCATCTCCCATTTGACATATACCGCCAATCACCTTCCATTTCTGTTAACAGACTCGCAATTTGTCACATTTGAGAAACAGCTGCTGTGCCTGCGGTGCTGCATATTGTATATTGCAAACCGGCTAATGATCCAACCACAGCTAGCTCATTTCAATCACCCTTGGAACCCATCACCTGTAGAGATGCCTGGTCGCGCCGCCATTTTCTGGGTCTTCATTGCATATCAATGAGGCCACCACTCTCAACCTCCCCTTCATCTTCTTTCCTTGATTCCTGCATTCACCCTCAATAAGAAACCCCCAACCACTCTATTTTGTGGTGCGTCAAACATGTTAATCAGAAAGTATCTCACTTTGCTAACCCATAATGCCTTGTAATAAAGCTTCACGCTGTCTTCAAGCTTTGTTACCCCAATGGACCAACCAAGACAGCATTACCCGTCTGGTTCAATGGGAAACTCTCTTTGCAACACTCAGCATCTGTGCCGTCAATCCATCCTCATGGCGATACCGAATTATCCATGGTCGAAGACAAGATCACCACCAAACAGCTGGCAGCTATCGAGCATCTGGAGGAGTTGCATTATGATGAGGTGGCAGGACTACAGGCGACATTGAGTGACCATGCCAAGGAGCTTTCCAATATTCGTTCGAAATTGGCGAAGGCAACAAACAGGGGAAAGGGGAGGAGAAAGAGCGCAAAGGAACGAGCCCAATCGCGTGATGCTGAGATCATCTCTCTGAGGGAAGAGCTCGCAAACCAGAAGCAGTGTAATAACACTATCAAAATTTGGGCAGCTGAAGCTGAGAGGGCCATGGTTGACATGCAACAACATGTCAACTGCCTGACATTCCAGCTAAACAGTATGCGCGACCAAAGGGAATGACTTGCGGCTCATGTCATTCATCTTGGGGAGACAAACACGGCGCTCCGCAAAAAAAAACAAAAATGCCGCGAAGCAAATGCAAGGTTTCAAACACAAGATGAACGCGAAAAATAAGTTCCTGATGGATAATATTGTTCGGGGGAGGGAGGAAGCAGGCCTAGCACTTATCCAGCGTGACCTAGAACACACTCAACACCGACAGTCCGAGGCGGATCAATCCTTGGTCAGCACACCCCACACCGCGAGAGACAACAACATCATGCATGCCTTGACAACAAGTGAACCATCCACATCAAAGGCTGATGGGCCGGGTGAAGGTCGTCAAGCGGCGCAAAACATGCGCAGAGTGGCAACAGCAGCACAGATAATAAACCGAGGGAAGGGTGCAATGACATTTGGGATGAAGATATCAACCCTCGAATCTCAAAACCAAGTGCTCTTAGCAGCAAATGAAGTGATGGTTCATCAACACAGAAAGGAGAAGGAGAACTTGAGAGCAATGAATCACCATGTCATCACTGAAATTGGGAAATATAAGCAGCGTGTTGAGTGTTTAGCCGAGCTCATTGGCATCTCGGACCTCGGACCATGACAAGCTCCCAGGCAAACAGGTTGCCCTGTAGAACAAACAGAATCTGACTAGTGCTGGAAATTATGTTGCGGCGGAATGAGAAACACGAAGAAACTGTTTGATGCTCTAGGAAAGTGGTAAGGGTGTGAAATCTAATGTTGCCGCCGGCGTGATGAAGGGGGATTGTCTAACCAAGGTGGCAGAAGATTAGATCAAAGTGTGCTTCTTCCAACCTGTTAGCTGGTTTCCCGAGGAATAGAGTACAGTGGAATCTCAATTTGCTGTCTTGATGTAGTCATAGTGTTAGGTAATCCAACTAGCACCTCGCTCACGTGACCCACATAGATTAGCCAAGATTCCCCTTTAGGTAGCTTAGTGAATGACAAGCATACGGCTATTTTTCTGTCAGCAGGGTTCTAATAGTCCTCCATCACATAGTCCTCCCGGAACAATGATGATCCGGGCTTCTCCAACGTAAGGTGTTATGGCAGCCTTTGTAAAATGTCTCCTGTTTAAATGCAGGACCAGTCCATGCTATGGCAAAAGCGAACTACTGCCTGAACACTCAAATTAAAGAGGCTAATTTGCTTTCCGCACAATGCTATTCCTAATTTGTGCAAGCCACATTGATCTGCAGTCTTGCGAGCCAGACTGGCTTCTGGCCCGGTCATGGCCCCTTCGGTACATAAGGAGTCCACTGGCACCTGGGGACCACACAGAGTTTTGCCTCTTGCTGTGCTCTGTCTGCCTCACCTTCTCAAGTCCCTAATTCTACACAGCTCCGCGGATCGCATATCCCCCAGAGCAGCCAGGTTCTGGCAGAGGTGCTATACTCATCAGTACCTCTCTTCTCAACATCAGTTTTCTTCACCTTTGCCTGCCTCGAAAAAATTGTCACCAAGGGCAGCACTAACAATGGGAGATTGGCATGGCGTTGGAGATTCACAATCAGGTGTTTGGTGGCAGCTGTATTGCTGAGTTTCATAAGCCACCTTCCAATCTTCCCGCCCGGCCGCTCACTAACTAGCCTTGCAGGCGGCGGATGCGATCATCCTCGCCCTCTCTGCTCAACAAGGAGGCAGTCTTCATACAGCAGATGGCAGGCTTGTATGTGGTTGTCCTGACGCCAGCATAAAGTTTGGAATTCATTGACTGATATTGCTATTCACAGCTGTACTTATGCGCCTCGGGCCTTGTATGGCTAGTGATTCTGCTCCAGTTCTATCGATTCCAAGACGCCCACTGGCTATCCATTCTACTGTACCTGGATGATCTATCTGACTGCCAAGTTTCTGCTCCTTGGGGTTTTCGTGTGGCATCATATTCCACACCCAACCATGAAGATTTTGTTCTGTGGCTTCAGACTTACATTCCTCATGATGCTCATGTTGGCCGCTCTCATCACATGTCTCAGGATGACCAAGGGAAACCTACCCGATGCGGAGACCACACCTCTACTGGCATCACAGGGAAGCCAAAACCAATCTTGTGAGCCACAAGGGATTCATGAACCTAGCACTAAAAATCACCTTCTAGCTGTTTTGATTTTCTTCAAGGTAAGCTTTATCTTCTGTAAGACGGCTTTCACTAAGCACCATTAGATAGACAATGTTTCATTTCTTTTGGCCATCTGGGAGACCAAGGTTCCAACTCCTCTATCTACCCATCAGGGGAAGCTTGGTTGCAGAGCAGGCAGTGAACATAATGATGCCCATCCAGCTTGGGCTGATGACAGATATGCTGGCGAAACCTAATGGTATTAGTACCCGATAATCATCTATCTAATGTTGGGATTATTCTGTATGTATTGCTGATGATCCAGAAGGAACTTTTCCTTGGGAGAAGGTGATGGCATTCATGTTGCTGCAGTGGCTTGTGTCTAGTTTACCAACACTCAGGGGGCTCTTATGGGCTCCCCTTGATAACTATTCATACCAGGAGATCAGCACCACAGCATTCAACCATATCATGTCCTTATCATGCGACTTTCATGACAAAAATGCTTTTACCGACCTTGGGACAACCATTATGCACGGCCGACTCTCTTATCATTACTATTAATTCCAATTATAGGAATCTTTGTTATTTTCTTCCTATTCTAATTATTATTTATTTTTTATTTGATGTGGCCAGCCACATATGTTTCTCCGTCATTCCAACCATCATGGACCTGGCCTTGGCTATTGGTATCTTATACTATCTCTTTGGCCCTTACATATCGTTGATCGTCTCAGCCGTGGCGGTGATATTTGCGTGGACATCTAGCAAGATTATTCGCCACCTGGGGAACAGACAGAGAGGTTGGAATTTGAAAAAAAGAGATGAGTTCACCTTCTTATTTGAATCCATTCAGCATTGGATAACATTGTCATATTTCAACCACATCCCGCATGAACAATCCCAGTTCCATTCAACTGTTCAAACTCAACTGAGATTTAAAACTATGTTGGGTTTATGGACCAGTATAGAAAGCACTGTTCAATCAACAACCCTTCTATTGGGGAATATGGCAGCCTGCATCATCATGGCGCACCAGGTTGCCTCGGGTGCCAAGCCAATTGGCCACTTTGTAATGTTGTTCCATTATTGGGTTCAACTCTCTGGCCCTATCCAGACGCTCGCGAACGGATTCGGGAGTATCATCAGGGACATAGTTGACACTGAAGCATTGATGGAAGTTCTGCGCCAGGAACCAACCATCACCAACAGCCCGGCCGCTTGATTTTAAGGGCGGTCAGATAGAGTTTACAAACATTCAATCCTCTTATGATGGCAGAGAGCCTGTGTTGAAAGATATGACCTTCAACATGCTCCCAAACCAGACTACGGCTATTGTTGGAAAATTGGGGGGAGGAAAATCAATGATTTTTAAGCTGCTCCTGCAATTTTATGATCTGAAAGCCGGGGCTATCTGCATTGATGGGCAGGACATCACCGGGGTTATGATTGAAAGTCTGCAAGCAACATTTGGGATTGTGCCCCAAACCAGCGAGCTCTTCAATGGCACTATCACAGAGAATATTCGCATTGCGAAACCTGATGCCACTGATGATGATGTTGCACATGCATGCGATGCTGCTGCCCTTCATGACACAGTCATGGGTTTCCCCGATCAATACAATACCATGGTAGGAGTAGGCGGGAAAAAGCTTTCCAGCAGTGAATTGCAGCGGGTTGCAATAGCACAAGCATTTATCAAAGACCCGAACATTGTTCTCCTGGATGAAGCCACTAGCAGCTTGGACAGCAAGACAGAAGCCCGCGTTCAACAGAGTTTGACGAAGCTTTGTGCCGGTCAGACTATGATGGTCATCGCGTAAGCCTTTCCCCGGCCTGACTTGCCGATGCTGCTAACTATTCCCACAGGCACCACCTTTCTACCATCGCAAAGGCTGACCAGATACTTGTAGTCAATGACAGCAAGATTATGGAAGAGGGTACACACTCGGAGCTTCTTGAACAGGGGGGCCATTATCACTATCTTTGCAATTTGCAAGGTGTTTTTACTTCAATCAAAGATGATTCATCAAGCACATGCTCGTAAGGCCGCTAAGAAAAGAGATTTCACAGTGTCTTTGTTGATGTTTGCCAAAAAAAAGGGGCCAGAATAGCGAGGTAGATTTGCTATAATGAATGTATGCAGCGATGGCGGGAGGTCCTGATTTCCTAAAGTGGCCTAGTGCCCCTTCACCATGCTAGTTCAGATACAGGGTCATCCTGGCGTTGTAAGGAGAACCTTTCACTGTGGTTAGTCTTTCACATCACCCTGTTTTCTTTACCCTCCCTTTCAACATCTTTTTCGGCGCGTCCCATGTCGTCCCTCCTTGCCTGGCGCCATGGCTGATCCTACAATTCTTTTTTCTCCGCGGCTCACGGCTGCCACAGCCAGACAACCCTCCACATTGCGCTGGCCATCTAATTTGATTGCTCTCATTCCCATGATGCTATACAGTTCCACTATGGTCTACCTTGACGATGGGTTGACTTCTGATCGGGCGACAGGCGGCTTTTCACAACACCACCAGCTCATCATGTCCGTGCTCTGAAGATGCGCAACTGCTTGCCCGATCAGCGGCCGTCCTGTCCTGTCCTGTCCTGCAAGCCTCTGCCGGTTCGGGCAGCAGGCGACAATTGAAGTGAAGAACACTGCCCCCGCGCGAGAGCAGACGATCGGACAGTCCAGGGGGCGAGGTAGAACAACCTGGCTGGACGGTCCGCCGCGGAGCCGGGAGGGGCGAAACCGAAGTGGGGCGGGGCGCCGGACGGGGAGGGCGGCATGCGACATGGGAGAGGGGAGAGAGAGAGGAAAAAGAGAAGAGGATGGCGTGGGAAGAAAAGAGACCGTAGCGGGCAGGCGCCGGGGCGCTAGGCCGGGTCGGGAAATGCGCAGGTCCTCACATTACATGGCACAAAGTGGCCCATCGAGTGAAAGACATTCACTTTAACGTTCAGTAAGCCTCAGCCCGTGCCGGAAATTATTTCTGCCCCACAAAAAAAAGGCCCTTTAATCCAGGCCAGCAACAAAAAGTCCCAGTTAAGTGAACAGGAGAAGGAAACAGAAGCAGGCACATGAGGAAAAGAAGTCAAATACAAGATGTTGGGTAACAAGACACAAATGGAATGAATTAGGAGTAGGTGGAAACGTATGGGTTGCAACCACGTCAATGCCAGGAAAATTAAACCAGGGGTGGCATGAGATCGTCCGTGCTTTCCAAATCCCTGATGAAGGGGAATCCTGTTGTTCCAGAAAAGTAGCACTGTCTCCTGATGAAGGCATGGTGGGCCAGCGCCCAGCAGCATTGGCCAAGCATGCTTCCCCATGCAGAGCAGATGCTCTGTGAGATATTGGTGTGTGGCTTTCAGCACACAATGGAACCCTGGGGAGCTTCAGGTGCATGGGGTTTCTTGGTATCACGCGGCATTATCTGGGAGAACATCAGATGAATCCTGGAGCTGTGAAAGGATGCCAGCCCTGAAGTATGAGTACAGGGTCTGAGGGGTGGTAGCACCACCTTCCTAACTCTTGGTGCCAGTCAGTTTCCCCTCGAGACATGGAGTGGGGAAGTAGATGATATTTTTTTGAGATTCGTCCGAGCGCGAGAACCCTGCCATATCCTGATTGGGTGCTGCTCGAGAGACGTGTCAGCTCGGGACTCGGTGGGGGAGGGCCAAGAGCATCCTCAGCTTAACATTGTAGGAAAGGAGCCTCATGCTAGGGTTGTCTGCTCGGAGGGGCCATATCTTTCCTACTCCTGTTATATAAAGTGATTGAACACTCTGAATTCAGAAGGATGGGATTTGCTTACTTAAACCATCAATACCAAGGAACCCACCAAACCAGTCCAAGTTCATCCTTCATCATATCATGACGGACCGACGTTCGTCTATTTCCTCCGAAGATTATAAAGATCCTATTGTTGAAGAGGGAAAGGTTGGGTTGAGAACGGACCTCAAAACTTTAAAGCAACTATCGTCATCGGCGGAGGCAGCAAAGGAAAACCGTGCGAAGGAGGCAAAAGCAAATTTGCTCATGGCAGTGAAACGAGATATTGTTAAAGAAGGTAGCAACCTGGGCGCAAGTGACAAAGAAATGGGAAAAGGAAAAGGGAATAGTGGGTAGCGGCATCAATGCCACTCGGGGTCAGTATTCATCTGAAAGAAATTGGGGAAAATAGAACCATGATGGCGGAGAAAGAGCTAAAGAAAAAGAGGTCTTTGTGCTAACACTTTTCAGGCTCCTCAAACGCCCCCCGGAGTTCCTTGTCGTATAGCTCTTTGTCCTTTACTCGGGAGGCAATGAATTGTCTTGCTTGCGGTCGCCAATATTTAGAAGTTATGAGAAAGAATTCCGTATTTTCGGCGTGGTCTTTTTCGTACAAGGTCTGAAGCCGGTTATAAAAGACGGAGTGCATTCCAGTTGGGCTTCGCAAGGCCATTGTATACCAGAATGTTCTTTTTTCCCAGGACTGTTGCATGACAAGCGCTCGCCGGATGTTGTAGCTTGCAGAATAATCTTTTTCCTCATTTTCAAATACATCCATAAACTCTTTCCGCCTCTCATCATATTCATCACCATCAATACAGTCAATTGCTTGACGAGTGAGCCAGCTGGGGGGTCCTATGAATTCTAACGGAATAGAGGCGGCCCATTCTAAATCAATGATAGATCTGATATTCCATTCCTTGTCGACCAAAATATTGCTCGGGTGAAGATCGGTCAAGGCAAAAACAAAAGGTCCATGATTCAGCCGACCACTAAAAAACTGGGGTCGTATGCACCTCATCAGAGCAAGTGCAGTCATCTGGGAAACGCAATCAGCTTCGTCATTGACGGCATTAGGTTGAAAGGCCAGGCGGTTATCGTGGCATAGGAGGAGAGAGTTGACGTATGCATCAACACTTGTAAATGTTCGATCCTTCGGCATTTCAACAGGAATGTGTTCATTCTCGAGGTCTTGCAGCATAATCGTAAGAGGGCGATTGGCAAGGCACAGAAAACCGTTGTCGTCAATAACAAATGACCCAATTTTAGGGAAAGAAACCCGGCTTAAGCAAAGCATTATCTTCGAAAGGCCACGGAAGAGATTCGTTCGTAGTGTTTTATCGGAGTCCTGGTCATCCCATACTGTTGAAAGCATATCCCATTTTTCGATATATTCGATGACCAAATATGGCGGTAGAGTGTTGGATAGGTTATTTTTATGTGGAACAAATTTTGTGGGAACTGGAAATCCAAGCAGAGAAGAACACCGATGAAGGAATTTATGATAAAGACGACGGAGGAATGGTAGCTGTTGAATATGTGTGAACTATTCCCATGTTAGACACACCATGTATGACTTTCGCAAGGATATGAAAAGCTTACGCGTTGACCAGTGGATAGACCGAACCCGTAAAGGTCTGGTATTGGCACCTCAGAACACTCTTGCCGCAGCCATGCATAAGCTCCAGCCTCGCACCTGACTTTCTCATCCCCATTGCCTGGGCATGGACGCTCACCAACTCGATAAGGGAGTGGAAATCGAATTATGACCCGGTTGAAACCCTCCACACTAACAGGAACGCAGAGATTGAAGCTCCCATTCATCCAATCGACCATATCTGCTGCGCGACACTTGCTTGACGGGATGCCTAAATGATGAGAGACCAGCTCCTCGACAAGGTCACGGTGAGCATTAATGTATCGGAAGAAGCGATTTCGCTGTGGCCAGTAGTCCAGCTGGTGAAGAATGTTCACATCTTTGTCTTTGGCCACAGAGTAAGTAATCTCCTCTCGAAGAAGCCGGCGTTTGACCAGCATAGCGCATTGGGTGATAGGCTGGAGGTATAAGGAGCAAAGGATTGTGGTTCTTGGTTGTCTCTGAAGTGAGAAAGGGGTTGAGCTGGGGAGCCAATGGGATGGCCTTGGAAACAGTCTGAAGTCACGTGGATCAGAAATGAGCTGCGCGCGCATCTTCGCCCTCTTCAGGCGCCGCCGTGAGCGTGGAGACGGAGGGGCGGGGCTCTTAGCAGTCCAACGAACTTCTATCAGGAATGGCATCAGTTCCACTACTCATTCGAGCTCATACCAGTCAAACGCAAGCTGTGTCGTGGCATCCCTCTACAGGCGTTCCAATAACATTAAGGGCTGCGGATTAAGGGAGACTAGATGTCGACTTGCCGAAAAGGGGGAGCGGAAGCTGAGCCAGTCTCAGCCTGGCCAGAGCCGCGCTTTGGAGCCAGCTTCCCCCGGAGACGGATGAAATGGACAAGGCGCTATTGTGAGGAACCCCACGACAGCCCGAAGTTGAACACGGTTACAGCCAGACTGGGACGGCAGAATTGATACGGGCTTGGAACCTGTCGATGGATTACCTCTCTGGAACTTGCTTGTTACTGAGTCACAACACTACGATCCAAATATATATTCTACACTATGGTGGGAACACTTCGCGGTGCCGGCATTTCGCCGGCTCCGGCTATTCAGGAAGAGATTTTCTATTGAAGAAATTTTCTGTTGAATCGGCCGGCGGGAGATTCCTCGTTTGTGTTCGCCAAATTATCCCCCCCCCCAGTTGTCGGACCGAAAGGTTCGGGGCGAGCCGTTCGTTGGGGAGGAATAATTTTAGCACCGTTCCGTCCGTTTGCCAAACCTCGATGACCGGAGGAATATGCCTCGGCCGCTATTCCACCTAGTCTATGGCCACATTGCTACTAAGGCCCTTTCACATTAGGGCTTGGAAATTGGTTTCTAGATGGCTTAGGAGTTTTGATTGCTCGGTTACTCCATTCTCTTTAGTCCTATACGGTTCAGTTTGTTGATATCTATATAATCCAGTAGGGGTTTCAAATATCCCGAACTTCAGCTTCTATAATAGAGATGTTGGGAGCACCTTGCTTCCTTTCCTAGCTCTTTTGATTGCTCATGCTCTAGACTGCATACATAAATGTATTGCTTGAAGAGAGAGAGAAGAAAGATGGTAGGCAAGTGTATGTATGATATATTCACAACATTTGTGTGTGATGCTAAGCCAAAAGGGGAATAGTGTGAAGGTCTCCTACATGGCATGCTATTGAGAGTTCAGTCTGAGAAGAGTAGAGAGGTTCAACCCTCTACATCTTCTGTCATCTCTTGTACAATATTTTATAGAATCTAAGATGTAATGACAAGACTGTGACTAGAGAGCTTGTTTATATAATTCAGAAGCTCTATCTTCTGTATATCAGAAAGCTTGTTCTTATATCAGGAGGTCACTTTATTCTGAGCAAGTTGCAAGTCTTTATGCTGTCAGCACAGGGTCTCTTGATTGACTGAGTACTTTCTCACAGTCACAGCATAATTGGGGTCTCTTGTGATTCAAGATCTTCAATTGCAAGCCTAATTGATGCATTGTTGACCATGTTGTGGCATATTGAATGTTGAACATTGGAGGAATTTTGGTGGTGGAACATTTGGCTTGTTTAGTGGTGTGGCTCATTTAAGTAAGTAAGTAAGTAGTGGTGAACTACCTTAACTACTCTGTAGAATCTTCAAATCCGAAGAGCCTTGTCCCCGTGAATAACAAGCAATATTCAATTCCAATAACCAACTAATTCCCTCGAGAACTGCGTTGGTTACTTCAAGCTCTCATCATGCACCTCCCATTCCTTAGCTCTGGTCCAAAGCCAGCCATGATAGGCGTATCAACCCTCAGCTCCAAGTCATTCGCACCCTATGGAACAGTGATCTCTCCCCCTTTGCCAAATGACCTGGTCGCTGCACCCTCTCATCTTCCCTCTTTGCCCTCGAAGCCCACGGAGCCAACCCTCGTTAATCAAGGGTATGCAATAAAATACAGTCCTGTCTCACCTATGGAAAACAGCTACGGCACCGGTGGGGAGGCTCGACAGCCAGCTTCACCGCGTATAAGTCTGTTCTCATGTTTCCCTCGGAAATTGCGGGAATCCGGAGATTCGTCCGCAAGGTTACTGTTTGATGTACGGGTCTTGGAGAGGCATCCATATACATCACAGACTTTTATTCCTCTTTCTACTAGTTCTCGAGGCCGTGGCAATGGATCGCGCGATGCGAGTACCAACAGCCCCTCTACGACAATACGTAACGATGCTATCTATTTGATCATTGTGGCGCCTAGTTTAACTGGCCAAACTGTTACGGCTACAGTAAAAGCGAAGGACGACCATGCAGACCTCGCTACCATACGGGATCCTCCGGATTTGTCAAATTTGCAGGCATTTATCGCAAAGCCCGGGGAGGCAATTACGTATGCAACCGGGACATGGCATGCTCCAATGGTGGTCTTGGGCGAGAAGAGGATCGATTTTGTTGTGATTCAATTTATGAATGGAGTCGAAGACGATGATTGTCAAATTGTTACTTTCGATGGAATTGCCGTGGGTATCCCAGACCCTGCCATTAACCAGAGAAGCCGGGCAAGGCTCTGATTCATGGCTTTCACCACCCCAATTAACGCAAATGATAATGGTTATTGGCGAGTTCTACTCGCGAAAGAAAGCTAAATGGCAGTGCCACATGTCTCTAGTGGCTTGTGATAATCCATAACCCTAGAAACGCCCGCTTCCAACACATTATCTTCTATTAAGACGTGAGCATGGTACTAAAAGAGCCAAAACCAGGTTGTAGGCGACAAGTGTCTGTCTGCGAGTAAAACCGATTTGGTCCATGGTTATTCGCAAGGTCTAGTATAGTAGGTTAATCCGGTATGCAAAGACAATCATATACATCGTTGAAGGCGAATTTTATCCCGTGGGAACATAGCGTCTTTAAGGCCTCTGACAACATGGGGCCGAAGAGTTTCTGGCAGAGTGGAGTCGTAACGATGGGTCTATCGCTTGTTTTCGACGGGACGGCGGGCTGCATCGTGTAAATATAATGCCCTGTGCCCACATCCGATAGACGTGGAAGCGATTAACTCCTCCAGAAACGACGAGCCGCTTCGAAGTTGCACGAAGGGTGTGGACGCGCACCACTTGTAGGAGCTAATCGCTGGCGATATGGTCTGTATGAAGCGGACGGAATGAAGGCGGAGAGGGTGTCGCTTCATGATTTGACCGACACTATTGCGCTCCTTTCGCGTTCTCTAGCCTCTGGTTGTGACGACATCAGCGATATGTCGTTCAATACTGCCTCCGCTACATCTATAACACTCTGCGGCACACCGGCAAGGCGGGCAACCTTGAGAGCATGGGAGTTCCGGTTCACGCCTCGTTGCAGCTTATGGATGAATGAAAATGATCCATCCGTGTCCTCAACGATGCTCGTGCAATAGCGGCCCAAATTTCCAAAATTAGAAGTCATCTCCGCCAAAGAATGGAAGTGCGTTGCGAACAGCGTGCGGCACTTGCTTACATCATGCAAATGTTGGAGGCATGCAAATCCTATGGCGATGCCGTCTTCGGGTGCTGTTCCTCGACCCACTTCATCCATTATCACAAATGACCGTCGCGAAGCATGTTTTAGAATCGCAGCAGTCTCAAGCATTTCAACCATAAAGGTGGACTGATCACGAAAGAGGTCGTCAGCAGCACCAATACGACTAAAGATCTGGTCAACCATCCCAAGTTCTGCATATTCAGCAGGTACAAAGGAGCCGACTTGAGCGAGAATAGTTATCAATGCATTTTGCCGTAAAAATGTGCTTTTCCCGGCCATATTTGGACCCGTAATGAGCCATATCCTCTCCTGTCCGCCTATGAAACAGTCGTTGTTCACAAATGGCCTCCCTTTCTCTTCGAGTCCAAGCTTAACGGTAGGGTGTCGTCCCCCAATAATTTTATGGGAATACCCCATATTCAAAATTGGTCGAGTCAGCCGCTGTTCTCGAGCTAATGAAGCGAACGAGCATGCCACGTCGAGCTCGTCTAAGACTGCCGCGTTCCGGCGCAATTTGACTAGGTTGCGAATGACATCCTCTCGCAAGCTTTTGAAAATTCGCTGCTCCTCAGAACGAATTTGTAGCTTCATTTCATCGATCCGAGCACCAAGCTTCGTCCAAGACGGCAAATGGAATGAGCGCGTCGATTTTGAAGATGAAACGGTGCGATGAACTCCAAGAACATCAAGAGATTGTGCCATGGCCTTTGAGCCTTTCATATGCACGATGTGACCTAAACCAGGAGTCCATTTTAGACATAAGCTAGCTGTTTTTGAGTCCTTACGCAATCTATCCGTTAACGATGCCTTCTCCGCATATAGTGACTCTAAAGACTTGTGTAGCCTTTGCAAGGTGACACTTGCATCACGCTGCATAATCCAAGAATTTTGTTCATCAGCTTCTGAATCACTTAGATCCTTGGACTTGCCTGTTCTCTGGGACTTGACCCTCTTGGGCATAGATTCTAGATCCTCAGGTGAGCCCTCGTTTGCAATAACTTCGTGAGCAAGAGCTGCCGCATCTGCGGCATCCTCTTCCTCCATGCGCTGCTTCCGTAACAAAGCCTCCTCGTCAATAGTCTGTAGTATTCGTTTTGATAGGGCTTCCGGGCCATGCATGGTAAGCCGCTCGACCATTGAGTACAGGGTTCTGCGAGGCGTGGAACCCACTTTTTCCGCCTGCTTATTATTTTCCAACCGTTCCAGTATGACAGACCTTATTCGGCTTGATGCATCGATAGCCCTTGATAAGCATAAGATATCATCTGCGTCTGCCCTCCCTAACGAAAATTTTTGCACGAGCCTTTGAGCGTCATAACTTCGTTTCAAAAGGCTAGTAATACTTTCTTCCAACTCGATGTCTTCAATAAATTCGGATACAAGATCCAAACGCTCGTTAATAACCGGCAAGGACGCCGAAGGCGAAGCTAGGCAATTTGTTCAATACGCACGTGCAATATAACGTTTGGGTAGATGTATGAATACGTACTTAACCTATCTCTGAGGAGCCGAGCGCCACTCTTGGTTGACGTTCTTCGGACGGCGTGTAAAAGGCTCCCTTTTCCTAACCCATCGCGAGCAGTTTCTAGTATTTCGAGCCCTTTAAGGCTGTTTCGATCGATAGCCATTGTCTCCTCTAGATGCTTGCGACGCGGTGCCTGTAGCTTCACTCCCACCCCTTGCATCTGAACCTGAACATATTCCAAGAGTATATGACAAGCTGCTGTTTCTTCCACAGTGAAGGTTGCCGCCAATTCACGTGGAATTGGAGTTTCAAAGCATTCACTCCAGTCGGACATGGGTTTAATATCTTGTGAGCGGAAGCATGTAAGAAGACGATGATCCTGCCCTACTAAATTTTGCATTTCTTGCTTGAGGGAATCATTGAGTCGTTCGTCAAGTATTATCTCTTTGGCGCCAATCCTGGAGAGCGCCGATGGTAGCATCAGCCGGGTTGTATACTGAGTGAAAAAGTCGCCTGTCGACAGATCCAGCCATGACAGGCCAACAGGGTGGGAATGGCTTGAGCTGAAGAGCTGGTCGGGGGAAGGTCTTGCCATAGCTTTTGTCTCCTTCTGCATATCACTAGTGTTGACATATAAAGCAAGAAGAAAGTTGTTCTCATAATGATCCATGAATTTTTCATCAATAAGAGTCCCAGGGGTTACAATTCTGGCGACCTTCCGGTCAAACATCAAGCCACCTGACTTGGCCTTTTCTGTTATGTTGTTTGTAAATTCCTCACTTATTGCGACGTACTTTTGCAGATCCTGAACTAGAATTTTGAGGAAACGGTCAAGTTGGTAAAAAGGAAATCCGGCCATTGGCACAGACCCTCCGCTTGTCTTCTTGCATGCAAGTTTCAGGTTAAGGAGAGGCGCAAACTCTTCTGCTTGCTCCAAATATAGCTGCACACCATATTAGATATGTATTTGGGAAGTGAGAAGATAGAGGTTGAACTGCTTGCCTCATAGAAGCCTCCCACACGTGTCAACAAAACACAGTTTTTGAACTTCAGCATATTATTTTTCGCGCCCTGAATGACGGAAGGGTATTGAGGAGAGTCATTCGTCGCTGTCAACGGGGGCTCAAGTGATCCCAGGCGACCCTGAGCGAGGTCCTTGAGCTTTATGGAGGCTTTCGTCTTCGCCCCTCGGCATGATGACTGGCGGATGACACTTCGGCTAAACACTTCGTGTCCGGACAAGGCGCAAAAGGTGCTAGTAGGGGAATGCCGGAAAGGCGGCACTCTCAACGTTCGGGCATTGCGCACGATAGCCCTCATCATCCCCTGAAAACGCTGGTGTGAGCGGGTGAAATCCTGGCCCAGCTCAGACGCGAGCGAACGCGTTCTTTGGGCGAAGTGGATGCGCTTGATTGATTTTGCTTATGTAACTAAAACACACTGACTGACTGGGTTAACTACCAAACTCGTTACCCAGGCCCTGAGCTGGGGAAGTTCATAGGGCGAACTCGCGAACTTAGCTGACTAGCGCGTTATTGCCACATTTTTCCGCCTTCGCCCTAAAAGCAAATTGCTTCGACTCAAGCCGGTGCAGTCCCGTCGATAACCTACCTGCTTTTCTTGACTTCCTCCACCGCTGGCTTGCGAGTGCATAAAACAGCGGATGGATGATCTTTCTTTCTAATAAAACGAACCTATGTGGAGATTAATATCCCCCAGTTAATCTCAGCTTGTCCTTTGAGAAACCCATCGTCAGACGACCGCGAGGATGGCGGACCCAAACAATGTGTCGCAATACAAATATTCGGCGATGTCCAACCTGGTCCTCCAGGCGGATAGACGCTTTGTCACTCGCCGAACAGATGAAGTTACGGGTGACCCGGAATCACTTGCCGGCCGGATTAGCATCAGGGACATGGGAACGCACTCTGCGCTTTCAGAAGCTCCGAAGCCTAAAAAGCAGATTGGTCTGAAGGACGTCGAACGTGGCTCTATTCGAGAAGGCGAAGATGTCTTACAAAGGGAACAGAAGAAAAGAAAGCGAGGGGACCAAGCTCAACTGCGTGGAGTGGGCATTTTATCTGCTGCCGACGCTCTTGTCGAGGGTCTTAAGTATAGACCTAGGACTCTGGCCACTCGAGAGACCTACAACCTTATTCTTACGATGACTGCCAATAGTCTTGGGGATGTCCCACACGAGGTTGTTCGAAGCGCTGCTGACGCCATATTGGAGGTGCTTAAGGACGACAATATGAAGGATTTCGACAAGAAAAAGGAGATTGACGACCTCGTGGGCGTGTCTATGGGGCCCAAGGAGTTTAATGAGCTAGTAAACTTGGGCAAAAAGATAACCGATTATGACGCGCACGACGAAGAGGAAAACAGAACGGCTCTTGAGGGTGCCGAGGATGGTGAGGAATTGGATGAGCGCCAAGGTGTTGCTGTGGTGTTTGATGAGTCGGACGAAGAAGAAGAAGGCCTCAGAGCGGATTTAGAAGTGCGAGATGATGTCGATATTTGCGAGGGAGAAGAAGCCTCTGACCAAGAGGATCGACCAGATACGACCGTCTCCACAGCCGACAGGACACCTGATGGAATAAGTTCTGCGGATGACCAGATGGTTTTAGATGGAGATAACGAGCTATCGTCGGGAACTAAGGCTGACATCACGACGAAGTTAGTCCCCGTTCGGGAGATCGATGCGTACTGGCTTCAACGACAGATCGGCTCCGTATATGCTGATGCCCACATACAACACGAGAAATCTCAAGAAGCTTTTAGAATCATGAGTGAATTATCGGAAGACGGGACAGAAAAACCGTTACGAGAAGTTGAGAACGATTTGATGGATCTTTTTGATTATGAACACCCAAATCTGGTGGCGAAGCTAGTCGTCAATCGGGACAGGGTAGTATGGATAACTAAATGGAGAAGAGTTGCGGAAGATACCGATGCTAGAAAGCTTGTCGAAAGAGACATGATTGAAGCTGGCCATCGTTCCATTTTTAACGAACTACGAGGGAAAGATGAAGATGGATCCGAACGAGCCGCAAAGAAGATGAAGGTTGACCTAATGGATGTTGATATACCAACAGGCGCCGAAGATGTTAAGCCCAAACAGGAGGATGCCATGTTGATGGGCGGGCTGCAACCTCGGAAATTAATTAACCTCGAAGATCTAGCTTTTGACCAGGGCAACCATCTGATGACAAACCCGAATGTAAAGCTTCCTCAAGGCTCAACAAAGCGAACCTTTAAAGGATACGAGGAGATTCATGTTCCTGCCCCCAAGGCAAGGAGAGAACCAGGGGATGAGCCGAATATTCCAACCTCGGAGCTTCCTGAGTGGGCCAGGATTGGCTTTGGAAGCGCCAGACAGTTAAACCGCATTCAAACGAAGTGTTTCCCTACGGCATTCCACGGAGATGGAAATATGCTCGTTTGCGCCCCAACAGGTTCCGGAAAGACGAACGTCGCTATGCTTGCAATGTTACGTGAAATTGGCAAAAACCGAAATCAGGATACGGGTGAAATCATGCTTGACGATTTTAAAATCGTCTACATTGCACCTTTAAAGGCCTTGGTTCAAGAACAAGTCGGCAATTTTGGAAAGAGGTTGGAACCTTATGGTATAAAGGTTTCCGAACTCACAGGAGATCGCCAACTGACAAAACAACAAATTGCGGAGACTCAAGTTATCGTTACGACGCCAGAAAAGTGGGATATTGTCACGCGAAAGGCCACGGATACAAGCTACACGAGGCTTGTGCGACTGGTAATCATCGATGAAATCCACTTACTTCACGATGACAGAGGCCCAGTTCTGGAGAGTATAGTCAGCAGGACAATTCGGCGGACTGAACAGACTGGAGATCCAGTTCGTCTTGTTGGACTCAGCGCTACGTTACCAAACTACCGTGATGTCGGCAGTTTTCTCCGCGTTGATCCTATCAGTGGTCTTTTTCATTTTGATGGCTCCTATAGGCCATGTCCATTAAAGCAAGAATTCATTGGGGTGACCGAGAAAAAGGCCATTAAGCAACTGAAGACTATGAACGATGTTTGCTATAACAAAGTCCTTGAACAGGTTGGAACAAACAAAAACCAAATGTTAATATTCGTCCACTCGAGAAAAGATACTGCAAAGACCGCCAGGTATATACGGGATAAAGCTGTTGAAATGGAAACCATTGGGCAGATTTTGCGCAGCGATGCGGCAAGCAGGGCTATCTTAGCAGAGGAAGCCGAAAGCGTGAACGACCCGTCACTGAAAGACTTGATGCCGTACGGGTTTGGCATTCATCATGCCGGTATGAGTAAGGTGGACAGAACTTCCGTTGAGGATCTCTTCGCAGATGGCAGCTTGCAGGTTCTTGTGTGTACTGCAACATTGGCGTGGGGTGTTAACCTTCCAGCCCATACTGTCATCATTAAAGGAACTCAAGTTTACTCACCAGAGAAGGGAAGCTGGGTTGAATTAAGCCCTCAAGATGTCCTACAGATGCTAGGGAGAGCGGGCCGACCACAGTACGACTCGTTCGGTGAAGGCATCATCATCACAACACAGGGAGAGTTACAATATTACCTGTCACTGCTAAATCAGCAACTACCGATCGAAAGTCAGCTGATGAGCAAACTTGCGGATAATTTGAACGCAGAAGTTGTGCTGGGAAATGTCCGTAGCCGCGACGAGGGCGTTGAATGGCTGGGATATACTTACTTATTCGTAAGAATGCTGCGCTCTCCAGGCCTCTATAGCGTCGGCGCGGACTATGAGGGTGATGCAGCCCTTGAGCAAAGGCGCGTCGATTTAGTACATTCGGCAGCCACTGTGCTCGGGAATGCCGGTCTCGTCAAATACGACAAGCAAAGCGGAAAGCTTCAGTCTACGGAACTCGGCCGGATTGCCTCTCATTATTATATAACACACAACTCAATGCTTACCTATAACCGTCACCTCCAATCGATGATATCAACCATTGACCTCTTCCGTATATTCTCTTTAAGCGACGAGTTCAAGTATATTCCAGTTCGCCAAGACGAGAAGCTAGAGCTGGCAAAGTTGCTGGGTCGCGTCCCTATTCCGGTAAAGGAGGGTATCGAAGAGCCACACGCAAAAATCAATGTTTTGTTGCAAGCTTTCATTTCTCGTTTGAAACTTGAAGGCCTCGCTCTCATGGCGGACATGGTTTACGTCACGCAATCTGCTGGTCGCATTCTTCGAGCAATATTCGAGATAACTCTTAGGAAAGGCTGGTCGTCCGTCGCGAAAACGGCTCTCGATCTGTGCAAAATGGCAGAGAAACGGATGTGGCCAACAATGTCTCCTCTTCGCCAGTTCCCAACTTGTCCTCGTGAAATCATTCAGAAAGCTGAGCGAATTGACGTCCCGTGGTCAAGCTATTTCGATCTTGATCCTCCTCGGATGGGGGAGTTACTTGGCATGCCCAAGGCCGGCCGAACAGTATGTGACCTAGTTGCAAAATTCCCTCGCCTGGACATGCAAGCTCAGGTGCAGCCAATGACGCGTTCCATGCTTCGTGTTGAGCTTACGATAACGCCAAACTTTGTCTGGGACGATTTACTACATGGTAACGCTGAGAGCTTTTGGATTATCGTTGAAGATTGCGATGGAGAAGACATACTATTCTACGATCAATTTGTGCTTCGAAGGGAATTTGCGACCGGGGAGATGAATGAACATCTAGTGGAGTTTACTGTGCCCATAACTGAGCCAATGCCTCCGAACTATTTTATCTCGCTGTCTTCCGATCGTTGGATGCATTCAGAAACTAAAATTGCCGTGGCTTTCCAAAAGCTGATTCTTCCCGAAAGATTCCCCCCCCATACTCCGCTGTTGGATATGCAACGAGTGCCGATCAAAGCCCTAAAACGACCGGAGTATCAGGCCTTGTACCCGAATTGGGAGCATTTCAACAAGGTTCAGACTCAAGTCTTCAAGTCACTATTTGACTCTGACGACAATGTATTCGTCGGGGCACCCACGGGTAGCGGGAAAACGGTGTGCGCTGAATTTGCTTTGCTTCGCCATTGGGCGAACCCCGGTGCTGGAAAAGCGGTTTACATTGCTCCTTTCCAGGAGTTAGTTGATCAACGTCTCGTTGACTGGCAAGGTAGACTCAAAAGTATCAGCGGCGGCAAGGTGATTTCAAAACTTATCGGGGAGACTACGGCGGATCTTAGAATCCTCGATCGCGCAGACCTTGTCCTGGCCACACCTATTCAATGGGATGTGGTTTCACGGCTATGGCAGCGCCGAAAAAATGTCCAAGCCGTCGAATTACTTATTGCAGATGAGTTACATATGTTAGGTGGCCAAGGCGGTTACGTATATGAAGTGGTGGTTTCCCGAATGCACTACATCGCCCTCCAGACAGAAAGTAACCTTCGTATTGTTGGTTTAAGTGTCCCGCTGTCGAATGCGCGCGACCTCGGGGAGTGGCTGGGAGCTAAAAAGCACACTATTTACAATTTCAGCCCCCATGCCAGGCCAGTGCCTCTTGAGCTACATCTCCAGTCTTTCACTATCCCCCATTTTCCGTCGCTTATGCTTGCGATGGCAAGGCCTGCCTATTCGTCTATTCTGCAGCTGTCTCCCTCCAAACCTGCGTTGGTGTTCGTTCCTACTCGCAAACAAACTCGCTCAACGGCTTTAGATTTAGTGGCTGCTTGTATCGCGGATGATGCTGAGGATCGGTTTCTCCATACCGAAATTGAGCAAATTGCACCCCTACTCGAACGTATTGACGAGCGGGCCTTGGCAGAGTCTTTGTCTCACGGTATTGGTTATTACCATGAGGCACTTAGCAAAAGCGATAAGCGTATCGTTTCTCATCTGTTCAACATTGGCGCAATCCAGGTCATGCTAGCCTCGCGGGATGTGTGCTGGGAAATCGAATTCACAGCCCACCTTGTCATCATAATGAATACTCAGTTCTTTGATGGCCGAGAGCATAGATATATCGACTATCCAGTTAGCGAAATCCTTCAAATGTTTGGAAGGGCTTCCCGTCCGTTGGATGATAGGAGCGGGAAAGGCGTGCTGATGGTCCCTGCGGTAAGGCGGGATTACTATAAAAAGTTTCTCAATGAAGCTCTGCCAATGGAAAGTCACTTACAAATCTATCTACACGATGCCTTTGTGACAGAGATTAGCACGAAGACTATCACTTCTACCCAGGATGCCGTGGATTGGATGACCTATACCTACTTTTATCGACGTCTCTTGGCAAATCCGAGCTATTACGGGCTAAGTGACCTGAGCCATGAAGGCCTTAGCGCGTTTTTGTCCGAGCTTGTGGAAAATACATTGAAGGAACTTGCAGAAGCGAGGATTATCGATCTAGATGAGGAGGACGACACGGTGTCGCCCCTTAACGCGGCTATGATCGCTGCATATTACAATATCTCTTTCATCACGATGCAAACTTTCCTCCTTTCCTTGACTGCGCGAACGAAACTTAAAGGGATCCTCGAAATTGTTACGTCTGCCACCGAATTCGAGAGTATCCAGGTGCGGCGGCATGAAGAGCATATTCTCCGTCGCATATACGATCGTGTTCCGGTGAAAATGTCTGAGCCAACTTATGACTCGCCTCATTTCAAGGCGTTTGTCCTATTGCAAGCGCATTTCTCACGAATGCAGCTTCCTATAGATCTAGGAAGAGACCTGGAGGTCATCTTAGACAAAGTTCTTAATCTTCTTAGTGCCTGCGTCGACGTACTCTCTTCTGAAGGTCATTTGAATGCCATGAACGCCATGGAAATGTCTCAGATGGTCGTGCAAGCAATGTGGGACAGAGACAGCCCATTGAAGCAAATTCCACACTTTGGCCCCGAGGCGATCAAAGTCGCCAACGAGTTCAAGTATAGCTACCCCTTCCAGTTCCCTGATAGTTCATCAGTAACTAACTATGGCCCTTCACGCAGGATCCGAGACATTTTCGAGTTCATGGAAGCCATGGACCCAACAGAGAATAAGGACTATGCTTCTTTAATCAAGCGCCTTGGGCTTGATAACAAGCAACTTGCCCAGGTCGCGGCATTCACAAATGACAAATATCCAAGCATCGATTTAGATTTCACACTCTTGGATGAGGATAGCATCGTTGCCGGGGAGCCAGCGTATATAAAGGTCAAATTGGAGCGGGAAACGGACGAAGAAGAACCCGATACTACGGTTTCAGCGCCATTCTATCCCGGAAAGAAAGCAGAAAATTGGTGGCTGCTGGTTGGTGAAGAGAAGACAAGTAGTCTGCTTGCCATCAAACGAGTGACTGTTGGGAAGAAATTGGAGATCAAGCTAGAATACATCGTGCCTAGTCCCGGAGAGCACGAACTCACTCTTTATCTGATGAGCGACAGCTATGTTGGTGTCGATCAGGATCCAACTTTTAAAATAACTGCTGCGGAGGGAATGGATGAGGACGAGGAAGATGAAGAAGATGACTAGGGCCGCTCTATGCAAGCATTTCTATGATTTCAATCCTAGACTGTATTATGACCTTCGGGGACCCGCATGAAATCTCTGGGCGGAGTTCAATGGCTCAATTGTTTTAATGGATGTCTTAATTTTGTTTCTATCATTTTTGGATACACCGATAGCTACAAGCAGTAAGTCATAATACGTTTGTGGTTGGTTGCTAGGACATCGTGGATCCCAGCGGTTTTTCTTTTTTCAAGGATCAGATAGATACGCAATGCACACAGTATGTAACCATGTGGTTATCCTGGCTTCTGATCATCCGGATACATACGGAGTACTCTGGAGTGCCTACGAAGATCATACGGAATCCAGACCCTACCATGTGAAGTTGCAAAGTAACCGCTAGCTGGTGGTTACTTAAACCGCGCCAGCCCCCTCCCAAGGTACCTTGGACTTGGGGAGGGGTGAGTTGAGTAGCTACTCCATGTGTCTCAAGAACAAACCCCATCCAACTCAGTAACTAGTTACATGGTCAGAGATTGCTCCATTCACTAATTGGTTAGGTCCATCTTGTTCCTCCATAGTTAAAGAGAGTACTCCGTACTTCCGCCTGAAATCTCAATCGTCCTGCCGCCATGACCATCCGCCCCGCCATATTCACGCCAGAGTAATCACCACTGCATATCCGCCTTAACACACTGTCTTTATGGTAGGCCACAAAGCTAATGGGTTAATCATAGCGTCCTCTTGAGCGCTCCCCGTCGCTCGGCCGCCATTCCCAACGCGTCTGGGACCTTGGTCGCATACACCCAGACCAAGTATTCATTCGATTCGCATTCGAGCTCCTCCGAGCTCCGCGTCTTGGACGTGGCGTCAAGAGTGTCGGCTCTCATCACAGATGATTTTAAAGGCGAGCCTCAATGGCTCGGTGATGGTGACCAGCTAGTTTGGCTGAGAGGAAGAGAGAATGGCAACACAAGCATTGTCATTGGCAGTGCTCGGAACGAGAAACCATACGTCGCAGGAGTGGTGCCAGGGCCTGTTGACAACCTCAAGATTACACAGCTTTCGCCAAGTGAATTCGGGTTTGCCGTCTCTGGTAAAGCTAACCCGGACGGCTCGCTCTACAACCCTTCTGATGTCAAAGCGCCATTCAGTTCGGGGAAACTATATACCTCGCTCTTCGTGCGGCACTGGGATGAATATATATCCCCTCAGAGGAATGCAATTTGGCTTGGAGTTTTACAGCGGCTACCCGTGGGGAACAGCTCGGCCTTTCAGTCGTCTGGTCTCGTAAACTTGTTTCTGCTTGCAGGATTGAATAACGTCGAATCGCCGATCCCACCATTTGGTGGAACGGACCACTTTGACATCTGCAACCGAGGAGTCGTGTTTATCTCTAAAGACCCGAAGTTGAACCCGGCTACCCATACGAAATGCGTTTGCTATTATTGTCCATTGTCATCATGGACCAACCCCATGCCATTGAAAGCGAGGACGATCAACATACCGTGGCTTAACGGAGCTTTGGCTAGTCCTGTGATCTCTCCCGTTAACAATACCCTGGCCTTCTTAGCAATGAAAATGGATGGATATGAGGCAGATAAAAACAGGATCATTTTGGTCCGTGGCTTATTTGACGGTTCTTCCGACGCTGTTGAACTATTCGCAGGCGCAGATGGCACTGGCCAGTGGGACCGGAGCCCAGGCTCTCTGACATGGGCCCACGATGACTCGTCCCTTTTTATGCAGGTGCCGGATACTGGGCGCCAGGTGGTGTTTCAACTGCCGCTCAACAGGTCAAGATTGTCGTCGGTCGACCACCTTATCAAACTTACCCACTCCGGTTCTATTTCGAAGGTTGTGTCCAGGCCCTGTGGACTTTTTCTCTCCAGTAGTAGCCTAGTCGAAAGTAGCCTCTACTCCATAATAACATTTTCTGACTCAGTCAGAACAACCGTGCTTTCCTCGAGTTCAAAAAACGGTGCTTCGTTTGGGTTGTCCGAGTCTCAGATAGACGAAGTATGGTGGAAAGGCGCGCGTGGCCGGGACGTTCACGGATGGATTGTGAAACCGTCCAAATTCAACCCTGGAGAGAAATATCCTCTTTGTTTTCTTGTCCACGGTGGCCCACAGTCAGCGTGGCTGGACCAGTGGAGTACACGCTGGAACCCACTGGTGTTCGCGGAGCAAGGCTATGTAGTATTCACGCCTAATCCAACTGGTAGTACCAGTTACGGACAAGCATTCACCGACGATATTCGGGGGTCATGGGGAGGCCATCCCTATGAGGATCTTGTGAGAGGATTTGAATTCATTGAACAAAATCTTGCCTATGTGGACACAAGCCGAGCCGTCGCGTTAGGAGCGTCATACGGCGGCTTCATGATGAATTGGATCCAAGGCCACGAACTCGGGCGCAAATTCAAGGCTCTTGTCACTCATGATGGTATTTTCAGCACAAAATTTGCGCTAGCCACTGAAGAGTTGTATTTCCCAATTCATGATTTGAAAGGGACGTATTGGCAATCTCGCGATGTCTGGGGGCGTTGGGATCCGTCCGAGTTTGTGCCCAACTGGCAAACACCGCATCTTGTCATTCACAGTGCTCTGGATTATCGTTTGTCTATTGCGGAGGGCCTGGCTACTTTCAATGCCTTGCAGATGCAGGGAGTAGAAAGCGCCTTTCTCACATTTCCAGACGAGAACCACTGGGTATTGAAGCCCGAGAATTCCCTGGTTTGGCATCGAACAGTCATCAACTGGATCAACAAGTACGCTGGATTGGCACCATGGCTTGATAAGAATGGCTCGGATGGGTTTCCGGCCGAAGACGAGGACCAAAAATTGGCACGGGGTACGACTCGAATTTCCATGACCTGAACCACAGTAAACTGCAAGTTGTTTACCGGCTTTGAACCGTTTGAACCGGCTTGATTTCAGCCCAGGCAGGCTTTCTCTGGTCTACCACTTCAGCTCGCTGCTTAGAGCTTTTTAAGTTATGATCCTATCTACTATCCCATGCATATGTCATGTGCATTAAACTAGTAACAAGGCGTATTTTGTGAAAAGATTGCTTCTTTTGTTACTCTCCCTCACTGGTCTCACTAAGCTAAATAAATAGAAGCTCATGGTGCTTCTACTCGCGTATACCCCGACACACCCATATCTTTATACCACAGGTGAGCCACGAAGAAGCCCATCCAATAAAACTGAATCCAAAAGCTATCATAATCCTGGACGCGTCGGGGTCAACTATTAGCATACGCGCTACACCCGGTGGAAAATGGTCCGTTGACCTGGGGCATAATCACGAAAGGTCGCTGCAAGTCTTTAGGTAGCCCAGAAGATGGCCTCATCCTCGTACGTTAGTTAACTAGGAGGCTGAGCTATAGTCGTCTATAGCACCAGTGCACATAGCGTGTACAAGTATCTTCCAAAATACACGAAAATCAATCAAGTCGCAGGGCGAAACAGATACGTGTATATGTCTGAGAGGTCAGTCAACCCGGGTAAAAGGAAACGTAGTCACATCAAGTATACATATATAAATTTAATTGAGGGTCGGGAAAGCAGCCAGTGCTATGACGCCGAGTCACCAATTTAAAAGAGAAGTCGTTCCAAAAGCCTATTCAAACAGTTCCGGCAGACAAACGCCTCGTAACTCCAAACACAGTGGAGGAAAAGAAAAAGGTCCCAAATTCCGGAAGTACACGATCACACTCCGGTACTGCCAGGAAGCGCCTGAATAGTCTGCTGTATGATTTCGATTAGCTCATCGATATCTGGTCGTTCAGAGGGTTCTACACGTAAACAACGCCGGACTACTTCTTTCACCTCCCGGCTAATGGCGCTTCTCTCCCTTGTTGACTCGTCCGATGCTCCGTTCGCTGGGGACACTTTGCTTTTCCCTTGGACAGTGCCTGTCTTCTCGTCCGGGAATCTCCAATCTCCGCCCAGAATACACATACTAAGGCTGCCCCCTGTTTCGTCACTGCGTGCCTCGAAAGGGCTTTTCCCGACAAGGCAAGCATATAATGTACAGCCGAATGACCATATATCCGCTTTGGTATCGATAATAGAGCCAGTCTTGACGTCAAATAGCTCAGGCGCGCGATAAGGTATGGTGCTATGTTCGGCAGCCGTGTCCTGGACAGCAATGGCGAGAGATCGAGAGGTGATCGCGATTGGGCTGGGAGCCATTGAACCCAAATCCATGAGAATGGGGGTCTTACCATCGTCGTCAAGCATAATGTTTCCTGAACGGAGGACGCGAGGAGTCAGTATCCCACATGATGAGTTGATGACTTGGAACATACCTGGCTTGATGTCGCGATGGGCATACGGCCGATAGTCACCTTCTTCCATTCCTTCCTGGCTCCTGGTGACCTCGCCGTCCATAAGTGGCTCCTGTTCTATATCTTCATCATCTATCTGGCTTCCTTTTCTCATTTGCTTCCTTCTTGGTGCGTCCGCCGCTTTTCCTTCTTGCCTAACAAGCTTCGCCTTCTTGGCCGGTGTTGCACCGCTGTTAATCCGATACTGATGCATACCCTTCAGGGCCTTGGCCACACCCAGCATTATGATCATGAGTTCCTTCTCGGGGAACTGAGTATGGTTAACAATGTTTGCATTGATGGCATCCTGAAGGTTTCCATTTTGGTAATATGGCAGAAGAATGTAGACCGTTTTAGACCCTGCATCCCCTCCATCTGAACGGAATTTCGACCCTGACTCGGTCGCAACGCAATGGTCAATAGAGTGAATGATATTACTATTGTCGACGAATAACGTATAGGCTTCGACTTCTTTCAGAGCCTGGGATACCGATTCTTGGCCGAAAGGGCACCTGATCTTTTTAAGGGCGAAGAGCTCCGATGTGCTCTTGTCCTGGACGAGGTAAACATAGGAAAATCCACCCTAGCCTCTCGTCAGCAAATATGAAAGCGGAAAAAAGTTGCGCTTAATCCTAGGTAACATAGTTTTGCGGCAAACGTACCTCGCCGAGTAAACGTAGAAGCTTGAAACTCCGGTTATTGATCTTCAGCTGCGGGGAGCTCGGAAAGCAGGACATGCAATCGGTGAAGGTATAAAGGAGGTCGTAGAAGTATTGGGCCATCTTGAGCAAGGTCGTATGGGAGGTACATCCAAGGGAGCGGTTTGACAATCGATCTGGCGGAGCTCTTAAGGACTCCGGAACCGTGAAGGATTGTAAAAGCGGGTGTCGCGGAAGGGCCGGCCGGATGGTAAAAGCGACTGAGGTCAATGATCAAATCAGTCAGAGGAAATAACAATCGGCGTCTCTTCTCACTTCATATCCGAGACGAAGGATATCGAGAGAGCCGCAGGGGATGACGGAAGCGTGGCTGAGGGTGCAACGGCCGAGTCCGCCGATGATGGCGACCCGGGCTGAAAATGCACGAGATTCAACCGACGACCCCCCCGAATCCGAGCTGTAAAGTCAGTTGAAACAAGGAGATGTGACAGACAGCACGTCGTGGTGAGGAGGGTTGCGGCAAAAGGCCATCTGGTTGTTTAACTAGTTGGCCAACCTCTCCCGTAACTAACTCCGTACTCACTCGTAAAATTAGTTTTAGTTAGCCATGGATTTTAGTTAGTTAACCAACCTTGACGTCCTCCATACTAGTTATTCCATTATGTATTTGGATGACCAAATATTTTTCGCCGACCCAGGGTTCAGGGGCAACTCCTCCAACCCAATGGTTTGTGTTTATTTACTCTTATAAGGTCCCCTGTTGATATTTATTGAACAGCCAGCATTTCACTGAAGAGTTGTTTGACCTTTTGCCTGCTGGACAGACCAGTTCCCGATGGTTGGGTGTATCCCTTGCTCAGCAATAAAAAAAAAAGTTCTCCCGCTTCTTTACCTTTCTCTCAGGCAATGCCAATGCCCGCATTAACTGCATCAACTATGACTGTTATGAGTTGCATTACTGTTAAGTCCACACTAGTTTAAATACCAAAACTGTCATATAGAGTGAGTACGATTTTCTCCTTGTTCCGACGCCCCTTGGTTGTCTCTGTCGCGCGTCGAGGACTGAACTCTGACCAACACAATGAGGAAAAGTCCGCGAATCCCGGCGAAAATGGCCTCTGTCGACGACATCCAGGTCGGTGACCTCGTCAACGTGCCCGGCGGCATGTATGGGACGGTGAAATTCGTCGGTACCGTGGCAGGAAAATCCGGACGCTTTGCGGGCGTTGAGCTGGCGCCAGAACACGCGGGCAGAGGGAAAAACAGCGGCGACGTCGAAGGCCGATACTACTTCAGCACTTCCGTTCCAGGCTCCGGTATTTTTGTGCCTATGAATGGCAAATATGTCACGCCACGGCCGGCCGGGACGCCCGCAAAAGCTGTCACTACCAACTTCAGTCGTTCCGTCGGTCCTGGAGTGGTTAACCCTACGGCATCCCTGAATAGACCAAAATTCAGGCGACCCTCCTTGCCCCGTCCAGAGTCACCTAGAGCTCCCGTGGCAACGTCACCACCCAAATTAAGCCTCAGTGGACTGCGAACACCCTCTGGGTTTTCTAAAGCTACCCCGGCGAATGGAGTACCTCGAACACCCCATAGGGCTATGCGGCCTTCCAGTCGTCCGCCGTCGAGAATTAGCGTCGAGAGCAATACTCCATCGATTGCGAGACGAAGCGAATTGGCGCGAACCCCGGCATTTGACGATCAAGAGCTGATGGAGCGGATAAGATACTTAGAGCAGCAACTGCAGGACCGCGATAGACAATTGGAAGACCAGGCTACGACCCTGGCCGAGTTTCAAAAAAGTATCACAGAGCTTGAAGGCTTAGATGCGCTGCAAGTGCGCGCACAACTTCGCGAAAAGAACGATAAAATCGCTGCTCTTACAGCTGAGTTCGACAGCCATAGAGCAGATTTCAGAAGCACTTTAGATACTCTCGAAGTTGCCGCTTCAGAGACGGAGAGAGTATATGAAAAGCGAATTGAAGAGTTAATGCAAGCAAACCGCGAACTCCAAGCTCGTGGCGAAGATGTGGAGACCGTAGCCAGACAACTCAAACAGCTTGAAGAGCTTGTTTCCGAGCTAGAAGAAGGGCTTGAAGACGCTCGCAGAGGCGAAGCTGAGGCTAGAGGGGAGGTAGAGTTCCTTCGAGGCGAGGTCGAACGAACCAGACTCGAGTTGAAACAAGAGAAAGAGAAATCCATTGCGGTCTTAAAAGAAGCGAGTGCGTCACCGGATGGGATCCATCGCCCTCTTTCAAGAGAGATTGACCAAAAAGATGACGAAATACGAGGCCTCAAGGCCATAATCCATTCACTTAGCCGTGGTGACCCTGCTAATCATGCCTTGCTTCAACAGAACGGAATGTCGCATGGAACCAGAAGGGCGGCCGACCACGAAAATGATCTCGCTTCCCAACTTGAAAACCGCATCCGGGAGCTAGAAGCCCATTCTGAACACAAATCATATAGAATCGAGGAATTGGAGCATGAACTGGAAAGATACCAGCTCAGTGACTATCAACCAAACCGCGATCGAAGTGGTACGATCACAGCAAGTCCGCTGAATATACAAAAGAATCAGACCTCGGCTGAAAATATGGCTGGGCCGACCTCCTCTAATCATACGCATACCCTTTCTGATCGCACTGTCGTCCCTAACGACTGGCGTGAGTCTTCCTCGGCCAACAACAGCGGCCAATATTTTTCACCAACTCATTCCGATGATCCTCACCGATTGCCTACCATGCATGAATCCGACAACCACTCATCGAGCACAGACGAAGAAAGTGCCGGTTGGTGCGAGATTTGTGAAACCAGCGGGCATGATATCCTCACTTGCACCAGCATGTTTAGCTCATCCGGAAACACTGGAGGCAAGAATGACGAACTTGTCCAAAATCATCCTAATAACTTGACGGATGAGCGCCCCTCAAGTAGCGACGCCGTAGACTCTAGCATCCCGGCGTCAAGCTTTGACAGCAGCGTCGGGCACACAAATGATAGTAGCCCAAGCTCACGGCGAACGGGACGAGATGTCGTCCTTGGGGGACTAAAGGGTATAGGGGGGTTGCCATCTTCAATGGCTCCAGTGGCGGGAAAAGCGTCCGGGGTCATCGATGAGTCTAAGTGGTGTGCATTGTGTGAGCGGGATGGACACGAAAGCATTGACTGCCCTTTTGACGACTAAACATTGCATCATGAACCCAATATTGTCTGCTTTTCTCAGGCTATACAGGCTTTTAATAGTACACTCTTATTCCAACTTATCTTTCTTTCCCAGGTATGATCTTGTTGCCGAGCGAATTGTCTGTTATGCACGCTGTGCCGAGCACTATATTCATCTTCTCATTCTCTACAACTTTAAGCGTGTTTATACTCAACTCGCCACCTTTGTCGGCTTTCTATACTAGTTTCGTTTGCTGAAAAATCCTTGTCGGCTTTTCAAGCCCATATATCGTGTGTGGTACGATTGTATCCACGATGGCTATTATTCGAGTCACTTTAACTGTATAGTGGATATCAGTGCCCCCAGTGTTTCCGGATGAGCTAAACATGCTGGTGCAAGTGAGGATATCATTATTTGCTCTAGTACTTTTTCATAGCGGGCCTATTCTGGTGCTCTAGGCGGCTGCACGACTTCCCCGTCTTCATATCTCACACTCCTCACAGACCCACATGCCTTGCATTTCCTCTTTTCATCGTCAGCAGCGAACTCCTCGACCACCTCTTTGACCTGAGTACCCAAATCCGTGCAGTGAAACTTTTTCTCCCAGACAATCTCTCCACACCCCTTACAATACCAACGCATACAGTCCGTGGCATTTTCCGGTCGAGGCACCTCTAGCACCACACCCACCGTATCTGCAAAGCGCACGGGACAATGGGGCGTGTTAGCAGGCAAGAGGAACAAGGAACCCTCGTGGATGGGGATGTCCTGGAAGGTGGGCGGGGAAGTGGACTGGTCGACAGTCCTTAGCAGCATGGAGCCACGATGCTGGTAGAAAAATTCCGGGGTGGGGTTGATGTGGTAGTCCGTTCTGACGTTTGGTCCTCCAACGACCATCACCGTATAGCCTTGGGTTGCGGGGGCGGAGGGGTGGTAGACGCAGTAGTTGTTGATGGGTGGCTGGAGTAGATGGGAGTTTTCCTCGAGCCTAAAGGTGAAGCCCTGTGAGTCTTCGCTGCTCAAGGTGCTCGCGGTGAATGCTTCGAGTCGCTGATGGAACTCGACTGTTGGGCGGTGCGGGGTTTTGGGGGGGGGTTTGGTTGATGTGCCGGTGACTGACCATTTGGGCAAATTTAGCGCTGGAGCCAACATTCCGCAGGCGGGTTCTTCTCTGTACTCAGGATATTGTCTGAAATTGAGCGTGGCAGCTCCGGCTCATATTATTATTCCTTATCCTCAATCGAAACATGGCGTGCTTCAGTCGGATCCCGGAGAGATGCGCAAAGAGTACATAAGTCGACGCCGTGGCTAAAATCGCGCCCGCTAGCGCCGCTGGCTAGCTACGAGGCTTAGCTTGTTATCTTATCAATCAGCTCCACAGTGCCAAGCCGCCGTCGCTCGCTGCCGGATTTTTCTCGACTTTTTCATTTTCGTGATGCTTTTTTCTCTTTGGTGAGCTCGACGGGAAGTGATCAAACCGCCCGGCCCGAAGTCGAAACGGAGAGGAGGTTATTCGCAAACCTGAACAATGGCGACCTCGCAACCTCCCCTTCGTTTTACCTCCCACAAACACCTTGCCCACCGCCTTGTGCTTGCCACCTTGACTGGCCGCGCCGTGCACATCTCGCAGATCCGGTCGTCGTCGCCAACAAACCCGGGGCTCGCACCTTATGAGATCTCCTTTCTGCGTCTTTTAGAAGCGGTGACCAATGGATCACATATGGAGATATCGTATACGGGAACAATACTGGTGTATAAGCCTGGCCTCATAACCGGCAGTGCTCCCGGTAGTGGTGCCAGTGGGGGTGTTATCAAACACGAGCTTCCTGCGGGGTGTACGCGAGGGATTAGCTATTTCTTAATCCCAGTTTGTCTGCTCGCTCCTTTCTCGAAGGCTTCTTTCAATATCCTCTTCACCGGCCCGGGCGTTATCACCTCCTCGACCCCGACGGGCGACATGTCTGTTGATAGTGTGAGGACCGCGATCCTTCCCTTGTTTTCGCAATTCGGCATTTTCAACAATATTGAACTGCGTGTCCTGCGAAGATCTAACCCGGACCGCAATGGAAAAGGTGGCGGTGGAGAGGTCCAATTGATTTTCGGCCACCAAGTCCGTCTTCCTAAAACTCTACATTTACTGAACCCAGGTCGAATCAAGAGCGTCCGTGGTGTTGCATACTCAACGGGCGTGTCGGGGTCTAATAATGCGAGAATGATCGAGGTTGCTAGAGGGGTCCTAAACCCCTTGGTATCAGATATCTATATTTTCTCCGATGTGTCATCCGCTCCATTGGTTCCTGCTCCTGAGAAGAACAATCCGAATGCGAAAAGGAAAATCGGAATCGGTTTCGGACTTTCTTTAGTTGCTGAATCCTCAACCGGATGTCTGTATTCTGCTGACGTCGCCTCTCCTCCATCCGGTGGCCAGCCTCCCGAAGATATCGGGAAGCAATGTGCCTATCAATTACTGGAGTCTATCTCCGTCGGCGGGTGCGTTTCCATGGCTGGGGCGCCTACCGTGCTGTCTCTCATGGCAATGGGCTCAGAAGACGTTGGAAGACTTCAGGTAGGTCGAGACATCATATCGCACGAAGCGATCGTGCAGCTGGCTCGAGATCTCAGCCAGTTCGGGGCTGCTGGGTGGGGAGTTAGAGATGCACCCGAAGAGAATAACTCGGGAGATGTCATTGTTAGCGTCGTCGGACGCGGTATAGGAAATGTTGGGAGGAAGATTGCGTGATCCCATCAGAATCACAAAGAAACTCGCAATCTTCTTCAACAGGCACCGGGCCGGAAGCTCCATGCGCGGGACAAACCCACGGCATCGGCAACTTAATTTTGCCCTGTCATTTGCAAAGGGCTTACCGAATTTCGTCATCAACGGTCTTTCCGCTCATAGCATAGTTGGCATAAAAATCGGTGTCCTTGCACCCATAGTATTCGGCACCATCACCACCAACATTTCAACCAGCTATAACGTACGGCCCCGAGATCTTGAAAACATCACGTTTAGATTTCCCTACCCGTTCCGTGTGGATGTGACATAACGTGTCATGCAATTTTTTTTTTCCCATCTGCTTCCAAGCCATGGACACCGCCTAGGATGACATACTATGCTTTGTGACTGTTCGCTGTTTATGGCATATCCGCCAAATCGAGGCGCCAGGTGCGACTGTGCTGATTACGACCCTGGGCTAAATGTATCCCTAACCGAGCTGTTCATTTGTACAAAGTGAAATACATATTCCCAAAACCTGGAATGTACACGCATTTTGGACTTTTTTTCTTTCCATCTCCGAATAACTTTTTCGGTGTCACTTATTGCATTGTCACTATCTTGCAAGATTGAAGATCGCCGTTGGGCTCTTCACATACCTCTAGCTGCTGCCTAGCTATCCCTAGAACGAGGCCACAGCTAGAATCAAAGCAAATCACAAACCATGAACAAAGGCCCCAATGAATGTCTTTTAACAAACCACGAGGAATAAAGATCTAAAAACAACAGGCTAGAATTGAATTTGATACTTGCCAATCTTAGTAGCGAGCCTTGAGCATACCCTCTGGAGCTCTTCAAGCGGCAAGAGATTAATAGGAAGCAACAATAGTAGGTCAAGTACAGAATCATTCCCTCCATTGCCAGACAAACAATATGTGACCATCTCAGCATTTTGATGAAAAAGGAAAAAAGACGCAGAAAAGACGGAAAAAAAAAAAAAAAAAAAAAAAAAAAAAAAACGCACAATGAGCGCGAACCATCCTGTATAGGCAAACCAACCGCAAACGCGAAGACTAAACAACAAGTTGTTTTGACAGGAACAAGGAAGACATAAAAAGCAAGCCAACCTATAACCTTCCCAGGCCGACGACTTAACTTCTGTAGTGATTTTAGCTATTTGCGAATGAAGGTTGGTAAAGTAACAATAGGGGCCTATCCACAAAAATTTGGCCATCCAAAATCCCAAATGCAGGTTTTGTTGTTTTTAAGCAGCCATAGGCTCAGTTTCAATCTTCTCCTCAGCAGTGGGGGAAGTTGGTTCCTTTTCTTCCGCCTTCTTTTCAGACTCGTCAGCATCTGCATCAGGCATAGCCTCATCGGTGTCAGGAGCAGCGACATCATCTTTACTGCTACCTTTACCATTCATTTCATCGCGAACCCCGTTGGCAGCGGGCTTTGCCTTATTTTCGGCCGAGGGTTTGTCCCCCTCGCGCTCAGTAGCGGGTGCATCCCAGTGCTTCCACTTCTTCAAAATATCGATTGACCGGCCGCGGAAATTGTATTCCGACTCCTTAGGAATATCAGCCAACTTGATGATGCCCTTGAGGACCTTGCTAATCTTGGTCTTTCGGATGATACTGATTTCAAGGTCGTCATAGGAATCTAGCCGTGAGATATAGCTGGACATGGCTTCCATTTCTCTCTCTTTCGGTACCTGATCACGTGAGAGGAAACCTTTTTGCAATCGATGACGGAGGTAGAAAACTTGTAAAAGAGGAAGAGTCAGTAAAACAACCACATTCGATGACGAAGGCCCTCGATCAGTCGAAGGACTCACTCTCTTTCTCTCTTTTCGCCTTGGCTTCTGCGGGATTAACCTTCGGTTCGGGTTCCTTGGGGGCTTCTTCAGCCTCCTCTTCATCGCTGGCTGGAGGAGGTTGTTTTGCTTTTCTGCCGCCGGGCCCCTTGGACTTGGTAGCTTTAGCAGTAGCTCCCTTTTTGCCGGTCTCGCTAGAGGCCGGCGCCTTGGGGGTAGTCAACTTAAGCTTGGTGGCTGTCTTAGGAGTCTTCACGGGCTGCGTCACCCAAGCAATCCCTGTTAGCCCGCCTATTCACATAGCCGAAATGTCGCAATATGTAGTGCCAAGAGGCCACATAGCCTAAAACGCAAAACCCGCGTCAGGATGGGGGGAGTGCTTACCTTGTCGCTCTCTCCTTCGCTCTCAACGTCCTTCTTACGTTTCTTGGTGGCTTTTGGTTTCTCAGCACCAACATCTGCCATCTCCACATCTTCACGCTCATCCGCCAAATCCATGCTCTTTCGCTTTTTTTTATCTTGTTTGGCTTTTGCTCGGGCCTCTCGTGCTTCCTCATCTTCCTGCAATGCCCGTTGGTGATCTGCTAACATATCCTTAAAATGCTGGAGATCATGGCCTTCGGAGGCGACCTGATAAGCTGCAAGCAGGCCTTTGCCTTTGGCCTTCTCTGGGTTCTTGCATTGTTCTGGATCAAGTGGCACAAGGTCAGTATTCGGGATCCATGCACTAGGAAAAATATTAGTTCATAATTATGGCATATTACGTAGAATATGTAATGGTGACCAGAGCACTCGAGGGAATGGAGGCCGCTTACAATTCGTTGGTGTGGAGGAACATGACTGGAAACGTCCGCTCATGGACCCTCTTGGCTCCATCTTTGAAATGTTCAGTGTATGTGCCGTCGCTCTGTTTGGTTGTAATAGGGCGTGTAGCAAGTAAGCTTTGAGGTAACATTTCCTCGTCGCAGATAATCGCAGGCCATGGCGGCCAGCTTCGCAGACGAGCAAAGTAGTACTCTCCTGGCTGCGCATCGAGATGGGTAGTGGGAGCCACCGCCTTCTTTTTAGACATTTTCTTGGAACGATGCTCTGGTACGCCAATTGACTTGCGCTTGGACGACTTTTTGGCGGATGTGGGGGTCCCATTGGCACCCGTCGCTTGATCGTCCGCCCCAGTCCTGGCTTCAGCATTATCACTTGTGGCTCCTGGTTCTTGCGATCCCGACTCAGTGGGTTTAGCTATTTCAGCGGTTTCCAGGGAGGTGGTGTCTGTCTTCTCAGGTTTGCCCTCGGCGGGAGCGGCGACTTGATCATGGCCTGAGAAGAGTCAGTCAATGAGCCGAAACCGATGACAAAGTCTTCCGGCTAAACAAATAGCAACATACCGGCCACATCATCGCCTTCCTTCGACGGCTTTTGAACATCCTGATCGGCTTGCGACAGTTCTGGAGATTTGGCAGTGGTCTCTGCAGTTTGGGGGACCTCGTCCTTCGAGTCTGCGGTCTTCGGGACAGCTGGATTACCCTCCTCGGCCATGGCCTGCGACAAACCCGGATGTAGGCAATGTGCAAAAGCAAAGAATAAATACTGGAAACAGGTAAAAGTAGATGTGGCGATGGGTGAGGATGGTGGTTGGAAGTTGGAAGTGGTTGTTTGGTTTTGGTGGTTGGGTTCTGTTGTGGATTGGCTTTTGGTGCGCGAAAGAACCGTGGCGTGAGACAGGCAACGCGTGGGTTGTAAAGAAAATTTAGGGGGAGGTGCCCACGGAGCTAAATCGTTGCAGGGAGTGAAAAAACGCCTCAACACACCCACCGCACAGAGCACAGAAATGCAGGAATGGTCAAAGAAGATGAGTAGGACTGCTTGGAGGGCACCAAGTAAATTTGTTCCAAACGACTCTGGACGCGACCAGGCGCTTGCAAACGCGTCAGGGTGCGCGTAACACCTGTACACAATTCCACCCGCCAGCACGATTTAAAGCCCCCCAGAAGCCCCAGCCCAGGGAAAAGTGAAGGCTCTGGGATCTATGAAAGATCTCCCAGGATATGAAGGATGGGCAAGCGGGAATATGAGCAAGGAGAAATGTCTCAGTTTGCTGCGGCCCTCCCTCACTTCGTAAAAGGACGGTCCTGGAGATAGAGACTAGGCTCGGGATGTGTCAAGGTGGCAGTAAGGTTCAAATCAATGCCCCTCTATGCAATAGATCCTCAGAAGAACTCAAGAGCAGCAAGCACAGTTGCGATCAAGGGTATCAGTAAAGCAGCAGTGGGTGCTGATGAGAAAAATTCCAGGATAGAAACTCCGCTGAATGATGCACGGGAAAAAAAAAAAAAGGTGGTAGCTTTCAGTGTATAACTAGACACCAGAAGGTTGTGATTTATGTAAAAATTCACCTAAGTCCCAAGTCAATTTGATTTCTTGAGTGAAGATGTTGATGTACGAACTCACGCCAGGCAGCTGGCGTTCCCCGCAGCAAGATTTCGACACACAAAGCTTCGAAGGGATGAGATGAAAGGCCAGTAAACTATGATGACAGCAAGATCCGGGGTAGCCACCATTCATCTAATGCCTGTACAAGATTATCGAGAGGGAACAGGGGATTTCCCAAAGAGAAAAAGGGAGGGGGAGAAAAAATAAAAAAATAAAAAGGGAAGAAGGTCAGAGAAAAAATTGAGGGCTCAGGCATCTACAGCAATATCCCCCGACATTGTTGATGGCAATGTGTTGGAAGACAATCAGTCGGCTTGACCCTGGATCAACTCTGAAACCAAGACCACAATAGCTGGCTCGACTTCATAAACCACCGCTTCCTCTAGCACTACACTTAACTAGTTACTCTATACGGAGTACACATTCAGACATTCTTCTTATATGTTTAGCACCAACTATCTTTCTCCTGTTCTATCCTGCGAAGCAAAATGGCTGGGGTTATCTATCCACAATCTATTCTGTACACACCTTGTTCCCTTGGAACTTAATTGTCACGCTGGGAGAAAAAAATAAAATAAATAAAATAAAAAAAATAAAAATTCCCCTGATAGGACCATAACTTCTCACGTCCTCCCCTCAGCTACACTTATCAGACGAAGCATCAGCAAAGCCTACTGCGTTGATGGTCACCACTCTATTATTCATATCACTGAAATGCTGGGTTCAGTTCCATTAGTTACAGCTGCTATATGTAACTATATGGACTACACTTACTCGACAAAACCGGACGCTCAATGGTTATAGACATGTACAATACAATACTTCAACAGGTGTTAGACAGCACAACCCCAGCCTTTTCAGAAATTGGTGCCATTTTGCAAGTGAGGAAGCTTGTCTGAGTTCTCCTGATAAATGCAATTAAATCACCTGGGGGACTTTTTCTACTTGATGGTGGTTGGTAACTTTTTTTTTTTAAGTCGTCCAAGCAGCCTCCAGACAATTGCCGACTCAAGTATGACCGTAACTTCCAACACCTTATAGCTCAAGGCTACATCTTGTGGGCGCTAGCAGGTCAACATTCAAAAGGTTAAGTTGTGACAACGTTCAGCTTTTGGAAAACTAGCTGATTCTATCAACTGACACTTTGAGGCAGAACAAAGCTTATGTACGGTGTTATCGATACTATTGGGGAAAGCAAGGATCCGAGGATTTCACGACAATCTCGCACGCGAAGATTAAGATTATATATATGTATGTGTAACTAAGAAGTTTGCCACTAATGGGAGGAATACAAATCATCATACACGCTGATAGTAAGGGCATGAAGAGTCATTCTTATAAAGCGACTGCTGTTGCTGACGGGATAATAGAGCTTCAGGTTTTTATCGCGTACGCGCGCCAGGCGTTGCGATATCATCGTCAACATCATTATATAATAAATCTTTCACGTCGAGAATGCGGTGCTCGGGCTTATGGATCCGCAGAGCCCAAAGGAAATAGTCTTCGATCGGCAGCAGGTTCAGCAAAATGGAGTTTCCCCACCATCCAAGGCCGCAGACAAAGGCACCTGCCACCGCATCCAGTATAAAATGATTAGCGGTGGCCACAATGGCCACGAGGATTGTGAACGGGTACGCGAATCCAACGATGAGACAAACCAACCGATGCCAGGATGGAAAGCAACGCTTATATCCTGCATATGGTGTGTCGGACAGGGGAAAACTTAGGGCGCCTGAGCGACGATGCTGAGGAGCCAAGGGTATCGTCATTATAGTCAGGCCGATCATCAAAGAGTACCCAAAATGAAGGGAGGGCATCGCAGCTAGATTATCGATCGAAAAAAGCGTAAGCCCCTTGACGAACAAGAGCTTGAGAGGAGAAATATTATGCTTACCGTACTGGTTGCAAAATCTATTCTGCGTCCACACACTGCTCGCGCCACCCGTTCCATGTACCGTGTCAACGAATCCATAGCTCCGGGCAATTTCGCCAATTGGGCCTTCCACATTCTCATCGCTCAGCAGGCGGGGCGGCATGCAGGGCCAAAGGGTGAAGACGACAAAGGCAAGCAGGTTACAGACGGCCATGGTCCGCCTTCGAGCCTGGTAAAGCGCCGGACCGGCGGGCGATCCGGCGATCTCTCCTCTCATTCCATCCAACCACCGTTCCTGCTGGCGATTGCGGGTGATATTGTAGTAATAGAGCCAGACGAGGAATGCAATTGTGCCGGGAATGTGGATAAAAGAATATACCCAATTGGTCCACATCAATAGCAAGGGCCGCTGCAGAAAGTATTTCTGAATTCCAGTCTCCCAGAAGATATGCAGCCTTTCCTCCAGTTCAATAATCTGGAGTGCATGTCGCCTGGCTACATCCACAGTGCCTGCCTGGAGTGTGACAGCAGTAAAGGCGCGCCCTAGCTGGTATATCTGTGTTGGAAGAGTAGCGGCATGTGTTAGACCAGTCCTCGAAGACTAGTGGGTGGAAATTTACCTTACCCAATACACTAGGGCCCAGTACCAGCATTCCACCAGGAATGGAAACTTGTGAAGGAGCCTGCTCAACAGGCGGTTCTTGAAAACCGCTGTGTTAGGCGTGATGACCTCCGTCTCCCAGGAGAAGAGGCCAATATTTCGCTTCCTCCATCGGTGCTCCTGGTCCGTGAGCAGGGAGGGTGAATGGGAGCGAGGCAGGTCACCTTCAGCGAAGGGAGCTTTGGAGCCTGAGGTGCGTAGTCTCGATAGCTGAGGATCCGATTCTTGGTCTGAGGAGGCGCTATCGCGGGAGCTGCTGGGAAAGCCGCTGTTTCGCGAATATGAGCGCGCGACGTCCCTTTCGCGGTTGATCCATGTTCCACCGAAGAGAAGGGTCACGACCACCAGAGGTTCCAGGAAAGCCCCGGCACCCATGTCCAAACGGTAGTGCCCCCCGGGAGCTACTTTGTTCGGGCCGCCCGCCTCAATTTGGGGGGGGGGGAGTGGTCAATTGGGGGAGGCAGCGGACTAAGTGATGATTGGAAGGCAATAAGCGTGTATTATTATTTTGCAGAATAATACTGCTTTCAATGATTGAAACGAGAAAGGAAATGAAAAGGAAAAGGAAAACAGAAAAGAAAGAATGAGAAAAGGAGAGGACAAGAGAGGAAGAAGAGGAATAAGAAGAAGAAGAGGAAGAAGAAGAAGAAGAAGAAGAAGAAGAAGAAAAAGAGAGAAAAAGAAGAAGGAAGAGAGAAGAGCGAGCCGTGTGCAGCAAAGTCGAACCTGGGTGCGTAGGGAACTAAGGTCCGGGGTGCGGATGAGCTTCCTTAGGGTCTACTTTCAGCCAGAACCCCGATTTGGGGGCAGCCGGAAGGGGGAGAGAAGGCCGTGGCTTTGGGACCCGAGCGGATAGTTATCGGCCACTGCGAACGGGGAATCCAGGCGAAGTATCCCGGTTCTGATCTGGGAAGTCGCCGAAAGTGTGTTCCTGGGACACAAGAATAGACGGGAGAGACGACGAGAGCATCATGGAAAGGGGGTCGAAGACGGCGTCCTGGGAGATGAAACCGCTGTTCAAGAGCTCTTACATAGCAGCAGGTGACCAGCCTGGGAGGAGGGGAAAATGACGTTTTGATCTTTGCCAGGACCGGACGCAGGCCAACTGCGTGCTGTCAGTCCATGTGGATATGAGGATTGTGTTCAAACACCCATGATTGATGCCATCATCCCCCGGGCTGTCCAGTCAGATGGAAGGAGGGCACGCGACCCGAGGGGCGCGAGAGGGCACAAGCTTCCTGGCCGAAGCATGTCAGTGCAGGGTCGCATTTCTGTTCCCCGATGCCAGAGTAGAATAATAATAATAATACACATCCTAACTTCCTGGTCATCGCCGAATTCATGACAATAAACAAGAAAAGAAAGAAAAAAGCCAACGCTTGAACAGTCTTCCTATGTATTCTACCCCACGCTGCACATCTCACACACTCTCACACTCACACACACACTCTCTCTCTCTCTCTTTTTTTCTTTTTTTTTTTTTTTTTTTTTTTTTTTTCGGCTGTTCGAGACTGCAGGCGAAATCAGGGAAGCTGCCAGCGAGTGGTCCAACGCTCCATTGAAGCTTTCCTTTTTCGCTTGCCGGGAAACCACAAGGCGGTGCCCTCCGAGCCAATCGGCGCCGTCTGCCAAGCCCCGCCACGGCGACACCGTCGCCCCACTTGGTCTCCCCGTAAGATTCGTGTTACATATTGCGTACGGGTGTATGTATTCCCGATACTCCGTACATGGCTCTGGGCATGCCGTATCAAACCGCCCCGTGACGCGCTCAGTACATAACATAACCAACCTCGTCCGTCGGGCTACCAGACAAGCCGTGTGTCCGACGGGCTGCGAATTCGACAGCAATCTGCAGCTCAACATCGCACAGAAAAGGTTCAGCCTGCTGCTGAGTCGGAGACCGGCATTTGTAACTTTCTGGCCAGATATTATTCCGAGAATGAGAACGACGCTCCTCATGGATTTTTATGATTCGCCGTTTTGCTTCAAGCCCCCCACAGTGCCCTATGACAACATTTGGATATCCATTATTATTGGATGGTTGTGCAACGTGCTCGATCGGATCCATTGGCCTCTCCTCGCAGGGGGAAGGGGAGAAAAGAAACAAAAAGGAGATGAACTGTCATCTCAGTCGACCGTTCGCTTCAATTCTAGTGGGAGGTCGGTGTGCCGCCGGAAGAGCCGGATCCGTTTGTTTCATACTCGGGGTATCCCGCCCTCGAAAAGAGACTACATATGTACTCCGTATGTAGGAAGCGATCAGGGATACGAAGAAACGCGGTCCGAGTTATACCGCAAGCAACTCCTCAGCGTGGAGTTTGGATCCGGAATGCAGACTTTTCATCGTCAGGCGTCTCTGTGCACCTAGCTCGCTGCTGCTGATTTCAATAACCATGTATGTACTGTATGTATGTGCTTCTGGGATGAAGATGCATCATCCCGCCATAACCCTCAAGAAATGGACGGGCTTTTGCCCGTTCACGTCTCTGTGCACCCCCCCAATTGGATGAGCTCCGTAGGACTGCAGGAATGATCAATGCGGAGATCACCGTCAAGGGCCACTTTTGAATATGCGCTCTGTGAGCCTCCTTAGAAGTGATCAGGGATAATCTATAGAGAGAGTGAGCCCTGACCGGGTCACGACAGGGAGGGTTCAGTGCGGGTATGAGTGATATTTGGGGGGGCCATTGAAATATGGACGATGCAGCCCCCGTAGATCTGATCTGGGAACGAGGAAGAGGAGTGTCTCATAGCCGCTACGTAAAAAGGTGCGCGCCGCGCAACTGCTATGCAGACCTTGCAGTACTGCTTCAAACTCTCCGATGCCGTGATACTCAACGCAGCCAGCGGAATCCGGGCGATGGCCTCTTATCTATAAGTGGCATACGTGTCCCCTCCCGTCATTCAAATACATTTTGAGAGTTCCAAAAATTGACGTTTGAGAAGATTGAAGAGAGCTTCTATCCCAACTTCAACTGTTCGCGTTCCCGCTTTCCGCCGTCACCCCTCTGCCGAAACTCCTTCGCAAGAGTTGATATGATACGGTCTTCGAAATCATTTCTGTGAAAGATGCGATCTCGAAAAATAAATACTTTATAACATTGGCTCAAAAAAAAGACCCATGAACGTTCGCCTAAACAAACGCCACCCCATGGAAGCTAGTTCACTCTTCTCTTTAGAAACCACGGTGTTAGTCCGATCCAGAGATTCTATACGAATCATTCGAAGACAAAACATGAGCAACGTGTGGGTTACACCATCGTCACGAAGGTCACCTGGGCGCGTGGTGTAGCATTTTCCACTCCTGGCAGTTTGAACGAGCTTTCTGGAGCGTTCTGTGCATCAACAAAGTACGTCTAGGATATACATTGAAAAAGGTCTGACTCTTACCGTGAATAAAATTATTCTTGTCTGTGTTGTGTTGATTCATCCCAATTATCAGGAGCTTTCCCTCTCAGCAGTTGGGTGTTAAGTGTGGTACCACCACCACGTGAAGGAAGGGTTGAGCTCAAAAAGCATGGTCTCTCTTGCGAGCCCTCGGAATATGTGACCTTCTAATCGCTCTGTCTGCTTCGCTCGGCGCCCACCCGAGAACAGTGCGTTGTGGAGGCTTTTGTAAGCCTACCTTTTCCCAAACTCCCGCCGGTCTCTCCCAGACCTCGACGCGCCGTAGCATGCCCCTTTGGCTGTCCGGTACATTTATCCTCACATACGGCATGGAGTTGTGTTTCTCACAATGTAGGTACAGCGGCTTTAGGGTGTCGTCAAACTCCACCGGCTCCTGGATATCATAAAATCGATACGAGGGCATGAGAAGATGGAACGTCACTTGATCCTGCCGGGTCTTTTTTATGACGCGCCGGATGAATCGCATCCATAGACAGAGCCCGTTCAAATCGTCCGACATGCCGTAGAAATTTTTGGGCAGCGGTTCTTTGTGCTGCACCAGCTCATAGAACAGAGCGTGCCAATCGGTATCCGGGTGGTACAGGAAGTAGTAGTTGTTGGCCTCGTGGTCTTTGGTCTCCTGTGCCTTCGACCGAATGTACGCATGTACGATCTTCGCGAATTTTCCAGGAGCAACAAGGCTGTTCTGGACCGCGAGCTGTTGCTCGATATCCCTAAGGACAGCGGCAATCTGCGTGTTCTGGTATGCGCTGACGAATTGCGCAGTCGCACCGGCAGCCGCGATAAAGGGGTGCAGGGCACCGCCATAGGCAGCCAGCGAAGCCAGGACCTTGACAGTCGGGAAAGCGCTTGCGGCAGCGCTGATGCCCTTCAGTATAGTGCTTCCAGATTCTGCAGAAAGAACTATGGTTGACATGGCATTGTTGATGCGTTTTCTCGGCTTGTGGGACAGTGTGTCGTTCACAACAGAAAGGACTCGATCCATCACAGATCTTGATGGGGATGTCGTTTTTTCTTTTCTTGTCTTTGTTTGGGTTCGAGGGAATGGAGGAGACAATAGGAGGACGGATAATTTGCCAATGGTATGGTTTGATAGGGGGATTTGTTGAGCTTCGTTCGAGGAGCTAATCCGGGGATATATGTCTTCAGCTAGAAGACAAGCATACCAGTGGGGTGGGAAAAACTCGTTCAAGGCGAACTTGCATGGAGATGATTGCTGGTACGGATTGCAGGAGTCTGATAGAAACCTCAAAAAAATGATCTGAACCAGTTGGGCAACTTCATCAGGTAGTGAAGCAGCCCTGCCCACGAAGAGCGAGGCATCGTCGACTAGCCATGCAGGGAGCAGTCTAGCTGGCTTCTGGTTGGTCCAAATCTCAGTGATGCAAATTGAAAAACACAACAAATGGTGAGGCAAAACGTTAAACAAGAGGTAGAGAAAACAATCTTGGTTAGTTGCTTTGTAGTTGTATACCTAGAAGTGTACATCAGTGGGGATAGTTTTGTGGATCGACGTGTGTCTTGATTTATGGCTCTCCCAAGCTTTCACATTCACTCCGCTTGAGATTAACAGCTCCAGGATCTGTTAGGCCAGTTTTGGCCAGATATGACGCCAATTCAGTGGTATGGTAACTGCATTGGTTAACTAGCCAAGTAGGGAACCATTTGTTTGACCAACTCCCAAAAATATATAGCTATTCGTCGCAGTCCTGAGCTGCCCCAGGTTCAATGGGTAAGTCCTTGCGTGCCCCAGATGAGGTTCCGCGGAACATATTGAAGAATAATCAATTGAACAGCTCAAGAAACTACAGACCACATCATTTTTCCATGAAAATGGCTGCTAGATATTGATCTATGATCTATTCTCCTACTGTATGCTAACAACCTTCTGGACCGACTTCGCTTCCCCGTTGCTCAGCTTCGTGGCTCGTTCAAGGAAGTAAATCCATCAGTTTCTTGAAGTCCGGTGTTCCAAATCCAGTCACTGGGTCCCATCCCTCAACAGCATCCCAGGCTGCCCCAGGGATACGCGGTCCGCCATTCGTGCCGGTGCAGCCCGTACCAGCACCGTCGACAATATCGGTGAAGCCCTGGTGTCCCTTGCTGTACAGCCAAGGGTTAAGGAACCCAAGGACCGGTTTCCCTTGAGACAAACGGACTTCGTTCAAATTGGAAATGACGGACGCGATTAAAGGAGCAGACGCACTGGAAATTTAGGATGTCAGTGCTCGATTTTTGGGCTCAGGTTGGATTACCGACGCAATGCACTGACCTTGTTCCACCCACATATTGTACTTGTCCGTGATCGTACACTGCGTAGTCGACGCCCTGAGCAGCTACGTCAGGGAAACCACGGCCGTTTCTGTTGAAATATTCGGCCCATTTGTCGCCGAGCTGGTTCAAGAACGCGTCGACACTCCCGTTCTGGTACGAGGGACGTGGGAATATTTCAGAAAATCCACCAGATGAGAAATACACCGCGCTTTCTGGGTTTGTGTTTTCGGTGCCACCAACAGATGTAACATATGGGCACGCAGCAGGGAAAATTGGATTGAAGCGTGTCCGGTTCTGCCCATCGTTAGTCAAACATCCAGATCCCACGCCACTATCTCCACTGCTGAATATGACAGACACTCCTCGGGCACCGAGCTTTGCGAATTCATCACAAACCGCCTTTGCGTATTCCGCTGGCACGCTCTGCTCATTTTCACCGTATGAAGTTGAGAGAACGGTGGGCAACCTGCTGTCGGAAAGATTTGCAAAGAACTTCAACTGCTCCATGTAGGGCTCGTTCTGGTTGTCATTTGGGTCTGGCTGATCAATGTCTGGAACCAACGGGCCCCGACCTCCGCCGGAATAATAGGTGACGCTTGTGTTGTACGTTAGGCCGACGGTGTACTGAATATCAAGACTAGCTTCTACAGAATCCAGTCGAGAATCCTGATCATTCTTTCCACCATGGTAGAGCTCAACGGAGAAAGTCGCACCATTTGCGTCGGGAACATAACGTTCGATAAACGCGTTGAGATCGCTGTACCGGGCGTATTGTTCGAGATAACCGGAGACACCAAGCAAATTCCGACTCTTATTTGTAACTTGGAAATCTTGCATGTTGTATAGTTCTCGGAGGCTGGACGGTGTGTTGGCAGCGACGGATTCAGACGCCGGGCGTACGGGTCTGAGAATGTGGCTGCGATGCCGCTCCATGCTTCCAAAAAAAGTGGTTGGTTGCACGGTGCGTACGTGCTTCGATAAGCTAGATGGCAGCGAATATTCCAGGGCTCGAATCTTGCCAACCTTCCCGGATTTGTCTTCGAAGTGATAGAATCGCGTGTTCAAAAGACGTTCAGCTGTGTCAACATTGGTGGAGAAGTCAATCCAATCTCCCCTATTTTCAACATTTTCGGGTTTAATTCCCCCTTCATGAAGCCATGCCATTATACCATCTGACGCTTCCGGATGAGGGGCAACAATGTCTCGGACTTCATGTTGTTTCATATGCTGGCCATAACGAGGGTGGTTGGGAGTGGATATTTCAAGAAGACTGCGGTGGAGCAAGTTGGGATCTTTGGCGCGCACTGAAACCTTGAGATGGACAGTGCTAGATGGATTGGCACGAGCTCGTCTAGTCCATCCATCAGGGATGACAGAAAGCCGCTCTGCCAGCTTGAAGCGATTTGCCGGTGAGGCAACAACTACTTCAAGCCCACAGAGGATCTGGACAATTGGAAGGAGTAAAACAAATAACAACATCTCGGATGGCCCAGATGCGAACAGAGATGTTTTGAACAACATCTACCCAAGGGCGTGGAGCCATGGGCATATATAGGACGAGAAAGTCGACAAACCCAGATAGAGGGGCACCAGGTTTTATCCATGGCCGTTGCATGGAGCTAGTTAACCCAAGGTTGTTGGAGATCTCATTTGGCCAAGGATGTTAAATGCTCTCAAGCAGCTGAGTGGAGGAACCGAGCGACGAGGATCCTATGGGACATGATTTGCCGTGAGCAAGCGTTGGAAAAATCACAGCAAATTCCCCTCACCTGTGCCGCTACTCCAGGGGCAAACGATAAGCTGCAAAACAGCTATTGGATCTTCACTCCGGTTGAAACATGGCAGTAAGTTCTGCAACTTCGGCCGTGCATGTGGTGCAGATCTGATGCAATCCCTGGACGATGCTCCCCGGAGTTGAGTAACTAGACCATTCTTTGCTTCCCTGAGATGATGACCGAGGAGAAGTTTTCTGGACTGATAGAATATCTAGGCAGACACATTCTGATCAGCTCTCCAGCTAATCATGGACTTATAAAAACATGCAATGAGAGCGCAAAACCAACACCTTCGCCCGCTTGTATCGCTCTGAGGCAAATAATAGCCGGACGGCTTATATGATGGCCCTGTTCGGGTCCGCAGCAATGCCAGGGATAATCCGTCTGATCAGAATGGTAGTGAGCTAACTCATAATATCGTCGAACCTTGTTAAATGAAGATCGCATGGAGCCCAGCGCTTCCTCCGTATGAGTTAGGCCCAGGCAGCTGGAATTGCTTGACATGGCTTGGCGCGTCTTGATTCAACTCCGTGATCACTTCGGTGTCATAAGCTCTGTTCCTGTTAATGACGAACCTGATATGCTCCGGCTCACATTCAAGATGCTGGATAGATAGGCTTCGATAGTGGGGAGAAAAAGGACAAGCCATAGATCAAGTACCGTAAAATGCACTGGCCGGCAATTTAGCACCTTAACAAATACAAGCTCCCGGCCAAGACCGAAAGGGGCCCTGGCAAATGCTTGTTAAACTAGCGGGATAGTTTCGTTAAAACCCCGCGAATTTATCGCTTCGACACGAGACGTGGAGGCAATCGGTAAACTTCTATGATGGATGGATGAGTGTTGTTGTTGCATCCGTCCGTAAGCGCGTCTCAGATTCGCATAGTGAGATCATGATCAGCACGGGGTTAAGGTATATCATTGCCGGAGAAGTGTAAGTGTGGACGAGTCCCTTGCATCCATCGTATGTGTGTATGTATACTCCGCATACACACTTCTCTTCGCGAATTAGTTGTTTTCAACTCACCGGTCTGATTTGAGTTACCCAAGGGGCTTTGGCTGCCTGTCTTTGGATGTTGCAGCCATCAGTTACAGAGTAACTGATAATTCATAGATGGGACCTCTCAAGTCCCTGGCTCGATAGCTTAGTGCTCTGCAAGGAGATAAAAACTTTGGTCAGCCTTTTTGCATACGTCGTTCCCGATGGGTTTATCTTCACCCTGGCATCTGCCATCACAACCCAGCAAGTTGATGGTTATAGGGAGTGGGAGTTGGTTCCGTGCCACCTCGCATCTCCGTGGATGCACCGCACCCGAACATCCCGTTTCCCTTGCCGTTCTAGATGAGCTCTGCTTGACATCTTGGGCGAGCGCTTTCATATACGGGGAGAAGGACAACTGCGGATGGCTTGATGTAGCCCCTCTCACAATACCCGTCTCTTTGATGGATGGCTCCGTCTGAGTGCAGTTAAGCTTTATCCCGCTCCTCCCAACATACAGTACGTACGGGATGGCTACAAATGGCGACAAACATCCTGGTGGTCCAGTGGAAACTAAATGTACAGCCATTGAGCAAACTCCCTTTTCTGATGAAACAGTGAAAGGGAAATAGAATTGGTGCGACATGGGCTGATGACTGTGTAAGGCCATCAAGAACCCGGTCGGCTGCTTGTAGCTTAAAACCCCAGCTTCATAAGCACACATGTCTCGTTGACAACAATAATCTTCGGCCCCAAGGTCCCCGCTCCCTTGTCAGGCATAGTTCCGGGTCCTGTCTTGGGACCTCCGTCGTTATGCTTTAGAAATTGGTCTCTTATTAGAACAAATCTCACATTGAAGAACTGAAAGAAAGTTGCAAGAACACATATCCGAGATTGATTAACCAGTATCATTCATAGCTCACAGGAGAAAGAGATCTAGTATTTATCTCCTGCTTGGCTGTACTTTGTGCTTCATTGCCGCTATCAAGGGTAACACCCGCACATTTCGAATGAGATTGTTTGGGTTGCAAAGGGTATACCAAATGCCATAAACTGTACCATCTACAACAACATTCGTCCCCAAACCAGGAGACAATGAGGATAATCATAATCTTGTTGTTGATGTGAGCCAAACAGGTTTCCATCTCAGAAGCTTGCGACGACCCCATGTAACAGATGTGAATGCCATGTTTAGTCCTCAGGTCTGGCCGATATTGTGAGATTTTAAACATAGGACTGGTGGCCTGCTTGGATTGATCCCTTAGCCTTTTAATTAGTCCGCATGTTAGAACACCCAGGCGTGTCAACCTGCTTCCCATTCTCTGCTGCGGGCATACACCTTGTGGAAAACCTGGGCACTTGGGACTCCTGGTGGTATGTATGACGAATGGACGGAGTACCTTTGCACGCTATATCACGCGCGTCACAAATGCTAGCGAATCACCTATGACGTCACATCCAGAGCTTCCAAGGAGCTTCACCATCTCTGATGTATAACAGGCAAGCCTCCTATTGTATTACATCCAGAATTGTGAGCGGAGTGCTGATTGTTTAATGGATTACCTAGTTCTTGCCAAATCAATGAGAAGCAATACCAAGCCATAGCAATTAAAGGAGAACGTGCTACAAGACCCCTTTACATCCTCTCTTGAGTAGCTGGGACAAAATATGTCAGTTAGAGCGAGGTCGGGCCTTACGACGGTTCGGAACGCCTGCTCCATGGTTGGTGCGTCTCGAGACATAGGTTTCCGGGCCCGTGTGGCGTCCAGATTCTCTACATCGTCGCACCAAGGAAAGCACGTCAAGCCGTTGATTCAGGACAAAGACAATGGCTTGGGCTTCGTCAGGTCGAACCGGTTGTCATCAAAGCCGCGCACGCGAGGAGTGACCGAGATTCGCGGTCCATACTACGCTGTACGGATTATTCTTTCCACTTCCTAGGGCTGAAGGATTCACCAACTTCAGGAGGAAAACTAGAGAACTTCTTGGTTGCTAACGGCTGGATCGCGGAGAGTACAGGTAATGGGAAGGGGATATTTGGCAGATATCCTCGAAACGTAAGACGCAGCCGAGCAATTCGTCAGGGTTTTATTCTCCAGAAAGACGGGTTGTGCCTATCGAGAAAGACTGACATCAAAAATGGCGGAGGTAGGATGGGTGAATATGTTGATGGCCTCAAATTTTCCGGGGGTATGGCCTTATCACTGGAAAGAAGCGTTGTTACCAATTCTACCTTGTGGGAGCTAACCAAACGCCAGGCTCGTTTTCTCTTTTTGAGGAAGAGAAGCTGCGAGAAATGATTGATTTGGCGCATGAACATAACGTTTACGTCTCCACGGTGAGCCTAGTCACGGGGTAGTATGTCGTTTCTGGCTAATTGTAAGATAGGGTGGTTGGGCAGAACATCTTCTAACTCACCCGGACAACGCCACTGTCCTCGAGAAGTATTTTGCAAAGTGCAAAGAACTCGGGTTGGTTGAAATCCAATTCTGGATAAGCCACTTCATTTGCTCACGTCACTGGGTTCTCAGGTTCGATGTGATAGAACTCTCAGCAGGGTTCCTTTCATTTCCCGGCGATGATTGGCTTCGCTTGGTTGACAAAGTGCATTCGTATGGACTCACAGCCAAGCCAGAATTGGGGATCCAGTTTGGGGCTGGAGGAGGTACGCACGCTGTATCCTTTCGCACGGCTTGGACTGGCAGCTTATGCGTATTCTTCGCTTTTTAACTAGACACGTCAGCCGAAGAACTTGAGGCCCTTGGCACAAGCGACCCAGGGAAGCTTATCAACCTTGGTCGACGATTCCTTGACGCAGGAGTGGAGCGTCTCATGATCGAGAGCGAAGGTATAACAGAGAACGTGAAAAGCTGGAGAACGGATGTCGTTTCCACCATAATGAAAGAATTGCCCCCGGAACGGGTCATGTTTGAAGGTGTGTCTCTTTTCATGCTGAACACCTTTTTAAATAGGCTCATTCTTACACCTCGACAGCTGCAGATCCATCGGTGTTCAACTGGTATATACGCGAGTTCGGTGTTGATGTTAACCTTTTTGTCGATAATTCCCAGATCGTACAGTTGAGCTGCCTCCGTCGTGGTATCTGGGGAACTGCCGATACTTGGGGTAAGATTGTTTCCTATAGGCCCGAATAACTAAACTAAAAGCCGATCTGGCTAAACGCGGTCTCGAAATGGCGGCTGCCGGAGGTTTTTGGAATGGATCGGCAAGCTGTGTGTAAGGTAACGAGAATCTTTGAATCTAGTAATTCTTACGGAGTATTTCTCCTCCCCTTTCCCACATCACATATCCAACTAGTTACTGTCGTAGTGTACGAGTCGACTCCGACTGTGCCAACCGGTACTGTAGCTCGAGAGGCGGTCTGCCTCACAAGTTCGCCATCGGGTGGTTTCGATGTGCGGGCCGAGAGCAAGGAACAGAGGGTTTGGGTTGCCAAGACCATGGTGCTAGCCGGGGATTAATAATGCACGGAGCTTACAAAATGCTGACAGACAGGAGTGGCAACCGGGAAGGCGACGCGGGTTTGGCCAAAAGCATTGCAGCAGTCGACTCATATGCGGTCAGTTTTTCCCTCCAAAGTCTGGTAACTCCGGGGGCGCTTCTACATTAAAAATACGTACTAGGCGGCCCTTTGTCATGCTTAGACAATTCCATAGAACGTTCTACTTGTCCCTAGATCCTCCTTCTCCTCTGGGTGCGTGTAATTATATAAATGGGCTTCGTCGGGTCGGCGAGGTGGATCTATTCTCTCTTGATTTGTATCATCTCAATTGCTATAGTTCGCTTCTCAGGAAAGATTCAATCTTCGATCTCCGACTTTGCACTGCCCGTTTCCCCAATAATATCTTATCTTCAGACCGAAAGTATCTCCATAATTCGAGCTCCGGATTCTTCATCGGCTCAGAGCACAGTACCGATCGCTTCTCAAATGTCAATTCCGCGAGCCATTCGGCAGGCATTCCTTGCCATTGAACAGCCCGAGGGCGCCGGCGCGCGGGTGCGCCGTTCCATTGGCACCGCAAAGCTCAGAAATTTCAGCCCATTTCTGATGCTCGATCATTTCACTATCGGAAAGGGCGCAGGCTTCCCCGACCATCCTCATCGCGGCCAAGAAACCATAACGTATCTTCTCTCCGGAGGAGTTGACCATGAAGACTTTGCTGGAAACAAAGGCACAATTGGGCCCGGCGACCTCCAATTCATGACTGCGGGGCGAGGAATCATGCACGCGGAAATGCCCCACGAGAATCCCGACGGAAGTCCAAACGTCGGCATGCAGTTGTGGGTGGACCTCCCGGAAAAATTAAAGATGTGCGAACCTAGATATCGTGATCTCCGCGCCTCCGAAATCCCTACTGTTACAGCGGACGACGGCAAAGCGATAATCAAGGTCATATCGGGTCAATCACATGGCGTTGATTCCGTTCGGGACCTTGCCTATACACCCGTTTGGATATTCGATATCACGCTCAAGCCGGGAGGAGAAGTGACGCAGACCTTGCCGAAGGGCTGGAATGCGTTTGCATATACATTGTCTGGTGAAACCACCTTTGGAAAGGATTCAGGTGCATCCTCAGCTTCATCTTCGGCCGGATCACTGTCGAAGACTGTCCCTGAATACCATAACGTTGTCTTTGACCGGGAGGGGGATTTTGTCTATGCTTCTAGTAAGCCAAACTCAAGGGAGCATTCTCGCTTTATGCTGGTTGCCGGCCAACCACTTGATCAAAAAGTTGTCCAATACGGCCCATTTGTGTTGAGTTCTCAAGAAGGTGTCTATCAGGCTATGTTGGATTTCCAATCTTCATCTAATGGGTTTGAACGAGCAAGAGGCTGGGAAAGTGAGATTGGAAAGAGAATGGGATAAGGAATGCTGGGATTGTTCATGAATGATGATATACCACCAACATGAATGTTGTTTGTAGTTTTAGCTTTTTTTTTTTTTTCTCACTTTATTAAATTGATATTTGAAATGTAAATGTTGAGAAATGTGTAGTAATTAAATTCCACCTTCTTTATCACCTTGTGCTTGTGCAGTGCTGTCTAGGGGAAATGGGCTCCAGGGCTGAAGCTTGAAGGTTTAGAGGGAGGTTGACATAGTCTTAAAGCGGCACCGCTAGCGAAGAGGCCACATGGAAGATGACGGAAGGAAGGACTTCATGGCGGGCTTACAAACTGTTTCACCCGTTGTTTGCGGTCGAGGCGGCCATTCTCACCAGGGCTCACTGCTGAGTTATCTCATGAATATATAAATAATGGAATCTCCCCGGATCTGAACATTGAAGATATTCCTTTATTTTGGCTGATTCGTGAAGACTCTCCTGAACATGATCCGAGCTCCCCTTTCAAAGCACCACCAACCAATGCATTCAAAGTGCGCAGAGGATCTATGAAGGCCCTTAAACCAGTTCGAGTACAGTTTGGGAAATAGTCTCCTTTGCTAATACACGGGTACTGCGGCATTTCACATATGCTTCAAAGCTTGGTTAAACGTCGAAATCCAAACGCCATGGGACGCCGAACGCGGGTATCATTGGTGGCGTTAATCGCATCCGCGGCTGTTGGCACATTGGGTGAGAAACCCTTTCGCGTTCAGGATGATGTTCTTGGATTCCCACAAGTATGTTTAACGCTTTGTGCCGTGTCTGATTGCCTTTTGAGAAGTCCATTGTGCGGACACCTACTAAGTCGACATCCGTTCTTCCACATTCTTTAGTACGAGATACAGTTTCCAGACGAATACATCCTAGCCGACGACGCCTATTCGCGATTGTCAACACCTCTGGCTTCTAAACCCCGTGTCGCAACCTCGCCCTCGCCGTCCCAGCAGCCCAACCCTTCGGCTGTTGGTCAGGATGATTACACCGGGCTATCGCAGCAAATATTATCACGGGATGACGATAAAGTAGAAGATGATGCCGGCTCATTTTCGTCGACAGAGATCGATGATTCCATAGAAGCATACGAAGAAATGGTTATAGGGGGCCAAAGATTTCTTTGTGGCATTCCTAAGACCAAACTATCCGATGGTAGTGCTAGTGCTGGGACTCGATCTGCTGCCGATCAAGAAAAGGAACTGGCGAGGGCGACAAACAGGGGCCTAGAATTACTTCAGGACATGGAAGGGCGTTGTATGTATTATGCTGCTGGCTGGTGGTCATATTCCTTTTGCTACATGAACCAGGTTCGCCAATTTCATGCCCTATTACCCGGCAATGGCGCTCCGGTTTACCCTCCTACAGAGGACCCAACCACACAATCATATATCCTCGGCAGATTCCGAACAGATAAGGAGGGGGCAAAAGCAAGCGCTGTAAATCCACCTACAACCGAAGTTGCGACGCACCAAGCCGACGGAGATTCCTGGTACCTTGTTCAGTACCTCGATGACGGCACACCCTGCGATCTCACGGGACGGAATCGAAAGATTGAAGTCCAGTTTCACTGCCACCCACAATCGACAGACCACATTGGTTGGATCAAGGAGGTTACGACTTGTTCATACTTGATGGTGATTTACACTCCCCGTCTCTGCAACGATGTTGCCTTCCAACCTCCAAGAGAAGATGAACCCAACGGCATCAAATGCAAAGAAATCATTTCCCATGGGCTGGTCCCTGAGTGGGAGGATAGACGGAGGCTTCGATTACAGCAAGAACTTAGTGACTCCAAATCCGACTCCCTGCCAATTGTGGGGGATATCGAGGTTGGTGCAATGAAGTTTGTGGGTAAAGATGGAAAGAAAATCGAAAAGGGTCGAGTTGCATCCATGGGCGAAGAGAAAGTTGAAGTCGTTGCAATTAGTGAAGGTGGCGAAATACAGCGATTGTCCAAAGAAGAATTGAAAAAATACAACCTAGATCCAGAGAAAATCGAGGCACTTAAAAAACAGTTGGAGGAACTTGCCAATGGGAAAGACTGGAAAATGGAGATGATCGATGCCAATGGACAAAGGGGGCTCCGTGGAGTCATCGAAGCAGATGAGGAGCATAATGGTGCGCAGACACCAAACAAGAACAAAGAGAAGCAAAGAGGAGCTCGGAAACAGCAAAAGCAGGAGAAGCAGGAAAAGCAGGAAAAGCAGGAAAAGCAAGAAAAAGGGCAGGCCAAAGCGGAGAATGGCCCTGTTGAAGAAGGGAGCGACGAGACATACAAGGAAGAACTGTAAAGCATCTACTGCCAATTCCTCAAGCTTTTTGGTATAACATGATCGCGGCAATAGGCCAGTAATAGAAAAATCTTCCGTTGACGTTTGCCCTGTCCCGCACCCGGCAGTCATCTGCTCCTCGCTCAGTGGCCACCAATTGCAAATCTGTGCCGGAGGTCTGTGCTCCGACCCTGAAAATCCAACAGTTCAATAAAAGAGCCAATATTCTCCAAGAAAATGATGTTCGTAGATCTGATGTATGTATATCTGTGCAGAGCAAATGTCGATGAGACGTTTCCTGTCACCAGCGCGGACGAGGATCGCCCTTGGCTCAAGAGAAAAGGGGTGTCGACAACTCGCCGCCTGGAGGACCTGCTTAGTCAGAATGTGATACACCTGACGTGTTCCATACAGTATTCTGCGTGGCCATTCCTGGCGGATTACGGAGATTCACAGGGGAAATATTTGGAATTGAAGCTGTATTCGTATTGATATTTCCGTACTCCAGGTCTCCCGCCCAGCGAACATCCACCTACTCTTGTCTCTACCCTTCTCCAGTGCCGCCCCCGAGACCACGACCACAGCCAGCTTCACTGCCCATCTCTCTACTCTTCAGCCGGGAATTGGCTTCCAACTCTCACATAGTTTCTGCATTTGATATACTTAAATCTCCGACTGCCGTTAATTACCCGCCTTTTATTTTAAGCCTCCCTTTGCAAAAAGAAGAGGCTCATGAGAAACCCGTACTCCACACTTACACCATAGTTTTGTCATGCATGGGATTCTTGGTTCGGTCCGGCCAGACAGCATCGCAACTCGACCTCATCCTTTTCGCCGACGATTCTCTGTATAGCAAACCCGGCCAATCTATTTGTTCGCTCGCGACCTACTGACCCCGAGTCCCTTGCCGAGCAATCCCCCGATACGCCCTCTGCACACGCACGTCCCTCACTCCGAGGAGGCCGGACGGTGGCTCAACACTGTCCTTCGCGATTGCTGCATATCTAATATATACGAAGACTACCGGGCGTATCGTTCGTTTTGATGCTGTTTGGAGAGTAGCAAAATGGGATTTGTGGGAATTTATACAGCCATCTACGACTATAAGCCCCAGGCTGAGGGCGAGCTCGAGATATCGGAAGGCGATCTTCTCTTCATTCTTGACAAGGCCTCGGATGATGGCTGGTGGAAAGCAAAGAAAAAGGCCGCCGATGTGGACGACGAGGAACCCGTAGGCTTGGTGCCCAATAATTATGTCGAAGAGGTAACATATTTTCGCTCCAGCTACCCCTCTACTTTACGTATAACCTGATTGCTGGACGTTGGGCTGCGTTCCCTTTTGACATATTTTTCGCAACATAGCGACGAACGATGGTGCTGATAATGCTAATATTTTCGTGTGGTATAGGCCCGTCCTAACCGAACCGCACGCGCTCTCTATGACTATACACGGCAAACCGATGAAGAAGTTTCATTCTCTGAAGATGCCGAACTCCAAGTGTTTGACACTTCTGATCCCGATTGGACTTTAGTACAAGTAAATTCGGAGTATGGATTTGCTCCCTCGAACTATATCGAATTAGTGGAAGAGACTGAGCCTGCCGCGGCGGCTCCTCCAGCCCCTCCGGCATTGCCTCAAAGAGTCGACCATCGTGAAACCGAATCAGAGGGAATACCGACACCACACTCTCCTGCCAGCCCAGTTGAAAGTCCTGCGGCCGCTCTGGCGGGCATTCTCAATAAACAGCAAGAGTCCTTATCATCAAGTCAGGCTAGGGAAGCTCCTGCGCCTTCCGCAGAGCATTCTCTCTCACCACCTACAGCGTTAACTCCGCAGGCATCTGACGAAGACGATAATGGCCCGCGTCCAGCCCTTCCTCAGCGTCCCGTCTCCCACCCAAGCCCACCACAAGAACCAATATCCCCCCCGGAAGAAGATTCGTATCCCATTCGCCGTGAAGTACCCGCCCCCCGCCCTGAGTATGGTGCTCCGAAAGAGGAGACTTCTCCCGGTATAAGACCTTCTCCTCCATACAGCCGAATAAACACTAGAGAGCGTGAAAAGCCCCATAGTCCATCCGCCGTTTCAGCATCCGGATACCATATTTACAATATTAGTGAAATGATCTCGATTATGGGAAAGCGAAAGAAGATGCCCACAACCCTTGGTATTAATATTGCTACGGGAACAATTTTCATTTCGCCGGAGAATTCAGAGGATGGTCCGCATCAGGAGTGGACTGCAGAACGGCTCACACACTACTCTATTGAAGGAAAGCATGTCTTCTTAGATTTGGTACGACCGAGTAAGAGCGTCGATTTTCACGCGGGTGCGAAAGATACGGCCCAGGAAATTGTATCTGCATTAGGGGAAATTGCCGGAGGATACAAAGCCGAAGGCTTGAGAGAAGTGATTGCGGCGGGCACCACCGGCGGAAAGAAAAAGGGCCAAGTTCTATATGACTTTATGGCCCAGGGGGACGATGAGGTTACTGTGGCCATCGGAGACGAAGTCATCATTCTCGACGATACCAAATCAGAAGAATGGTGGATGGTGAGGCGAATGAAGAATGGGCAGGAAGGTGTTGTTCCAAGCAGCTATATCGAGATCACAGGAGTCGCGACGCCTGCCGAATCGAGCTTTTCCGGCGTGAATGCCGGTCTGTCCGCCGTTGAACAAAACCGCCGTGAAGAGGAGCGATTAGCGAGAGAATCCGCTCGAAAGTCTCGGAGGCATGATCCTGGTTCCGGAGAGGTAGGGTCCGGCATGAAACTTCCAAACAGAGCCAGCAGTTTATTTGCACATGATGATGGTAACAAACGTTTGCAGCGCCACAAGCGTGATAGCCGCTCTTCAAAACAGAGTGAGTTTTATTCCGATTTTCATCAAAGCTTGACATGTCGTAACCAAGTCATTAGAGCCCAATCCTTCGAGAACGAGAAAATGGACCGATCGCACTGGTACATTTACCGTCGTTGCCGAATTTATCGGTCTTACAGACGGGAAAATACATCTGCACAAACAGAACGGAGTGAAAATAGCTGTACCCGTTGCTAAAATGTCGATCGAAGATCTAGAATATGTTGAAAGAGTTACTGGTGAGTCTTTGGATGAGGATAAGCCGCTCTCTGATATCCGTCGTCGCAGTCAAATACCACTGGAGAAGCCAAAAACTGTAGGCGCCTCTATCAAGAAAGAACCGGATTACGATTGGTTTGATTTCTTCCTAAAGGCTGGTGTTGGCCCTCATCTCTGTGAACGATACGCCCAAAACTTTTCAAAGGACTCGATGGATGAGAGTGTCCTGCCCGATATTACTTCGGATACGCTACGTACATTGGGCCTCAAAGAGGGTGATATTTTACGAGTCATGAGATATCTCGATGGAAAATATAATAGGAAGTCGAAGGCTCGAAACGTCAGTTTCGGGGGTGAAGAAGTGATTGGCAATGGAGAAGAAAGCGGAGGCCTGTTTTCTGGCCCTGGAGGAGCCCTTCGCAACAATACGCGCAAAGGCCGACCTGCTCCCCCCGTACAAACTAGCGATGTCGTCGATCCGAAAGCGTTTGAATTAAAAGACTCCTCGAACCCGTCACCAGTCGGGAAAGAAGCTGCATTATCTGCACAGGGGAAGGATGAACCGAAAGGGTTTGAAGATAGTGCCTGGGAAGTAAAGCATCCCAAAGCGACCGCAGAGGCGACCGCATCACCGCCCGCAACGGCAACACAAGCTCAGAGCCAGCCAAGTCTCACGGGAGCCATGGCGGATCTTTCCTTATTGCAGGAGCCATTGCAGCCATCCAAGGTATCATTAGCACCCCAAACAAGCCAGCCAGCAGTATCTCAACCGCCACCCCAGTCGATGCCTCAGCAAGCACCGCAACAACAGCCACAGATGACGGGCGCAAATCCCGCTTTCTTCGCACAATTAGGGCCTGGCATATCCCAAGCGTCCCAGGTCCCTGGATTAAATGCGCAGATGACCGGCTTCGGGCAGCCTCACCAGCAGCAGCAAGCCTCTCAATTCCAGATGCAACAACCGCCGATGCCTCCAAGACAGCGCCCACAACCTCCGCCCGCCGTGAGTCAAGGATCATTGCTTCCACCTCCGCCCCCAAGGCCCCTTTCCGCTCCGAATAATCCAAGCGCTCTTGGGCCAGTTCCTTTGCAACCGCAGCTCACTGGACTTCCTCAAACCAGCCCACACCTTGCACCGCCTGGCCATAGCTTATCGGAGCTTAATCAACAACGATTCCAGCAGTCACAATTGCAACCCCAAGCGACGGGGGTCGCTCCATTGGGTTACGGAATGGGCCAGCTTGGACAGCCGACTGGGCTGATGGGACAACAACAAGGTACCTTTATGAATGGACCACAACAGCCAGGCTTTCAAAGTCTAGTTCCGCAACAAACTGGATATTCTGGGTTTTCTCAACTGCCAGCACAGCAACCCCTACCAGCTGGGTCTATCAACTCCGTCCTTCCCCCACCTTTACAACCCCAGCAAACAAGTGCCAACGGCTTCGGAGGGACTGGTAATTTCGCGGCTCCTCCACCTCCTCCGATACCAGAGCTTCCAGCTGCGCCACTACAACCCCAAAAGACAGGTCCTGCTCCTCCTGTCCGTTTCGGAGTGCATAAAGACACAAAGAAGCTAACCCCCCAACACACCGGCCTTAAGGCGAATCTCGCCCAAGCAAGTAAGTAATTTTCTATACCCGCGTTGAAGCGCATCTTTGCTAACTAAAACTCCCAGCTCCATCAAATCCATTCGGGTTTTAGCTGCCTTCCTTCTCTTTGAAAGTATAGTCAAACTTAAGTTTTATATTGGATTTATCAAATGACCGTTCGAACCATGCCGGCGAATTACAGTATTATGTGTTGCTCTCTGGTTTCCTCCTAAACATACTTCATGTCTAGCCCACCGACTAATCACCGTTTTGGCTCTCCTTGCTCCTTTTGATTTGAACCTTGAATAGCCACCGATGTAATTACGCGAACTTGCAAACCAGACTAGACGCCATGTTTCAAGTGCTCTTCTCTGAAGCCTCTCGCCATTTTTTATGTCCATGTCTCTTTCCAATGCTTTCACGCTTCCATGGCTTCATATCTGCTAGCTCCTCCCCCTCCTCTTTTTTTCTTTTTCTTTTTCTTTTTCTTTTTTTTTTTTTTCTGTTTTTCTGTAATTGTCATTCATTTTGGCCTACTCCCGAGTAGCGAGCTTTTTCTTTTCTGGTTTTGATTATTCTGTGCCCTTTGCTTACGATCGCTAGGTCTTGTTCCTCCGGTACTCTTTTCATAGTCCATACATTATTCACTGTGTACTTACATGCAGCATAGCATTTCCTCTTGTGTCTTTTCTTTCTTTGGTTCCTTCGTATTGTATAGCTTTAATCAACACGCTTGATGGTAGAAATCTATCCGCGATAGGCTTACATACGGCAAAAACTGATTGCTTTTCGACTACTCCAGCCGAAAACTATTCAACCTCTGGCAATGGAACACTCTACCCGTTATAAATTCTTCAGTTAGATGGATAGTGGGAAGAAATATACAATTGAAGCAAAAAGGTCACCGCTTGTGAGTGGAGACGAGATGGTTTGAAGTGAGTAAGCCAACTAGCAGATCTTTTCCATGCAAGGAACGAATGGTTGCCATTATGGTGAGTCTGATATAATGCATATGCAAATAGAAATAGGGAAGCAGCAGAAGCGAAATAGAATGTCAAAAAGAGCAATGCAATGAGGAACACAGTGTTTGGAAAATAACAAGGAGAGTGAAACAATCTGAAAAGCCGAAGATCAGGTACAATAGACACATGAAGGGACAAAGGGAAAAAAAAAAAAAAAGAGAAGAAAAGAAAAGAAAAGAAAAGAAATAAAAGAAAGAGAGAAATAAAAGAAAGAATCAAAGCACAGCAGAAGATTTAGAAGCTCGAGTCAAATTATCCCACATCATCATATTACTGCCCGGAACTCCAGAGTTACCTATGCTTGTAGTTTCCCGCTAACGATTCATGACTTTGGATAGAAGCAAAGAGGTTTGAAGAACAAGGTGCAAAGATGCCCGAGCGGACGTACGTTAAAGGAATCACATCATGCGATACACGAGATCGGAAGCCATTTCACCAATACCATCGAGGAGATCACGGAACCCAAGGTTGGGAGGGATCATGAGGCCAAAGGCACTGGTATCTTTGCCGTCAAGGCCCATTTCTGGTGAGGTGTATGAGGCCGGAGAGTAATCGGGTGGTTGGTAACCTGCCAGCTCCCGGACCTTGCATGCAGCAAAGTGCGTTACGAGATTGCGGAGTTGATTGTCGCGGGCTGGGGGAGCATTGGCGGGAGCGAATGCCGGATCCTCACGTTTGGTGCTGGTGTATGCGAAATGGAGAAGCTCGAGAATCTTGGGGACGTTGGTTGGTCCGGCATTGTCGGCAGAAGAGGTTGTCAGGGGATAACAGATAAGGTCGCGATGCAATTTAGTCAGGCAGAGCTGGGCGAGAGTGGGGATAAGATAGCGGGACGCGAAGACATAAAGCTTTGCATGGAAAAGCACGTAGGGCTCCTGGCCAGTTTCGTTGCTGTATGAGGAAACGCTGCGTAAGATGGGCGACGGAAGCCCCATGGCTGAGTGGTACTGCTGTTCACCATACTGGAGAGAAGTGAACTCATCCCAGAGGGTAACGCTAGAACGACGGGCGAATAGAAAAGGGTTCTGGGGCTCGGGTCGGAGAGGTTTCGGTCTCGAGGCATCAGCCTGCTGCGAAGGGTCCTGGTCGAACGGGCCCTCGCCCTGAGTAGCCTCCTGGCCACCTTGGTTTTCTCCCTCATTCTCTTCTTCCTTTGTTTCATCTTTTTGCTCTTCTCCTTCAGCCATGGGTGGCGGGGTGCTGGGTGGAGTCAAAGCCGATGCCGCACCTTCATCAAACGACTTTCCACCTCTCTTTTTCTTGTTTTTCCCCTTTTTTCCTTTCTTCCCAGAGTCTGGCATTCCCTCAGCTCCATCATTCTGGGCGCCGGCGTCATCACCACCCTCTGGGCTCACACCCATCTCTTCTCCCAAGGCCGGCGTTCGCGGCGGGGATGGCGCAGGCGGGGGAATAGGATTCATCATCGCCGGTCCACCGAACGGTGCACCATGGGCCGGTGTCGATTCCATACCTTTTCTTCTATTTGGAACTGTGTAATCACCTGTGTAGGCAAATTCACAAAATCCAACAAAGGTCTCGACATCTTCCTCTTCTAGGACGGCAATATGGTGCCTCGACTCGCGAGTGTGGCCATTGTTCATCAACTCATCCAACGGTTGGGACACATGGCGGGCAAGGCCAGACTGGATAGTGAGTTTGATATGGTCGGGGCCGACGAGGAAAGTAAATGGAGGAGAATGGACAATACTGTTGTTCCCAAATGAGGATTGCCGGTCAGTGAATCTGAACTCTTCTCACGAAACAAACTCGCCATCATTCTCCGATGATATATGTATATATAGCTTGAACTGAAAATATATACTTCAGTGCAGGATTTGGGAACATTGGGCTGAGTACATGGCCGAGAGTTATTCATGGACTGTCCTAAAAGTAATCGCATCCATATCGCGCGCAGAGAACGTACCTATTGAAATTTGGGGCCGGCCGCGCCATTCCCTCAAGATTCAAGTGGGGTGTTCGCCCACAGCAAAATCCCTTATAAAGGTGTATATGACTGTAGGGATAGAGAGAGACAAAAGAAAAAAACAGGAAGTGATTATCCAGAGGAGCACTGTTGGATCTTCAAAGCAGTAGATGGGAAGTCTGGTAATAGCACCTGGCTGCGGTACCCAGGAGAATATATAATGCAGATACCAGGAGAAATGAGCTCCTAAATGCGGCTGGTTCCTGCTACGTGTGAAATTGTCATGGGGGTTTCAACCCGACACAAAGGGCAATGTATCTGTTTCTCAGAGAGTCAGTGCACTGTTCTGGAGGGAGAGATATGCAAGCAACAGAGCGCACCTGAGGGGAGCCAGCCGTCACATCTTATCCACAATGGTAGATAGCGCATGCCAGGCTGTGGGCAGAGATACATGGCTGCGTGAAGCAGGGCAGCCAGTAGATGCGTTGTCGTGTCAATAAACTGAGCGGCCAACTGTCGGCTGTCGACGCGAGCAATTCGGTATTCTCATGAGCGGTTGGATCCACGCTGAGTCGCTTGAGGCGGTCAATGGGCAGCCACCCGGGTCTTGGAATTTCAAAAGGGACCTCGTCGTTCTTTGGAACCTTCGATGGAACCCGTTCTCGAGGCAGCATCCTATTCGTTGGTGCGTGAGGTATCTCTGCAGATGGGGCCCATATGATCCCAGCCAGCTGTTCATCGCGCCGAATCGGATTGGCGACTCGAGAATTGGGACGACGTTAGGTACCCAACCTCCCCCCTGCACCCGACGGGCGGGCCTTTTGAGTGTGCAGGCATTTCCGCTTGTGTTGTTTGCCGGAATGAGGCAGATGGGAGAGAGGTGATATTACCACGATATCTCGGAATCCCCTCCGCCCAGAAGAGAATCTGCCAATCTACTAAATAGAATCCCCAACCACCCAGCAAATCTGGACGATCGGCTCTGCGCCCACTCAATGCTCGTGGAGACTGGACAACAGATGCTATTCACGACCGCCGATATGAAGGGCTTCGAATCGAACCACAACTTCTTGTCTGGAGGCAAATATCGGGCAATGGCAACGTGAAACATATTTACAACATCGGCCACCTGTTTGACGACAACCTACATCTCTCAGTGGCGTGTACCTGCGTACTTTTCATTGCAACGACAGCATGCTGGGTCAAACCGCAACCGCGATATCGAATCCAAATCCACGCAGCAGACGATTATTGACGACGCGTGAGACAAATCTATAGATCTCACACCGGGGCTACCTGTAAATATTTTCGATTTTTGCAGATCTCAATTTTCCACCGATTCGAAGGGGGTAATCAGCCTCGAATTCCGGCAGAAGCGATACTCTTTAAGACATCGCGCCCAGTATACCGTGTTTGTTTCAAGATTGCACGTTGACAGCCAGAGGCAACGAACAATATGTTGCAGTAGTTGTATATTATATCAATGTATGTATGTGTACGGAGTATACATGCGTAACATAAATTTTTCAGGCCGACATTCATAGCCATCCAACCGCAGGGGTATAGTCGTTCTACAATACAAATCGCTCTCATGCTGGCCGAAGTGGTTGAGCGGATAGAAAATTTCCGAATTCAGGCCACCCGATGACCAAGGAAAGTCAAAATAAACAAAATGTCCAGGTAGCCGGATAGATAACGGAGTGCTATTCCCGCAGAGGCTGTAGACTTGGGTCCTGCCGCTCCGTTATTCAAGGCGCGAGGCCTGTTTGGAATCAGAGCTACGCCTTGGGATCCCTGTTGCCCAATTTAGTGCACCAATCGTACATCCCTCATGCCGGGCTCCCACTCCCTCAGGACGTCACGAATGCTATACCAGAATCGCAAACGCACGCACTCCCTCACTGCTTCGTCGACATCTCCTCGGTCGACGGCAGCTCCCAGTGCTCGTACCGTCTCATTGACCCGTCCTTCATTTTCGCTTTTCAGGCCCGAAATTGTCGCTTCATTCTCTGCTTCTTCAATCATCTCTTGTGTTTCTAGCACTTGCATTAATGTTTCGGGGTCTTGAGGGTGAGTCTTCGCGCCGTCCTCGGAGGTCACGTCGATCCCGTGTTGGAATAGGAGCAGATACTGCGCCCGGGTCAAAGGGTCGGAGAGAGTACGATATGCATCGTTTATATGCGCAGAGAGAGCTTCGGCCCGCTGTTTGGTAGCTCCCGATGGGTACTTGTCAGGATGGACGAGAGCCTGCAACGCTAAGAACTCCCGACGGAGATTTGGGATAGGGATATCGAACGGGCTTGCTGGAGGAGGGCCCTGCGGTAAAGTTTTTGGAAAAATGGTATAATGATTGGATATATCCGGAGTCTGGGTCGCGAAGAGATCTTGCGCTGAAGGTGCTGCCGAGGGCGCCGAGCCTGAGGATGTAGCCACCGTCCGAACCGAAACAACCCCCAAAGCAGTGGATTGCTGAAACCCGATACGTGCCGGTCGTCGATTCTGACAGAATATACAGAGACCATTCCTCGTGTTCAGATTTGCTGTGTTATGTGATTTCTGAGACGACGACTGGGTACTGAGCCGGAGCAAGCGGCCTGCCGCGTTGATGGATCGGTGCATTTCCACCAACCTCGATGCAAAACAGCAGGTGAATCAGTCAGAACCAACGAGAATACAGAGAGACCGAGGGGGAGAGAGAGGTAGAGAGCGACAATAGGTATCAGATGGATTCGATACTGAACGAAGACGGATTCAATCAGGGGTCGGCTTATCTGATGGACGAAGCGGTGATGCAAGATCTGATAAGATTACAAATCAAATTTCTCCGCTTCCAAATTCGGTTATCTCACGTGATAATGGGTCTAGTCTATTCCTGGTCTAGTACCGATGTGTTAGTTACATAATCCTGTCATGATTGGAGACGGAGCCGCAAGTGCCTCGACTTCCGACATTCTTTGCATAATGGACTCCAGCGACGGCGACCTGAGGTCATTTACGGAGTACTCCGTACATTCCTCCTCGTCTGGGCCAGACGCAGTCTCTCCTTGCTGAGTTCCAACCATGCCAAGGATAGAGCGTAAGATAACCGGTCAAAGTGGTCATCCTTCCAGTGGTATCCTTGTGGAGCGACATTGCTAGGCGGCCAACTGGTCGATCGAGGTCGACATTCCTTATTCGATCCTTGTCCAAAGGATTCACACCATCAGGGTAGCTTCAGGGCGGGAGTGACGAGAGAGTGTGCGTCGTGCTCGCTTTGAGAGGCCGAATATTCCTTCGTTGACTGCTTAGTGGCGCCCTCGGTTTACTTTATATATATATTTATTTTTATCTTTTTAAACGCTACTACCATTCAGAAGCCAAAGGCTTGCTTCGCCAGCATGAGGATTGCATTTTTTAGTATACTTCCTCACGAGAAAGATGCCTTAGAGGCATTCAATAAAGAATACCACCAGGAATTGGTCTTTTTCAAAGATAGCCTCTCAGAGGCAAACGTGGCTCTTGCTGCTGGCTTCCCAGCAATATCAGCCTTTGTCAACGATCAGTTGGACTCAACGATTATGAGAGCCCTGGCCGAGTCTGGGACCAAGCTCGTGGCCCTGCGCTGCTCCGGTTATGACAGGGTCGATATCAAGGCAGCGACGGCGAACGGCATCACTGTTACGCGTGTCCCCGCCTATTCTCCAGAAGCCATCGTCGAGTACACCGTCGGAATGTTGATTGCTCTTGACAGGCGCACCCCTCATGCCTGGCAGAGAGTGCGCGCTGGAAATTTTGATTTGACGGGTTTTGTAGGGCATGGGATCCATGGAAAGACTGTTGGTATAGTGGGAACCGGGCGCATCGGTGCGGGAGTTGCCAGGGTGTTCAAAAATGGGTTTCAGTGCGAGGTTCTTGCCAATGACCTCTATCCCAATGCGACGCTGGAACAGCATGGCGTCCGTTACGTGGAGTTCAAGGAGCTGTTAAAAAGCTCTGACATCGTCTGTCTGCACTGCCCATTGACTACTGCGACTCGCCATATTATCAAAGCCGAGACATTGGCTATCATGAAACAAAATGCCATTCTTGTCAATACCAGCCGAGGGGCGCTAGTTAACTCATCAGACCTTCTACACGCATTGGAAAAAGGTCGCATTCGTGGGTGTGCCCTTGACGTCGTTGAAGGGGAAGAGAAATATTTTTTCCAGAGCTCAAACCAGGCCAAACATATCGACGATGTTTTGAGGCGGTTGATTTCCCTGCCAAATGTGATGATTACCGGTCATCAGGCATTCTTGACAAGAGGAGCGGTCGATAGCATTGCAAAGACAACCTTGAAGAGCATTCGCAATTTTGAGTCCGGCACATTAAAAGAGAACGTGGTGTATGATAAGTATAACCAATGAGGTGAAATTCTCCAGTATCATTCACATATAGCGCCAAAAAAATCTTTGATAGACCTGGGGCTCACTGTGACCAGATGGAGCAAGATTGGGGAATGGGATTTGGATGATTCACAATTGGCGTCACAGCATGTATGCAGCAAGAGGTCAAATGACCATCTGAAAAGGAACCAGAACCATAGCAGCCTGCATATTCACAAGCAAGACACTTCTTTTGGTCACAAAACTCTTTTGACGTTTTGATGTAGATATGCACTACAGAGTCGTTGGAATATTATTTTATCAAATCACCTACAACCCAAGTCCCATAGACAATCTCATCAGATAATTTGCAGCATGAATTTTGATGAGCAGTCTTTCAGCAGTCCTGTCTGTTCCGCTCCCATCGAGTGGTTCTCTGCATGTTCAGATGCACATGACTATGAAACCGGATGGTATTTCCTGTGCGGGGCTTCCAACGATACAGATGCACTCGCCGCTATCCTCGGATTAAGGGATGGTGAACATCTCGGATTACGCCCTGCAACAGTGTTTGGGTTCAAGGCGAGGAAGTGGGGTCGGCAGCCCGTTCTTGTAAGAGAAAGTGGTGAAAAAGACAGCCCAAATGGAGATGCAGCGGTTTCCGGGGCGGCGCTCAGGATTGAGAGGACGGACCATGCCAAAATGTTGCGGGGCCTGCTGCCGAGTATGTTTCGAGTCGATAAATGCTACATTCGACTTGATCGCGATCGCGGGGAAGACGACGAGCTTATCCGCGGCTTTGCTTTCGTGTGGGATGGAAAGACCGAAGAGTTGAAGAACTGAACACCTTTAAACTCGAGACCAGGCCAATCATCCTCGCTGGGGACTCTGTGCTGCATTTGGCCGCATTGCGACGCTGCGCGTTGGCCATCTGGGGAGGGTTCGATGCCCAACTTCCCGGCATCAGGCGTCCGGAGAGACCCTGTGAGGAATTAACTCTCGTCTTGAGAACTGCGATCCTCCCTGGTGTCATCCAATTGCTGCTGCAGAGCCAAATCTCTTCGCATCCTTGATTTCCTGGGGTTTCACGTTGGCTGGGGTGTTCCAGCTCTCGAAATCTTCGAGTTGGCACTGCCCCAATCCCCACCCGCTGCCATCATGTCGCCAATGGCGCCCTGTGTCTCATGCTCCAGCACATTCCCCCCATGGACGTCTGGAGTACATACCCTTTCGACTCCCTTTTCGTGCAAAAGCATTCCGAATGCTCTGACGGATTTGCTCTACTCGGGGAGAGCCGCGAGAGCGCTCGCCCGGTGATTTCGCCAAGAAATGATCGCAGGGCTAGCCACTGAGCAGAGAAAAGCGCCATCGGCGTCTGTGTCGGCGTTCTTCGAGACCAAGTCCAAAAAGTTCTTTGCTGCAATCGAGAAAGCAACGGGATATTATGCAAAGGCAGCCCATGGACATCCTGGCGCCCCGTAAGCAAACTCTGTCCCACTCCGGGGGGTTCTTCTGAAGGTGGTCTTATTATTTGCAGATGAAGGACGAATTCTAATCTACGGGCTTCCATGTTCGCGTGTATTCCAGGAATGGTCACCAGCAAGTAACCCATACCTCTTCTCACTGGGATAAGCTCCCTGTGGAGCTCCAGCTTTCCATTTTCTGCCAGTGCCGCCTGCGGGATATCCAATGCTTACGGCTCGTCTGTCGTTCTTTTTGCGACTTGGTCGACGCCAATGAACATGCCATCGCTCGAGATTACCTCCGAATCAGGCGTCACGGCAGCCTCCCGTCCCTAACTCACCGCAGAATAACTCATAGCCGCGCTCCTCAAGACGATGTCATTCTCCTTTCAGATCTTTTTCCACCACCAGGGGCAATCGGGGATTTGAGAGATGCGTATACATTTAGATACCTGGCCAGCTTGCGACGTCGCCAGGAAATCTGTTCAAAATTGTCTTATTATCTAGCCGATCGGATTCTGGATCGTTATATGCAGAGTCATCCCGCAATCAAGGCATCTTTCGCTTCTAAACGAGATCGACAAGCTTGCTATGAGCGAGGGGTCGCGCGCCTCCAATTTAAACTTACGCCTTTGATGTGAGTGCCGTCATCGCCCTTACCTTGTGTGTAGGTTTTGCAAGGAAAATGAGCTTCATCTAATTGAACAAATTTCTATCCTTCCAATCTGTGTAGGTTTTATGTCCTATATTTCCTTGAAGTCTATTCTCAATCCAAATCGGACCAGCTGGATCACATGTACTCCCTGCTTGCAACTGGATATCAGAACGTGCCGCTAACCCGAGCCCATCGCATCGATGGCGAACACATGTCCCAATGTCATATCATTCGTTCCCCTCCCTTTGAAGACCCTGGCGTGCTTATATCTACCCATCATGTCTTCTTTGTCCTTGCCTCATATCTACTAGACGCTGTAGCCCCTGACTATCCATTCAACTCTAACGGAGACACTCTGGCGAGTATGCTGCTTACCATTGGCCTTGAACGCATCGTTGAATTCTTTGCCGCCGAAAAGGGGGGAGGGTATAACCAACGTACTCTCCGCAGGACCTTTATGAGGAACATGCAGAGGGATTGGGATGCCTATACCAAGAGCGACAAAGTCATCGGGGTGTATGGTGGAGATGAAAGAAACCATGACCCAGTTCCCCTGGACCACATCTGGCACTCGCCCGCGCTCGAAATGTTGAGAAGGAAAGGCCGCATCCCTCATCAGTCGCAAGATTGGGTGATAGTGTGGGAAGGAGTGAAGATATATTTACATTGTCAGCATTGTGAAGGAATGCGTGATGGATGGGCTGCCGCTGGCGGGTTGTGATGCGGAGCAGAATACTACATTTTTCTGCTTGATTCAACTTGATAGACATTTGGACACCAGGAGTGGGGAGAAGGGCGGGCGCCAGCAAGCACTTTTTACTGAAGGGGCAAATAAATTGGCCACTTAAAAGGCCGTGGAACGAAAGGCGGGCTCTCCATGGCCTTTGCAGGAATTGCAGTGTATATGTGGGAAGAGGATGGGCGAGTCATGGAATCTCAGTGATAGTGATGGAGCATACTTCCATAACTGTTAGGTATATAGAGTCTAAAACCTACCACAGTGACACAATCTGATAAGTACCCGACTTAGAATTTCCATGGCGGGCTAATGCTTTCAAGTATATTCACGGTGAAACCCTTCAGATAGTCTAAGCACCCAAGACCGTCCCGGTTCTTCGCCTTCTTATACATACTCTCCTGGGCGAGTTTCAAGTCCCATAAGGGGCCGTAGGATACTAATGATGAGATCGAATAGAGTATGCCTCACTGAGTGGCCGACATCTCAATCTCGTTGGATAAGAATTAGGTCTCATTATCCATATTCCAGCTCAGCCTTCAATGCCCCATAGCTTGACCGTGCGATCATGCCCACAGCTTGCAATCCACTTAACATCGTCGCTCACATCTACGCTGAGTACGTTCCCAGAATGACCGCTGAGTGACTTCACCAAAGACCAATCATCGGCACTGAAGACGTTGACATTCTTATCAAATCCGGCGGTAACGAAAAAGGTCCCCGATTTCCTTGGTTGGATTGGCTGTCGTGCTGTCCGCTCCCCGTTCGCAGAGGTCGGGCCGTCGGTCATCTCCACGTTCAGCTCTCCCTGTGAGAGCGTAGGTAGGTAAGACGATGTGTCCTCTGTGCCTTTATACCATCTCAAATCAGATACCACCCCCTTGTGAGCGCCCACACCGCCCGTTCCACGAACTTGCCGGATATCCCAGCATTTAACCCAGCCGTCACCTGAGCCAGAAAGGACCCGATATGAGTCAATTCCCCAGTCCAGAGCATATATTTCGCGAATGTGGCCCTCGAGGATCATTACTGTTCGGCCCGTCCGCAAATCCCAGATACGGCCGATACTATCCAAACCACCACTGGCAAGAAGAGAGCCGTCAGGATTGAATGCTAGGGAAAACACTTCGCGAGAGTGACCTTCTTGCAAGAGTAATTCCGTGCTTGTCCTTACGTCCCACAGTCGCCAGGTAGTATCGAAAGACGCGGACGCCAAATACTCCCCGGAAGGGTGAAACTCAACACGGCAGACGCGTCCAGAATGCCCAGATAGCGTTGATAGAGGGGTGTCTTTATTTAGAGACCATAGATGTATATTTCCTTCGCCGCCACCCGATGCAAGGTTCACGGAGTCTTCCGATACGTTTGAGGAAGCGAGGGTCGCACCTGGGAACCACGAAATGCCTCCAATTCGATCCGTATGTCCGCGAAGCGTGGCGCTTTCTTCTAGGTTTGGAACAGAGAGCAGTTTAATGCTCCCGCCCCAGTTCCCGGTTGCCAATAATTTCCCATTGGGCGCGAACCGTGTGATGCTCACCGGGCGGTCTCCTGCCAACTGAGAGCCGAACAAGTCAAAACTCTGTAACTTTTCTTTGATTGCCTTTCTGTGCTTAATGTGCGTCCGTAGCGGTATCGTTGATTCCTCCTTTTGGCGTTCTATTCTCGCTTTGGCCCGCGGTAAAGAGAACTTGGCGATATTTTTCCGCGCCTCAAGCAAGCCTTGAGTGCCTTCGGTGTAGAATTCCTCTTCGTGTTCCTGTTCTTCTTCAGCTTCTTCCTCAGCCTCTTGCATCTGCACATCCGCTCCCTCTTCCCCGGCGGCGGCGGCGGCCGCTTCTTGCTGCTCTTCGAGTTCAAGCAGTAAACCTCTCAACCGGTCGCGTCGGTCTGTAGCATCTTCACCAAAGAGAGTTATAGGATGTCCAAGCTCGCGTAGTCGTGAACGAACCCGTCCATCGTCTGTCGGCACCGGGATAGCGGCGGCTCTTCGTTTCCGTGAGAACTGAGATAGGATCGCGGACGCTTTCTCCGGCGCTATCCCAGCAGTGGCCGCGGGCAACTCATAATCGCGATCAACAGCTACGTTGTTAGAGATCAGTCAGACAGTAATTCTTTTTTTTAAAAAAAAGGAGCTCAAGGAATGCTATTCCCGCTGGCGGTTGACGTACGAATATTTGCTAGATCTACCCCGTCCATATCAGTATCCTCTGTCGCGTCCTCCACATACGCCCTCCGCGACGGGTTCATTGTGGCGGAGAGGGCTGCGCGTATTCGTGGGGAAGAAGAAAGCAATCCAAATGCAGCTTCAATAAAGTAATGATCTCACATTTGCCATCAACAGCCTTTGTATCTCGTTTCGAGGGTTAGACAGCGTCGGTCATTGGAAATGCCAGACGCTCCAAAGAGGAGAGGACAAAAAAAACCCGAAGAAGGATTGCGCGCCGGCCTGTCCAAACTCCTTCAGAGCCAAAGATACGATAGTTATTTCTGGCCTGGTCTAAAGCTCCGGTTTGTCGGTATATGCACTAAATATCCAGCAAAGCCAACGTGGATTTCCCTAGACTTGTCCGATCCAAGCTTGCCGTCACTTGCGCTCCACTCGCCGCAGCTCTGTTTCTTTTTTCCGTCCCAACCTTCGACAACCTCCCAAAACCTTTTCTCTCGCTACGGTTCCGCGTATCACATACTTAAATACATTTTTCCTCATGAAAGATAGAATATTCTTGATGTAGAGGCAAGGCTCGGTGCCCATGCCTCTGACCTGTTCACAACGACATCTCCCCTCTCAGATGCCCACGCAGGAGGGTCTTGCATTGCGTGGGACACCGCCCGATTGTGATTATTCTGTCAGATGGCCACGGTGACAGTCGCCAATTCAGCCCCCTGCCTGCGAGGTCTGGCAACGCTCGCTCGATCGTTGAACTCCGCAGGTCGGATTATTCCCCAATGGCAGCCCCTCGCGTGTGTCGTTTCGTCGGGGAGACGACTAGGGGATAACAGGTTATTCCAATCCAGCTCTCAGGCCTCCTCGCGCCCTCGCATGTCCTATCGTATCGCAGTATCTTCCTCCGGTAAAGGCCGCAGATTTAGTCCGGACAGAAATGTCTGCAGCTTCGATCCAGAGACACAAGATGCCATCGGACTACAACAGGGAAGGAATTATTTGGAGCGGAAATTAAGTCGTCCGGATAGTGGAGAGGATGCCTTCTTCGTGAGCAAGATCGACCACCATCCGAACGCGTTTGCATTCGGCGTCGCCGATGGAGTAGGCGGTTGGACGCAATCTGGGGTTGACCCGGCGGATTTCTCGCACTCATTTTGCAGTTATCTGGCGGAGTGCGCATTGAAATGGGATGCATCGGCTCACGAACTGCGCGCAAGAGCCTTAATGCAAATGGGATATGAACGGACGTTGGCTGACAGGACGATATTTGCGGGCAGCAGCACCGCGTGCATCGGCGTCGCCTGCGAAGATGGAACCGTCCAACTGGCAAAGTACGGAGACAAGTTCCTTTCTCTACTTCTTATAGACATCGTCTAACTCATTGAGAATTTTTAGTCTCGGGGATTCCGGCTCGGTACTGTTCCGCCTGGCTGCCGTTCATCACTACTCCACCCCCCAAACCCACGATTTCAACACTCCTTACCAGCTCTCCGTAATGCCGCCCTTAATACGGATGCAATCCGCTATATTTGGTGGTAGGCAGTACGAAGATCTTCCCCAAGACGCCAACGTGACCAACTACCGCCTCCAGCACGGCGATGTGCTTTTACTAGCAACTGACGGAGTCTACGATAACCTGAACAATCAGGATATTCTTACCCTAGTTACAGGACGGATGATGGCGACTGGGGCGTGGAATGGGACTGCAGACATGGGTATCGGGGTCTCTGATGGACTAAATGCTCTCACACAACCTGCTGGACTCTCATCCGCCTTCTCATCTCTAAAATCCCGTCCACATTCGCATCGCTCTCGTCACCACCCCCACCATCACCATCACCATCACCATCACCAGCAACACGCCAACCCTGAACAGCCATCGAGTGCCAAAGCCATTGACGCGCACACACGCAACCACACACTCCAAGCTCTCCTCGCAGTAACCATTGCTGGAGAAGCGAAGATCGCTAGCATGGATTTCCGACGCGATGGGCCATTTGCCAAGGAGTCACAGAGATATCGACCTTGGGATCATTGGCGAGGTGGAAAACCAGATGATATCTGTGTGATCGTCGTGATTGCTGTTGAAGAAGGAAGGGATGTTGTGGATTAGTTCTGGACGCTAACTGCGCTGTTTTCACGCTATAAAACTCAGGAATGGGCCTGTATATAATACTGCATTCCCAGGAATTAACAAGCCGAGCGACTGTTTTTGTTTTTGTTTATTTGTTAGACATATGTTATTTTCTTGAGCGCTTACATAGCCCATGATGACACAGCGCGAGCAGCTTATTATCATCCATACCAAGACAAGCATTTGCTTGGTAGATTAGGCATTCTTGCTTCTTGAGCAATCCCTAGCTGATTTTGTGCCGGCATTAGCAACATCATAGCATCTACAATTTAAAAGCCGCGCGTACATTTTGTTTGATGTAGTTTTGGCACCTCAAGTCATGTAAAAGCAATATGTATGTACTGTACATTTAAGAAATTTGGAGACAAGAGGCTAAAACGAGAATCCAGCGCCCCGCCTGTCGCATCGTGATATATGGACCGCATTTTGTTGAACCAAAGGTGATATGAGATGATAATAGGTTTTGAGGGATTAGGACTGCATTCTGCTGTCAAAAGAGAGAGAGTGAGAGAGAGAGAGAGAATTACATAACCGTGTGAACTGGCGTATGAGATGACCTTTTAATCTCGAATATCTTTCTGAACTATTTCCTTGAACCCGTGATTCCTGGCATTTTATCATTCGCACCATTTATTCCCACAATGGGGTCAAGTTAATTTCTTATTTGGCAAAATGCAAGTCATAAGAGAGCCACTGTCGCGCCTTGACGCCGGCAACATCCAGTCCCGGAGTTCCGTATGTGAGCGGAGCAAAGAACCCGAATCCCCAAATAACAGCGCTGAGAATAGCAATTGTGACCGCCCATATGGTCATGATGCTCTGACGGCCCATGCGTGCGCTGACGCCACCAAGTCGACGACGATGACGTGCGGAATCACTGGTATCCTCCACGTTGACTGGGTCAACGTTGAAAAGGAACTCGACAAGGGCTCCCGTCACGAGACAAGATGCAATGTGTGCGGGAAGATAATGGTGAAGGAAACGCTGTCGACCCATCAGATAGAATGGGAAATAATGGGCTGCCCAGCATAGATAGAAAAACCCAGTGCTATTATAAAGCCGAGAGCGGGTTCCTGGACCCCAAACTACAACGGTGTGTTAGTGAGATACATTAAAACTCCTGGTTCAGGTTTCATAAAAACTTACTTTCTTCAAGAGCATCTACTCCTCGACGCAATGAAAGTTGATCAGCACCGATAATACCCGCGAAAACCGCCAAAAGACTGCTCGCGATCCACCATCCAACAGGGTTGCCCAAGAAGTAGATCTGCTCTCTGGTATCATTCTTGGTCCAGAAGCTGACGCCACGGAGAAGGAAAGGCCACTGGAACGGTTCACTGGCATATGGGTGACTGGCAGTGAGCGCGTTGTTGTGATAGAACATCGCCGCCTGGAGCTCAAGATACTTCTTCAAGAAAGGCATGTGCTTGACTTGACGAGGCTCTCGAATCAAGCGGGGATTCCCTGGTTCTAGTGAAGGAATGTCTTCAGCAAACCATATATTTGTTGACTCCTGAGCATTCTTGTTCCCGTTAATTTCAGCTTGTTTGAAACCCCACTCAGGCAAGGGCTTTGTATGTGTCCACATCGCGACCTTGGTTGGAACATGGATGAGCTTGAACAAGCTAGCCAATGTTCGGAATTCTTCATCGGATTTACCATGCTCGATTTTGATTTGAAATAAAGTATCATTGTGGCGATTCCCAGCTGCCAATTCATGAGAGACAGTGGTGAACTCCTGATTTGTGGGATAATATGGGGAAGCAACATCATGAGTCAAGAGAATCGTGTCAGTGACAACGTGTCGAAGTTGAACGGTATCGCCATTCTTGATTACATGGCCTAAACGGTCGTTTTCTGCGAAAGGCACTGATGGCAGGATTTGCCAGTGATTGTTGGTATCATTGTAAGGGTATCCGGTGACTTGCTGGCCTTGACTAGATATACGGCCGTCATCATATCGGAGTGGATATTTGTCCAGATGGCTGTGAAGATATGTTTTAGTTTGCTTGTGTCGGATAGTGATGGTGTCGTAGTATTGAACTCCCACGGACTTTGCAGCCATAGCATTGTCCATCAGTGTCTCCTGAAATTCAGGCGTCATGAAATTGTCGCCAGGGCCGGATCTGTTAAGGACCGCAAAGTGGACCTGGAACCAGAATAAGTAGAAAAAGAACGGCACGACGATCAAGCCCAAGGCGCGAGCGGCGAAGTGCTGGCCGAATTGGAACAGGGTAAGAGAACCACTGCGGCGATTGACGTCAAGAAGGTTCCACAAGTCAATCAAGACCGCGGATCCAATGGTAACGAAGGTAAAGAGTCCGACGTATTTGGTTGAAATCACACAGCTAAGCGAAACTCCAGTCAACAGCAACCATTTCCACCATTTACGGCCAAATGCTTCGTGTCTCAATTTATAAAACCGGACATAGCAAAGGACACTCAGAGCCATTGAGAGGACCAGGGTCGCGTCAAGTAAGATCAGCCTGTCCTCGCCGACATGAGCGTTATCAAACAATACCAGCCCCGCGGAGAGCACGCATGCCGGCAGTGAGTATCCAGATTCCCACATAATCAAGAATACCACTGGGACGGTGAGAGCACCGAGTGTCGCGGGCAAAGAGCGCAGCGCAACATATGGCACCTTGTTCTCAATGTAGGAGTCTCCAATGCTGTCAAAGAGAAAGTGGCCGTCATATCCGACGAGCCATCCTACGAACGCGAAGAGGAGCTTTGCAAATGGAGGGTGAACATCAAAGAAGTAGGTACGTTGGAGGTAATATGAAGCAAACTACAAAAAAAGCTCTGTCAGCCAACTGGACTTCCATAGCTCGACAATTCTCAATCGCCGATCAATTGGAAGAAAGAATCGGTTGGATTCACCTTTCCAAAATGCACCTCGTCAAAAACCACCTGGTCTGGGAAACTAATCTTATAGAAACGAGAGACAAATGCCACCGCTGTTATCACCGCTAATGCAAGTTTGTAGTCCCATTCGGAGCTCGGTTTCATCGCGGGCTGCGGGCTGAATGCTGGCGGAGCCGTGGACACCGGTGCTTTCTCCGGGGTGTCAGCGCCGCCATGTCTCTTACCTCCTCGCTGTCGAACGCTAGACGGTGAGGAGGACATCGTGGTCAACGGAAACGACAAGGGCGGAATGTATGATTAAATATTTTTTTTTTTCTTATTTAAAGAATAAACACAGACGGCTTATCTGGGGGGAGGAGTCTGTCTGCACACGCGTCAGCGAAATCGAAAACCTAGTTTCAAGGAAAGCTACCTTCTCAAGAAGACCAACAAAGAGGCATTGTAATGAGAGTCGAGAATAGTTGAAAAGAGAGATTAAAACCGGCTACGAAAAAGGGAAGGCCAGAACACAAAGAAGAAGAAGAAGAAGAAATGGGCTTGAAAGAACAGGTTGCTTCAAGAGGACGATGGTGAAATGGCGTTGTCGAGCTTGTGAGCCGCCGGCTGTGGCTCCGATGAAAGGGGGCTCAAAACTGCGCTAGTCCCAAACTGACTAAAACGCCCGACCCAAAATACCGGCTTCTGGTTGGCCGGAGCTCACCCCATGACCCCAAACCTTAATTTGAACCTGCTTATGTCATCAATTCGAATGGCACGTGAATGCAGCGGTGCGACGACGGCGAGACGGATAGACGGAGAGAAAAAGCAGTCGGATGGAATGGTAGAGAGGGTATTTACCCGGTGATATTGTTAACATTTATCATCATGAGCATACCCTGCCGTTATCCTATATATATTAAAAAAAAAAAAAAAAAAAATCAAAAGGAAAAGTGACTCCCGCTAAGGCCATCTAAAATGTATGTACCGTACTGTTCAAGATGCTGTCGCAATATTTCGCCGCGGTATGTTAGTGATAGGTAGGTTCAGAGGGCCGTGGTTCGTTCAAAGCCAGTGTATTCCAATCGATCCAATTCCTTTCGGACGAGGTTCCCAAATTCTTCCCTTGGGATCCCGGTGGACCTCGCCAAGAGGTATAAATTTGTAATATTGGAAGATATGTATTCGCGCACTCCCATTTCAGCCATAGATTGGTTCTCTGCGGTCCGCTCTAGTCTCAGAATAGCATCTGACCCCTGTGAAGAGGCGGATTCCGGCCTTGGATGGCTCAGAGAAACTGCAAAATCGCTCACTGCTGGCGGAGTGCGTGACCTGCCGTTCTGATGGGCGATGCGTTCTATCTGCTGCCTAAGGACACTAGCAACTGCGTCACCGTTCAGTGATGAATCTCCAACTTCATTCGGGTCCACCGACGGATCATCATTGTCCATCGCAGGCTGGACCTCATCATAACGGTTATAATAAGAATCGTCAGACGTATCTCGTAGCCGCTTGATGCGAGAGTTATCTCGGGAGGGCGTCTGATTTCTCACGGGTGTCCTCCCTAGGTTATCATCGTACTGTGCCCAATAATCGTCATCGTCATCGCCGTCGCCGTCGCCGTCGCCTTCGCCTTCGCCCTCGTTATTATCGTTGTACGGTCTGAGCGCGTCCCACGTGCCTTTCAGAGCTTCTTCCAGCACGGTATCCTGCAGGAACGCATTCGCTTCTCCAATCGAGCCAAACCACGTGTGTCCTTCATCCTGGAGAGAATCAAGCGGCAAAACCTCCGCGACTCTCCAGCCTGGACCACCACCTTCCTGGTCGCCTGGACACCAAACATATATGGGTGCAAGATTGTAATCTGGTAATGGAAATTGTGCACGTAATGTTTCCACGTCAACACGCTTGTATCGTGTCTTAATATCATCAGGGATCTCTATCTCCCCAGAAACGGGGTGGGGTTCGAAAGAGGCTCCTCCGATGATGCGCTCGATCTGCTCCCCTCTGCTAGCATTCCAGCAGAGCAGCCGAATCCAAGAATCTGCAGACGATGGAGATACCGAACTGAAGAGCTGAACACGTTGCCGAAGAATGGGCGAGAGGAGAGGAAGCAGCACTGGAGGAGGCCGGGGAGACGCAAAGCCGGCGGGAAGACATGCAAGGAGCGAAGGTAGCAGCGACGTCGGGTCCGGCGCAGGTATGTAATCGTCCATTTCTCTGTAAAGCGAGAAAAACAATATAAATATGTCTAATAATAAATATCAAAAAGGTCAAGATGGCTAGGGAAATTCGTATAAAGATTGTATTTGAAGAAAGAGGCTGCGGAGTGACAAGCTTCGTGGTAATCCGGTTGAGCTTCCTTGCGGGGTCAGCTGATGGTAATAATGATGCGAGGGGATGAAGCTAGGAGCTCTAGAGGCCCGGGGGCTCGGGATAGATGCGGAATGGTACCTGGGAATGCGCTGGCTTGTCCCCCCCCCCCCCCCCCCAACAAGGGGCGGTTTAAGGCCGCATTGCCGGCTCCATTTTCCCGGTCGTTCAGCAGGGTGTGGGTTACATACTAATATGGGCTGTCGGGGGAGTGGCGGGCGACAGACAACAGCGGCAGGGGTGTCTTACACATCAGCCCCCGAGGGTCCCAAGCCGCTATCTGTGGATATCCAGTGACCTGACGATATCGAGTGCATTTTTTTACTTTTTTTTTTTTTTTTTTTTTTTTTTTCCAGTGACGGAGCCGAGCGGGATTAGGTAGCTTTGACAGGTGAGCAGCCGTTAGGTTTATCCGTGCATTCCGCCCTGCCTGCTGATCTGCCGCGCTTACTTAAGATTCTGGCATCTGACACAAGGCGGCAACTATCGAATGGTCTGGGCGCTCAAAATTTGACACTTTCGAGGTGCTCAATGCCAATAGAGGAATGAGATATCTCCTTTTTATGTTGTCTTGTCGCGCAGCCGAGGAGGTTCGATGTGAACACCCCTGCGTTGCCTCTGAGTTAGTTGCCCGTATTCGGGAACCGAGGGAACTTCACGGCCGAAAATCCTTGAAGCAGGATTGTGTAAGCACTACGGAGTCTTCGAGTTCCAAAAAGCCATATAACTTTTGTCGTGGCTGCCATTAGCCGTGTATTCCAGGCATGTCTCTACTTTTCCTGTTGTGGCTCTTTTCCTGAGCTGTCCGACATCCTAGACGTCAATTCTTTTTTTTGCTCCCGCAGCTAGCCTTTCAGCCAGCCAACCCCTCCAGAAAGCCGACAGCCCAGTGACGACAAAAGTCTTATTGAAAAGGCTAAAACGGAGTGCTGTATTGAAAAGTGTACGGAGTACAAGAGAAAAGAAATCTCCTAGATTGCTCTTGACAAGTGATAGCAGCCTTGGGTATGCCGACAGGATCAGCCAATGGCTGTCCGAGAGCTCCCGCGGAGACCGGGGTTGATGAAGAGAGAAGAGGGATAAAGGGAGCAGTGGACGAAAACGACGAAGTTTGGGTCCAGGAGCATGAAAAAGGTATAGAACGCAGATTGCGCCGAAAGGTCGATCTTCGTTTATGCACGATTGCCGGCATTCTCTGCAGCTTGAATCTGATAGATTCTGGCATCATTTCCTCCGCTGCAGTTACTACCATGATAGACGACCTGTCTTTGCATGGAAATCGATTCTCGGTTTCTATTTTCATCTTCACTGTCTCCAGCATCGTTTTCCAGCTTCCATCAACGCTCGCAGTCCGCTTCGTTGGCCCAAGGCTATGGTTTTCAATGACCACAGTCTGCTTCGGTCTTATTACTCTAGGCACCGCCTTCGTCAAGACCTGGCAACAGATGATCATCCTCCGCATCCTTCTCGGCATATCCATGTCTGGCATCTACCCGGGCCTGACCTACCTTATCAGCACGTGGTATACGCGACAAGAGCAGCAGCTTCGATATGCATTCATGCAATCTAGTGAAGTTTTGATCCTAGCAACCGGCAATATCCTAAACTATGCGCTTAACCAGCTTGACGGCAGAGCAGGCCTTTCGGGATGGCGCTGGATGTTTCTAGTTCAAGGTCTGATCGCCTGTGCTATGGGAATAGTTACGTACTGGTGGATGATCGATTTTCCAGACAATGCACACCAGAGCTTCTGCTTCCTGAACAAGGCCGAAATAAACTTGGCTACCAAGAGGATTGAGATTGATAGACATGACGCAGTCCTGGATCAAATCTCCTGGTCTAAAATCGCTGTCAATTTCCTTGACTTTAAGCTCTACGGCTTCAGTTGCTTATTTTTCCTTCTAAATCTCGTGTCAACCTCGTTATCCTACTTCCTACCCATCATTCTCCAGTCAGGTATGGGTTTTAGCACCAACAAATCCATTCTACTCTCTTCCCCGGTACGCTCCATCCTTACAGAATTGTGTTAAAATCTGTGACCCGTCAAGAATTAACCCAAGGCAGCCATACTACTACGCTATCATTCCTGTCCTGCTCACGTCCCTAATTGGGGACAAGTTTCGCCTACGCGGACCTCTTATCGTGTTCAATGCTCTCTCATTAATTGCTGGATTCCTCATGCTTGGTCTTCCAGCCTCAAAACAAGTCACTGTCCGCTACATCGGCACGTTCCTTGCGACGGGGGCTTACGTTTCCAATTGGGCAGCCCTTAACGCCTACCAAGCGAACAATATCGTTGGTCAGTGGAAACGAGCCACTGTAGCTGCCGCAGTAACGGCGTCAAATGGTCTTGGGGGGATTGCGGGTAGTTTTATCGTGCGGTCTGTTGAGGCGCCGACATATACTACTGCTGTTTGGGTGTCTATCGGGTCAGCACAACACCTTCCTTCGCACGAGTATAGGCGGGCTCTAATACAGTTTTTAGTTCACATATACTAATGATCGCAATTGTTGGGATGTTCTCTATATATTTCTATGTTGCGAATCAGAGACAGCAGAAAGGGAATTTCATCATCGAAAACATGGTAATTACGCTTCATTTGCCCCGTTTCCCCTATCCTATTCCAGTTTAACAAGGCTGACCTTGAATATGAACAGCCTGCCTTCCGATATACATATTGAGTATTGATGAGGTTCTTTGGCAATAAATGCATAAAAGAAAGACAGCGAATATTAGAATAGATATGGATTTAAGCCCATCGGAGCAGGAAGTTTAGACACATAGCGTATAAAAAACTGACTTTCTATACATACAGAGTACCTGGCAATATAAACGAATTCAATAGGGGTATAATATCTCGAGCTGACCGCAGTCCAACTAGTTGACATTGGGAATTGGGGTGAAAGAGAAGAGTTCAATCCCGCTAACTTAATGATCTTGCAAAGAGCCGAATTGGGACCTGTACAAAGAAAACAGAATGTAGTGGTGAGCGGTGACGAAGAAAGATAAGTTTCCAACAAACTCAGAATAGAATATAGATCGCGGAAACATGATCCTATCTCTGTCATGGCTTATCAAGACCTTGCTCCAATCTCCCAACCAAACGTTTCATCCCTGACCACTCTTCCGTGCTAACTTCCTCTGGCCCTCCACCTAGCCCCTTTCCAACATCAAATACTGTAACAACACCATCCAATCCGCCCGTAGCAAGCCGTCTTCCTTCCTTTTCTTCCCATGCGACTTTGTTTAAGCTCTTAGTCAATATTCCACCCTTGCCGGATGTGGGAGTTGCACAGGCAGTCGGCACTTCAGTCTCCGTATATAAATCCCACACCTCGAGCGATCCGGCACCAGTGACAAGGGCGAACACGCCCGGTCGATTTGGAGACCAGCGAGCATCGTATACAACGTCCTCACGGGTGATATCGAGGATTGGAGAAACGGTTTGCATGCTTGCCGCCGAGGAAGACGTCCCTGAGGAAGTGGATGTTGCCGCGGGTGGGCGAACTCGCCAAAGCTTGACGCTCCAGTCTATACTTGAACTAAGCATCAAGTCTCCAAGATCAACGGGGCCACGAGCGGGATGGAAAGCTGTTGACATAACTGGGGCGGCATGGCCACGATAAGAAAGGCGGTGGTCTGTTCCCGCTTTGGCGCCAGCGCGATCATAACGGTGACAGGGGTATATAGTGCCTTCTTCCGTGCCGACAAGGAAAAATGTGGGATCAGATTGAGGGAACGAGAGGGTTGTGGGTGCAAGATCTTCGGTTTTGGAGGGTGGAGGAGTCGTGAGTTCAAGGTATTCCTGTGGTTGGGAGAGCATGTCAACCGTCCAACCGCAGACCACCCCGTCGGTTGATGCTGTCAGGATGTTGTGAGCATTTTGGGTGCCAACTATGGTGATGCTATAGACCGGATGAGTGTGGCCCGACCCCGATAAGGGAGTTTTCTGCACAGGAGCGCCTCCGCCTGCACGCGAGGATCTTGTGTCCCAAAGAAGCACCTGTCCAGAATACGAACCGCCAATGATAAGGTTCGGATGGAATGGGCTGAATTTGGCTGTGAGGATATCGGATGTTGAGTGGAATATGTATTCGGGTCGAGCATGGAGATGCTGATTCCAGACCTTGACGAGTCCGTCTGGGTCGTGAGGTGCGGTTGGGTTCTTGGTGTAAGAAGCTATGACCAGTTCAGGGAACTATTACACATGTTGTCAGTATAAAAGCCTTCATGGTCGTGGGTAAAAGAGCACCGCACCTTTGGAGAGAAGCTAACGTCGGTAATCATACGCTTCTTACTCCATCTCTCATCCCAAAACTGAGTGACCTGCTTTATTTCTCTCCGCTTCTTGCCCAGTCTGTAGTCGTCATCCTCTTCGTCCTCGGCCCCTATTCCACCCAGTGCATAATCTGCAAGCACATCGTAGTCTTCATCCAAAGCTCGCTCAATAACTTTGCTTGATCTTTCCACAAAATCTAAAAACTCCCCTGAAGAAGTGACTGCATTAAGCTCATCGCTGGTCAGCGTGCGCAACGGATATCTAAATTGGCCGGTGGGCTGAGCATCGCCGCCTGCTGCTAAACTTTGTGTGGCTTTTAGCTCTTCTTCAATTTCCTGCCGTAGCTTTTCTCTGATCTCCTCGTCTCGCTCACGCTCTCTTCTGCTGAGTCGTTTATTTGCACGCGAAGTAGTGGGGGAGTCCTCTCCCTCCGATTCTGTTCCATCTTCTGAAAGTGTCTTTGATTCCGTCCACGTGTCAGTCTGCACTGCTTTGCTGTACGTTAGAATTTCCGGCTTCGGCGACGGCGGAGGAGGAGCGGGTTGGGGCACGGCATCGGAAAGGTCATGGGTGGTCTGCGTTGCGATAGACTGGGATAGCGGCCTTATTGGTGGAGTATAGGCTTCGATATTTTCACCGCTGAGCTGTCCGCCACTGAGGACTGAGTTTGGACGGCTTCCGCGACCTCTTGGTGACCCGTCTCCACCATCCCTGTGAGCGGCAGACGACGGCCTGTCAACAAGCCGGGAAATTAAACTATCGAGCTCGGCTCTATCCGAACGACCAGGCGTAGGAGCTAGAATCTGCAGTATAAAGCAAAAGAGAAGGAGACCTAGTCAGGGCGGGCATTGGACGAGGGCATGGGGACTTCTCCTTGCATACTCCGTACGTACCTCTGATGATTCCCCTATGCTCATGCGGGTCTGAGAGAACTCCCGCTGTCTCAATTCTCGCTGGCGCTTCAGCTCGGCGAGCTTGGCCTTCTTCGCCAGGATTTCATCTTTCCGCTGCATAGCACTCATCTTGACGGGAAACAAAGGCTCCTGCACCACAGCGAAGGTGTCCGCTTCTCGTCCTCCTCCGCGTTGCTATGATTTCTCCAAAACGAGCAACGCCGACGACGTTATGTAATCACGGAGCTCAGGGGCCTTACGTAAGCAATGGTCAGTTCCGCCAAGCAAAAATCCCGAATCTTCGAATTGGCAGAGCCGACAGCAAGACACAGATTTGATTGCTCGACCAGCCAAGCGATCCCATCCCCGCGCGTCCAAGGACCCATTGCTCGTCCGGGCTGTCTTGTCTGATATCTTGGACCATTCGCACAGACACTCTTTGCTGCACCCGCCGTTTCCTCTCGCTATCCCTCCGATTGACCCCAAGATCTTTGGGGTGACATCTTCCAATCCAGCCATGGCCACATCTCAAGGAATTAACGTGAGCTCCCGCAGCGCTACAGCCAAAAGTAGCGGTGTCCACGGGATCGCCCCCTATGCTGACCGTGAATATTTTAGGTGTTGCGCTATTCTGCCCTTTTTTTTGGTGTTTTCTACGGCTTCTATCACCAATCCTCGTTGAACGCACAAGCGAAGGCCGCCCAGCAAGACCGTGAATATCACCGGAAAGAGCAATTGATAGAGCAAGCCAAGGCTGAGTTTGCGAGAAGAAATTCGCCTGCGCCAAAGGAGCCAGAGACTGGTGGTACGTCATTCAAGTTGGACTTGGGGTCCCCGACACTGCCTCTAGACCTCTCGATTCTACTTTACAGACCCTGAAAACTGATAACCTACTAACTGGGATTCGGTTATGTAGTGATTACGGATCCGGATGATGCAAGATTCGATCTAGAAGCCTTCTTGAAGATGAAAGCTGGTGAAAAATAGAGCAGAGGTGCGAACTTGAATGTCGATGAGGTTTGAGATGAAACGCGCAAAGGAACCAGCGGATGAATCCGGGGCGGATATCACAGCAATTCTGATCGGCCTGACGTCAATTTGCAGGCGGAGAGAATATCCATTTTGTACTATTTGTATCATTTAAAGATCTCCTCCTTGGACCGACAAAAAGGGGTACCAGATCAATAGATTTCATTTTTCTGTTGTACATATCATTGGGTATCTCTTAATACCGTGCGCCTGACTTACAGGTCGCATTGTTGTTGATCTGGTGTCAGTGAAGCGATTGTCTCTTCCCTCTAGAACAAGAGCCCAATTGCCGGCAAACCAGTGGTCTACAACACGGCAATTGGTTTCGCGGCAATCGGCTTTCCCTCTCGCATATTGCCCGATAATGTAAGATGCCGTTGTTGGCAAAGGATCGGAGGCACGTGCCTCGTACGATTCATGGCCCCCTTCTTTCATTGAATGAATATCCACACAAATCCATGGCTCAGCCGCCATAATTCCCCAAAAGCGCCGCCAGTTTCCCAATTTTGACTTGGTCTAACTCAGTGCCGCCAGAGACGGGACGGGGCACCGGCTTCAATAGCTTTGTATCCGAATCATACTCCCACCCTTTTTCCACTAAGGCTGCAATCAATTCTGAAGTGGCCGAATCTGGAATATCTCCCATTGCGTCATTTTCCGCTGAGCTAAGATTGAAGCCGAGGTATAAAGCCGCGGTCTCAGGTCGGATGGCTCCGTAAGTGATGCTGAGCTCGCCCAGCGTCTTGTCACGGAAGTAAGCTACAAGGGAGATCAGTCATGAAATTTTTCCAGAAAAGATAGCGAGCCCGAACTCACCGACATAAGTTTCGGCCAGAGGCTGAAGCATATCTGGCCAGGCTGACTCTCTCAGTACTTGGTAGACCGTAGCATGCTTTTTGTTCCAGACTGCTCGCAGCAAAGTCAATGTATTCTGCAAAACGACATCTGCGCTTATTAGACTCTGCGGTATCCTCTGCATCAACATACGCGCTTCATTGCTGTATATTCAGTTAGCAGCGGAAGTGAGTGGCTCTCAAATTGCGCCAGGGCCTACATTTCGTCCCGCAAGAGGAGCGCGTAGAAATAAGCCGAATAGTACGTCCGCAGGAACTCTGTGTCACTAGGCACATGCGTCTCACCAAACCGTAAGCTAATTTCTCCCTCAGCGTCCATGAGAGCCTGGAGAAGAGCGGCAGCAGAGGGGGCTGAGGTCAAGACATGGCTAAGCTCCTCTAACGTTTGGGGAGCGGTTGACATTTTTTGGCGGGCGGGTATTGTCCCCACTGTTCAATATCTAAAGGCTCTGGAGGCTCTTTTCAGGTTCCCTGCAGCTCGACTGTTGTCCGCAAAGCAAAGAGTATTTGCATGGAGGGTTGAAGCTCGATGACAGGTGTGGGGGAAGCCTCCGCTGCGATGCCAGTAAGCTCGTTGGTTACATAAGCGCGGATATGACAACGCCAAGCCTCCCTGCCGGCTTGAGAACACGAAGCTTCATCCAAGACGACCAGGAGAAGTGGAAAGACGGCTTGCTCCTTAATGGAATAAGGGCAATTGCTGGAGGGCTGGCTATATATTGTATAGCGCTCGCTAGGTCGCTTCTTCTCTCGCCTTGTCTTCCTCTCCTTTCGGGCCGAAATGGCCGCTACCGCTGTCAACCCTTTGCTCAAGGGAACCACAAGCTCAAACACGCGTGGCCTGCTTCGGGTGATCATATTGGCGTTTATTGCAGCAGCAGCAATTTCCAGCAGGTTATTCAGCGTAATAAGTAAGGAGATACTTAGATTTGCCCCTAGGCACTCAATTTTTTGGCCTATCCGTTTTGCTAACCACCTCCACATAGGATTCGAAAGTATCATTCACGAATGTATGACCATTCTCCGAAGAAATCTTATCCCGAATTTCTGCGCATATATCTTCTCCTGCCGTTGCTGACCAGAGTAGTCGACCCGTGGTTTAATTTTAGGGCAACAAAATATCTGGTTAAGCATGGATTCTACAGCTTTTGGGATTGGTTTGACGACCGTGAGCTTCCCCTCTCGCTAGAAAGACTCTCCCCGACAGAGCGTACTTTGGTTTCCAGTACGATGCCTAACCCTCTTAATCATAGGAACATGGCACCCTCTTGGGCGTGTCACCGGCGGCACGTTATATCCTGGATTGATGGTAACCAGTGGTGCTATTTACCATCTACTTCGGTTTCTTTCCCTCCCGGTCGATATTCGTAACATTTGCGTTCTTCTTGCGCCGGCCTTTTCAGGCCTAACGGCTCTGGCAATGTATCTACTTACGTCGGAGATGTCTGTTTCACCGTCTGCTGGGCTCCTTGCTGCAGCATTCATTGGCATCGCCCCCGGATACATCTCCAGATCTGTCGCCGGAAGTTATGACAATGAGGCCATTGCTATTTTCCTCTTGATCTTTACCTTTTTCCTCTGGATAAAGGCTTTGAAGAATGGATCAATCATGTGGGGTGCTTTGACCGCCTTATTCTACGGCTACATGGTTTCAGCATGGGGTGGATACGTCTTCATCACGAACTTGATCCCTCTGCATGCTTTTGTCCTGATTTGTATGGGGCGCTACAGTTCCCGTCTCTACATTAGCTATACCACATGGTATGCCCTTGGAACTTTGGCCAGCATGCAGATTCCCTTCGTTGGCTTCCTTCCGATCCGAAACAGTGACCATATGGCGGCGTTGGGTTAGTAACAAGAGAACCATTTTCTTACCAAACCGAAAACTGACATTTATTTTCTTTTTTTCCTTTTTTTTTTTGCTAGGCATCTTCGGGCTTCTTCAGCTCGTTTCTTTCGTGGAATTCCTCCGGAGCCAAGTCCCTGGAAAACAATTCCAAACTGTCCTCACCACGTTGGTCCTCGTAATATTCGGTGTCGCTTTCCTCGGCTTAGTTCTGCTCACAGTAACCGGAGTCATTGCACCTTGGAGTGGCCGGTTCTACTCTCTTTGGGATACCGGATATGCCAAGGTTCATATTCCCATTATCGCTTCTGTCTCAGAGCATCAACCGACAGCTTGGCCAGCATTTTTCTTTGACCTTAGTATGCTCATTTGGCTTTTCCCCGCTGGGGTCTACATGTGCTTCAATAAACTGAAGGATGAGCATGTTTTCGTCATTATCTACGCTGTTCTCGCCAGCTATTTTGCTGGTGTCATGGTACGACTAATGTTAACACTGACGCCAGTTGTATGTGTTGCTTCTGCCTTGGTCGTTTCTCATATTCTTGAGACGTACCTTCGACTTAGTTCTCCTGACCCAGATGCACAAGGCAAACAGGCAAATGAGAAAGTCTCTCAGAGCAGCCCGCGATCTACTCGCAAGCGAGTTGTCGGAGTATATTCGACCGTCTCCAAAGCACTGGTTGCTGGTTCATTTGTAGTTTATCTACTGCTATTTGTTGCTCATTGTACGTGGGTTACGTCCATGGCATATTCTTCTCCGTCTGTCGTTCTCGCAAGCAAACTTCCCGACGGAAGCCAGTACATCATTGATGATTATCGCGAGGCTTATTACTGGCTTCGCCAAAACACCCCCAAAAATGCAAAGATCATGTCATGGTGGGATTACGGCTACCAAATTGGCGGAATGGCAGACCGTCCTACCCTTGTCGATAACAACACTTGGAATAACACCCATATTGCCACGGTTGGGAAAGCATTAAGTTCACGCGAAGAAGTCAGCTACCCAATCCTTCGTCAACACGATGTCGACTACGTACTAGTTGTGTACGGCGGCCTGATCGGCTATTCCGGAGATGATATCAACAAATTTCTCTGGATGGTTCGGATTGCGGAGGGTTTATGGCCAGAGGAGGTCAAAGAACGGGATTTCTTCACGGACCGTGGCGAATACAGAGTCGACGACCAAGCCACTCCTACAATGCGCAACAGTCTCATGTAAGTGCCTCTACTCCCTATAACTTTGCCTTATCACACTTGAGCTAATCTAAATAAGGTACAAACTCTGCTACTATAATGTCAATGCTCTTTTCCCAGGTGGGCAAGGGCAGGATCGCGTTCGCGGCGCCCGTCTTCCATCCCAAGGGCCTCAGTTAACGACCCTTGAGGAAGCATTCACAAGTGAGAACTGGATTATCCGAATTTACAAAGTCAAAGACCTAGATAACGTAGGCCGTGATCACAACAGTGCTGTGGCGTTTGAAAAGGGGCATAAGAAAAAGAAAGCAGCCAGCTTGAAAAGAAGAGGACGGCGGGTATTGAGGACGGAGTAAAACGGTTCTTCCATTTCTTCTCTTTTGTACTCTACTTGGTGGGCATATATGCATGGGGGTCCTTTTTCTTGGTATGCTTCGTCCTTAGTGTAGATCTTAGAATACATGCCTTTATGGTCACATATAGCTTTATTACCGTTGGCTTTTTGAGCCACTGTTAATTCAGAAAGCCTATTTTACATGTGATTTATCCGTTGATTGTGTGGTCTCTATATCAATACTTTGTGCTCCGTAGAGTACTCCGTATAGACTCGCATATACCCAACCAATGCCATTTCACCCTTGTCCTTTGACTGGATATCAGAATTGTTAAGCTAGACCGCATGGTCAGAAGGGGGGGAGAACACATAGATAAAAACAAACTCAATACAAACCAGGTAGGAGCATCTTTGTGTACTCTTGTAGAAAATAAAATTCATGTGGGTATGAATGTCTGAGGTCAGGGTATGAAATGGAACAGAAAACGAACTCTCGTGAAATCTAGAGCTTCGACAGCAGAATATGAGCCCGAAATGCAACTTTAGGAAAGGAATCAAGGAGTGTGGGTTGCTGCATTTTCATCCAGTGGCTGTAACAGTCTGATCAACTGGCATGTCCCCTTTCCCTGGCTCTAAAGCTTGTCCATTCTGCTGGGGAATAGATAGGGTAGCATTGCCTTCAACCTTTCCGGGTGATGAATATCCAGAGACTGAATTTCGGGGGGTGTTTCCCGGTTCAGTGCCACTATCAGGGGTTGACTGTGGTTGCCCCTGTGGTTTTGTATTGTCCGTCAGCTGTTTCGGCTGTTCCGGAAGGACTTCGGGGCGAAACTTGAGGAGGATTTTGGTTATCAAAGGGCGAGCTTCTTCCACTGTTTGGAATACGGATTAGGATATGTAGTGGTTGCGCGTTTTGGGCATGAACTATGACTTACCGGTCTTATACAGATCCTCTAGAGCATCCAGACATAATTCTTTCGCCGGAGGACGTACAAGAACAAGGTAGCTAACGTATATCAGCATCGGATCCCAAATACTTAGGGTACTTTGAAGGAGGCGTACTGTAGCGCTTGAACACACAGGTTGACTCTCTCCGGATCATTTGCCAACGTCTCCACCTTTTTGATCAAAGCGCGATTTAACTCCGGTAGCTCGCTTAAAAACCTTATAAGAATCTTATCCCTGGCGTCAAGATACGGCAGGATGCCCTCCAGAAGCCTCATCACCCAATAATCGTAGTGACTTGATACTGACACACCGTTCAAACCATCACCATTTTGCTGTGCGGCGTACTTTAACTGTACTCGATAATTGTACCATTCTTCATTCATCCAGGATATCGCAACATTGAGCCGCACCCGAAAATCTTCCAAAACGTATCGGTATAGCAACTCCCTGATCCCGTTCCCTAATGAAGGTCGCTGGGATGGGTTCACAACTTGTTTATTACCGTTCTCGATCTGCTTTACTTCTTCTTCAACATCTGCTTCTAAACCAGCGGATGCCCGTGTTGCCAAACGCGTTAGTAAGGTTAGCCAGGAATCTCGATCAAACGAGCTCGCAGCGAGTCTTCCAAATCCCAGAGTTTGCCCTGAGTCTTTAGCTGTTTTAGAAGGTTGGTCGAGAGTCGAGGCCATGTTAAACACTCTTTGGACGGCCTCCTTGCCCACTTCGGCAGCCTCCGTTTCGGACAGTGGAAGGGGTTGTGGAAGTACGAATGGCCCTAGTGTCATAAGATCGGGAGGGATTTCTGCAGCCCCAGCTCCTTCTGGTTCAGTTTGCAGCGGTTGTGATACAGGAACTGCAGGAATATCCATAGGCTCATATTCGGGCTCGTACTCATCCTCTTCCTCTTCAGCAGGTGGTTGCACCTGTTGTGCCTGTGCCTGATGCTCGAAAACTTGTTTCTTGCAAAGTGTGAGATGGCGATTTCGAACGGCCTAGAAGTCGTATTAAGCCATGAAGCGGCAAGAAAGCAGAAACAATGGCAATAAAGGAGGGAGGCTGCTTACACCAATGGCTTGATCCAAAGCCTCCGCGTCTATGCGATTTAGAATTGGCACCGTGATCTTAACAAGTAAGTCCAGCGGCAATTGTTTAACATCAAACGAAGTTAGGCCAGCGTCCTCTGTCAAAGTAAAGAGCTGGGCAAAGCTAGTTGGGCCCGGAGGCAATGGTGGAATTTTCAATTGTGGCGGGGTGTTGACGCCCAATCTTGCTCGTTTGGCACTATCAACCAAGTCCGTTGGCTCCGTGGGAAGTGCTCTCTTGCGCGTTGCTTCTTCGAATATCTCATTACGAGACTGTGCCATTCGTTCAATGTACTGTTGAATACGGCCTGCCAGAGGATTGCTCGGGTTTCTACGACACGGCTTGTTAGTACAAGCGGATCGTCCAGGGCAGGCGTATTACACACCTCTTCAACAAATTGACTAACAATGCTCTGGTTGTCCGTTCCATTGATTTGATGTTTACTCTGGCAGTTGGCGTCATGGGCGCATTTGCTTGTTTGAGCGGGTTGAAGCTCAGGATGGCATTGATAATCTTGTTTGAGATGGACGGACGCATACGAATCAACACCGCAAGAGAATTCAAAGTTGCATTTACAAGAAGAGGGTCACTGCGGAATGTCAACAACATGAGGCAAGAGGGATTAGAATGATAACGTACCTCGAATTCTCATGAAAGACATTCAGAAGTCTATCAAGAAGGCCCGATGCTTCCGCCTCGAGGTTAGGAATAGGAATGAGAGGATGGTTCTTTGGAACAAGCGCCAGTGAGATTTCATTTTTCTCAGGACGCTGCGCGGAAACGCTTCTTAGTACTTCCCCAGCTACAGACGTTTGCGGATCCGACGTGGCACTCACCCTTGGATCAGAGATAACTCCCTGTGTTTGAGCTTGCACGACTCTTTGGGCAAATTTGATACAGCAAATTTTGACGCCAGGAGAAGTGGCATCCCACTTCCTTAGGATAGCGTGCTTGATAGCTGTCATCCTTTCCCACAGGGTGGAATCTTCAGGGTGATCAATGCTGTTGACGCAGAATACAATCGATCAGAACCTAATTCTACTTTGAACGATGGCTGTAGCCAATTTGGGAAGTTTGTTGCATCCCACGTCGTGGGAGCATGCCACGATGCACACAGCCCTAAGAAGCTTGCATGATGTTGGGAGGGGGCGGGGGGGAGACTGAGGAGGTTGAACATACATATACCTAAAAACCAGCGAGTAAACACTAGCTGAGGCCTGGATAGCTCCTTTCAGCACTGCAGTATCTTCCATCGATATACTCAACAGATCCTGTATCGTCGCAAGGACTTCGGTAGCAAGCTTTTGCTTTGCTGGTTGAGGAAACGCGGGGCTTGCAAATGTCTCTGCGAGAAATTCGGCACCCCATCGTCGCAATTCTAGACGTGAATTGGGGCCAATTATAGGAATTATTCCGTGGACAATCTGGGGATAGAGAGCAGCGTCACCGAGAACGAGATTTCGCGCCGCGTCCAGCTGGGACATTTGCTCCACTAGACTACTCACCGGCAAGGCCATGGTGTCGGGGTGGCACTGTGCCGGACAGAGAGAATCGATGACGGAGCAGGAACGGTGATTGCTGGAGTGAAAGCCAGGATAGCTTTCAATATTTTACAGAGATTTCGTCGAATTGAAGGATGGAAATACCCGGGAACAGCCTAACTGAACGTTTCAGAAGTGAGGCGCCATCGAGCATGAGGAAGGCTGGAGGTAACCGGAGCTAGGAAAAGGGGGTACGACGGGCGGCTTCAGAGGAGAAGAAAGCGGGAGTAAAAGACCAGAGCTTACGATCCGGATAGCGATCTATGGCGGAGAGTGGGAGCTCTTCGATGCTCGTGTCTATATGGCTGAAGCTGCAGCGAACGCAAGAGCAAAGACGGCGGAAGACAGGCTTTCCGCCCGCTAATTGGTCCGTTTTTTGGCCCCGATCGATTTCAGTCCGCATCAGGTTTAGCGCATTCTTTTAAATCACGTGATTTAAAAGTTCTTGGCATGGGTTTCGCCGGTTCTCGAAATAACTATTTGATCCGGAGTTCGTCGGTTGGAAGCTAAGGTCGGTCAGTCCAAAATTGAAGCTCAACCGTCGTAGACCCGCCGCAGGACATCACAAGGGTCTCACACTTCAGGTTGATAAAGACGGCGCCAAAATGTCTCTGTACGTCTTGCATATAAACTATTTCCTTTTGTGACACAAATGCTGACCTCATATCTCCAGCTTCCGGTCTAGCTACTACGATAAAGATTACCGCGCGGGGGCCGCCCTCCTCCGTGCTCGCCGACCATATCTCGTGAAGAATGCATTGACGGGCGTTGTCCTTTTCGGCTTCTGCGTTAGCGTCTGTATGTGGGAATGGCGAGGATCTGCTCTGCCAAACTAGCACACTCTTCAATTGCCCTGTCACGCTCGCCCTCGTGGGCACTTCCATTTCAGTTTGGCTAATCGCTGCCGCATTCTATATTAGATGCTTTCACAATCAATGCTGTCGGACAAGATGATTTCTCGGACGTTAAGGTCCCCGATGCGCCTAAACAGCCGAACAAACAGTCGCAAAATTCATAGACATCATCCTCGCAACCCATTTTCTTCCCTAACCCTTTCCTACTCCCATTTTGGCTGCGACAATTTAGCATTTGACGGTCCCGGAGTTACTTATTTATAAGGCGTTTTACACGGAAATTTCATGAATTGCGGAATTCTGCTTATTTCTTAAGAAATGGAAACCGTGGGCAAGCGAGGACTGGCGCTACCATCCAGCTCACCCCTCTCGGTAGACGCGATAGCCGGCAGCCCCATCTGTCACTTCATTTTCTTTATTGTATTCATACTCTGTACGAACCTTGTCTTGTGTACATACATCACGCCACTCACTGGGAATCAGTTTATAGGACTTTATGCAACCTTGACAGGTGCTTAGAGCACTAAAGGAGTCTTGTCGAAACTGGTATGGCTTTTCTTAGGGAGACAACTGACAAAATCGCATCGAATTACACCAAGAATTATTATGTACACATGAGTGTGCATCCCTCTGGGATACTCCGACGCATATCAACACCCGTATGCCGCCAATGGCAAGAACAAAATGCCCCAAAGCAGGATGAACTTCCACTAAATGGCCCCTTTTCCATGATCCCAACCAGAGCATAAGAATTGAATGAGAGGAGCAAAAAGCGGCCAACACCGAGAAGAAATGCAGTTATAAGAATAGAATAAAGCCCCTTGAAACAAGTGAAACTCCGAGCTCCGATAGTTTCTCCCCAAGAAAAAAAAAAAAAAAAAAAGTAAAGGTCGTTACACCGGTTGAAGGCCCTCCGAATGTAGTAGGAGACGATTTCTAACGCTGAACAAAAGAGGGCACAGCCACCAACGTAAAAAGCAAATCATCATGATGACTCTGCCCCATATGCATTACCAAAAAAACGTCTGCAAATTTGACTTTGACAGGGGGGAAAAAGAGTATAATCAAGGCCCAGGTATTGAGTAACACTGAAATTCACCCCTCTGAATTTTATGGGTTTGTTACCCGACTTCTCTCGGAACTTCCAGCAGCAATACCAGCATTCTGATGCATTGAACCAAATGATTGTGGCTTTTGACGTGCTGCAGAGGTTGGGGAAGATGGCTGAGCTTCTCTTGAAGCTATTCCAAACCGGCCAGCGCGTATAGTGGATGATGAAGGGGAATATGGGATATCTCGCACGGAACTTGGTGGACCCATTGGCTCCACAGGCGGGCCAGGGGAGCGTCGCCCAAATTCGTGCTTCGGAAGAGCTTTCTGTGGGTGAGGTCTGCGCACATCTAGAGGTGACGAAGATAGAGATCGAAAAGCCGACGGTCCATGCATGTCATCACTTTCGGGATGGCGGCTGTTGGGCGGATCAGCAACTGGTGTGGGTATTCCAGGATTTCGACGGGAGCGGTCATAGTCGTATGGTGTGTTAGCAGCAGAAGAATTAGGAGCCGACGGATGCTCTGGGATGGTTGAAGCCGAACCGTTCGGCGCATTCAGATCCACTACCCGTTGTTGGGCCGCTGGGGTAGAAAAGGAGTTCGGAAACCTTTGATTATCCGACACCCTCTCTTGATGCATCTGTTGCCGATATTGTTCATGAATGGGGTGCTGCGGATTTGCCCATGGCGTCTGCTCAAGGAACTCTTCTTCCGCTGCCTGCCGTGTGGCTGCGACAGATGACATTGGTACGTAATCATGGTGTTGTGACAAAGGAGCATGGGGCAACGGATTCGGATTCGTGCGCCTCAGAGATATCTAAAATTTCCAACCGTTAGCATCTTCCCAATATATCGGGGTTTCATAATTATAAGTGATGACATACCCCCAACTTCGCAAAATCTTCTTCAATCTCATTACGCTGCAAACCCTTCATCTCAGGAGCGGATGGAAAACCAACATATTTCGCTGTCCCCGCCAAGATACTAACTTCCATACTATATGCAGCCTGCTGCGCTGCTTGCTGTGACCGCCGAGACGGAAATGGAATGCCATAATCGGCACTGATTTCGCTTGTCTGAAAACGGTCGTGTTGCACTCGGTAATGATGCTCGGAGATTTCTTGAAGGTATCGTTCACGGATGTCGCGAACATTCTGGTAGTACGAGCTGTTTACTTGACTCCGCTCAGCTTGGCTCTTGATGCACAGGGATCTCATTTTATATGCAAACAGCTTTTCATCGATTTTCATCTTCTCATCGCGATAGTTCTCGATTATCCGGAGCTGGCGGAGGAATTCAGGGTGAGTTGGGTTCGGCTTTTCGAGCTGAGCCAGTTCCTCGTTTATACTAGCGATTCGGTCGTCATAGATCCTAGATTGAATCAGCATCAACGTCGCATTAAAACGAGGGGAACAAAGCTTACTTGTCACGCAAAGAGGCAAATTGCCTTTCCAGGCTGAGCAGCACATCCATGGCGGTCGTCTTTTTCATTGCTAGTTGAAGTTAGTTTTATGCAGGGACAGTTACCGGGCGAAAAAAAAAAAAAAAAAAGGAAAAAGAAAGAAAGAAAAAATACTTACACTCTTCTAGTTTCAATGCTGCTTCGGGATCATCCGCCCCATCGGCACCGTCCCCATTTTCTTCGTCCTCTTGTAACTGCTCGTCTCCGTTTACCTGGTTGCCCTCCCCTGGTATATTTTCTCCCGTATCGTCATAAGTGTCCTTAGTTTTCTTTGCTTTTCGTTTCCCCTTTTTGCCTTTCCTTCCTCGGAAAGTTGAAGGGCGGGAATCCTCCGCCAGGTCTTCATTGACAGGCGAAACTTCGTCGTTGGATGAGGCCTCATTCTTCTTTGGCTCCATCTCAGGCGCATTCGTATCTGCACTTTCCTGTTCAGTTTCAATTACGGTTCTATCGCCAGAGGGAGAGCCACGGCGCTTTCGTAACGGCTCCTCATCATCCATATCCTCTTCTTCATCAACAGAAGCCCCGCGTTTTCTCTTTTTACCAATCGCTTCTTGCGGCGCGGATTGTGAGTTCACCGTACCTTCTTCAACTTCCTTAGAAGCATTCGAGACGCCGTTAATTCTCGTATCTCGCGGGGGTTTACTTGGAGAATTTTCGGCCTCGTTGATGTCATCTTCATCGAGATCGTCATAGGTGGTCGATTGCGCGAGCTTACTCGGGCTCGTCCCGTACGCCCCCGCGCTCAATACGATGCTTGTGTGGTTTCGAAGGCGGCTTGGAGAATCTTCCATGCGCTCAGTTTCCGCTTCGGAGTCAACCTCGTTGGCAGGCTTTTCTTGTTTCGGGGACATATCCTCAAGGTGATCTAGGCGTTCATCGATATCACTCAGACTGCTGGACCTCTCATCATCATGAATATCATCTGAAAGAAGGCCGTCCGGTATTATGGGGGCAACTGGACCGGGCGCCAACCGTGGCTCGGGGCCAGCTGAATCCGGGGGCTCCATCGACTTCGTAGATAATGGAGAATATCACGCTTGAAGAATTTTATAGCAAGGCAGTAAACCGTATGGTGCGAAGAGGTAAAGGTCTGAAAGGTCTCCGGGCTGTGGAGGTGAAACTTTTGGACAGAGAGCAAACTGGTTAGCAAAGCTCAAGTTAACAACAACCGAACGAGAAAAAGATGGACTGCAGGTATATCTGCAAATAAAATCCATAAGAAAGGTCTATTTGAGGGAGATTGGTAAGACTACTGTATCCGTTGACGAACGCCAGCCGCTGTGCTAGCCTTGTGAAAAAGTTGAAAAGACTGAGCGAAAAGGTCGAAATTCATCAACGGTTCCAGTATTTTTACACCATGAAAGGAAGGCGTAGCACGTTCCAACACAGGTTGCGAGCTAACCCTGGGCCAACGTACCTTGCAAGATGTTGCGCTCCACGGGCGCGCGTAGCTGATGGAGATTGAGTTGTGTCCAGGGCGATCGACACGTCAACAGGGAGGAAAACGATGAAGGCGTTCGAAAAAGAATACAGATGACGATTCCGATAGTCTAACGGGGGTGATTAAAACGCCTATTAATGCACTTGACCGTAGAAAACGGAGGGAGGCCTCATTCGCAACAGGGCCGCGGGGGATGGGTGGAAAGCGGGCCTTTAGAGCGACGGGGAGAGAAGAGAAAGGCGAAGGAGGCGATCGGCAAGAGAAGAGCTCGTAGGCCGGACCTTCGGTAGTGGCCAGGAGGACCGCAGAGACAAAGAGAATTTTCAGAAAAGTTGCGTTGAAAGAGGCTGGCTTGCAATGAGAGAGATAAGTGAGAGAAGAGAGTGAAGCACTCTGGGGAACCAGGTGATACCGACCGATGCTCCGTACTGTATTGGTGGCATGCGGGTGATTTGTTTCCATCATGACCTCGCTTGGCACAGGGTGACGGTAATTTTACACAGTCGAGCTCAGATTTTGGTCAGAGCGATCGGCATCCTCAGCCACAAGACGGAAATCTCCCCGTATGTCTACCGAGAAAGTTACGGTACCATCCTACTCTTCTGCGCGGCCAGCGGTAACTTTAAATTACGGTACTTTTTCACTAGCAAAAATACTGCCGCGCTCGAGCTCGGAGGACTGCAGCCAATCGCTGGCTCGGCTCGTCTGACCGCCTTTGTTGCGCAGGATCGTCCGCTCAGCCAGCATCGAGGCGACGATACCAGCTTAAAGGATGCGGACGAAAAGGCTGCAATGAGCACAGCCCGCGGGAAGCGGGAGATGAATAGACCATGGATATTTTTTCTGGAACTTTTGAGAGAGCACTCTATTCCATCAGCCCTAGCATTCAGCAAAGCCCATTTGAATCTTACAGGTATATGTATGCGATCCGGAGCTAGCTTCACTTAATCCCAATGTCCCATACGGAGTATAATAATGACATTACTAGCATTGTGGACATATGGACCCTGTACTCCGTAGTTGTCAGATGAAAGGCTGTCTCTGGTGGCCTCCCCGGCGATGAGTTGGTGCTGCAAGAAAGTAGGCTTTCCGCATCCGATGCTTGGGGACTGTGTGTCCTATAAGAGCCTTCAGTCTCCTTTTAGATGAACTACAGTACCCCCCCGCTTCTATCAAGTCTTTATACTGTCTCTTTCGTTCCAATTGGCGGCGATGGGGAACCAATTTTTTTTTTTTTTTTTTTTTTTTTTTTTGGGTTATCTGATTGACAATTAGATATCACGTGATAAAACTCAGGCGGGCGGACGGTTGCGCCAAGATTTCGGAGCGCGGAAATTTTGAGCTTCATGCGATTTGTTGATGTTGACGCCCGCCCTCAAGATACGCCAGAGAAACATCGCAGATAGTGAGGGAGAATTTCAGCAGCAATGGGAAAGAAATCCAAGTCAAAGGCCAAAGAAGAGGCCGCAGCCAGCAATGCGGCCTCAGGAGAAACAACGAACAACACGGGTTTTTCGCTCTTGTTTGGAACTAAGGATGCGACCGCCGTTGATCCCGCGCTGGCGTCGTTGTTTGCAAACAGCGTGAGTGAATGCTAGCCCTATCGTAGAATGAGCCATCGTGCTTTTGGCTACTCCACTCAAATGATGGTCAAAAGAGAATCATCATCACTAATTCAAGCGCTTGTTTACTCCAGGCCGGCCCTGTGAAATCTCCGGAAATCGTAAAGTCCAGACAGCAATTGTCCACTCACAGACGCGACGAACCCGCCGAAGAGCATGGCAGTGACGGAGAGGCAGAGCTTGCTGACGGCGATGAAGAAATGCCGGATGCAGGCGCTGAAAGAGTCGACGACGACGAAGACGACGAAGAAGAAGAAGAAGAAGAAGAAGTAAAAGAAAAGGATGCAAAACCAGATAGAGCCGAAAAGTCCCAGAAGCGAAAGAGGCATGAAGCAGAGGACGATCTGGAAGAATCATACATGAGGAAAATAGCCAAGGAGGAAGAAAAGGACCGGAAAAAACGAGCTGCAGCAAAGAACGAGAAGAGACAGAGAACGGACGAAAGTCCTGCTGTCGACTCTGAAGCCGGAAGCTCTGGTCCAGACGAGCAAAAAGATGATGAAGAAAGTGAATCCGATCAAGAAGACAAAGGCCCACCGCCTGTCCATGAATCCCTCGCCAACACCGCAGAGGCAGCCGCCTTAGAGAAATCCAACCGGACAGTATTCCTCGGCAACGTGTCGAGCGAAGCTATAAAATCCAAATCTTCCAAAAAGGCTCTCCTCGCCCACCTCTCGTCCTTCTTCCCCTCGCTTCCCGAGTCCTCTACACCACACAAAATCGAGTCGATCCGCTTCCGCTCCACCGCATTTGCGACGGCAGCGGTTCCGAAGCGAGCAGCCTTTGCCAAGAAGGATCTCATGGACTCTACAACCCGCAGCACAAACGCCTACGTCGTCTACACCACGGCCGCAGCCGCAAGAAAAGCTCTCAGTCTCAACGGGACAACCGTCCTCGACCGCCATCTTCGTGTCGACAGCATCGCCCACCCGGCACCGATTGATCATAAACGCTGCGTCTTCGTGGGAAACCTGGGTTTCGTAGACGAAGAAGCAGCCGCCTCGACCGACGATCAGGAGAAGAAAAGAAAGAAATCCGCAACCCCTTCGGACGTCGAAGAGGGTCTCTGGCGTACCTTCAACGAGAACGCCGGGCGCGTCGAGTCCGTCCGGGTCGTCCGCGACCCATCCACGCGCGTCGGCAAGGGGTTCGCGTACGTCCAGTTCCACGACCAGAACGGCGTGGAGGCAGCATTACTTCTCGACGGGAAAAAATTCCCCCCGATGCTCCCGCGCAAACTCCGCGTCGTGCGTGCGAAACGGACGGCAAAGAAGCGAAACGACTCCACGAGCACCAATCCGAACAGGATGGGCCTCGGGAGACCCGATCCGAGCTTGAAAGGTCGCGCGGCGAAGCTTCTCGGCCGTGCGGGTGCGGCGCAGCTGCGTGCGTCGGCCAAGGCGGAGAAAAACAAGAAGGGATCAGAGTCGACAGCGCCGTTTGTTTTCGAAGGCTACCGAGCGACGGAGGGTAAAAATGGGAGTCTTCCAGAGTTTAAAGTGAAGACGAAAAGCAGAGGAAGGCCAAAGACGAGAAGCGCGAGACGAGCAAAGGCATTCAGGGACGCGAAAAGGAAGGGTGGGAAGTAGATGGGAATTGATCGTTGTAGGAGAATACGAGAGCTCCAACCTTGTTTTTGAAAGGGTGACACAGCGTAGCTGTGGTCACTTTGGTAAACTGGTTATGCTGCAGAAGCATTGACAGCGCATTGATACATCTGTGCATATGGGCCTGGTGATACAAATGCAAAACTACATCATAGAGCGGCTGTGAGATTTGCCTGTTGTCACAAAGGTGCACACATTGCCCCAAAGATAGCAATAATTAAAGTACAGCATCAGCAAAGTCTTCAGATTTACCAAACCAAGAGATCAAAATAGATCAATGTTATGTTATGAATAAGATACAGGGAAAGAAAAAAAAAATATAAATAAAAGTATATGTAGTGATGACATGTACATGAGCGGTTGGGGGTTCTGTGACACATCCACAGACACACTCATTCACAAAAAAGATTCACACAAAAACATGAAGCTAAAACTTTCAGTTTCAGGCCGTTTGTTTCATCATGCTTTTTTTACAAGAAAGCCATCAAGCCAAGGACACCAGACAACAAGACTGCGGGGAAGCTCAAAGCAGCGGCGCCGTTGGGATCAGGGATAGCCTCAATGTCTGTTGTGGAAGGCGTGGCAGTAGGCTGCGAGCTGGAAGTGGCAGCCTCGGAGGTGGTGGTAAGAGCATCGCTGGACAAGGTTGTAGTCGCACTAGCAGAGGAAACGGTGCTGGTGATCATGGAGCTGCTGTCAGCTTCGGAGCTGGCAGGGGAGGAGGAGGGGGTCACGCTGGCAGAGCCGGTGACGGTAGGGGAGCCGGTCAACTCGGTCGCGGTACCGGTAGTACCGGTGATCGAAAATTGAGGAGTGAAGTTGATATTGTCTGGGTCGTTGTCATCGATGATTTCGATGGTGTAGTCGGAACCGGGGCCCAAGCTCGCAGAGGGAACAAAGACATAGGAGCCAGAGTTTGGAATGTTGGCTGACTACGACGTTAGCAATTCCATTTCTCTTCACAAGTTTCGAGATGCCATTGCAATTGGAGCGTATGGTCATTTTTCCCACCACCACCACCACCAAAAACGTTGAAGACAACCCTTTCCCAGCGCAGCCAAAAAAAAAAAAAAAAAAAAAAGAAAAAAAGACCTGGAAGACAGGATACTCACCGGCAATGGTAATTCCAGAGGTAGGGTTGATTGCACCAGCCTTCTGAAGCTTCAGGGTGACCGTGCCATCGGTGGTGGGCTCCCAGCTCAATGTAGTCGGCATGTTCGCGGCGAACCTGTAGCCACCGCTGGGGTTATTGAAGGGATTCTCGCGGGCAGCAGCAGCGACAGCCGCGAGGACGCCAAGGGCGATGACAATGGGGGAGCGCATCTTGTCAGACGTGTGTGCGTGAAAGACGGTTGGCTAAAGACAAAAGAAGAAAAAGTGGACTTTGTTGGAGAGAATGTTCGCAGTTGATCAACGGGCGAACAGATCACAGAGGGCAATTAATATTAATCGGGAGGGTTATATGTAAAAAGAGAAAAAGATAATATAAAATAAGCGAACGGTGATATCTACAGTTGTGATATATGTGTGTAACCAAAAAAATAAAAGAAAAACAGGAAATCAATGAGAGTAGAGAAAAGCAGACGAGCCGGCGGGGGAGGAGGAAGAAGAAGAAGAAGAAAAAGCGGAGAGACGCGCTTTTCAGAACGAAGGACGGAGCAAGCAGCGGCGGCGGCCAGCAGGAAAGAGAGAGAGGGAGAGAGAGAGAGAGAGGAGAGAGACAAGGGCAAATCCGCAGGCGAAGGCGAAAATTGGGAATTGAAAAAGGGAGCGGGCAGATGACTGGGACTGGGCCACCGTCCGCGCCCGCAATTTGCGCAAGTGCCGAAACCAGGGATCGCCTACCGCCACCTTTCCAAATCTGGTAATGGCGATGCTGCATTAGGTTAGGCCCACGCAACGTTAACCACGGGTGGGGCTAGTGCCGGAGATTAATTGGTCAATTGTTTTAATAGCGCTGTGGACTTGCAAACATAGGATGCATGCGCTGATTGGCCGAACCAGCCCAGAACCCCAACGTTAAACCGTGCCCCTGCCCGATCCAGAAGGCCTTATCATGCATAAATGACTATTGCATTTTATTTTTTTTTGATTTTGATTTGATTTTATTTTATTGCATTTTATTTCTTTTGATTTGATTTGATTTTATTTTATTTTATTTTATTCTTCCCTTTCCTAGCGAGAAAACTTCCCCCCTTCCCCCTTTCCCCCCCTCTCCTGGGGTTGTGTGCCTGCCTGCTCTGTGTGTGTTGTGTTTACCTAGGTACCTTGTGACTGCCACAAGTCAAATAACTAATAGTTGGGTCCGCCTATGTGCTACATAATAAAGTTGCAGGCTTTTTCCATGCCCGCCCACCCAGTTTTACTCCGCACTCCAGATGCCGGTTTCCTTGCCCCCCGGGGTGATGTTCGACTCGAAAACTTGCGTGTCTCGGTCTCATATCCTAGATACCAGCCTGTTACTTGTACGTGGGGGAAGGTTTTGCAGGCTCTCGAATCTTCCCTCCGATTACGGTCCGTACTACATGTATGAATCGGCCCTCCGATCCATGGATCACCCTTTAACAATCTCCCGCGGTTCCTGCTTTGGCCGCATCACCTCCATCCCGCATTGCCTCACCCGTCTCTGGCTCATCCAGAACCCCTGCCCCTCCAAGCCACGAGATGGCTTGCATCACCCGCTGATCTTCCTCTTCCCGCTGTCGTCCCAACAGCTGTACGTATGCGATGTGTCAGTAACCGTACCCCAATGACGCTATTGTAGATAAATAACTAAAGAATATGAAAAGACGATGAAAAAATAAAAATAAAAATAAAATAAAATATACATAGAGAAGAAAAAAAAAATAAATAAATAAATAAAAATAAAAATAAAAATAAAAATTAAATAAAAAAAATAAAAAAAAAAAAGTTAAAAAAAGGACCGAACTCACCGCCTGGAACAGACCGGGCCTTTGACTTCCTGACTCCTTGCCCAAGAGGCGGTGCTTATCAGAAACCTCATGCACATATCTGCAATTCTCCCCGCGACGACACTTTCCCGTCTTGACAAACTGGTGGCACAGGTTTCTGCTTTTACGTGGCGGTGGTGGCACGCGTTCCGGTCGCTCTCGCTTCGTCGTCATCTCTTCAGGGGCGGAGCCATCGTCACCTTCGTCCGACGAACTATCGGAGCCACTGGACGTGGTCTCGTCGCTAGTGTCTGATGTTTCTGATGATATATCTGATGACAGATCTTCCGCGCATTCATCTGCCTTGGCTTGCCGTTCAGTCAGGTTAGCGTGCCGATCGCCATTTACACCAGGGGTCTCTGCAGTGATTTCAGAAGAGCCCACTTCATCTCGGTGCTGTTGTGATAGCTCTGTTTCAAATGCCTGTCCGGACTGATCTTCAATGATATCATCCTTAGTTTCCCTTGAAGGGGATGCTGGGCCGTATGTGAGCGGAACGCCTTCAGGGTCCATCGAGTCACGCCCCTGGCTATCACCCCGGTGAGCAACAACTGCCCCAGGGCTTGGATCGACCATCTCGGCCGTGCCGCCATCAGCTTCAGATGCAAGAGCTTCGGCAGCTCGTCTTGCTTTCGCAGCTGCGGCCTCCGCCTTGGCTACTCTCTTCTCCTCTTTGATGAGTTTCCTCCGGAGCTTCTCTGCTTTCAGCTTCGCTTTCTCCGCAGCATCCGCAGGATCCAGCTTTTGTTCTTCGGTCTTTGCTTTGCGCCTCTCTCCCCTCTTTCTAGCGTCTGCCTCCCGCTGCCTTCTCTGCTCCTCTTGCTCCGCCTTCTTGGCCTCCCTGGCTAGCTTTCTCTCCTGTAGCTCCTTCTTCCGCTCTTCTACCCTTGCTATCGTGGGGTACCGCTGCTTACGTTCTTCGATCCAGGCTGTAATCTCAGCAGCAGATTGCAGCGTCGCGGTCCGCCCTCTATAGGTAATTTTCAATTCATTCTCCGTAATCTGTGTTGCGAGCTTCGTCTCCTCATCCACGTCATCCTCGTCCTCGCTCGATTCATGTTCTTCAGCCTTGGGTGTTAAGCCCAGCTGATTGTATTTCCTTCGCTTCTTTTTTGGCTTGCGTGTAGCATCAACTGCTGCTGGTGGTTTGGAGGGCAATGGATTTCCGAAACTGGGAACGGGGAGGGGAGCAGTAGGTCGGGTGTCGTCTTGTTTGCTGGTAAAAGCCGCCGAGTGTGGACGCTTGTTCATTCGACTCTGTGACTTATCATTAGATGGGTAAGGGCCAGACGCATGTGACGCATTAAATCCGCGTTGCTGTCTGTATCCTCCCTGTCGTTCATGGGGTTGTCGCGGTTGCGCATGAGGCGGCGCGGGTGTGTAGTTCTGCTGTGGAGGGTATGCTCCCGGGGTACCAGCGTGATCGAAGCCCCAGCGCATCGGCGGACTCATAACCGCTGGCGGGCCGGGGCCAGGAGCATGATGTGGCGGCTGGATAAGAGGAGAATGCATCTGAGGCGGATACCCACTCGATGGAGGAGGAGGGTGGCGAGGCTGATGGTGTGTTGGGAACTGCGGAGAAACAGGTGAGCCGTAAGGTGACTGCGGAGGTGGGAATTGTGCCGTAGCGTGCGGTTGACCATAGGCCCGAACGGGATATGTCGCTGGGCGCTGGGCCCCAGGCATATTATACTGGGAGGGAGGATTATTCGATGCATGATAGGGATAGCTTTGGGGGGGACCGTAATTTGCTGCTGGAGGCCCGGCTATATAGCCCCCTCGACCACCGACGTGTCCAGTGCCTCGCCCCCGGCCTCGGTGATGAGAACCTGCACCACGACCCCCGCGACCGCGAGAACTCTGCGGTTGTGCACCCTGGAAGCTATTGGTGGCCGGTGCCGCCGGCGACGGTGGTGGAGGAGGAGGAGGTGGAAACGAAAAGCCACCGGGAGCCATATCAATAGGGTGTGTTGAGATACTGCCTTGCACAAATGGCCATGGGGAGCTGTTGTTCCAAAACTCGATCTGTTCTTTTTCCAGACTTGGAGGAGGATTATTATTATTAGTTCAGCTCACCAAGACATCAGCTTTATCCTCTTTCTTTCTTCTCTTTCTCTTTCTCTCTCTCTCTCTCTCTTTCTTTTTTTCGCTCTCTCTCCCCCTCTTCTCTTGTCTCGAAGCTCGTGTTTGCTTTAAATTATTTGTTTCAAGGTGGATAATTGTTATTCCATGAGATAAGCTTGAAACTTGGCGCGGTCGATCCAAATAACTAGCCTAAAATGGCTTAGCGCTGAAATCACAAGGCTGGGTGAAGAAGTTCGCAGCTAAAAAGTGGCCTGCGCGGGTTTGCTCATGATTTCCAAGCGGAGGGATATTTGCCCAATTGGTTTGGTTTCTCATGCGGCTTTGGTCATATACCGCTGTTTGATATTTTGCAGACTCTCTCCAAGGCAGAGGTTTTGTTCATATTCTATTTCTAACAGCTGGAAAACCTTCCTCATTCAAAAATCATAAAAAAAAAAAAGAAAAAAGAAAAAGAAAACTGTGGGAGCTGCATAGTATATCTAGATACACTATCAGCGATTTCATATTTTACTTTCCTTGCCGTCTTTTTTACTGGAATATACCATGTTCATTCTCGTATGTTGCACCTGGAATCGCCACGGAGCTTTGTGCAGGCGGTTGGTTAATCTTGGCCTTCTAGACGACTATATCCGATCTTGTCCAAATATCTCCTGAAGATTTTTCAAAGCTCAGTGCCGTCGCCATTGAGGATAACATAAACGAGAAATATGCCAACAAGGTATGATATCAATACACGCGGATGACTCGTCCCGAGGAAGAGGCTGAAAATGTACCGAATGGGCTTTAGGTGATTCAAAATGTTGGGCTGTGTATGGGATTCTATGACCTCCTAGAATCCTCTGACGGTCTGATCGGACACGGCACAGGGCTTGTTAATGTCAATGGTACTCACAGAAATTATTTTATTTTATTTTATTTTATTTTATTTTTTTTTTTCATTTTTTTGCTTTGATACATTAGAATGGGCTCTGGGTAGGCATCGCTAACAATGTGCAGTTAAATTTCGATTAATAGTCTTCAGGCCCTTCAAAGGTGAAGTCATCCTTGGAAAGATCACAAGTGGCACGGAGCAAGGAATTAAAAGTATGCCCTCCCTGATCGTTCCGCTTCCTAAAGGGAAAAGAAAAAGGGGAAAGAAAAAAGTCCTCTAACATTTTGCTCTCAAGTCGGCCTCGAGTTCTTCAATGATATTCTGATCCCCCCTAGTCTCCTGCTTGATGGAGCCAAATTGTGAGCAGCTTCCAGAGACACCGATTACTAGCCACTAACGATTCGGTACAGCGATTATACCGATCAGGTCTGGGTTTGGGACAACGGTGAAGGTGCCACCTTTTATTTTGATATAGGTGAAACGGTTCGATTTCGAGTGGAAGCGGAAGAGTGGCATGACCAGATTCCCAACGCTCCAGATATGCCAGATGGCTCATCCGCAGTAGAGCGAAAACCGGCTTATTCGATCATTGTATATTTCTAGATCTCCTCTCTACCGCCGTTCTATTCCTCTGAGACTAATTGTCATCATAGGGCTCCATGCAAATTGCGGGTCTTGGACTTGTTGCTTGGTGGTCGTGAAACGAGAGCCAAGTAATCGGGATTCTTCACGGCTCAAGGCCAAACGATATCTTCAGTTTAAAAAAGCACGAGTGTTGCTCGAATCTCCCCCTCCCCCCCAAACGACAACAACAACGAAAACTATTCTAGCAGGATACGCACAACCCCAACTTCTTTGCTCTCAGCTCTTAGCGTGGTGGCTTGCTACCAGCAATGCACTCTACCCAACAACGCTCGTGGCTCCAGATAACGAGATCGAGTGGCCCAGACCACTCGGGGAGAATATCAAAATTGAAGGCTTGACGAATAGCAAGCGGTCAGTCGTCTTCTCTTCTTCGACCCCCCCCCTGAGAGAACAATTGTCAAGCCTTTCCCTCGAACGCCGCCGTTCATGGGCAACCAAATACGTGAAATGGAACTGATCGGCCAATGAAGCCGTCTGGTCAATGGAGACGAATCCAAATGACGGTGTGCGTGCAATGGGCCGGCGGGGGGAGAACTTGGAGAGCTCCCTGCCTCTAGGCGGTTGATATCCCGGTCTGTGCATGCGCATGCGCATGATACATACCACTTACAAGGTCATATGAAGGTGATGAAACATAATGCAAGAAAAGTTCTACAAACCATGTTGCTTCTCCTCCTTGGTGCAAAATTTAACAGATTGCTTTTCCAGCATGAAGGCCGTCCATGGCGTCTTCGTGATACCTGCTCGTACTGCGGCCTCCCCGAAAAGGCCGGCTGTAGAAGGCACTGGAGTAAAATTACGTAAAGTAGTCGGATAAATTACAGAGCAGATGACATCATTTTGGACAAAACTTCCGCCATTTCGGGAGCGATTAATAATGGCCTCGCGCGCTGAGTGGTCAAGTGGACCGATCAGAAGAGCCTTCCGCAGCTCCCATTGGCGGGCCTCTGCTCACGTGCCTCGATCGAAAGATCGACCGGTTTTTGTGTCGTCTCAGAAATACGGATTACGGAGCGAGACCCCGTCGCCAGGACGGCCGGTTCGAGGGGAACGAGTCTGGAAAGTATATAAAAATCATATTTAACTCGACGACTTTCCTCTCCAAGGTGGGATCATCTTTTCGTGGTTCCGTCTCACATCTCGTTTTTCCCTTCATTCTACTCTGCATTAGAAAATCCGTTCGTTCTGCCTGCAAAAATTTACCATGGACGGTACGATCAGCCCCTCTGTCCTGCCTGTTCGCGGCCCAGCGCACCACGAACCGGTCGAGACCCCTCCACGAGCGCCATCTCCAGTTCATCGTTTCGGCACACTCGCAGTTCATGCCGGTGCCCCCATTGAACCTACAACCGGAGCCGTCATCGCACCGGTATGGATTTATCTCCAGTTCTGTTCTTTGCACGGAATTCTTTTTTGCGCGTAGTTTTTGTGTGGGAATTCTTGAAGCTCCAAACCTAACTTTCCCCCTCCCCCGCAGATATCCCTGTCCACCACTTTCGCCCAGACTGGTGTTGGAAGGCCGATCGGAGAATACGAATACACCAGAAGTGCAAACCCGAACCGGTACGTGAAGCCAATCATCGCCTGGAACCGCCTCATGCCCGTTTCCCCCGGACCGGCACAACACGATCAAAAACAAACCCGTTGTTCTCATTTGCTAATAAGTTATTGTTGCGTATTCGCAGTGACCAGTTTGAAAAAGCCGTCGCTGCATTGGAACATGCTCGGTATGCATTAGCGTTCTCCTCCGGATCCGCTGCCACCGCCAACATCCTTCAATCGCTTGCCTCTGGATCACACGTTGTTTCAGTGTCCGATGTCTATGGTGGTACCCATCGCTATTTTACCAAGGTTGCCGCAGCACATGGAGTTGAGGTCACATTTTCTCCCTGCATTGAGACTCATATCGAGACCCTGATCCGACCTGATGAGACCCGGTTAATTTGGATCGAGACCCCTTCCAATCCAACGCTGGGTTTGGTGGACATCCGCAAGGTCGCAACCATTGCTCACCAGCATGGAATCCTGGTTGTCGTAGACAACACCTTCTTGAGCCCGTATATTCAGAATCCTCTAGATCATGGCGCCGACATCGTCATGCACTCCGTTACCAAGTACATTAACGGGCACTCCGTAAGTTCCCAGATTTTCGAAGGAGTCAATTTATAATGATGGCCGCTAACCTCATGCAATCAGGACGTCTTGATGGGAGTGGCAGCATTCAACTCGGAAGATCTGAAAAATAGACTGACCTTCTTGCAAAACGCCATCGGTGCTGTTCCTTCTCCATTCGACTGCTGGCTTGCCCACCGTGGTTTGAAGACCCTTCACTTGCGAGCACGAGAGGCAACTAAGAACGCAACTGCCGTTGCTCAAACCCTCGAGGCATCTCCACATGTGATCTCCGTCAACTATCCCGGTCTCAAATCCCATCCTCACCACGCCATCGCTTTGAAGCAGCACCGCGACGGCATGGGCGGTGGCATGCTCAGTTTCCGCGTCAAAGGTGGACAGGAAGCCGCCGAGAGATTCTGCCAGGCCACTCAAATCTTTGTCCTTGCAGAAAGTCTGGGTGGCGTGGAGAGTTTGGTGGAAGTGCCCGGAAGCATGACCCATGCCGGTATCCCCAAGGAACAGCGTGAAGTCGCCGGTGTTTATGACGACCTGGTTCGCATTAGCTGCGGTGTCGAAGACTCTGAAGACCTCAAAGCCGACGTACTCCAGGCGCTCGAGAAAGCCGTGGTTGCGCCCAAGCTAAATAAACTTAACGGCGTTGCCAACGGACGAGCATCCTAATCCTGTTGCAATCTTATTGGCTTTCCTCCCTTCTAGAAACGATATTGTTACCTAATGTTACGACGACTTGATGACAGCCCCCCCCTCTCTCCCCCGGCACGCCTGATCTTCTGAACCCTTTCTTCACTTTTCGGTGCGGAGTAGCTCTTCCGTAAAAAAGTACCTCTGTGGTTGATAATCCCCTATCCTACACAAGCATTCATGCTTTTTCCTCGTTTCCTCTTGACACCAACTTTCACTGGAAACGGTTAACTTGGTATTTCTATACCCATGCTTCTACAAAATTTTGGGAGGGAGCCCGATTTTATACATAGACATGGCGGCACAAGAGCTTACATTTTCTGCTACAATGATCCAATATGTTGGGTGGCTTAAATTTTAAAATAGCAATTAGACCGGAGAATGACCCTCCGACGAATGCTAGAATATCGTGCGATGCTACTGACTAAAAGTAAATACCTTGATAAGCTCGAGACCAGGGCGCAGACCATCCCATCGTAGTGTACTCCGGAGCCCACCGTCATTCGAGATCAAATATTACCGTCAAACGATTTCGGCAAGTCTGGGTTTCTTGGCATAGATTTTTAAGCCTCCCGATCTTTGGGTTTGTTATCTTATCAGCATATCTATCAAAATCTCTCTCTCTCTTCGCTCTGCAGTCTGCGGTTACAATCGCATCCGGACAGGGCCCGGCGAAAAAATTAACGAATAGTAGCTATGAGCTCAGCATTCTCATTTGGTTTCAGCGGCGATGATATTGACGAAAGTGAAAATAATGTTGAAGTGAAGGACAAGCGGCAACATCTAGGCCAGCCTAGTCACCAAGCTTCTAGTGAAGAAGCAGCACCGGTACTTCAAGAGGCCACGAAGATTGAACTAGATGATATCGTATGTATATCCTCTTCTTATTTCTATTTTGGCTTTTGACTATTGTTTATCCCGCGAGGCTATCTGTGCATCCTTGTGGCTTGCTTATCTCTGATACCCTGTTTTTTCACATCATTCAATGAAAGGAACCGGAGCAAGGCAATTAATCTGGGTTCATTTTGCTACACGTACAGTGCTTGAAATGGCTATTTGCGCCGGCCGCTGTGACAAAATGTACACGTTGAAGGAAACTTGCGTGCGGTGTGCAACCTACATTCAGCCGCTTTAAGGCTCTATGTGTTTTCAATGCAGTTGGTGTTTAGAGAGGGCTCGGCTTCTGACCAAAATTGCTATTTAGCTTTCTTCACTGCCTTCTCAGATCTCTTATAATACACTCCCAATCTCGGACCCCACTTTATGGTCATATCCCATTCCCATACCACGCCGCGATGTGTTTGACATCCGCGCGCAGCTGATGGCTGAGGCCGACTCGGAAACAAACTCAAATGAGACGTTGATAGCGGGTTTAGAAGCCGGCGATATTACTCCGGCGGTGTATGAAGGCGGATTCAAGACATGGGAGAGTGCGATTGATCTTGCCAGGACTGCAGCCGAGAGGCTTGGTCCCGCTTTTGAAGATGAGGTTGACGATTTGGACCTGATAGAGGTATATATAGAGGGCCAAGCCACATTAACCAGCAAAAAGAGGGAGCATGATTTGACATTGTAAAACAGCTAGGGGCCGGGACTGCAATACCTTCTCTTCTTTTATTACGATTATTCCTGCAAAGCTCGCCCAAGACTACCCAACAGACACGGAAAATCAACTTCATCTTAGCAGACTACAACGCCGCCGTCTTGAGTCTGGTTACTCTTCCTAACATCCTTCTCACCTGGTATACGTGCTGCAAGAATCCCGAAGCGGAGTCAGAGTCTGAACTTCAGATCGATTCCGCCCTCCTTGACTCTTTTCGCCATGACCTCTCAGCCCGCGGAATATCGCTCTCCTTCATTTCAGGAGGCTGGTCACCTCGCTTTGTCGATCTCATAGCCCCCGAGTCGAACGCGAAGAGCCTAAATAACACACACCAAACATTCATACTCGCCAGTGAAACGATATATTCTCCCACCTACCTCCGGCCATTCGCAGAGACGCTGACGGGGTTGTTGCGCAGAAGAACCAGACCCGTATCCGGGCCTGCCCAAAACAAAGCGCGGACACGAGCTCTCGTTGCTGCGAAGAAGGTGTACTTCGGAGTTGGAGGAGGTGTGGATGAATTTCTAGAAACGCTGAAAGAAATCGGTGGCGAGGACATGCACACGCAAGAGGTGACCATGGTTCTGGACCAAGGTGTGGTGAGGGTGGTGCTGGAGATCACAGTTTAAATCAAGATATTCTAGATTTTCAGTATGCGGCATGTTGGATTTTGGGCTGCAGGGACAGAGCTGTATGCAGAGAGGCATGTATGTATGGATGTATGTACATACATGGGCGGAACTTAATGATCCGCTGCCCCTTGTCTTCGTGCTGCTGGAAACCTATAAGGAATCTGCAAGTGGCATGATCTCTAGCGATGCCCACCACACCTAGCACGCCATGCAGGGATTTTGTGCAGGAATTTGAGTCACAAGTTTTGGCTTTGGCCCCTGCAAAAACCTGGTGCTGCGAACTAGACGGTAAAAGAAAAACGAAAGATATGACTGTGCAATGCAGGTGTAGCACTTCCCCAATGAGCTTCAGAAACCAGAATAAAATATCCCTCGTCCAAACCCGAGGGTTAAGAGCACAATATATACAGTATATGCATCTAATTCGCCGTTCAATTCAAAAGTATCTGCCATCATCATACATCGACTGAACTTTTCCGTTTTCCATCCGGGCTACCCTCCTCTCCTCCTGGGCCCTTTGTCTCTGCTGGTAATGCGCAACGACCGCTTGTAGATTTCCGGAAGAGTTTCCGGCGGGCATGTTGATTGGCGAGCCGGAGTTAAAAATCCTAGATTGAAAGCAAAGCGCGTCAATGCAAGGCAAAGAAACCGAGGCGATACCTAAGACACTCGACAAAGGGGAAAAAACGGCAACATATTATGAAAGCAAAGCGGAAAGATGATGCGGCAAGGTTATCATACTCAGGACAGCGAAGCTCAAGGGTCAACGGAGGGTTTTGACTGTGGAACAGATGTCGATCGGCAGCAGCCTTCTCCATGGCCAGTGTATGGAGAGCATTTCGTTTCTCCCAGAGGCTCTCGTTGGGGGTATACTCCTCAATGAGGCGGGTGATCCACGGCGTGTGTTTAGAATCTGACGTGGAATATTTGTAGATAGCGATGCCGACGGGCACGGATGCAATTGCGAGATAGAAGCCGCGCTGCAGGGAAGCAAGGAATACAACATGTTAGCCGCGTGGGTAACCAATGCATTGGGTGTGCAGCTTGGGGGTGAACTATGAAAGCCTAAGCCGATTATAGAAATGGGTACATGACAGCCTGAGGTCAAGAGAAGGGGTGTGTGTTTGGGGAGAACGCACGCCGAAATATTCGTTCACTGGTTCGGCATGATGGGCCTCGCCATGGGCAGAGCGGAACGGTTGATGACGTCGAAGTAAGGTCCGCGCCGGGGCAGCTGATCGCCTGGCGAGGAACATCGTCTCTGGTTCTTCTCGACCACGCTCAATTGGGCTGGGATGGGAAAGCGTCGTCGGGGATGGATGGCTGGTCGTCCTCAGGCGCCGGCCCAACTGCACGATGTGAGGTCAGTGATTTTGGGTGAAGCTGGGGCTTGGCGGCGGTTGGGCACGTGATGACGTACACCGGATTGGGATTAGGGCTGGGCACGAAACGACGATTTTGAGGCAGCGCCGGCAACCCGCCAACGCCGAATCGTCATCAACCGCAGCAGCAACGGCGGCGGTAAGGGACAGGATCGGTGAGCAAGATGATCTCCGTTGGGGAGGGAGAATTGACGCCTTGCGTCTCCGTTGTCTCTCTTTGACTCAGAGCTACGGGGTTCTGGCAACGTCCCTCGAAGAATTATGGGGCAAGGCCTGCAGGCTGCAGCATCACTTTTCTCTGATTTGTCTTGCATTGCTGTCGCCCAACGACGGAACTTTTCATTGGACCCCTGGCTTGCCCTTCTGAGGTCAATTTGCAGGATTTCGGAAGGGAAGGGAAAAAAAAAAGAAAAAGAAAAACGGCTTGTGCGAGGTTTCTCCGGCCCCTCCTAACGCCATGTCTGGCTTACAACTCATCCATTTACAAAGGGATATGTGTTCGAAGCGGATACTCCCTGCCCTGGCAACCACACATATGGCCTGTTGGCAGGGCTGCCAACTGGCCACAGGATCTTTGTGTCGACCAGATTGCATCTGCCTATTTTAATTTGCTCCCTGACTAATGCAATACCAATGGACGGGAGCGAATATAGAGCGATCTCGATAACCTGGGATTGCTGCCCAATCTGCGCCCAGGAACAAAGGCGATTGGGCCTGACCCCCAAACGCTTTACATGCAGAACCGCTTTCCCTTGGAACTTGGAAGACCGACTGTATCAGTACTCCCCAGCCGACTTTATTGACGTGTGAAATTACGTTTCCGCGAATTAGAAAAAAGGAGGCGAGGAAAATAATGCAATCGTGAAGCCAGATTTGGTCGGGTGCATTCTTCCTCCATTGAATTCGCTGTTCTGCATGGACTATTTATTTTTCTTTCTCAGCCATACTATTCGATCCATAGTATTCCGTTCCTCAAAAGAAAAGAGCAACTTATTACTTGCTCTTGTTTCCCGCCCTCCATTGCCCATTTTTTTTTGGTCCCAACGAAACACCGCTCACACTCTCCTTCTCTCGTCGATGCAGCTCGCATTGGCCTGGTTTTGAGTGCCTAATTTTCTTTCTGTACTCTGTACACTCTGTATTATTCTCAGTTCTCTTACTGAAACCTGATTGCTCCACGCCATACCATCATTCGCAACCCCGTTTGTCAAATAGTTGTTTGCGCCCTCTTAGCCTTCCGTCCGAATTTGAACTTCTTCCCACCTACTTTTGCAATCCGCCTTATTGCGTGTCTCCCCTCGGACATCGAGAGACCAGGATCCCAATTGTCAGTGCGCCCATTCCCCTCCTCGCTCCTAGTGTCGCAAGGATTTCTTTTTTTGCCAACGCTTTGGCCTCCATTACAGCTTCCTATCGCCACAAACACTATATTTTCAAATCAAGAAACATCCTTTTCCCCCGTGCTTTCACTGGGGACACGTTTCAAGACTCTGACTCCGACTCTTAGCATTCAAGTACTTCATCATCTTCTGTCACAATGCCTCCCAAAAGAAATAAAAAAGGAAAGGATAAGGATAAGGGAGAGAAAGTAAATCAAGGCAAAAAGAACTCGAAGAAACAAAAGCCCCAAGAACAAGAACAACAACGACAAGCCGAAGAGCAGCAACAAGTGCAACCACCTGAACAGCCCGACCATCAGCAAGATCCATCAGAACAACTACAAGAGCAACAGGGTCAAGATCACATATCTGACTCGCCTGCGGCTGAACTTCCAAGTGACATCCCCCCTTCAGCCTCTCCTCTCGCATCACCGAATCCCGATACTCAAGTCTCTCCTACAGTAGAGACGTTACCGGAGCCCATTTCTCCTACCTCCCCAGTACCACTACAGGAGGATTCTCTAAATCCAACCCAGGATCACGTCGAAGACTCTGGTGTGGACCAAGAAAGCGAGAAAGTCGTAGCAGAGCCTACGACCAACCCGCAGGAAGAGTCCGAGCCCGTTCCTGAACAGGAACTAGAGAAACAGCTTGAGAAGGACCTTGGGGAGCAAATTGAGAAGGACCTTGAGAAAGACATTGAGATAGTACCTGAGGAAAAGACCTTGGAGGAACTTGAGAAAGAGCTCGAGAAGGAACCAGAAAAGGAACCCGAAAAGGAACCCGAGAAGGAGCTCGAGAGAGAGCTCGAGAAAGATCCTGAGAACGAACCTGAAAAGGAACCTGAGAAGGAATCTGAGAAGGATTTTGGCCATCAACCTGAGGCAGACTTAGCCGAAGCACTCGAGGGACAACTTGAACACGACTTTGACAAAGAAAACGGAAAAGAAACCGAGGACAAAGCACAAGAAGAACTGGAGTATCAGCCTTCCCCAAAAGTTCTGAGTCCGGCATTGTGCGAAGCCCCTCCAGCGCCTGTTCAAAAAGCCGAGCCAAATCTTGTCAATGTATCCGATAGCCTTGATAAGTCCGCGGAGTCAGTGTCAACTCCTCCAGAAATAGTCCCCAAAACGCAAAGGCCGCCTCCGGTAGCGGAGTTTCCAGCCGCTTCGCCTATATTGTCTTCAGCGAGGCCGAAAACAACTTCTTCACCTGTATACGGGTACTCACAGTCTCGGTCACCCGCACCCGTTCATTCACCGCATTACACCTACAGTGTTCCGTATACTCATCCCTACGCACCATCTCCGATATACGCCAACGGATCTTTGCACGATCTTCATTCCAGCGGACCAATGGCGGTATCCGGTCCACCCCACTGTTCTCCCGCACCGCGCCCGTCCGCCCTGGACGGGTATCATTCCAGAATGGCCAGCCGCGGGTCCTTCGGCCGTGGTCACCCTGATTATCCGTTTAACTTGTCATACCACCAACCAAAACAACGGCCATCTACACCAACACAACAAAAGCCCGTTGAGAACGGCAACTCCGAATCGCTACCCATCGAAGGTGATACCATCAAGCTTCTCCAACGGATTCAAAACGTTATTCCCGATATTAACAGGCTTGTAACAAGCTACCGCGATACACAAAATCAACTGTCTTCCCATGTCGCCCAAAGCAAGCAGATCGAGGAGCAACACGAGCGGTCGTTGATGGAAAAAGAGTTCTATATTGATGCTCTGCAAGCGCAGATCCAAAAAACAGCGAAGGAAAATGCCGCTGAGTCTGCGAAGTTGAGAAACAGAATTTCTGAGCTCAGAATGGAGCTTGGTGGTCTGCAGGAACAGCACCGTGATGTTGCAGACAGCTTGGAAGAGCTCAAGAAAGCTAACGATGAACTCACTCTAGTCCGATCCAGCCTGGAGCAGCAAATCGCTAATCTCCAACGGACTATGCAAGATGAGAAGGCTAGCCATCTACAAGAATTAAAACGTCGAGAGATGCTCAAATCGGACGCCCTCGCTGCCCAGAAAGAGGAGCTTCAAGGGCACTTCCAAGAAATGAAGAAGAAAGACGACCAAGCCGCAGCCGAAAAGCTACGCGCTCGTGAGGAGGAGTTGTATGGCGAACGAGACCAACTTAAGGCAGAATGGGAGCAGCAAATGGTTGCTCTCAACAAGTCCAAAGATGACATGGCCGCTGAGTATGAAGGCAAGTTGGACACCAAGAAAACCGAGCTGGAAACTAAGCAGGGTGAATTGGACGCGAAGCAAGCCGAACTCCAGGCCAAACAAAGTGAACTGGATGCCAGACAGGAAGAACTTAACGCGACGAAATCCGACCTGGAAGCGAAACAGGCTGAGCTAGTAGACAGGCAGAAAGAACTTGAAGAGAAGCAAAGCGAAGTCGAGGCAAAGCAGGAAGAGATCAACCGTTTGAAGTCCGAGCTTGAATCGAAGATTGCCGAATTAGAAGACAAACGTCGCGAACTCGAGCAGAAACAGGGCGAGCTCGAGTCCAAACAGACAGAGTTACAGGCCATTCAGGACGAACTCCGGGAAGTCAAAGCGGAACTCGAAGAAAAGAAATCGCAGCTGGAATCCAAGCAAGCTGATCTCGACAAAAAGCAAGAAGAACTTACTGCGAAGCAGGCGGAGCTCGACGATGTGAAAGAGAAGCATGCTGCTGAGCTTGCGGCGTTGAGGGCGCAATTAGAAGAGCAGACAAATGCGACCAAAGAGCGCGATGAAAAGATCGAAGCTATGACAACCGAACATCAGCAGAAAGAAGAACAATGGCAGAAGGACCGTGGAGACTTTGAAGCGCAGCTTCAAGAGAAAACGGAAGAATTGAAAGTGGCTCTTGAGGAGAAGGAGGCGCTCGCGGTTGACGGAAAGAATAGGGAAGAACGGCTTCAAAGCATCGTAGAAGAGATGCGGCAGACACATGATAATTTGAATAAGGATCGTGAGAGGCTCAAGAAGACACTGCATAGTTTGGGGGAGGCGACAGATATGAAGATTAAGGGAGATGCTTTCTTGTAAGTCTCTTGGTGCATTATGCTCTTATTAGACAGGCATATTATTTTCCGTTTCTGTGGTTATTTGTACTCGAAAAAAGCTCCTAGTCTTTCGCCAAGGTTCGAATAATATTTGAAGACTCCTTCAGTATTTTTCAAGCCTTAAATCGTTCGTTTTCAAAAAAAAAAAAAAAAAAAAAACAAAAGTGAAATGTCAGCTTGATAAGGTCGCATATCTAATATTGCGTTTTGTTTAGCGTTGACTGCTTCGGTGAACTGTCTCGCCTCATCGTTGATCTCTCGAAAGAATTTTTCGCATATATCCCCATCGAGCCGCCCGCCGATATTTTGGCGAAGATACCCTCCGACCTTCCCCCCTTCCTGGATAACACCCCGGCGTCACGCGAACTCCGGTCTGCCTACGTCCAACATGTGATCTCCAAAACGTTGACGTATCGAATCTTCCAGCCATTCTTGTTCACCCTCGGCCGCAGATATGATAAAGCGGATACCTTCTTCCAAGTGTTGTCGATGGACATTCGTCGCAAGTCTGTCCGCCGTGAAGCGTTCTGGAGACAGCAGACATTAAGAGCCGCCTACACTGCTTCTGACGCAAAACAAGCAATTAACGTTGTGGCCGCTGTCATCGTCGACGAGATCGTGGACCACATTCGCCACTTTACCGATCCTAAACATCTTGATGCCCTTATCACCAGTGTTCGAAAGATTGTCAAATTGGCCGCAGAGACATGGCGCCTTGCTCGTGTCGAGAGAGAATTGATCGTGGCCTCCATGCCGTCCGCCGACGATGAGCAAGCCGCCAACGACTTGTGGGAAGAATTCATCTACGACCAATCTTCAGCGAAGGCTAAGGAATCCGGTGGACCCAAAGTCCCACTCCTTCGAATGCTTCCCCGCATTCACCGCGAGCCAGTACATGAGGACTTCCTCCAGCCAGAGGAGGCCGAGAAGGCCAATCCATGTGTTTACCTGCCTGGCGTGATTCTCTACACTGACTCCCCGTCCGTCATTGCGAGAAGGGAAGAGATTTCCAGGAAAACCGTAGACCCATCGGCTCCCGCTGACGGGGCCGGAGAAACGAATGGTGCTGAGAACCAAACCAATGGCGAAGCCGAGGCGAAAGCAGACGCGTGAAAACGCCGGCATCGATAGAGGGGTTTAAAACTCCACCGCCGGTATAATGACTTAAAAGATGCAAGAATGTTTCAGTCTGTTGTTTTGATGCTACAGCGGTGCATAGCCATGGGCGTCCTTTGGGATGTAAGGTTACTGGAAGGGATACTATATGCATGAGAAAGAATTATTATTTTTTTTTTCCACATATGTATGATTGGTTATTGTTTGGCATGGTGGTGTTGGCATGGGATACGTTCATTTTCACATTTTCCTTTCTACGCTTTTACTTCAAATTGTCTTCTTTTCTTTTTCTTTTTTTTTCTTTCCATTGGTTCTTGTTTTGTTTTGATGATTTTTTTTTTTTTTTTTGTTTCTAACCCTATACACTCATTTCGGATTTCCTTGCTGTTATGGCTTTTCTTCTAGCGATGGATTTTGGTTCGCCTGTGTTTTTTTGTCGGCTCAGCACACTGTGTCTGGCCAGAGTTAATGTAGGGAATAGTGCGTTAGGAATATGCTATACATTGATATTGTGCATGACGGGAACTGCCCAGGTGAACTCTTTCTTCCAGAGTAATTCAACGAGAAGTTCTTTCTGGCGGATAGAGAGAGACTTGGGCCACTGCGAAGGTGTGAAAACGACGACCTGTTCGTCCCTTGGAAGTGCTTTTTGTTGACGCACCGCGCGCCGACTTCAAAACCCATCCCAACGCCTACAGCTACGCGCCTACACTTATAATTACAGTTGGAGTCATTCTCCTAGCTTGGGTATATACTTCATTTATATTATTCTTAGAAGTTGGTTTTGTTGCTGTTGTTGCTATTACTATTGTTATTATTATCTAGCAACCGAATAATACCCTCGAGACTTACCGACATGGAACGTGATCTCCTCTACGCACTCACGCCAGTGTTGACGGAACGGAGAGTCGATGAGGCCATCCTAGCAAGCCGAAGACCGGTGAAAGGAGCATAAGTTTAAGCTCCCGAGCCGGTATAACAACCCAGGAAAATGGGAGGTGTGGTGCATGGAGCGGATCCCGTCGCTCGCGGAGCGCACTCGCACAGCTCTGACGGATTTCTGGGGGCCACTTCCAAAACATCGAAAGGCAGTGAATGCGTGAGGCGCAGGAAAAGGCGGACTGTGCGGCATTTGGTCACGTATTTCTTGGAATGCGCGGGATCTCTATGTCGGACGACAGCATGGGAGAGCTAGATCTCTATGTGAACCATTTCGAGCTAATCCAACCGAAGGTAGCTCTAAGAATTTCAAGAGTGATGGGGGGTAGGTAGGGATAGCAGCGCTGCACTGGGGCGTGGGAATGAGTGCCAAAAATGTCAAGTTTGTGCAACCGGTTCAGAAGAATGGCAGCTCATCTGTGGATGTTTTACCTGAGTAGTGCACAGGCAATCATGGAAAACGGGGAGAATTCGGCGAAGGAATTGCCGAGCCGGTTCATCAGGGAAGTGAAGACTCGGTACAAGGAGATGGATGCACTGGACACAGGCGAAGAACCGTCTCCTCCTGGGAGAAGAACGTAGTCATTGAGGCAATATCAAAGAATCAAGAACGTAGTCATTTGAGGCAATGCCAAAGAATCAATGTCATTCAGTTAGGTAGCTGTGATATTCTGATGTCAATTGAACATGTCGATAGAACTGCATGTCGCACTGCAAAAGGGGGGAGAGACAAAAGAGAAATGCATTTTGGTTTGAAACAAAGCTCCAAAAAGCCGTTGGGAGAAAAGAAGCTTCTCTCCCCTTGCGCTTGTTAGTCAATATCAGCCCCGGCCCGCTAGTTTTCAATACTCTTTCACCTTAACACACACACACCAGCCCGAATAGCTTGCTATCAGGTGAATGACATAGGCGACTTGACCTGGATGGATGCCAGCAAAAAAAAAAAAAAAAAAAAAAAAAAAGAAGAAGAAGAGGCACAGCCACAGCCAGAATTGATCGAGGCGGACTTTGCATGAACTGGACTGCAGCAGGCATCGAGATGGTATACCACGTCAGCCCATCGTTGTGTGAGAAAGAGAGAGAGAGAGTGTGTGTGTGTGTGTGAGAGAGAGATGTTATCCAGTCCGCCTTGGGGAGGGAGGCGAGTGATTCGGCGACGAAGCCAGAGCAGCGAGCAGGGAGGAAGCCCCGTCAGCCAACAGATCCGGCCTGCGAGCGTGTGGGCGATCGGATTGGCCGCCCTCACGCTGGCCGTCGCGACGCTAGCGAGCTCGATCCCAAGCGCGGGAGTCTGAGAGAGTGTGGTGGTGGTTGGAAGAGAAAGCCGGCAAGACGACGTGCTGTGGCTGTCTGCTTGGCCGTCCCATCTCCATCCATCCACATCTCTCTCTCTCTCTCTCTCTCTATATATATATATATATATACGGAGTATACTGATATAAACTACCTCTACTGCTGATATATCTTTGCCGATAACATCCATCTCTGATCTCGTCAAATCCGTCTTTCTCGATTAAAGTCAGCCGCATCCAAACTGCGCCTTGCCCGTTTCAGTTCTAGTCGGCGGAGGCGAGGCGAAAAACAGCCCGCGCGGATTCGTATTTGACGGTTGCACATCGCCAGATCCTCTCTCATCTTTCATCAATCCTCTCTCATCGTCTGTCTTCCTCTCTCCGTCATTTATTTCCCCCGCGTCACTCTCTCGTTGTGCCCTTCTTCTTCTCACCAGCCATCGCAGCCCGTCCTCGCCCTTCTGGTAGCTATTTCAACCGCCTGCTCGCGCTCCCCACCACCACCACCACCCAACAAGCCTGCGGGGACGCCAGCCGCAAACTTACTCTCGTTTCCCATCCTCAAACCACCCCTTGGCTCTCAACGCCCGGATTGCTTGCTTTTGATCCACGGCTTCAGCTTCGATGCTTTTTTACTTCCTCGTCGCTCCTCTTGTGTTATTATACCTTTGTCCTTGCTGACCTCTCCTGCTTTCTTTTCTCTCTCTCTCTCTCTCTCTCTCACTCTCTCACATGAGGATCGTTGTTCTTGCAGGCGCTATTGGCATGGCGATCTGAACATCCAAGCTTGCCCCCTTGAAACTTTTTCGCTTTTGGCTCGCGAAGTTCTCGATTCTACCTGCATATGTCGTGAACCTCCGACCGGTCTCACGCGCGACAAGCCACTCTCTCATCGCTAAACACATACACACTCTCTCTCATCGCTAAACACACACACACACGCTCTCTATCTCTCACAAACATACGCATACACATACGCATACGCATACGCAGGGCTTTGCGGTTGGACCTGCTCTGCGCCGTGTCTACGAAGCAATGTCTACCCTCCAGAGATCGGAGAACAACTCCGCACCGTTCACGGCCTTCAAACCCGACCACTTCGACCCTTTTCTCTCGCACCCCGCCAGCAGTGAGGAGCAATTGGTCCCCATTGACTCCCATAATCTATTGTTTGGCGGATCGGCGCCCCAGACGCACAACACGCAGCAGCAGCAGCATCATCATCATCATCATTTGACCGATAACCAAACCTATGCGTCCCCGACAGATGGGACCAGCCCATACGATGCCTCCTCCCACTTTGGCCACGCCAGCGGTCTGTCTTCGCCTACCTTCTTGAGCCCCGGGAGCATGACCCACGAGAACGGGCAGAGCGACGTGAGCGGCCATCCCTCGCCAGGAACGGAGGACCATTGGCACGACGACGACGATCGATCTCATCTGCCGAGCGGCTTCGGAGACTGTCAACAGCTCTACATCAATCCCGAAGTGTTTGGTCTTCCTTCGCTTCCCGGCAAGTCGACCCAGCATGGAAATCATGTCGGGCATGTCAATCGAACGCTGAACACGAATCAGCTCCTCAGTCCGGTGCTAACCAACACCCCTAGCCCTTCTACGGTTTTCAACCACCAGCCGGGAGATGTTACAGTGAGCCCGGACCAGCTTACTACAGCAATCTCCCCAACTTCTTTGACCAACCAGAAGCAAAGGGACCTTCCTACTCTACGGCTCCCGGCCCTAGCCACCACCCCTTGCAGCGATGACTTCGAAATCAACAATCCTAACCACCCAGAACTTCCCCCAAGCCCCGTCGTCAAAATATCGAGCTATAGCCGAGGCGACTCTCCGTCACGGGACGAAGCACCGCTCAATCAATCAAGAAGGACGAGGAGTGTCTCTTCGTCCCACCTTGCTCCCGGCGACAATGCATCGGTGGAGTCTGAGGGGGAAGATGACGACGACTTCGACGACGACAACGACGTCGACAACGATCGTCGCCCGGCCTCTAGGTCTTCGCCATCATCCCCGACTCTGCGGGCTGCTGATGGCAGCTGGCTTCCCAACCCTTCTACTGGGCTTGGGGGCTTGGACCCATCTTCTAGAACCGATGAGTATGTTCCAAGTTTGAAGGAAGTGATCGCCCAGCGGGAAATAGAGGAAAAGAATGCGGATGTGGAACGCTGGCTGTCGGTGAGCGAAGCCAACAGTGAAGTGGAGGACAACAGTCTGTTTGGGTTCCAGCAGCAGAAAAAATGGCGGCTCCGCGGGAGACACAGAACGAAGAGCATGGGAGACTCCCCGCTCAGTCCTCGTAACGCAATCGGCCCGAGTCAGCAAGCTTTCGATGTTCCTGCCTCTCGCGTCCCCGAGACCTCGCTTATCCATGAAGAAAGCGAAGTGGGCGATCCCCATACAGCCGACACCTCATCCTGGCAATCACCCGGCAGCGTCGGACCAACCCCTCAGATAGATTCACAGGACGAATTTTCTGCTCCAACCGAGAACGACAGCATCTCAAACGAGGAACCTCTTCCCAGTCAATTTATCCGAGCGAGACCTTGGAAAGATCCTCCAAGGAACCCGCGGTATGGAGATATGAAGGAGCAGCCTCCTACCTCCAGTGCCGCCATGTACTTATTTATGCGAAAGGCCGACAATACCGACGCCGCGTCCCGGAGGGCAACGTGGGGCACACGCGACGTTACCGAAGCGGACGTTGAGAGTCTTCGTTTCGAGAGCATGCGGATCAACGATGATAGTGTGAAAGAAAAAATAAGTCGAAGTAGTATCCTGGAACATGCGAGCAAACTCCTTCCCAGGCGGCACCACAGCAGCTCAAAGCGAAAACATATCTCGTTAGCACAGCAGACGCAACCGAGTATGGAATCGGTGGAAACTGGGAAAAGCAGTTCTAGTAGCTCGGTTCCACCCCAGCGGAAGCCCAGCTTCACGAGACGATCGAGGACCCCATCACATACCGGCGGCGCTCTGTTAGAGATGGGAAGGCAAATTGCATCTGTCGGGGTCGGTGGACCTGTTGGAGTTCAACCGGTCAAGAGCAACGGGCCGTGGAGCAGCCTCATAAGGCGTAACCGCAGCGGAAGTGATGTGCCAAAGGTCCTGCAGAAACCCCCATCTGGTAGGTTGCATCAACTTATGACCGCTTCGAGCGGTTTTCTCCTCACGCCAACCTTTTTTTTTGTAGCTTATACTAACCATTGCATGACAAAGGCCGAGCTCCGGTATTTACTCCTGAAAAATCACCCGTCAACAGAAATCATGCAGACGAAAATGACGGGGATCACGAAGCAACGGCGAACGAAATTGATTTTGGCGATCATGCGGAGTTAAGAGCGCCCACGCTCGAAGGGTTCAAAAATCATGTTCAACGGCTCTTCCCACAGCTGCAGCCAGCTCTGGTGGACCGCATAGGCCAAGAGCAACTGCGACGATATCAAAAGCTTGTTGAACTCAGGCTAAGACATGCGCAAGCGGTAAAACGACGTGCTTGTAAATCCGGCGAGCACTGCTTTGCTCAGGGCGGCGGCCCTACGATTCTGCCACCCAGGACGAACCCTAAGGATTCCGAGACGACTTATCCTCAGCTCCAAATCTCCGGAACGGGAGCGGGCAACGACGACGCTAACGGAGGAGCAGCGGGCGAGAACGCCACCTTAGAGGCTGTGTCATCCAAAGGCATCCCCCCACCACCGGCCAAGCAGCTTCCGGCCCGATTCGAATGCTCCTTGTGTTTCGAGGTCAAGGAGTTCCAGAAGCCTTCTGATTGGACGAAACACGTGCACGAGGATGTGCAGCCGTTTACGTGCACGTTTCCCGAGTGTACGGAACCCAAATCGTTCAAGCGCAAAGCGGACTGGGTGAGGCATGAAAATGAGACGCATCGGCATCTCGAATGGTGGGAGTGCAACATGGAGGATTGCACCCACATATGCTACCGCAAAAACAACTTCGTGCAGCATCTTGTTCGAGAGCACAAGATGCCAGAGCCAAGGATGAACCGTGTCAGGGCCCGAGGAGGACAGAATGATGGCGCACCACCAAACATGACAGATCCGGATATTCCTTTGCAGGACATTTTAGTAGATAGGTGCCACCGCAAGACTAAGAAGCAACCAACCCAGGAAGCCTGTCGGTTTTGTGGCGAGACATGCAACAGCTGGAAGAAGCTGGCAGCGCACATGGCGGACCATATGGAGCAGATCGCCCTGCCGGTGCTGAAATTGGTGGAGAAGACAACCACTTTCCCCAGCGCGATGGTCAGTCCAATCGAAGATGCAGGGTCGTCTCCAGCGCAGAGTAACCTGACGACGCCGATCGAGGGGTACTCCACGCCGATTCAACGCACGTCGTCCTCCAACCAGCAAGAGAATCGCAGCAAGGGGAAAGCCGGACGCCAGAGGGCCATGTATGGCACGGCAGCGCTCTTGCCAGAGGCGTTCGCGGTGAAGCAGCCTCCTGTTTCTTCGCAGCAGTTGCAGATGCACAACGTACTGTACGGGGTGAGTGGGCAGCAGCCGTATTCGATGCCGGCCCACCACATGCGGCAGTCGTACTCTTTGGGGAATTTGCCGGTGATGCAAGGAGACTACACGGCGCTTCCCACGATGCAGGGACAGGACGGGCGTGGGGAAATGGCAACGTACCCGCCGTTTAGCACCCAGCCACGGCATTCTGGCGATATGCCGTACAATCTGGACGTATCAGCGTCAGCGGTCTCGATGATGGGGCTTACTGGCGGGCAGATATATGCATCCCCGGTCGAGCACATCCAGTACTCCGAACAACAGGGGGGGATGGGATACAGTGATAGCAGTTCTCCAGGAATGGGGTATCCGATGGAAGCGACGGGGTCGGGACAGGGGTTTGTATTTCCGGGTGGCCAATATGGCCACTGATGGGAAGCCTTTCCCAAAGCGGAGAATATGGACATTCTAGCTGGCGTCGTGGTGATGACTTTCGTGATGCATGGGTTTTGGCTTTTTTTTTGTTTTCCCTTCTGGAAACCGGTCATTGGTTCCACGTAATGAATTAATGTCATATTAGTGGCCATCTTACCACGCCTTTTTCGATTTTTGGCTCCCTTTTTTCTCCTGCCTTGTTTTTTTCCCCTTTTTAAATGATATGGTGCATGAGTGCATAAACACCTGTTCGTCTACCCCATCTTCTGCTGCTTTTCCGGGACTGCAACGATATAACACAACCCCGTTGGTATTATTTTTGAGGTCAGTGTCGATGTAAGTAGCAGATGAATGTATTGTATGTCCTTTGATGATATTGGGAGTTGTATTATGCGGTAGCCTTGCTCCATAGGCTGACTGCGACGACGATGCGATTAGAGTGTATTCCTCACGTAGTTGGTCAGGTATTTCGTTTGAGGATCGAAATACTGCTTCCGCGACTCTTCCTCTCGGGGGTCTAACAGGCGATCCGGTTGCCTTTCGGGAAATTCAGGAAAAATCTATCAGTATCGGTGGCCTTTTCCCAACCCCGGCCAGTGAGAAAGCGCCCGCGCTCCGGGGATAGAGCCAAGCCAGATAATGAGGCGAACAGAAGGCCAGAGATTATCCGCCTAGTGGGCGGATCACTGGCGAAGCGCAAGCTATATCTTATCCCCGACTCCTCACTCCTGTAGTGTACTTTATATATTAGATCGGGTTGAGCCACTCGAGAAAAAAAAAGGTATTTGAGAAACATATCAAACCACGTGAGCTCGACGGACGTCGTTCATCAGAGCGTCTCTTCTTCGGGTTGATTGGTCTCATCTCCATCTTCCATCCTCCATCTCTCATCGCTCTCATTCTTTTCTCTCTCTCTCTCTCTCTCTCTCTCTCCACACTTCTTTTTACTTCAGTCATTCTCTGTCTCTCCTTTTTTTTCCCTTTCCCCTGTCTTAACCTTCGGTGCAGTGAGCGTGAGGCAGCCGGATTGGGCTTCGCGAGTGTCTCCCCGCGCCAGGCAAGCTGGCCGCGCATCGTCAAACCACGCCCAGCTCCGTCGGCCAGCGCCGTTAACTAGTTTGCTTGCCTTCTGCTCTGCTGGCCCAACAGCCGGCCAAAATAGTCTCCAGAAGACAGACTGTCACTGCATGATACTTGACGCACACTTGCACGTTCGTACATCCATACATGCATAGCCTTCTCTCAAGCATCCCCGATCCTTGCCTGCCGCGTATCCGCGTATCCGCGAATTTCTTTTCTTTTCTTTTCTTTTTTGCTTTTCTCCTAGGTGATCTAACCCTTGAGTTAGTGAACGGCCATCATCTTATGCATCTTCTTGCCTGCCTCTTGCATGAGAACAAGTGTCTGGCCCCTCTCGGCTGCTCGCTGGGCCATCCTCCCCGGTCTGATCGGCGCAAGATGTGGGCTGGCGGCCATCCCTGTGTCTTTGCGAGACATCGCTATTCCATGATCTAGACCCTTTTCCTATCTGTCCCCGCCAAAGCCTGGAATGGTTGGAAAAAAGCAAAATAAGAAAATAAGAAATTCTACAACGGCATCGTCCCTCTCCTCCGTTCTAGCGGCCCTTGCTGGAGGTTGTCCACCATGGCCCAGTCGCAGGCCCAATTCAACCTTAACGATCCCGCTGCCCAGGACTCGCGCAGGCTGGTATGTTGTTTAATCTTTTTTTCTTTTCTTTCTTTCTTCCTTTTTTTTTTTTTTTTTTTTTTTTTTTACTTTTTTATTTTATTTTATTTTATTTTATTCTTCCACCCCCCCTTTTTAGCATCCTTAAAAGTCTTTTTCTTCGTCCGATTTGTTTTGTACCCCTATTCTTAACTAATGCGCTTCCTCTCTCCCTCGACGTTGCTCACAGCAGCCCCAATACCCGCGACGCAGCTCCCATGGCGGCCAACTTGGGCTCTCGGATGAAGATCTATATATGAATAACTCTACCGCACCCATGGTGCCGTCTTATTTTCATGATGGCCAGACTTCCGGCTTCTACTCCCCAAACTTGTCCAATATAGACCTCGCCAACTTGGGAGAGTTCACAGCCGGCTTCCAGCCGTCCGCCGCCCTTTGGGCCAACGATCCCCTCGCTGCCAATTCCCAGTTTCTACCTTATGCCTCCTCCACAACCCAGCAGATCTCGGCTGTCACGCCTTCCCGATACGATGCCTGGGATCCAGTCAGTGTCACTGGCCTTGCGCCTGGCAGTGCAAGGCCTTCCACGCCACCGCCCTTTTCCAAGCGCCCGAGGCTCTCGAGGGACAGTGAGAATATGTCCGATGTTGGAGACTACATAACTTCATATCTCTTCTCAGATTCAGGCTACGCCACGAGAAGCATCGGCACCAGATCTGTCGCAGGCGTGTACCCCGTTGAACAGCAGTTCGAGAACTCACCGTCAACAAACTACCCCGACACTTACCTCCCAATCGTCCGTTCCCCTACTCCCACTCCCGCTCCTGCGTCTCCAGTTGCCCCTCAGAGAGAAACAGAGGAGGGTGGCCGACCGCTGCAGCCAAAAGCGAAGACACGTCCCAGGAAAGCTTACGAATGCCCCTTTCCTGATTGTGACTGGATTGGGAAAACTAGGTCTGATCTAAAGTTAGTGGTATACCTTCACATCTTCAAGGCGATCAAACTCCCTTGAGTACAGTAAAACTGACCCGAGAGACTACGCCCCATCTCTTTTTTTTTGTTGTAGGAAACATACAGACCGTCATGAAAAGAGATTCAAATGCGACGTTCCGAATTGTAAACGAAAAGACGGCTTTGCAACTTCCAACGATCTGAATAGGCACTTGAAAGCTGTCCACAAGAGTGGAATGGGAAAGATATACAGATGTTTTGTACGGGGCTGCGCCAAATCTCAGAAGGATTGGCTCCGCTTGGACAATTTCCGCGCCCACCTGCAAAATGTGCATAAAGATTGTAATGTTGGTGAAATGGTTCGCCTGTGGGTTGTCCCGAATCTGCTGTATTGGACGTTTTGCTTATAACATGCTAGATCCGAGCAGTGGTATGAATCCAGAAAGAATGTGCTTTCTGATAGTGGTTCTCAGGACCCTGAACCAGGCGATACCGCTCCCCAATTGTTTGTTAACGCCGCCGACCTCGTCACAGTCAGCGCCCCTTCTACCACAACTAGCCCTTTATTTATCCAAGCCCTCTCCGCCAATCCCGGGCCTTCACAGTCCCAGCATTCCCAAGCAACAGCGCCAGCATTCGGTACTCCTTCTATTCATGCTCCTACATTCTCAGAGGCTCGACAGCCGGACCAATCACGTGCCCCAACGTTCTATGAGCAAAGTACTGTTGTGGACGATACTCCCATTTCGTTGGAGAATCCACTTGTGCCTGAAGAAAGTGGTGCAGGTGCTCAATTTTCCACCGATACCCATGTTGATGGCCAAAGCTCCTCATCCTCTGACTCCCTTTCTGAAGCAACTCAGGGCCTTTTCAAAGCCTTGGAAAAGGCGATGGAGAAATCAAGGAGACAAAATAGCCAAGGTCCTCAAAACAACAATGCCAGTGATAAAGGAGATGAATCGCACAATCCATCCTTCCTAGACCTGCTCTCAACTTCAGGAAAAAGGGAACGGGAGTTTTTCCACAAGCTGATCCAGAACAGCTACACCCAACTCATGTCTAAAAGCACAGCTGGCGGTGGGAATGAACCCAATTCTTCCAACGCGGCTGCTGACAACTCTCAATCTTCTGATAAAAAAAGATTCAAATGTCCTCAATGCCCGACCACCACCCGGCTTCAATGTGAGATGACGTATGGCTTCAATTTTACTTTTCCCATGGTTCAATGGTTGAGATGGCCGCTAATATCTATGTATGTAGCAAGCACATGAAACGCCACACTCGACCGTACGGCTGTACATTTACGAACTGCGATAAAGTGTTTGGGAGCAAGAGTGACTGGAAGCGCCACGAGAATGCGACACACTTCCAGCTTGAAAGTTGGCGCTGCCAGGAGCCGGAAGTTCAAGAGTCTCTAGATACCCGCGAGTGTGCTCGCCAGTTTTTTCGTTCTGGACAGTTCGCAAGCCATTTACGAAATGATCACGGCCTCGACGAATGCAGAATATGGAAATGCTTGCGCACAAACAGAATAGGCAGAAACGGACAAGGCCGGTTTTGGTGCGGGTTTTGCCGGAAACTGGTAGAATCGGAACCTAGGGGTTCGAATGCGTGGAAGGATAGGATTAACCATATTGACGTGGAGCATTTTCGGAAAGGCCAAAGCATTGAGGATTGGCTTCTGCCTTCAGGTCACTTTACGAAGGGAGAGGTAAGACGAAGAAAAATTGAGAGCTCCTTGGGATCAGGCAGCGGTGTAGTCGTGACCAGCACTGATACCCCTGCGAATGCTGGTATCTCTTCAGCTGGCGATGATACCTCTGTGTCTGACCAGCAATCGCGGGATGTCGACCAGACACGCGCAGTAAACCCTTTTCGAACTTGCGAGCCATCTCAATCTTGCGTTTCCGAAAATTTCAAAGAGCCGAGTGAGACGAGCTCCAGACTTCTAATGAGCCCTACCGCTTCCTTCAGTCAATACGACTCCTCGACTCAAAGACAAAGTATAGCCGACTCGCTCATGCCAGTCGTTAACCCCGTTCAGCGAGTAGACCCTCGCGAAGATCAAGAACAATGCGTTACTTGTGTAAGACGCACAACCCCCTCCTTTTCCCCCCTAACCGTCCTGGGTCTATAGAGCTTACGCTGTGATATAGTGCCAGTGCGGGCTTTCATATACTCTTGCCCTAGAAAATCGCTGTACCGTCTGCATGCATCGGCCTTGTGGATACTGTGCTTACGGCAAATCTAATGATTGATGTCTTCGCCCTCTTCACGACTTGCTAACACAATCAATGACCTTGACGGGTTGACGAGTGAGCAGCCCGTGTTTACAATTTTCGACTTTTGGTTTCTTTCCTGGATATACATATGCTTTAGATTTTGTTTCTTTTCGGCTACGACACTTTACGAAGGATTTTGGATACCCTGGTGTTTGGTTCGCTACATTCTGTTCCCCGTTTGTGTCGTCTTTAGAGTTCGGAATCTTCGGTATTTTGCCTCCTTCGCCTGCATATTTACATGGTCAACAGAACCGAAACTATATAACATGCTTACACAGGCCATATTCTGTATTTTGACCCTTTTTGAGAATGCTTATTTTATTTCGATTTTATATATATATGCGTCCATACCAAGGGGCGTAACTATATAGCTTTGCCATGAGTCTATGACCATCTTTGTCTTCGTGTTCAGCACACCACCTGTCCTCAAAATCAACTCCTGTAAGACGTCTCTGCCTTCTCACTGTCGAATTTTCTCCCAGCGAGGGGAAATATTCAGCTGATAGATGGTACAACAATTCCCGCAGCATCATGTCATCTATTAGATTGATAAGAGCTACTTGTTCACAACTTTGACCCTTCGGGCTCTCCAATCAAGTCCAGAAAGGCGCCGTGGACCTCGTCCGTTAAATCGCTTGCTTGCATACTTCTTCCCTTGGCCAGAAATGCTCTTCGTGAGCACTCCCTCGTAATGGTACTCCCAGCCCACGCAGCAAGCAACATTGTAGTTTTGCGGCTCATTTTCTTCATCATCTTACCGCCATCCTCCTGCAATTCAACTTCGACGTCACTTCTGCTCTCCGCCTCTCCCTGCTTTGAACGATCTTCCTCACCTGCATCCCATAAGCCCTCATGATACGCCTTCCTCCAGGCCAAAAAGGTCCCCAAAGAACCCGTCATGGTATCCCCCTGCCCACCACTCCTCTTCTTCCCACCTTGCACATCCGAAATCAGCGACGTCACCCCGTTCGAAATAACATCGTGAATCCCCTTTTGAACAATCATCACCCCACCCAGCGCCCTCGACAACCGCTCACACGCCTCACACTCACCTTCCTCCCTCCTTTCTCCTGCCACCGAAACATCCACCCCGAACGCCTCAGTCAACCGCCGGAACTCAACCACATTCGGCGTGAGAATGCACTCTTCATACCCGTGCACGAGATCGGGACGATCCTGCACGAGTAGCAGAGCATCGGCGTCGAGGACCAAGGGGATAGCCTTGGCGCGAGCTTCTCTCAGTACTTCCACGACGATGCTTTGCGTTATGGGGTCACGGCCGAGACCGGGACCGATGACGAGGACGTGCACGCGTGGAAGGAAGGAGATGATGGGCTCTGCATGGTGGCGGGGATCGGGGGCGGGGATGGGATTGGAGAGGGATTTGGAGCTTTGTAGGATGGGGTGGACCATAAGGTTTGGGGAGTAGGATTTGATTACCTACAGGGTTTGTGTTATTCTTGTCTTCCTCTTTTCCTTTTTTTTTTTTTTTTTTTTTTTTTTTTTGGTAGATAGAGGAAACGGGAGGTATTGAAGCGGCGTGTATCCCATATCCGTGAGAGGAATCACTTACTGTTGCTGCTGATGGTTCACAAATTACATGGCTCTATGAAGGAAATCGTTTAGCGGATTGGACGCTGGCGAATGGTAATAGGTTTGTTCTATTTGGACGCGACTCTTACCATATCACACCCTAATATCCCAGTCAGCTTTCTTTTCCAGGCTTCATTATGAAAAGCGAGGTAGGTCACTCTGAGCTTCGAGACCAATGCGGTGCCTCCCAAGGATAGCTGGCAGACTAAGTTACGTACCTAACTTTGCCGAAGCCATTGCAGAGAAGTATGGCGCTCCAGTGTAACTGATAATCAAAACCAGAATTCGTCAATTTCACCATAACCACGTTGGAATCAAATTGGATCCTCATGGGGATGAATCGAACGGGGTATGAAAAAAAAAAAAGGGCAGAGACCGGTTTATAGCATGGATGCCCCCTGATTTGGTACGGACAAGAAACCCAAGTCATTCTGTTCCTTTGAAGGAATGCCCGGTATTAAATATATGCACCAAATAAACGAACACAGAGCAGATATAAAACACTCCCCGGGGAAAGGAACCACGCGAGCCACTGTCGAATTTCCTTTCTCATCAAGGGAAATACAAAAGGAAAAACTCCCGGATATATGGAGAACCTACTCTATACTTCCCCCAATAACGGCCACACGGCCAAGCTGCCCTGTTCAGATCATCAGCCTAGCTCATCGACTGGTAGAATGGTGAACGGTTCCCTCTAGATACTTAGGTGGCAATGCGTAATACCTTTATGAAATTTCTCCAGCATTGGAGGGACGAGTCTCCTTACGTTGCCTAGGAGGTTTCGCGTGGATGCCGACATGCTGGGCGCAGAAGGAGTATTTGGAATTGGAGGACTAGGCATGGGCGAGAACTCGAATCCTAGTGTCGTAGCGATATGCTCTTATGAAATATGATGACTTTAAGATGTATTCATTCACTCATTAATAGTACAAGCTGTTGGGGGGGTGGATGGATTGGAGGATGGATGTTGCTGCAGCTGAATGGAGGTTCCAAAAGACCGAGGCATGGATGATGTCACAGCCAATGCAGCAGGACGCGAACCATGATGAACAGCGTGTTTCGCCATCACGACAGTGACACAACTCCTGAGACGCAGAGACAAAGAACCGGGGCTCAAATACAATTAAAGTATATCTGTGAAGTAGTTGTGAAACAACCATTCAACTGTCTTAATCCATATCGCTATGCAACAATAGAACAAACATCAAGGGAATACCCACGCTATGCTATATCCACAAGAAAGTTAAGAATTAACGGACCGCTCAACAAAGGGAATCAAAAGACCAGCCCACTGTATCTATCTGATGCGGCTGTGCTCCAATGTCTTGAACATCCAAGCAGCACAGCCATGCACCCTGTCGCGAGAGCACATAATCTACCCAGTTTCGCCGAAGGAACCACAGCGCCAACCAAGCTAAAAAGAATGCAAGGCAATAAGATGAAGTAGGTAAAACATGTTCAAAGAAATAAAATTCGATATTCGATTAGCGTTTCGATTTGGAGAGTGCAGCGAGCTTCTTCTTGCGTTCCAACTTGGCTTTCTTGGCCTCCATTTCCGCTCTCAACTCTCGTTCATCTTCGGCTTTGGCTTGGCGAAGGGCTTCTTGCTCTTCGTCCTCCATATCCATAATTCCGGCCTCCATGTCGGACGAAGCATCCGAGTAATCGTCGTAGTCATCCGCACCATAGTAATCGCCTTCGTCTTCTTCATCTGTCCCGAGGTACTCGTCCACTACACGGCGACGAGCATGTTTTCCTTGGCTGCCTTTCTGCGCGCCCGCACTGGCACCACGCCGCGATGGAAGCCCTGCGGTGCCGGCATAGCTAGTGGCACTTGATGGACGTGCAGTCCCTTTGTATTCTGGTTCAGCACTTGTTTTTCGAGACAGGGATTTCATCCTGTTAGGAACACTAGGCGAGGCGCCCGGCGTGATTGACTTTTTGCCTCTGCCAACCTCTAGTTCCCGGTGCTTTGCTTCTTTCAGCAAACGTTCCCGCTTCGCCTTACTCATTCTTTCCTTCGTAACCGTCTGGTGTTTTATCATGCCAACGTTGAGTGGCTTTTGCTGCTGAAGAGCCTTGGCTTGCGCCATGATATCGGCAAAAGAGCCTTTTGGTGGAGGCTTGGTGGGCGCAGAGTTCACAGGCTTTGGTGTCGAGGAGGTAGTTGGTTTTGGAGTAAAGGACACCTTTGTGGACGGCCGAGGGGGAGAAGGTCGATTCTGCAGGCTCAGCTGTGACGCCGGCTTTGCAGTCTTAGCGACCTTGCTGGCAGGGTGGGGTACATCTTGCCCAGCTTTTCGTTTCTGGCCGAGTCCAGAGCTATAACTCTGGGTGGAAGGTGTTTTGTTGGTGATAGAAGGTATGGGGGCTGCTGAAGTTTTTCTGTGGGCTGGGGGTGGGGTGATCGATGCATCCCCTGTACCGATGGATGTGAGAACTGAATTCAGGAACTGGGACTTAAGATCAGCTTTGATATCAGAAAACTGGGGCTCCAGGAGGTCAAGCTCACACTCATGGTGACCGAAGTCTGACGGTGTGGAAGCGCAGGTAGGATAGGAACCGCTCGCCAAAGATGAGTGGGATCTGCAAATCAATCATGATTTCAGTGTTCCACGGCAGGTCATAGCACCTCGACCTCAGGATAGCGCAGATCTCGTCAGATACTGGGAGCCGGAGGGTCTCCAGCGATCAGAATCTTAGGTCACGCCACATGGGAGGCCGGAGGAGAGCGCCACGTCGACAAGCCAGGACTGTGCGAGAGGGAAAAGGAGAGAGGCCGGCGCTGGGTGCCAGGCGGGCGCGCACTGCCCTTTTATATCTGGCGAGCCGGCGCCAGGCTTAGGTAAGGCACGGCTGACTCAGCAAACGTAGTCAAGCCACGGCAGCTCGCTTACTGGCAAGTGGCTGGTGCGCCCCTCGCACCGTTAGCCACACGCTGGTTCAAATAATTCGTTTCGCGTTCTGCGGCTGCTCTTCTTCGTTCATCCGCTTCGACCACGCATTCAACGAACTTGACGTCTCAGTCTCCGCCCAACTCGCGGTTAAATCGATTGATTCTCCTGTTCGCTTATTTCAAAGCAGTGTATGTCACTTGGGTCCTGCGACTCCTCGTTGCGAAGTAACAACCGGCTGACTTTTTTTTTTTTTTCAATTTGCAGCTACTTTCTCAACAACAATGAAGCATCTCGCCGCTTACCTTCTCCTTAGCCTCGGTGGCAACGAGTCGCCTTCCGCCAGCGATATCAAGGGCGTTCTCTCCTCTGTCGGTATCGATGCTGATGAGGAGCGTCTAGAGAAGCTCATTTCTGAGCTCAAAGGAAAGGACCTTCAGGAGGTCAGTGTTGACTCGTTTTGATTATTTTCCCAAGCCTGACCGCCGCCTTGGTGTGTTGACATTTCCTCTAGTTGATCGCTGAAGGTACCACCAAACTCGCTTCCGTTCCCTCCGGTGGCGCCGCTGCTGCTCCTGCTGCTGGCGCTGGTGGTGCTGCTGCTGGTGAGGCTGCCCCAGCTGCTGAGGAGGAGAAAAAGGAGGAAGAGGAGGAGTCCGATGAGGACATGGGCTTCGGTCTCTTCGACTAAACGACGAACGCCTCCTTATGAAAATAAAAAAAGGACGTTAGAGACGGTCGCCGCCAGATATGCTTTGATATTCGATGGCGCGTGGACGAGAACTTTGTTTTCTACACTGACGACGGCGACGTATGAAATCTGGGAATTCTCTTTAAGTATTGATGGGATCGCCAAATTTGGTCATGCGGTCAAAGGGTTTCCAACATTGAGTTGCTATTCTGCCATACGATGTACGCTTAGGTTTTGAGATTCCCTAAGAGAATGAAATCAAGGGCCGTATCTCTGGCAACCTCCCGATCCACTAGTGATTCCGACGAAATCGTCGACTTTCCGGAATCTTTAAATTCAGTGCGAAGTATGCATAGGCCCGTACATTTGGTTTTCGGGCGCTATGCAACGTTCTCTATTGATATGTACTTCTGGCTCTTGCTGTAATGAATTCGCTGGTCGTCCTTGAAAACATTCTGAACACGGTCATTACAACGGTTTTCCTAGCCCCGTATGACACCGTCCCTCGTAAATCTGCCATTTGTACCAATTTCTCTTTCTCGTAAGTAGACAAAGCAACGCGCAACAAAAAGGGGCTTGATAGCCTTTTCCAGCGAGGCTTTGTCGCCCAGCAGGCCCTCGCCGGACGCTTCGACGTCGCCGGCCGCCACAGATAGAGTTTGATAGGGCTGGGTTGCCGGATTGGGGAAAACTTAGGGCTTGCTGACTCATTAGCGTGATCGCTTAGCCGAGCCATTCAAACTTCCACCCTCCCAAACCAGGCTTGAAGGCGAGTGGAACGGTCAAGCATCAGCCCAAACGACAAATCTTTCATCGCCCGTCTTTCTAATCGACAAGCCGAGTTGCTTCGAGAGACTAATCCGCAATCATGGCTGACACTGAATACGTGAGTATTACCTATGGTGTGGATTATGGACGCATGCTGGCAGATGGAGAACTAACCTGTCTTCTGTCACTTAGAATGCGGAGGAGGCTGCCGGTACGTGTCTCGAGTGATTCCTTTCGAAGTGTTTTGTGTGTGGCGATGCCAGAAGATACCGCTTGAAGGTCCTTTTTTACAGCGGGAGAGGAAGAGGTGGATGATATGCGGTCGTTTTATGACCAGGCGTTGGGAATAAGGGCGCAACGAGAAACTGGACTGACACTGACTGGACGTTCTCCCACAGAGTTGAAGAAGAGAAGAGCATTCAGAAAGTTTTCCTACCGTGGAATCGACCTCGATCAGTATGTTGGATCCGACGTTCCTAAGCCCATCTAGGCCGCCCAATAGTTGCCGCGAGTGACAGAAATCTGATTATTGCAATTTAATCGCAGACTCCTTGATCTCTCTTCCGAACAGCTCCGCGATGTCGTTCATGCTCGTGCCCGCCGCCGATTCAACCGCGGACTCAAGCGAAAGCCAATGGGCTTGATCAAGAAGCTCCGAAAGGCCAAGCAGGAGGCCAAGCCAAACGAGAAGCCCGAGCTCGTCAAGACACATCTGCGTGACATGATCGTTGTCCCCGAGATGATTGGCAGCGTTGTCGGTATCTACTCCGGCAAGGAATTCAACCAGGTTGAAATTAAGCCTGAAATGGTTGGACACTACTTGGGAGAGTTCTCCATCTCATAGTACGTTACTCGCCCTTCGTACACGGAGTTTTTACCGGTGTCGTTTGCTAACATTTATCCCCAGCAAACCCGTCAAGCACGGTAGACCTGGTATCGGTGCTACCCACTCTTCTCGTTTCATTCCTCTCAAATAAAGAATTATATGTCGTGTTATGTTTCTGGCTGGCTCGTTAAAGGCAGGGTGTTTTGCTTAATGGGTAAAATACTCCTTTTATGGCATATGGAGGGGGAAATTTAGCTTCCTTAGAAAACAGCGGCATATGAGGGAACGTTGTTTTTCTAAGCTGCCCATGTTAGCTAGAATATTGACGGTTTTATATCCTAGCTGAACAAATCGATCCTCTGGTCGTCTGATGCGGCATGAATGGTTTCCATTTTCTAATTGAATCCCATGAATAATTTGCTTGGCGTTACACACATGCGGGAATAAGAACACAATCAGAACCTTCTGGCACCCTGAAGCCTCAAGGCAATGACTCAAAACTGCCAACAGCCACCATCAATGCCGAACCTGTAGCAATGACATTGGAATTCCTTCATCACTATGCATAAAAAGTCCGTTCCTAGTTCATTGATTCCACAATGCCCCAAAGGTTGACTCCATGGATGTTGGCTTAGCCACCAAAGTTCTCGAAAACGGGGTTAAAATTCACAAATGGTAGCTAGTCGGAGGCGTTTTCGAATGTACGACGGCACTTCGACGTCGGTGTGTTCGTTATTTATAGCGTGACATTCCCGTTAATCCCCCTGTCCCTTAAGATGGGTTATTGGCGGAAGAGCCGTTATTCCGACGCCGCAATGCTGCCAGCCGTGCAGCACGAGCTGCACGTCTTTCACTTGCGGCGACCCGTTCGTGGACATTTAGACATTGCTCCAACCAGACCCCGTGGCCGGATTCATAGCCAAAATCAGCATTTGGTTCCTGCACCAAGTCCAATTGTGACATGGCTGAGGACAACGACCGGCTACGATCTGACTCAGGTGATCCGCTGCGCTCCGGAGCTTGGGATCCTCTCCACCGGAAGTCTTGCCTCGGCGATTCAGACGCGTTTCCAGCCATGCTAGAATTATCGTCGTTATATAAAGCGACGTATCTGCCCCAAGCTCCGTTCAGGACTTGCATGGCTCTCATCTCCGTTTGCTGGCTATATCGAGGGCCAGGCGCCCCATTTGCGTGGATTCCGTTCTCTGTTGTCAATCCTGCAGCTGAGCGATTACGAAGTGGATGAACTGAGGCGTATTCCGTCAATTCCCGATGGCATGTCACGAAGTAATGCGCTTAGACGCTCAAGGGGTCTGAGATGGTGGCGAAGGATTGCTGGAGTGGTCCACATGCGAGGATCCGGGACCGCGAAGCTTGCCTCTGACATGGCCTCGTAATCAAGCTTGAGATCAGGGTGAGCAGCTAGTGCGAGAAGCAGTAAAAAGGTCGGATCATCGCGAGACACATGTTGGGGAGGGGCACCCAGACCATAGGATTCCCATGGTGCCCATTCGTTGCTAGTCTCCTCCATATTTAGCCCACACTATGATTATGGATTGGCCCTTAAGGGCTGTGAGCTTAAGGAGAAGCCACAAGAGCCTAAAGCTCGTGAAGCGAAGGGAGTCTGCTCCCGGGCGGGTGGGTACCAAGGAACGGAAGACGGAGGACACGAAGCTCGATAACTAGGAGATAGATAGGCGCGTGTAATAGGTAGGGAAATACAAGGCGATCTCGGGATTATTCAAGGCCACAACAGAAGGAGAGTGAAGGAAAAATGAGATGCTGGAAAGTTGCGAGTTCAATGTATGATTGAAGTGGGTCTTTTACAGACAGTGAAGGAATATGATAGGGTTTTATAAAGGAAGGAAATATAAAAATCTGGAGAAAGGTGTAGAAGCTTTCTAGGAACAGATAGCCACCTGATTCAAAGACAAGAAAAATCACAATATGGCTGATTGTGGATGTTTTGAGAAAGAAAATCTTAGTTCATGTGATTGCTTGCTGTTGCTTGGAAACAGCTTCAGCGGTATGACCCGCGACAAGCGGGAACAACAAAAATATCACTTCACCTGAACCTTATGCTGCTGGCGAAAGGTGTTGAAGGCCCGCTTAAGAGACGATCTTGGGTTTTCTTTGCAAAAAGTGTGGGTGGGAATCACTTCATTAACCACAAACACTGGTCAGATCAACAGAGGGGTATCTCGAGATTCACACAACTCCACTTTGAATGGGATTAGACTGGTTGAAGGTTGAAATCTGACGTTGAGAATCTTAGAAATGCTGTCTGGCAAAGGCATAGCCTGGCTGTCACCTAAACTGAGGCCTCGTCTATTCGCAAAGCGTCGTCCACAAGCTTCTCCACCTTCTCCCATTCTTTATCAATGTCAGGTTGCATCGCTTCCAGTGTCCATTCCGCGTGTACAAAGAGCGAGAGCGAGCCTCTGTAGATATCCTCCACAGTAGGCAGCTCATTTGAAGCGGTCACCTCAAGGTCGAGCAGGATGGAATAAATCAGCAAGAAAAGGTTGAGCTGATACTTCGAGAGATCAATACCTTCCGCAAAACCCAGGTCCCCCGCTTGAGTAAGGTACCTCATTAAGCTGACAAACATCCATTTATGCATAGTGGCGACCGGATGCCATTTAGCAGGATATACAACGGGATCGATACGGAGATGGCGGATGGCGCATTGCACAAATACGCATTGCAATTGTTGTGCATCCATGAGGGATGCGATGAGCTCGTTCCGAAGCCTGACATACGGCTGACGAGTCAATGGCCATAGTAATGTTTTTCGCAGGATGCTCATTGCGCGTTTGAGGCTGCGGATCGAAGCGGCAGGGGAAATTCTAGACTTCGCAGCTTCCAAGAGCCCGACAGCTTCTCTTTGTGCATCGTCGACCAGCTTCGAGTCAAGGTCAGTGACTTCTTTTAGAAATTCGCCGTCGCCGACCTCCTTTTCTCTAATGCACCTGGGGCATTCACATTCAAAATAATATCTTTTAGAGAGTTCCGCCTGGCGGTGTAAACATGCATCAGTAGGTTCAACGTAAGAAACAAATATCTGCTCTCCTTCTTCAATGTGCTGTAGCGCCCTGAGCCAAGTCTTTCCCTTATCAAAATCAACAGCAGCATTAGGATCGCAGCTGTGGTTACACAAAGATGCAAGAGGCTCAACGGCGGCGCCAATTTGATCATAAAATGGAGTTGTTAGAGTAAAAGCATTGATGTCAAGCTTCGGTCTGTGTCAGCGCATGATAGATCAAGGATCAGGGCACAAAGCGGCGAGCTACGTACTTTGCCAAAACAATCAACGACTTCTTGAAGGCTCAACTCCGTTTTGGAATATTCATGGATTGCTCTGGCGCACAATACTAGATTTTGGAAATGATCCGGTTTCGTGCGTATAGTCTCCGTTAGATGACTCGTCAAAGAATCAAAGCGTTGCATTCTGTCCCCTTGATCCTCCTGATGCTTTTTTAGAAGAAGGATCCTTAACACCGCTCTTGAGGGAGTCGGTAAAACATTTGGATACAGATTTTTGAAGATCTTGCATTCGTGTTTATGGATTGCAGCCCAATTTTCCTTTTGACAGCCCTACACTGTAGTCAGCATAGGCCACTAAAGTTTTCTGACGGAATAGAACGACATGGAAGCAACGACGGTGACAGTCCGTTTTGTGCAACCTTTTACGCCAAGTGCTATTTCATACCTTGCTACAGTACCTCACTGTCCTGCATCCAGTGCATAACTTCAGAGGCACTTGAGGAGCGCCATCCACTTCCCGGTCTCGAAGTGTTTTACCACCAAAACAGTTGGAGCAGGTATCTGCCAATCGAGCCGTATCCAAAACGGCCAACCAAGTGTCCAGCTCTAAAATGGGTTGCCCAATAAGAATTCTGGTGGTCGCGAATAGGCCGGTTCCTGCGTTCGGCGTCTCGCCTGGAGCAGCTCGCAAAACCCCTCCATCTGTGTTTCTCATATTGGAGATAATGTGGTATCGGTATTCGTCTACATGCACCCAAGCTCAAGAGGCATAATAGCTTCTTTGTATTTGCAACGGACTTTCATGTATCATTTTGCCAATGCAAAATAGAGTATCCCTCCCAACTACTATGTACAAACGCATTGAATGGGACGACAAATGCACGTCTCCTCAATCAAGAAGCGTCCCCGACACTGACAGTTCTAGGGATACTCCCTCCGACAAGTCCAGCAAAGTTTGGCGCCGTCAGATTCGATATCCCAATTAGGGCTTAAACACAAAGCCCTAAAATAGGTCGGCGCTAATAATAATCCGCTCCGCCCATAGGTACCTAGAATGGCCGAGGAAGAAATCGGAGGAGGTACTCCGCACGCACTGGCAAGTTCTCAGTGACTCTAGCTTTGCCAGGAGACAATCCGTCTCGAGGATATGAATGGATGTGCGTACTTGGGAATACTGGGAGATGACAACATCTCTCTTGTAGCAATCCACGCTTGAGTTTCAACAAAGGCACAAGCGGGCCTACAGGTAGTGAACGGGTCCAAATGAGCGGAACGCTGGACGAAACATGGCATCAAATGGAGACTTTTATCTATCTCTTTTCGTATTTGAAAGAAAAAAACCCCGGCCCAAAGCCTCTTTAAAAAAAAAAAAAAAGAAAGGGGAAATGAAAGGAAAAAAAGGCCCTTCGATATAATATGCCAAATAAAGAAAGCCGAGAGTACACACCAAAAGAGCAGTCTACAATCATCGAAGAAAAATAAACGTAAAAAGCTGTGACGAACTTGGAGGATATAAAACCAGGCTAGGTATTTTTCTTCTCGACGCCATAGCGCTGCCGAAATTAGACGGACATTGAACCAAACCCCCAGTAAAAGTAGAATCGAAGAATTCTCCTGGAAACAACACGACTGTTTTACAAACTCTTAGTGCCAACAAAATTCGACCAGCTACGAACTTCAGACGGGATTCCTTCTTTGCGAGGAAGCTTCTCATTCATACATTGAGCGAATAGAAGGGCGGTCTAATCTCGAGTTAGTAAAAAAACATTTATCGAGGGCGAGGAAGAGGGCAGCATACCTTTGGTTCCATGAAAAGGGGAACACCGAAATCAACAGCATTTCGTCTCATAACATAGTCTTCATCGAGCAGGGTCTTTCCTCTTTGCTTCGCAATATTGAAGACACCTCTGATATCGTATTTTTGGAAGACTTCTCTTAGTGCTCTCTTGTCTTCCTTAGGAAATTCGATGACCTGAATAGCGACCTCGGATTTGGTTGCCTTCTCAAGATATTCCTTGACTCTTGGGCTGGCAGCATACAATTTGTAACCGAGAGGATGGACGAAGTCCACAATATGTGGAAGTTCCGTCAACACATCGGTATCACCGCCAAAAAGTAGACCTTCACCTGGCTCTGGCATACGGAAATTCATCGTGGATTGAAGGGAAGCCCAGTAGGCCTCAACCAAATCCTTGCCGAAGCAGGCAATTTCACCAGTACTTGCCATCTCAACACCAAGGTATGGATCAGCACCAGCAAGACGGGTCCAGCTAAACTGAGGAACCTTGGTGGCAAGATAGTCGCGTTTTACTCTCATGAGGTCGTTGGGCTCTGGAACATCCCTGCCGACAAGCGCCTTGGTTGCGACATCAATGAAGTTCGTGCCAAGCACCTTGCTGACGAAGGGGAAGGATCGCGAAGCACGAAGATTACATTCAATAACCTTCAGCTGTGGCTCGCCCCCGTCGGGGTTATCGGCCTTGATGATCTGCATGTTGAAAGGTCCGGTAATGCTGAATGCCTTGGCAACCTTCGCAGCAATTTCCTTTACACGAGCCATGATAGACTCGTCCAAATTAACAGGAGGAAGAACCAGGGTGGCATCGCCGGAGTGAACACCGGCTGCCTCAACGTGCTCACTGACGGCATGGAGGAGGAGTTTGCCCCCGGAAGCTACGGCATCGATGTCAATTTCCTGGGCTCCTTCAATGAATTTCGTGATGACCACAGGGTGGTCGGGAGAAACATCACTAGCTGAGACAAGCTTGTCGTGAAGTTCATCCTGACTCTGGATAACGCTCATAGCAGCACCCGAAAGGACGTAGCTTGGTCGAACAAGCACTGGATAACCAACGGAGTCCGCAAAAGCCTCAGCCTCGGCAACCGAAGTCAATTCTTTCCATGCTGGCTGGTCAACTCCAATGCTATCCAGAGTCTGAGAGAACTTGTGACGATCTTCGGCTCTATCAATGTCCTTAGGATCGGTACCGAGGACGTGAGCACCGCCCGTTTCTTGGAGTTTAAGGGCAATGTTTTGAGGAAGCTGCCCACCAACCGAGACAACAACGCCGCTGGCATTCTCAAGTTCATAGATATCCATAACTCTCTCGAAGCTCAATTCTTCGAAGTAAAGCTTATCCGCGGTATCAAAGTCAGTAGAGTATGTCTCAGGGTTATAATTAATCATGACAGTTTTCTTGTCCATGTTTCTGAGGGAGAGGGTTGCGTTGACAGCACACCAATCGAATTCCACAGAGCTACCAATTCTGTACACACCGCTTCCGAGGATGATTGTGCCATGGTCATCAAACGTGACATCATGAGATGTAGCATTATAAGTGGTGTAAAGATAGTTGGTGTCGGCTGGGAATTCAGCAGCCAGCGTATCAATTTTCTTGACCCAGGGGTGGATGCCAAAACTCTTCCGACGAGTCCGGACTTCTTCTTCTGTAGAACCAACGCACAATGCAATCTGCTTGTCAGAAAAGCCCATTTTTTTCGCCTTCAGCATCATCTCTTTCTTAATTCCAAACAGGCTTCCGATATCTCTCAGGGCATGGTCAACGTCAACGATATTTTGCAGCTTATACAAGAACCATTTATCGATCTTCGTCAGTTCATGAACTTTGTCAACTGAGTAATTCTCATGAAGCATTGCCTGCCCAACTGCAAGCCATCGGCGATCTGTAGGGTTCTTGAGCACTTCATCAAGGTTCTCAAACTTATCACCTTGGAAACCGACAAATCGAGGATCGACTTGACGGATGGCTTTTTGGAAAGATTCCTCAAATGTGCGGCCAATAGCCATAACTTCCCCAACGGATTTCATGGAGCTCCCGATATCCCGCTTAACATGCTGGAATTTGCTCAAATCCCATCGTGGGATCTTGGTGACAATATAATCCAAGCTGGGTTCAAAATTGGCAGTTGTGGTTTTTGTAACGGCATTGGGGAGTTCGGGCAAGATGTGCCCAAGGCCAATTTTGGCGGCAGTGTAAGCTAGCGGATAACCAGTGGCTTTCGACGCCAAGGCAGACGAGCGCGAGAGACGGGCATTCACCTCAATAACTCTGTAGTCAAGGCCATCGGGCTGAAGAGCGTACTGAACATTACACTCGCCCACAACTCCAAGGTGTCGAACAATTTTGATGGCCGCAGTTCGAAGCATGTGATACTCTTCATCAGAGAGGGTTTGACTGGGTGCAACAACAATACTATCACCAGTATGGATGCCGAGAGGATCAAAGTTTTCCATGTTGCAAACAGTGATGCAGTTGTTGGCTGCATCACGAACAACCTCGTATTCAACTTCCTTCCATCCCTTCAGAGATTTCTCAACAAGAATCTGTGGAGCCAGGGTCAATGATCGGGAAGACAAATTCTTTAACTCCTCAGCATTTGCGGCGAAACCGGATCCAAGGCCACCCAGAGCATAAGCCGACCGAACGATGATGGGATAGCCGATCTTGTCAGCGGCTTCGAGAGCCTCGTCGACCGTGCTGACGGCAATAGACTCCGCAATTGGGATATCAATTTCATTCAAGGCTTTTGCGAACAAATCTCTGTCCTCGCTGGTTTCGAGGGTTTTGATACTGGTTCCAAGCACTTTCACGCCATATTTCTCGAAGATACCCAATCGGTTCATCTGCACACCAAGATTAAGAGCCGTCTGGCCACCGAAACTGAGGAATATTCCATCCGGCTTCTCTTTCTCAATAACGTGCGTGACATATTCAGGGGTAACGGGGAGATAATAGACTTCGTCGGCGAGTTTGTGGTCGGTTTGAATCGTCGCAATGTTGGGGTTGATCAAAACAGATTTGACCCCAGCTTCCTTCAAAGCCTTGAGGGCTTGCGAGCCTGTAAAAAGAGACGAAAGGACAAGCTATTAGCACTTCCCTCTCGAAAACACCTGTAGGAGGAGCGAAGATTTTGAAGCATTGGACCCGCAAGGAATTCCCCGAATGCTACGTGGAACGCGGCTATTCAAGGCACAAGATCCCAGTCACAGCTTACCTGAATAATCAAATTCACCCGCTTGACCAATGCTCAATCCACCACTTCCAATGACAAGGACCTTTTTAACGTCGACAAGGTCAGGGCCTTGCACTCCACCCCTGGCAGAGAACGACTTCGCGCTTGGAGCCTCAGCCTGAGCCGCCGCTAAGTTGCGAGCCGAGCGAGCGAACGACCGGGTGGACCGCCATGACGTGAATGCCTGTAATTTTGATCGAGAATATAGCTTTCTCGAGGAAGTCTGCGTCGAAAATGCTCGGAGGGCCGACGGAGCAGAGGATTCAACAGTGGAAAGGCATCGTTGGCGCAAAAGGTGCGAGATCGCCCGTTGCCCACACCGGGCTGAGAGAGCCATTGGCCGCCGTGCCTGGCGCAGAAGGGATAACAATATATGCAAGAGGGGAAAGAATCAGTATAGGGATCGAGAGAAAGGAATAATTGTGTTGGAAAACCAGCTAGTTTTCGACTTTGGTTGTCGAAATGAAAGTTTTTGGTTTTGAAACTTTTTTTTTCTTGTCTCTGGGGTTGAGCCAAACTTTTGGGGTGATATGGCATTTTAGCGTGTGACTCACTCGACTTGTTGAGCTTCAATTCCTTAATATAAATATAATTTCAAAATAATAACTACTATTTTGGCTATAGGAAGGTCTTGAGAGTCGAATATCTCGCTAAGAATGATTTGAGGTTCGTCATGCTATCACCATACAGAAAACGGGTATCTGGGCAGCTGGTCTTACAAAGTTCATGTGTATTTCGTGGGTGCATTTCATGAGGTCTATACTGGGCTTGGGTGTAGAAAAAGGTCCGAACAGCGTCGTGAGCAAAGCGGAAAAGAGTCCACTTAACATTGTCAATCTTTTTTCAGTCTGTAACACCGATCTTCCCGTGTAGTCCGGACCACGGACCCTTACGCGGATTCTCCAACCGACCGGTAACTTTTCTATTTCTTGAGAACCCTAGACCCGTGGCGCAAACGCCTTCATTCAGCCCTTCCACGGCGTCGCCGGAAGATGTTACGTCCTCATAATTCTGATTCATAGTCTCGTAAATGTCTCTCAATGTGCGGTCGGCGCTCTTGGTCGCTTCTGTCCCAATTGCCAGCTGTTGGTCAATATGGTTTTTTGCAGAGTCCCGTGCTATCCCAGAAGCGAAAGCCCATGCTTCCGCATGCATAACAGCTCCTGAATCGCGATTTATGCTTATTGGTGACGCGTCGATCTCGGATCGAGGGTTGATTGTGGTCGTGACCTGTTTGACACGCTGGTGTCGGGCTGGAATCGGGTACTTCGGTAGCAAATGGCTCTCATTTTGCAGGCGTTCAAGAACTTTCCCGGAATGCAATACTTCTTTAGATAAGATTGCAGAGAGGAAAGACTTGTGGCCTGCAGTGGTCTTTTGAGCTTTCGAAACCGAAGCCAGGTTTTCATGGACATATGGGAACACAATCGCAAAGTCCGTAAAAGAAGGTTCTAACTCTTGATGCTGGGACCTCGTCCGTGGAGGCTGAGAGGGGGGTTTCATTGGTATGCATAACGTAGCAGATACTATCTCCAGCAGTTTTCGACGGGCGGAAATATAAGCAGCATATTGTTGTTCAATTTCAGTTTTCAATCCATCTAGCAGAAGTCGAGCCTCATTTTCGCCAGATTCATTACGGGTTTGCTTCTCGTCAACATTGCTGGCATCTTCCATACCAGATGTAGCCAGTGTATGTTCAACCCACTTGATAAGTTCATCACGAATTCGCATAAGGCCTTTCAACCTGGCTTGCGGGCTTATATTTCCCTGGTCGGCCCGGGGTAGTTGCACTTGCGCCTTTATTCTTCCAAGCAGGCTCTTTTCGTTGTCCACCCGGGCCTTAGAAACAAGCACAGCCCGCTCCAACTCATAGAGTAAGCCATCAGGATGATTTCCGTGTCCGGGAGGATATCCTGCCTCGTATTGATGTACAACGAACCGCTGAGAGGACGAAAAAACTTCTTTCATTTCGCGATTTACATCGAGAAAGTTCGAGCTAGCTGCCTCCATTGCATTCAACTTATCCAGGTAATGTTGACAGATTTGAATTTTGCTCCGTAGCCTACGGCTTCGAAGCAGAGACAGATAAGTCTGGAAATTTTGAGCTCTCGACGGAGAACACTCCTCTGAATTGCAGCGGCTCATCCTTTCGGTGAGAGCCTTCACCTCTTCCAGCAGACCACGATATTCTTTCCTCGCGGCAATGTCGGCCTGTACGGCTTTCAAATATTGGGCTCGAAGTCCATTGCTGAACTCCGACGGTACTCGTTTAATGCCCGCGACATTCTGAGGAGCACACAGCGATATATGTGAAGCAGGAGTAACATCCGAAAATATGACCTGAGCCTGTAAATAAACGGTCAATGCACGCCTGATTTTGAGGACCTCGTCCCGTGTTTTGATATATGGCGCGAGTTGTTTTGCAAAAGCCGGCCGCGGTCCTGGGAGCTGAGGGCTTTGTAACATTTCTCTCTATAGCCTAACCAGTACGTGCCGAGTCGATAATCGAAAATCGAACAAAAGCTGAGTGTGCTGCTTGCTTATTGGTGGTGGAACGAATGTGGTGTTGTTGCAGCACAGGAGCCGGGTAAATATATAGGTACTTAAGATCAGGGTAAACTAACATTAGCATGTCCACCATGCTTCCTCGCCGAGTCTCCAGGTGAGGCGATCCTGCACGACACGTCGATTTCTGGAAGCGGAATTTCCTCGCCCAGATAGCCGTTTCATCAAAACTTCCATCAGTCTGTCTTTTAGGAGCTTCTTTTGCTAGATTGACCAATTGCTCCATCACTACAGAGTAGGAATGGAGAACAATAACCACATGAGTTAGCACAAATAGCTACCCTTGAGTTTTGTTGCAAAGCATGCTTTCAACCACACCACTCCACAGAACCATATGCCAGCAACCAACACTGCCATTTGCTGTTGCCATGCCTCTCTCCTCGGTTCTATGCAAGCACTATTTTTCTGGGAGCTCTTTCTGGACCTGATTTATAGCACCGGATGTGCTGGTCTGTGCTGTAAAGCAGCATTCAGTTTTCTCTGAAGCAGGTTTCTGTTCCAGATACCTGTTTGGTTCCCAGGAGGCCCAATGGGCTGTTCTCCTAGATTCCTAGTCATATTTGAGGATATTCTTTCAGCTGGTGCAAATAACTTGTTTGCACAGATATTGACAGTGGATTTGTGTCAAACTTGGACAAACAGAGACGTCTTTGCGCACCTGAAATTCCAGCCTCTGGGGGCTGAAATGTACTATATAAACTCCTTTCACAGCAAGTTTATCAAAAGTATTGTTGTCTGTTTCAGAGTTAAATGCCTTCGTATCTTCTTGAGTGAGCTGGTAGAAGACTAGCCCTATGAAGACCTGCACAGGTATTTGATATGCTGAGCACCCTTATATGGGTGCTCTGCACCGTCAAAACCCAGCTCTGATCCAGCAGTGCTTAGCTGATCGGTCGCTTATGTCGCTGGCAACAGATCCATCCAGGCATTTATAGAGGAGCACAGGTCTAGTTTCGCAAAACCTCTCTCTCTCCGTCAGGAAGCATCCTCAAATACCACAGAGCATTTTTACAGCAACTCTTTCCCATTACTAGCGTGAATTCTTTTTGGCACGTGCTCTGATACTTCCCTGGTTTATTATTTATAATGGGCTTCATACATATTCCTTCCAAGCTTTCTCATAAGCTATCGAAGAGCAAGAAGAACTGTTCACACAAGAACAGCAAGAAAGACGCGTTTAAAGCAACTCTTCCCGATATCCAGGAGCAGACAGAGACAGAGAGCTCAGGCCCGTCTACCGCTTTCAAAAAGACCGAGGGGGAATCCGAGTCCCACTCGAAAGCAAAAATGTCGCCTCACATAGGTGAGCCTCGCTCTCATTCCCTCACCTCAACAAGCAGAAACTTACAAGATAACTAGTGGACGACTCTTCGGAAACTGGTACTCAAATTGTTTCCAAGTGTCACGTTGCTCCGCCGCTCAAGCGTTCGCATTTCCTGTGCTTCTCATCCCACCGGTCTTTCTTAAAGACGCGTAATACTCACCATTCGCTCCCATGCATGACTTGCAAAAGGGAGGACTTCCCACACTTGTGGAGATGCACATTCTGTTTTCTTCGCATCTGCGAGGATTGCTTTGATACGCTTTGCGACATGGAAAATCGTTCCTTGCAGAAGCTCCTTGAAACCCTCGGCGTCGACGCAGAAATTCCGTAGTTTGACAACCATCCTCTATGATATCGGCGGATTTCCTTCTCCCACAGTCTTCGTGCATTTTTCGGGAATTATAACGGCGCATCCGGGTTAGTGGGACTATAGGAAGCAGATTTTTTTTAAACCGCTCCGGCTGCGAATTGCATATGGGAATGTTTAAACTGGGAGGATATTTGTTCTTTTTCATTGCATAGTGAATTCTACAACGAGTTTCCTATTTCCAAGGAGCTTTTTCTACATTCAGGTGTTTTTCGGATGGCGGTGCGTTCTTGGTTTTATGCTAAAAGATACTGGTCGATTTGTATCCTGACAAGGCATACAAGCAGACTGAGTAAATCCCCTGGTCTTTTTGTTATGATGTAAGAAAGGATCAATTGGGCAAATCAATGGTAACTAAATTGCCTTTCTCTCCATCGAGGTCAACTCGAAACAATGAGTGGACATCTCGCACAGCTGAGCAACACTTCCCTTCGTTTCAATTGAGATCGCTTGCGTTCTCACTTTAAAAAAAGAATCCCTTGCAAGTGTTAGCATTGGAGATATCTGCCCAAGTAAGATATATTGGACAAAAGTCCCAAGGCTTATCTCTTCGCGTGGAGTGGAAAGCTCCCAGGATAAGGTCAATTTCATTCGATGCTCCTTTCCCGTCAAATAGCTATCCAGTACAAATGCATATAGCTTTGCCATTTTTGTTTTCAAATCCCAGTCATTAGACTGGCGGTACGGAGTACATAGAAAATGTATCAGCTCCAGCCCATTCATTAACGCTGATTATGATTTAAGGTCCCGATGGCCCAGATGGCCCCGAAGGTCCCGCCGCGAGAGCATATCGTTATGGGTGTCTTCGCCTGTAAAACCCTTTGAAATGTCTCAGAACTGTTCATCCAATAAATCCCAGGATTATATTTCTGCGAGTATTCGCATTAAATAACAATTACCCCAGATATAATAGAGAAAAGGCCATAGCTCTACTCCCAAGGTCATGGTTATGATCTGATATCGTGCATTTGATTTGATGATGGTAGATGAGTGGCCATGATCCTTAAAAATTTATCGGAACGGACAGAGTTCTGTACGCAAACAGGATACAGTTCTCCTATCAGGAGCTGCGGCCTTGGCTTCGTATACTTAATAACATGGGTGGCTCGGTGTATATCTCGCAGAAGTATCAATCATGCTGCTCTTCTGTTACGCCAGGGCATCCATCCATCTCTGGGGTTTCGTATCGGTATTTGCACCAGAAACAATAGTTGTGTTTCTCACGCAGGTACGCCACGATGCGTGTCAACTGCTCCTGCGGGCTCAAGGCGTTAAACTCCTCCAGCTCCGGATCTTCCTCGAGATCACATTCGACCTCCACGATATCTCCTTCGGCATTTCGACCCAGGGCTAACTTGTCGTCTGTGTCAAGATCAGTGTCATTATAGGTAGGAAGTCCGGGTGCATTGCGGGAGAAGAAGCTCTGATCGCGTGATGAAAGGGATTCATATCGTCGCCGTTGAGCCTGATCTTCAATGACCTTTTCTTCCCGCGCTCGAGCAAGCCCACGATAAAGGATGTTGATCTGTGAAATGCGCTTGATAGGGCGCTTCTTTGTGTTAGCATCATCAGGGTTTGCACCATTAGCACCGCCATTGGCTTTTTCCTCAGCTGTTGGCGTGGAGATAGCGTTTACAGGGTCCTGTTGTTTCTCTTCGGATTCCGTATCCAATCTCTCAGCGACTTTTTGCGCAGCATGGAACTGGGCTTCCGCCCTTCGTGCCTCTCTTTCAAGCCTTACTCTCTCCCTAAAATCAACTTGCTCGGTTTTCACCTTTTTTGCCTCCTCTTCCACTTCCTCTCTGAATTTCCGTTTCTTCTCGGTATCCATTCCAATTCCACCTCTATCCTCCTTCACAGATATGCTTAAGGGTTCTGTAATACGGCGATTCCACTCGTTCCGGCCCGAAGGATGCTCCGCAGAATAATCTTTGCCCAGAGCAGTTCCTGGTTTGTATCCTAGCCGAGCCATCATCTGAAACCCTTTATTGGACGGATCGAGCGTACTTTTCGCGAGAGCCTCATCGCGACGGGCAGCTTCTGCAGCGGCAAGTTCGGCCTTTGAAGGGACACGGGCTTTCGCTTCGGACTGTATATGGTTTTAATGACATTATTGTTAGTCTCTCCGACATTCTAGCCCACTCATCCTTGGGCATTATCTAACTAGGGGAGGAAGGGTTATTATGGTTCGACGCTGATGAAGGGGTCTTGGGCTGGGAATGGTGATTTCGCCTAAACACACCTCTCTCTGTTTGCGGAGGCATCTTTGGGTGTAGGTTTCTTTCGCTCTACTGGGCTGCGGCGGTTCAAGGATGGCCATGGACATGTAATCTTCCTCATCGTCATCATCTTGCGTATCCTTCGGCGTGCTTTTCTCCTCTAGCCAGGCCGGTTTCGGGAGCATGTTGAATCAAGAACGTCCCTTGTGCACAACGTTGCCTGAAGTGAAAGCTAATGGCGTTTCTAGAGCACCGGTTAAGTCTGACGGGGTTTTGCAGACATTCAGCCGGAAGCAAGCCAGAGGTTGGTCTCGGTTGAACTCTGGGCAACTTTTAACTTTCGGGGCGTCAAAATAGCCGCCGACATTAAATGATACGGCACAAAACACACATAAGACTACAGAGTACGGAGTACTCCGTATAGAGTCGACTATTTCCGGCCATCTGATAATGTAATTAAACTCTTCATGCGAGTTACAGGCTGCTGGGCTCCGGGGCTACACTGTCCGGAGTTACCCTACATTTACCACTCCCTCGCTCTTTGATATTCACACCCTTTGATATTAACTACTCCGTACAGTGAATCTTCCCGGTCACTCGCCCTTCTTCAATAACTCCGGCATTCTCGGCCAGGAACCCACGGTTGTCATTTTAATAACTGGTTAGTGTCTATGCGGGCTACGTTTTTCCACATACTTCCGGATATTTCACCGTGTCTCCATGACGCCAGGCTTATGTGAAAACTCGACGTGAGCCTTCAACCGAGAAAGGATTATAAAAATTTTACGCGCGGAGGCACCTTCACGGGTATTATCCCAACCTCAGAACCCAAGCGAAATGACATGGGGAACCAGACGGCTATTTCGATCCCGTGAGAATGAACCTTTGGGTGAGGGGATATTCATGTATAGGCGGAGCTGATAGAGTTGTTACCCTCCACTGGCCCGGAATTGTGGCGTTTCCAGACAACAAGAAGCTGTGATAGTAATCATCCGAGATTTCCGGATGTTGAAATAGAGGCATGGAGAAGTCTTGATGGGTGGGTTTCCATAGCAGATTTAACACGCCAAGCAAAAGCTTGAAAGTTATGCGGGGAAAACAGGGCGCCGCGGATTTCCGTCGTGGACGAGCCGAGTCCTTTGACGGCTTCGGCGTTTCAGCGTCGTCAGACAGCACTGATGGCAATCAGTTGGAAACAGCACTCTGTGTGCCATACCGCACTGTTGACAATCCCGGGCTTGTTGACCTGGTTGGCAATCAGCGAGGCAACCCTGAGTGCCTTAACGGCGAGTCAGCCACCATCTCGCAACGCCCGAACCGGACAATGCTTACGGCATTTACCTTATATGAGTTGCCCCAGCGCCCTATGTGACCTTGGAGACAGCAGTACAGATCACTAGCGCGCAATCTCCAAACACTAAACGGCCTGAACCTCTGCCCATGCCGAACAAATAGACCGGACGGACGGATCGGCCGTTTGGAGGAGTTTAAATTCGAGCGGCCATTCCACTCAGACTCTGTGATAATTGTTTCGTGCTTCATAACTACCAGATAACTATTTAATTAGCGGCCTATCTCGTACTGCCAGAAGCCGACTAAGATATCCTTGATTCGAAAATGACCGCTCTACCAGAGCCATTTGCTTCTATTCCAAGGAAAGCTCTCCTCCTTGAGCCTTCTCCAATCCATCTACTTCCCAACATGACCGCGGATTTAGGCGGGGCTGTGAAGATATACGCCAAACGCGATGATCTCAACTCCGGTCTCGCCTACGGCGGCAATAAGACCAGGAAACTCGAGTACCTGGTCGCCGACGCGTTGGCGACAAAGTGCGACACGCTGATTAGCATTGGCGGGATTCAAAGCAACCATACGCGTCAAGTAGCCGCTGCCGCAGCCCATGCGGGACTCAAAGCAAAACTTGTCCAGGAAAAGTGGGTAGAGTGGTCCGACCCGGGTTACGAGTCCGTAGGAAATATCCAACTCTCCCGACTGATGGGGGCTGATGTCCGCATTGAGCGGATGGCTGGATTTGGAATCGAGCATAAAGACTCGCTGAAAAATCTCCTGAAGGAATGTGAGGACAAGGGCGAGAAACCATATTATATCCCCGCCGGCGCGTCAGATCACCCGCTTGGTGGACTGGGCTTTGCACGCTGGGCGTTCGAGGTCCGGGAGCAGGAGCAGCAGATGGGCATCACGTTTGATAATATCGTTGTTTGTGCGGTGACGGGTTCAACGATGGCAGGAATGGTCGCTGGGTTCAAGCTTATTGAAAAACTATACCCGGATGAGCCCAAGAAGAAAGTTATTGGCATAGATGCATCCGCCACGCCTGCGGAGACTCGCGCACAGGTCCTTCGGATCGCAAAGAATACGGGAGAGAAAATCGGCCTTGAGCCTGAAGATATCACCGCATCAGATATTATGATTGACGAACGATATCATGCCGGAACCTATGGAGTTCCCGATAAACAGACATGGGACGCGATCGAGTATGGAGCTCGGATGGAAGCGTTTATCACCGATCCCGTATACGAAGGGAAAAGTCTGGCAGGCCTGATTGACATGGTTCGAAAAGGGGAGATCTCCGGAGGGAACGTCTTGTATGCGCATTTGGGAGGGCAGCTTGCTCTCAATGCATATTCGCAAATCGGGACTGTGGCATAATAACCTGAACCTCGATCGGGTAATTTGACTATATAATGCAGCTCCTTCGACCATCATTTTCAGTGTTGCACGGCTTTGCTACTTGGTTTTCCAGCTTTGAAATCTTGTGTGGATTTCGGCTTGCGCTCCAACAGCTTCTTGGGATCTCCATTCCTCTTAAGCTCAAGTGAGCAGCAAATGGTCAAGCAACAAGAGATCCCTTCGCGATGAGACATGATGATGTTTGTTTTGGGTACCATCCACTAGATATGAAGTGTTTCTTCTGGAGCTACTATAAAACAACCACAAGCCTTCGTTTTGGAGACTGAAACTCGTGATATGTTCGTCACCTGGGCAAGTTCAGTGTTGATACTTTATATGTAGCTACGGAGTATGACAGAAATAGTTGCTCGAGACAAAACCGAGAATTTTTGTTTCTTGCGTGTACGAATTTTCCTTGTCGCTCACTATTGAAATTGATCATATTTTTGAGTGCTGATCCCGGTGAGATGACGTGGACACCATTGGTCGGAGAAGTGGGCGTCTTGATTTGCCTATATTTTCCTCCATTCGCCCGGCACAGTCTAAAATGCAACTATGGGATGCCGTCGAGTGTGCATGCAATTCCTTCAAAATGGAGTTCTAAATGCTGCTGAAGGACAGGGGGAACACATTGCGGGGAACCAGGAGAAAGAGTCAAAGACTCCATAAGATCGGAAATTCCGAAAAGAAAGAGCATATCTGAGAGACAAAGCTTATCCACATGGAGAGCACTGTCGATGTGCTTGAATGTTGATCTTTCTTCTTGAAATAACACTTATCAAAACAAGATACCCTACTCTGTACTGGCTTGGCTGCAGAGGAGAGCTTAGGCAAGACGATGCGCCTGCTTGACCGCTGCACGTGGTTTTAAACCGCATTGTGTCAATTGCCAAAGCCATTTTTCTGTTAGAAGCCTACGGAGTAGAGGAAGCTGAAAGAGGAGAACAGAAATGTAGGTACAGCACATTTTAGCAGTGTTTGTGGGACAGTTAGAATACACTTTTACGGAAGACAAACGCGGTAATTAGTTTGGGCAGCATTGCTGTGATGTGACTCGTACACCCTGCTCCGCTGCGAGCGTTCGACAGATCAAGGCTTTGTCTGTCGTACAGAGCGTGAGATCGGCTGGAAACTTGCGGCTGCCTGGTTCTTTGACAACAAAATTTCGACTAGAAGCACGTCCATGCAGACGTCCACCTCGCTGCCATCACGTCAAGGTGGCACAGTCAAGCTGGCGGCTCGTTTCAGGCGCAGCGAGCGATTCTGTCTCTGGTTTCTGACCGATGATCGATCTTGTCTCGGTGGCGATTAGCTGCGACCCGCAGTGCCTGATCTGACAAGGGTTACGATACAGAGGATGGGGATGGCCAAACCTTGCCCTGTCCAAATCCTCCGAGCCAACCACCAATCCGACGTGACGAATAAAATGACATCAGACCACGTCTGAGTTATCGTCGAGGGGCTGGCTGGAACGGACCCGTCCAGAAAACGTGGTTCAGTCATATGGGAAGCTGGCAGAAAACCCATGGACGGAGTACATATTCATGTACGGAGTATGCCACAAATATGGACATGCCTACAGCATCTACGGAGTAGAGGGACGGAGAAGTCGCCCATTACAGCCCTCTTTTTCTTTTTTTTTTTATCCTTTCTTTTTGGCCGTCTTTGGCCCCTGCGCCTCAACTTCGCGGCCTGGCCGATCTTAGCTTGGAACGGCCAAGGCTGGCGCAACTTAGTCGCTCCTCTTTGTTGCAAATTGCGAAGAGACAATTGAGTTAGTTGATTTTAGCTCTGGCGAGAAAAAGCTTGACTCAAGTCAAAATGGCCCAGCCATTCAGGGGCCAGGTAAGAAACCCTCCTGTGGGTTTCAAAAGGAAACCTGCTCTTCTTGACCGCCGGGTACAGCCACAAAATACTCTGTTCAACGGCGTATGATTCGCCGTTGAACCAGAAAATCGAGGAGCCCGAGAGATAGCGAAATATGTCGAGAGTACAAAGTATCCCGCGTCTCAAGGGGAATTTTGACCCTCACCCTTGGAGACCACATGCCAAGTTCTCCAAGCTGCTACATCGATTTTCCGGGGGATGGCCTCGATCCAGATACATGCCCCGGAGCCCAGGACTGCTGAATGGCGAAATAGTGGAGTTTGGAGAGGAAGTCCTGCCTTTCTGGATCTTGAGAGCTAAATAAAAACCGAACCCTATCGGAGGACCTGGTAACTAACAGTTCCTGTGGCTGTATTAACTATCTGGAGATATAACCCTATCAAGATGCCAACATTATAATGACATCTACTCATGCCTTTCCCTTTTTCCATTCAATTTACTCTCCCTTTTTGTGCCTCTTTAACTCTTAAATGAAGAGCCCTTTTGATTTCTTCCTGGGAGGCTCTTGATTAAATTACTTTTTGGCCTCATGCCTATTTGTTAAGACAACATCCAACCCTCATAAACAAGGCTTAACTCCGATATTAAAATTTTTTTAAATCACTCAAAGAAAAGCACCGCAATGGTTCGACTTTGCCGCGTTATTAATATTGCTCCTTGGATTTTCTCTCTATAGCCTATCGTCTGCTGGGCCTTGCTTGGCCCGTGTCGAGTCGCAATGGGTAACACATATAACTCACCCCCATCTGCTTTAGCTTCTCGACAGCTATCTTCCTCGATATCTTCGGATAACTCGAACATAGCTGCTGTGAAGCCGCCTGAAAAGCGATTTAAGATGACCCGGAAAAAGCTTATGATAGGCATTCTTGCGCTTCTGATACCTGCAGCTTGTGCAGGAACAGGGATTGGTCTTGCGCTGAGGAACAACCAAAATGCGTCCAGTTGTAAACCCGAGGATTCATGTCGTGATCTTGGGTATGCAAAGTACCAGGGTGTTCCTGATCCCAATGGAGTTACGAGTTGGCTAGGAATGCGATACGCAGCGCCGCCGGTGGGAGAGTTGCGATTTGCGGCTCCTCAGGATCCTGCAAAGGAAGAGGGCATTCAAGTTGCTAACGTGGTAGGCAGCGACATCCCCTCTCGGGAAACACAAAAAGCTAATGTGTCGAATAGCGCCAAAAGCGATGTCTTTCAACGGGCGCACGGATAGCCAAGCGCGAGTCCGAAGACTGTCTATTTTTAGATGTTTTCGCGCCATTAAATGCAACGAAAGATTCCAAGTTGCCGGTCTATTTTTTTATCCAAGGTGGTGGCTTCAATATGAACGCCAATCCCGGAATCAATGCTTCTAGACTCATCCAGGCTTCGGGAGGGAATTTGATAGCTGTGGGCTTCAATTATCGTGTTAGCCTATATGGATTTCTTGCTGGGAAAGAGCTTGAAGAGCGCGCGAGCCTCAATAATGGTCTCAAAGACCAAATCAAAGCGCTCGAGTGGGTTAAGACGCATATAGCTCAGGTATAATCGCATTCGACTCCTTGAGTAGAGGACTTCGCTGACTTGGGTGGTTTTCCCCGTGTAGTTTGGCGGAGATCCTGACCATGTCGTCATCGGAGGCCATAGCGCAGGCGGTGCTTCCGTGGTATTCCATCTGACTGCTTATGGCGGCGAAAAGTGCGATGAGGCGCCGTTTCACGGTGCCATTGCAGGCTCACCCTCAATGGGAACCATGCTCACGGTGTCGGAGAGTCAGTTTCTCTACGACAGCTTGCTGAATCGTACTGGGTGCGGATGTAGTAGAGACAGTCTCAAATGTCTTCGCAATTTGGACGTCAAAACCCTTCAGTCGCACAACACCAAGCAGCCGCTTCCAGGTGCTAAAATGAATCCGCTCTTTATGTATTCACCAACGATCGACAACGACCTTGTGCCAGATTATACCTACCGCCTTTTACAGGAGGGCAAATTCTGCAAAGTACCTGTTGTATTCGGAGATGATCAGGACGAAGGTACACTTTTTGCGTCGAAAAAGACGAAGAGTATTCAAGACTCAGACACGTTTCTCCGCGCGCAGTTTCCAGCGCTAACGGAAGACCAACTTCGAAAGATAAACTCATACATGTCAACAGTAAAGCCTGAGTTCCCAGACATTGGCATGCACTGGCAGCAGCTGGCCAGGATATACGGAGATATGCGGTATACATGTCCCAAAATTTCCATTATGGAGAGTTTTACCGAATTCCACAAACACGATCAGGCTTGGAGTTATCGGTACGCCGTCCAGGACCCGTTGTATCTGCGCTCTGGACTGGGAACACCCCATACAGCAGAGTTGGAAGGGATCTGGGGGCCGGACTATGCTGCCGGCAGATCGCCGATGTCTTATTATACCACAAATAAGGAAATCGTACCCGTCGTTCAAGGGTACTGGTCAAGCTTCATTCGCAGTCTGGATCCAAATAAGCATCGCGCACAGGGTAGTCCGGAGTGGAAGACGTGGAACGCGTCAAGCTCTGATCCCAATCCCGAAGGGTTTAGGGAACTTTTCATAAGGACAGGGGACACGAAGATGAGGGTTGTTGACTCGCAGCAAAGAGAAAGATGTGATTATTTTATAAACATTGGCGTCGACATCAAACAATAAGGAATTGGGCTAGGCGTTTTGGGCTCCGCAACCCGCTGCTTGGGCCGCTTGTGATGACTGCAGCAACGATCTGGGTATAATGTGTTGGGAGGGCTTTTGCATAGCGTTGTATCTTTGGCTGTTACTTATACTGTTGTCAGCCGGCTTCGTATATACTCCGTAGACTCTGATCATAAAAATAAAGAACTTTCCACAATGTTTGATGCTGAAGTCGTTCATCGGCCGACCAATACACAACCACTCTTGTATGGCGCTCGCCAACCAAAATAGTTTAGCTTCATTCGTTATACTCCCGTACAGTTCGGAGTAGTTATGACATAATCAGGTTTACGGCTGTGGCTGGGGCTAATATGTAAGGTAGTTCACCACTAAACGAGCCACACCACTAAACGAGCCAAATTTCGCCAAATGCTCCATGCAATGAATTTATTAAATATCTCAACAACCA